CCCCCCCCGAGCTCTACACGCATTGGGATCCTCGTCTGAAACTACTCACAGTAAAGGCGCTTTGAGATGGAAGTAAATGAGAGTGTACCATGTGTTGTAGCAGGCCTGAAAATTGTCACTTGTAAATGTTGTGAAAGTGATAGAATGGGCAAGACGACAAAGGTTAGTGGCGGTTGTTGACACGAACCATATCAGAGATATTACGAAGATCGACTAGCGGTGAGCACCACTACCTGCTGCCCCTAGATTCAAACAGCAGGTGTGACGAGAAAGAACTCACATAATCGAAAGTGGAAGCGACAATCGAAAACGATGACGTTGAGGTCAACAGTCAAGCCCTGAAAACTGATTCGTTCATCTTAAGCTCACTAGCGGCTACCACTTTACCCCTGCTATCCAATAGTACGGCCACTCAACTGCCATGATCCAAAGAACAAAGCCCACCTAACCACTGCCAGTGCACTTCTTCCACTGCACATAAACGACTTGCTTGAACTTCAGGTCGGTGGAGTCGGTGGTGAGCAGACCAGTAGCCTTGGCGTTGGTAGAGGTCAGGCGGACTTGGGAATTGATGTTCAGTAGGTTGCCCTTGCTACCACAGGGCGACATCACCACGGAGGTGCTATCAGCCTCATCGTGCTTGAGATAGTCGCCAGTCACCGGTCCGGTGAAGGTGTATTCCGTACTGGTCTGTGATGAATTAGTAAGGGCACTAAGAGCACGACGCAGTGTTACATACCTGAGGAGCCTTGCCTGCAAAGTAGTAGGTTGACTTCAAAGTGCCGGTGATACCTTTCTCGATGTTCGCATAGCCGCGGTAGTCGGCGCTCAGAATAGAGTACTGGAAGCCTCCGGGATAATCGAGCTCAAGGGTGAGCTGGCAGTTCTTACGCTGCTCGGTGATGGCGATATTAGGACCGATGGATGCAACGTAGGAGTCATAGACCAGGGTCACGACACTTTGGTCATCCGAGATGACAGTACTGACGGTACCCTGAGGACATCCAGTACCGCCGGTGCCGACCTTGGTGATTTTGACCTACGACCGTCAACAAAAGTGAAGAGACTGGACCAGAAGAAGCTCTACCTGTCCTGGGTCAGGGGCTTCACCAATCGCAGACAGAGCTGGAGCAGCAGTAGCGAGGGGGACGAGAGCAAGAAGCCACTTCATAATGACGATGATGATGATGGAAAGATAGTTGATCTCGAGCTGATTGAGCCGAAGTGATTGCGTTTGGCAGGATGAGGGTTGATCATATGGGGTTCTAGGACATCTTATATACCGTTGCAAGAGTCAGTATGCACTATCGTAACCGAACCTCACAGGCCTGCATCCGCGCCGGCGAGAGTTGCCAAGCGTGAATAGTAATATCTAGAGCTTGTGGACCGGCGGCCCGCTTTAGAACGGTAGTCTAGAGCCATCTGAAGCGCGGAGGCGTTTTCGTATAGATAACGCTGGCTGATGCAACTAGCTCTGAATGGTTGTCAGACACTAGACTGAGCATTCCGCGAAACTGTGAGTTACACAAGAGGTTCAGCTCTCAGTGTTCCTAGCGGTATTACTACCAGTGCTGATATCTACAATTAACCACGAGAAGCGAATTTTTTTGCTCTCACAGGGTTGGACATGACTTGGTCCCTGTCAAGGGGTCACCATCCCTGGTAGTCGCAAGTACGATCTCCCGTTTTTCGAACCCGGATGGTGGGGACATATCCAGTCGGTTTTGTCCATTTCCCACGAGAGTTTTTGAGAAGCGTAGACAGATAGCCCAAAGTTGCTATAGGTGCTTTGTCGACGCCTGATGTTATTTCCTCACTGTCGCCTGCGTGTGGTTTCCAGCCGCGAGGACGCACTTTGCAAAGCTTACTTACCGAATTTGCATGTCTGGAACGGTGAAATAAATACCAGTCCCGAAAATGGTGTGTAACTGGTCGTGTTACTTATACCGAACGCATCGAGATGGGTAGTCTAGATGCTGGCCAGTAGTGACCTCCCAAAGCTGGAGCAGCTGGAGCGCACCAACGCAGCGGTAACCTTGTTCACGCATCCATAAATACGATACAGCTATATCATGACCTTAGGTATATAGTAGCACAAGATCTGTTTGCTGTCTGGGAAGACAAAATGAGGAGGAGGTGAGGTTGATGTACAAGGCTGACCCTTGTCATAGATCCTGGTAGGGTATGCAGACATCGACGGGTATATTAACCGCAAATTAATGCTTGTCACTCCAGAGCGTCCAGACAGATGACTTGGCGAAGGGACAGCCACACGGGGAATACCGATATGCTTAAATCAAGAGGTTGACAGAAATAGCGCCTCATCTTGTCCATGCGGTTTCCGAACCTGCTCGGCAAGCCTTGCGTACCAGGAAGGTGAATATCTAGATGAATGTGATCGAGCCCAGACCTTCTCCCCAGCTGCTGAAAGTGGTGATCGAATCATCCGGATTCAGGGCTTAGGTGCAGGACACCTATTGTTTTCATTACACAAATTGTGGAACAAAAATGAAGGATCGGTAAGGTGAAGCGAACCGCGAGGTCAGCGACAAGAGCAGTCGAGGAAAGATGATAATCATGCGACTCTGCGGGTCGATCAGCATTGGTTGAAAAGCGGTCTGAAGACGATACTCGTAGTACAGGAGCTTGCCCCACAGAGTCGATGTTGATCAACGCCAATGTCGCGCTGGAGTGCGGGGACGGTTGCTAAATTTGTTGTACATAAACCACCTGGGATCGTAAAGCTCGTATACAGCCAGATTGAAAGCGTTTGACCAATTGCAGGTTGTACGAGCTGAACAGGATGACTTTGAGACGAAACCAACGGTGTGAGACCTTGTCGTCATAGGTCTAACGCACCCGCCTAAAGGTGCATCGCTGTAGCATGCGACAGCTCTAGAACCTGCGTTACCGGACAATATTAGAATGCGCGATGAGTGTGGTTCATTCCATGGCCATATTAGGAAGATGGACTCACGGACCGGAGTGTTAACGAGTTGGCGCTGATGTTAAGCGCGCTTCACGCTTGCCCCGCAGCCCCACAAGCCATCGATCGCGCACCATACACTGTCCTTCCTCATCCCACCTCGAGCAAACTCGCTGCATTATGTTCCTTCAGACAGTACCCCGTCGCTGGCAGTGACCACTAAGAAGGAAGACTGGCATACTTGTTCAGCTGGTGTCTGCCATACGTGCAGCGCACGGCATCGCCAATTTACGTGGCGACCATGTTCTTGCATGCGCCAAATATGCCAGCACTGATGCCGAGTGTTTCTTGCTTCTCACAGCTGAGACTGTACTTTGTATTCCTCGATCAACTCCAGAAAAGAACATAGCGTATCGTACGACCATCAAGCACGATGGCTTCGTCCCCTGGCTATTAGCCTCTTCATTGATGGCACAGCACAAAGCGTCACCTCTCTTGACGATTAATCTTCTGATCCTACAGAGCTATACAAGGTCATATTCGAGTCATGTGCTCGAATAATTAGCCCAATCGACCAACTCGACAAACTAGCTATGTGTTCCTACGACGCCAGAGGCCAGTTTACTGACCCCATCGCCCTCGCACCACACGAGCCGCTCGCGTTCTTCACCGCCGGGGACTTTCTGCAGTCCTTCAGTTTCGTTACGTCACGTGGTACGTCTTTCAGCGCTCCTCCCTGCATACTCTCACCAGTCAGCATTCACTCAGCTTGCAATGGTCTGGACGATATGGGTACTGTTCATCTTGAGCAGGCCATTCGAATGGGTGAGTACAACTACCTGTTCGAGCTCGTGAGCGGTGAAGATAACACGGAAATATCGAAGGTCAGTACCTTCACAGCTTGGAGGATCTTCATATGGCAGACCGTGTTCGACCATTACTTCTTCCGTGCACCGCATCTGCATTGGCCCTCAAATATCTCACTGCTGACTGGGAAGGCAGGTGCGCAGTAGTATGATGAGATTTGGCCCCGACAACCAAATAATCAACCCATAGCCAACCAACCTCTTGTTCCGCTACACTTGGGACATCGGGTGCAATCCCAGGTGACATTATACATGATGAACGGTCCAGGACTTCTTTGTTTTGAAAGGCCGTCGCCTCGACCACTAACACCAGGACTCAGAAGATTGATAGGCTTAAGCGAAACCTTGACAATTGAAGAGACACGTTACCGGCACCTCTCGAGGCATGGGCACTTGTTTTTCCACCGCATTCCTCACTACAGTAAGTCAACAGCTTCTCCCTAGATTTTTCATTGCCTCTTCAAGATCCCAGGGCCTGTTCTTCGTCTCGCACTTTTTCGGCATTCATTCCATGTGTGATCTTCACTATGACCTGACCGAATGCATCTGTCTAATTGTACCGCTGACGTGATGTTCAGTTTTCAGTACCACAACCTAGTGATAGTACTGATGCGCCTCCTACTTTGTGGTTCTGCTGAGGATTCACTCATCCACGACCAAGGTACGACGAAGAAGCCCCCATCGATCCTTCACAAATCTCAGGTGAAGCTCGAGACCCCGATGCGCCTGTACTACGCGCACCACAGCTTCAAAGCTTGCAACCCCTGGGTCATATTTGCGACGAGCATCGTGGGCAACAATGCTATCAGCGCCTCAGGAACCAAGGATGCCGATGCAGCCCATGATCTGGTCGTCGGCCATCGCTCCGCTTTGATCCTTACTGCAAAGGCTTTCGAAGACCATGGTCTGAACTTCTACGACACAACTCGATTCGTCATTCAACTACACAGCGTCACCCAAGTCTAAGACTTGCAGCTGCTCCGCACATATGTCAGGGCTGCAGACCTCAGCTCAGTTGATCAGGCCATGCTTGCGCAACATCCCCGTAGTCAATGGCCGGTCCCGGTCATAGCGATTAATGAAGACCCAGAGGAGTACAGGCTGAGCGTGATTACTTCTAAAGTCCGCCTGGACTGATGTCTGGAGCATGACAGATCACTGTCGTGGAGTGCAGCTCGGTGCCCCCATCCGATTCGCACGGATTGGGATTTCTTGGCCGGTGAGAGGCTTTGCAAGATTACTGTTACTGCTACCGTTAGATGATGACGGATCAATGGATATAGCAAATGAACAGTTGTAGCAAACAATGCTCTCGCAAAACTTCGGCAGAGCGTCTGGCGGACATGACTACCTATCTGCGTTTGTTGAGGCCGATTATGTGGCTGGTTGCACCTGCCGAGTCAAGGACGTGTCACATGCCAGGTGAAGCATGCCCCGCGGAGTCGCACCTTGGCGAGTAATTCGCAGACAACCACACCACCATCTCCATCATAACGAAATCCACCACGGGCACTACTGGTTGTGATAACGATAAGATTCAGCGACGAAACGGCAGACAGAAAAGCATCCATGTGCCACACACCAGCCTCAGCGATAATCGCCCGAAACGTTCCAGCCTAGCCGGCGCCACGCGATTTGTCAGATAACGATGGCATCATCGAACCCTCGTCGCGGTCGTGGGGCGAATCTGTCAGACCCATAAAAACAATTCCATTCACTCAGTGTCGCGTTCAAATCATAACCTGGCCGCGAGTCGCCAAACTGAAGCTCCTCTATATACTCCTACCTTTCGTCCTTTATCTCTCTATGTCATTTCTCACAAAGTTCTTCCGCCCATTCACAAGCATGTCCTCCGCACCCGCCCAACCGATGAACGTGCCAGAGGGCGCAAAGGCTGCGACCGTTGCCGCTGGGTGTTTTTGGGGTGTTGAGCACATGTTCAGGCGAGAGTTTGGCAAGAAGGGGCTGTACGATGCGCGCGTTGGATACATTGGCGGCGATTTACAGAACCCCGGATACCGCGCAGTGTGTAGCGGGCGCACAGGACGTAAGCGCACCACTCTCGCACCTCTCTGCACCCTGTAATTGCCACTTGGGCGCATCAGACGTAAAGTAGGAACGCCAATAAGAATACATGCTGACTCGAATAGACGCTGAGGCTCTCCAAGTCGTCTACGACCCCACCAAGATCGAATACCGCTCGCTGCTCGAATTCTTTTACAAGATGCACGATCCCACGACCGAAAACCGCCAGGGTCCTGATGTCGGAACACAATACCGCAGCGCTATCTTCTACCACGACGATGAGCAAGAGAAGATTGCTAAGGATGTGACCAAGCAGGTCAACGACCAGTGGTGGAAGAGGGGTGTCTCCACAGAAGTCCTGCCGGCCGGGCAGTGGTGGGATGCCGAGGCGTACCATCAGAAGTACCTCGACATTAACCCCGGTGGCTACGAATGCCCTAGTCATTTCTTAAGGAGTTTCCCTCCGTTGTCGTAGGTGATAGAGGACGAGACATGGCGGTAAAGAGGAGGAATTTAGACATTAAATGTGCCTTTGGCTCATGAACATGTTACGGGGACGAAGAGATTATATCTATCCATCAGACATTATTGCTAGCGAGCTTGAACATGTTATCCACTTTATTCAGACCTGCCCAGCCCACTCTCTGCTGCGTGAAGTTGTGATGCTGCGAGAGTTTAAAGCCAGATACATGGAAGTCCTTACTGCAACGAGGTCCCTGGTCATGCATGATCAGCATATCAGAATCGCGTTACTGTCGCTCCCGTGCGCGAAACTGCAATTACTTGTACAGAGCACGTGGTAGGAGAACGTATAACCGCTGCCACGCTCCCGCACCGACACGACCACCTTTCTTCAAACAGCATCCCGAACCACGCCGCGCGAACGAAGCCCGATGCAGATGATGTTCCCACCCTGCGCTCGGTAATAACCCGTTCTTAGCTCGTTGCAAACGGATCCGCAAGCATGAACTTAAGCCTCAGAAGCTCCACATGATCGATCATCGTCCCTGCCCCAGTGCCCCACCTCCAAGACCCCCAGACCCCTCTGCGCAGCTTCAAAAGACGAGAGCCACAACTCAGGGAGCAATTGAGAAGACAAAGATGATTCCAGATGACAGCAGAGCTCGCTGATTCCATATCATGACATGCCAGGCTGATTGCCGTCGCAATTGAGGCGCACATCCGCTGACATCTGAGTGTCTGAGATTTGGAATCCCCAGCCAGCCAGCGCATCTCCGCACGTCAACGTCATACCCAAAGCGTCTCGACCGCGCTCCGCTAGCAAATCGCATCCTCGGGTATTGTGCTGTATCCCGCTGGAGCGCCGAAAAGTGCGACGGGACGCTGGTTCATTTGGAATTCTGGTCGACTTATTGCTCAATCGGGAGAAAAGATGGGGAAGACCATGGTAGGCTTGACGACAAGACGAGCGGGGAGCTGTATAAGTACCGTACGCCCGTCTGAGGACCTTGTTGGTTCGACGCATCGAACTCATCCAACCGGAACGTACAGTTATATACCGCATTCGACATGAGTGACTTCAAGGGACACTGCCACTGCGGCAACACTGAGTGGACTGCCAAGCTGGAACAGGACCAGCAGGCGCACATTCTCTGGTACGTTGCTGCTGTTGCGCACGGAACGCTGCCGGTCGGCGCAATTGTATCCAGAAACGATGAAGCTGACTGACATGTCAGCCACTGCGACACGTGCAAGCAGCTCTCCGGCTCCACCTTCACCCTGAACCAGATCATCCCCGCAAAGAACCTGAGCGTCACAAAGGGCGGCGACAATCTAGGAAAGTACACCTACAAAGGCGACTCCGGTACGTCCCAGCACCTTAACTCTACCCCCGAGACACGTGCTAAACTTTCCCAGGCAAGGGCGTCCACTGCTACTACTGCAAGAACTGCACTTCGCACGTGTACCACGCGCAGGAAGCGCTGGGGCCGGACAGCATCGTCCTTCGCACGGGTCTGCTGGACGACGGCATCAAGAACTTTAAGCCTGCCGCGCAGATTTACACCAAGGTGAGGCTGCCGTGGGAGAAGGAGGTTGCGACTAGCTTTGAGGGTATGCCTCCTTCGTAGAAGTCTGACTAGATATCATGCAGTCACGAGCGAGCAATCGAATGGACAAACATACGCTGCGCAAAAACCTTGACAAGTGCCGTAGGTTCTCAACCCGATCGAACTAATCCCACTCTGCTGTGCTTTTACTGTTTTATTGACGCAGCAAAGCGATCTGAATCCGCTTAGGGCCGCTCGCTCACGATTATGCACATTTGTTGTCGCTGCAGCTCGACAGACTCCATATGCAAGACAAAGTACCCAATACGACAACTCGCTCAGCTGACACATCATCTAATCAATATCCAACAACTCATACGGCCCACTGTGCCTGTCCAGCGCATCCTCACACCTCTGCATTACAGCTAGCACCTTCTCCTCCTGCAGTCTCCTCCCGACGACTTGCACACCGACCGGCAGACCGGCCATCTTGGTGGCGTCGTAGTGCTTGTATGCGCCCTGGGCGATGCCGTTAAGGTTCCCCAGGGCGAAGGCCGAGGGGAGTGCGTCTTTGGATGCGTCAACGTGGGTTACGGGGAGCACGCCGGCGGAGTAGTCGAGCTGTGCTCATCAGTCTCAAACACTCTTACAGGGATCTCGCGAGCTCGGCAGGCTTGGGGCAGACTTACCAGATTAAAGAGGAATGTGTACCCGCACGAGCTCACAGCGTCGTGCATACCGCCGTGCGGCACGGCAGGCGTCGCATTAGGCGGGACGAGCATAACGTCCATTGCCGTCTCGCCCGCGCCCTGGGCGTCCCACCAGTCGTAGAAGGTCGCTTTGTATGCTTCGCGCTTCCCTACGAGCGCCCAGTACTCGTACGCGCTCTTCGGACTCCAGTCCTTGATCAATCCCGCCCAGATGGCGTCTCGGCGGATGTACTTGACCCACCAGTAGTGCAGCGTCTTCACGAATCGCGGGAGACGCATGTACCGCACCATGACGGCGGCACCGAGGTCATTCCATTCCCCGCTCCGGAAGAAGGACATGAACGTCTGCCCGCCGTCGGAGAGCAGGAGATGGCTGGCAAGTTTGAGCGCTTCGTAGGGCGAGGGAGGAGACACGTCGAACACCTCATGCCCCTCGGCGCGCAGTGCGTCAGCCACGAGACTGAGGGCGCGCGCACATGCCGGACTCGGGTCGACGACGCCGTCGGTCCGCATGACGCCGACGCGCATCACCTTCCTGTCTTTGTACTCGTCTTCGATCGACTGCCGCCACTCGAGCGGGTGTACCGTATAGTCGTACTCCCACGGCTTACACTGGATCAGGCTACGCGTGAAGTACGTCAGATCGTTTAGCGTGCGCGCCATGGGGGAGAAGACAGAGGGGATAGCCTCCTGCCCTGGCATGGCGGTGTTCATGCCCATCTTTGGCCAGCGCCCGGTTGAACAGCGGATCGAGTAACACCCGCTGAAGTGCGCGGGCACGCGGACACTGCCTGCAACATCTGAGCCTATGCCGATGCGACTCCCGCCGAATGCAAGGAGTGCGGACTCGCCGCCTGTTGAGCCACCAGGGGAGTAGTCGGTGTTGTGCGGGTTCGTGGTTCGGCCCCAGACGTCGTTTGTCGATTCGAAGGAGAGCAGGGTCGTGGGCAGGTTGGTTTTGACAAAGGGCACGGCGCCGGCGTCTTTCAGCAGACGCACCATAGGCCCGTCTTTGGCATACGGTTTCCCGGTGTGTGTCGAGAAGCCGACGGTGATGTCGAAGCCCGCGACCTGTATCGAGTCCTTAAGCGACACGGGAATGCCTGCCAGCGGGCCCTTCAGGTTGCACTCTTTGGAGGCCCATGCTTCGGCTTCGGGGAAGAGGATCTCCGTGGCGCAGTTGGTCTTCTCGTGCGCCTTGAGGGTGACTTTGCCGTAGGTGCGCAGGATGTCGACGGGGTTCGTAATGTTGTTCTGCACATCTTGGACGAGCTCTTGGATGGGCTTGCCGAGGATTGTGCGCTCTTGTGGCGTGAGCGGGTAGCTGTACGTCGCAGGAAGGCTTGCGATCTTGGTTGCGCGCTCTTGCTGCTTGCGCTGGCTGTCGTGTGTAAGCTATGGCGAGCTGTGGATTTGCGGGGAAAGCTTGAGCTTGGACTCTCTATGTACATACCAGTCGGCCTTGTGCTGTCTGTACTCCAATAGTCCCATCTTGTTAACCTGGAGAGTGAGATTGAGGAAAGAGAGACTCGAAACTCATCGGAGACAGCAAAGGGCGTCTCGTGCCACTTATCGTCGGCATTGTCGTGAGCGATGGCTATCTCCAGCTCTCGGCTCTCAACGGTTGTACCTGCCTTAAGCGCGTTTAGAGCGTCCGGCTTGCCGCAAAGGTGGGGAGACGCGCTGCACACCGAACACTCCTTTATACTCCTTTGACATTCCGAGCTCACGCAGCAGCGACACGATCGTTCGGTGGTACGAAGATCGAATAAAACTCGATGTTTGCATCATCACGCTTTCGACGCGTCAATTGGCTCACAGTTCATGAGGCAGGCGCGACGCGTCAACACCACCGAGACGACTAGAAGCGCTGCTTTGCTGCCATGTGAGACTGCGCCTCACTTGTACAGTAGTCAATGGCCTCATCAACCCTTTCAGCCACCGCCTGCAACCAATGCGCGAGAAGCACCTCATTCTGCACAAGCGAGGGCCCACCATCATCCAGCAAAACCCCACAGATCGCTGTCCTGAAGACTACGCGCATGCTCTGATGCGTCTGATTGAGCCTCAACAGATCTAAGCATAGCTCCCGCGCGCGAGGCTGGTCGGGAAGCGGAGGTGGGACGGGGAAGCACGGCGACAGCCGCCCAGCACCTCTCACCTATCCATTTCTGAAGCGAGCAAGTCTCGATCTTGACCTAGGTACCGCGACCAAGGCTGAGCTATGAGTGGTCGCAGGCAAACTGAAGTTCGCTGTCACAGGTGTCGATATGCTGTAGCCGCCGCCATGCGTCAAAGCGGCCGCTCGGACGTTTTCTGACGCACCGCGCTTCGAGCCTCTCATTGGTACCACCAGCGACTACTCATGATGCACTGAAACAACACAGGTCCAGACTGTCGCTGCGCAAAAATAGCAGTCTCGACGTTGTAACTTTGAATAACTTTGTGAAATGTGTTGTTGAGAGTGAGCTGGTATATAAGACACTTGTCTTTCGATCGTAAGAGAGCATCAAACACATCATCAACCAGCTCATCACTTCAATTTCTTTCCTCTTTTCCCTTTACGATTTCCTTGTTTCCTCGGTCAAATCTTCTTCTCGTCTTTCCTCAATCTTTACGAAAAGCGTTGATCGCATCCAATCTTTCTCACCCCAATCTTGACTTTGCAGTCTTCGCAACTTCTCCAGCACTTTTCAAACCACCACCAATCGCCAACATGCCTGTACCCAGCTACGGTGCCATGCCTCTGAGCAAGATGTTCCTCCTCGTCCGCATCCTCCAGGCCCTCTGCATGGTCGTCGTTATCGGCATCTGCAGCAACTTCGTCCAGATGATCGTCGTCACCGGCGCCGAGCCGCCCAAAGAGTTCGTCGGTACACTCAGCGTGGTACATTCTGCTTCGACTTCTCCATCGTTTCATCACTGATCATTCCAGACCTGCATAGCAACCCTCTACATCATGGTCAGCGTCGGCTACTACTACTCCTTCGCCAACCTTGGTCTGCTCGTCATGGCCGGCATCGACTCACTCCTCCTCATCGCCTTCATTGTCTGCGCCGTCACGCTCGGCAAGCCCATGAGCTACCTCAACTGCTACGTCATCGGCAAGTCGAGTTACGAAGCTGATGCCGCCAACGCGTACGCATTCGTCACCTCGGCCACGCAGAACATGCAGGACTGGACCGGCTCGAGTGTGTGGAACTGGGCTGGTGCTACGAAGACGAACTGCTTCCAGGGCAAGACTATCTGGGGCTTGAGCATTGCACTTTGGTAAGTTTATCGTCTAATCATGGTGAACAGGAGACTTTGCTAACGACTGGCAGCATCCTCTTCACTACTTCCTGCGCGCTCCTGCCTACCCTCTGGTACAAGAACAAGAAGGCCACTCCTGCACCCAAGTCTGTCGAGGAGGCCTAATCGCATCCCACACATCGTGACGCTAGCAGTCACAGCTTCTTAGATTGCATATCTGACCTGAGCTGCCCCTTACTTTTCCGCTTTTCAAATAACAAAAACAGTATGCATTGCGCGGCGTCTGGGTTTACTTTTATTGACTGTCGCTACCGCTTCACTTATCACGTTCTCCAGAGGGGACGGATGCAGATATTGCGGGCCGATAATTGTAATGAATCAAAATCATCGCTGGAGCATATCTCGTGCCGTATCTCCGTGAATGCGCCCAATTGTAGGCGCCTATGTACTTGGCACGAGACTTTGCCGCAACGCAGTCCGCGATCAATCTGGCGTGTTTGATACAACTGATCGTTGTATCCGACATCAAACCCATGGAAAGCTGCGCCGAACGACACACGACATTGATGATGCTGAAGATGAAAACAAAACAGTGCGTGGTGAGGATGAAGGTGCTTCCCAGGTGGGGCCGACCTGCAATCGATCTGGACCCCGGCGATTCAGGGACCACTTGCGTCATAGATCGAATCGCGAACGCGACGCGAGGAACGGGAGCTCTAAACGCCTCCTGCGTCTGACTTGGACTCGCCATTGTTCGCAGTTTTCTCCCATATCGATCGCAACACAAGAGCAATACCGCTGAGCTTTGTGCATGCGTCGTTTCCCACACGTTCGACAATTGTCTCTTCGCACTAGTCGCCAATTCACCAAGATTCCCCAAGTAAATACTAGACCTTTGCCCAGAGCTTACGCAACGATGCCGCCGAAGCGCAAAGCGGTTATTCCGCTGAACGCGGCCTCAGCGATTAATTACACCGACTCTACCGGTGACCGCGCAAACAAGCGGTCGCGCATATCTAAACCTTCGACCAACAACTTCAGGAAGGAAGTACCGCCTGAGCCGTTAACGGCCCGCAATGCTGAGAATGGTGGGCCAGGTGAGAAAGCTGAGACTGAGGTCATCAGTAAGGACGGGGAACTTACATTTGATCACTCGCGCCCCGAGGAGCGCTCAGGCATTGTCGACAGACGGTACTATCCCGCGGAGATGAGAAATGAGCGATGCGCGCAATACAACGGCAACGAGATACCCCGGCCTATCGAGTTGCTGAGCAAGGCTATTGGCGAGACTACTGCTGCCCGAACGGCGATTCGTGGCATGAAGCAAGGCGATGCGGTGCTACATTGGTTCAAGCGGGACCTGCGCATTCGAGATAACACTGGCTTGAGCAGAGCAAGTGCGCTGGCGAAGGAGATGAAGAAGGGCGTGATTGGTGTGTGGATCATGAGTCCGCAGGACTGGGAAGCGCACTTGGTGAGCCCGGCAAAGTGCGACTTCGAGTTGCGCTCTGTGGAGATTCTGAGGAAAGAGCTGGCGGAGTTGGACATACCCCTACACATTGAGGTCATTGAGAAGAGGCGGAATGTCCCGAAACGACTGATTGAGATGGCGAAGGCATGGAATGCCAAGAACGTATTCTGCAACATCGAGTATGAGCCCGACGAACTGCGGCGCGAGGAAAAGCTCGTCAAGTTAATGCTGGAGGAAGATATCAACTTCGACCCGCAACATGATGACTGCGTCGTCCCTCCAGGTACGCTAAAGACGGGTGGTGGGAAGCAGTATGCGGTATACACCCCCTGGTATCGCAACTTCGTCAATTATCTGCATTTGCACCCGCATGTGCTTGATGAGCGACCGATGCCGAGTCAGAATCCTTCAGGCTTCCGCAAGAAGTATGAGAGCTTGTTCGATGCAAAGGTACCGGAGGCACCAGAAAGCAAGAGGCTGTCAGATGAGGACAAAGAGCGCTTGCATCATCTGTATCCGGCTGGTGAAGCAGCAGCTCTGGAGCGACTGGGAAGGTTTCTGAAGGAGAAGGTCGGGAAGTACAAGGACACACGAAATTTTCCGAGCAAGAACAGTACTGCGAGACTCAGTCTGCATCACGCCGCTGGCACTCTCGCGGCGCGCACAAGTGTAAGACTGGCAAAAGACGTCAACACCACGAAGAAGCTCGACGGTGGGGTCCAAGGCATTCAAAGTTGGATTTCCGAAGTAGCATGGCGCGACTTCTATCGACATGTGTTGTGCCACTGGCCCTACGTATGGTAAGCATTCCTTCTCTTGCAATTCCCCAACCGTGTGCTGATCATGTGACAGCATGCACAAACCCTTCAAGTTCGAGTATACAAATGTCGCATGGGAGTACAGCGATCCTAACCTCGAAGCCTGGAAGACCGGGCGCACCGGCTACCCCATCGTCGACGCCGCAATGCGCTGCATGAATATCACGGCTTACATGCACAACCGGCTACGCATGGTGACCGCATCCTTCCTCGCGAAGCACTTACTCCTCGACTGGCGACTGGGCGAGCAACACTTCATGTTGAAGTTCATCGACGGCGACTTCAGTGCAAACAACGGTGGTTGGGGCTTTGCGAGCTCAACCGGCGTGGATCCGCAGCCGTACTTTCGCGTGTTCAATCCATGGCTGCAGAGCGAAAAGTTTGATGAGGATGGGGAGTTTATCAAGTTGTGGGTACCGGAGTTGAAAGACATCCAGGGTAAGGAAATCCACAACCCGTATGCAAAGCCAGGCACGAAGGCTGCAGCCATCGCCGCGAAGAACGGGTACCCAAAGCCGATTGTTGAGCACAAGTTCGCGAGAGAAAGGTGTTTGGTGAGATACAAGGCGGGTATCGGACGGGACACGGCATGATTGGGTGGGTCACATCTGCTTGTTTTAACGTCTTGTCAGGCTTCCGCCAAGGCTGGCATGGCAGCACAGCGGTAAAGCGGGCGCCAATGTGAGTCGAAATCCGCCTCACGCTTACGTGAGCGCCAAATACTTTCTGCAAAGCTTTGCCCTAATTTGACCACATCTCGTATGTCTTGTTTGTTCAGGGCTGTTGTTCCCTAACTTCGCACACAATGAGCGTCAACCGTGTTTACAACTCACAGACGACACCGTTGAGCACCCCCATCAATAAGTTGCCTTCGATCGTTCACCATGACAGGACAAGAGGCAGAAATATATAAGCATATACCTTTGCAGGAGCAGTCGTCCTTCCGGTTGTTAACGCTTCTTCCTGGAGATTACGGCTGGCCCCTCAGATGTCAAATCGACGAATTTTCAAATTCTCTCACCACATGCTATGAAGCACTGTCCTATGCATGGGGTGATTCAGGACCTTCAGAATTCCTGGAAGTTTGTGAATCTGCCGATGTCGAGCCAACGAGACGTTTCCTTACGATCACGCCAACCTTGTACCAAGGGTTGCAGCGCCTGCGAATACAAGAACCTCGCAGGCTCTGGGTCGATGCCATATGTATTGACCAGGACGATATGCGAGAGAAAGGCCACCAGGTAGAGAGGATGGGTCAGACATATCGAGATGCAGATCAGGTCATTATCTGGCTGGGTGAAGGTGACGCATACCCCAGAACTCGAGCGCTTTTCATGCAAGATGGAAAGAACCGGTGGCCATTGACACTACCCGAGGTCGATCTTGGTGAACTTGTCTCAATTCCCTGGTTTTCTCGGGTCTGGGCAGTCCAGGAATACGTGCTTCCGCAAAAAGTTCTCTTCCAGCTGGGCTCGTTGCCAAAATCAGCGCAGCACGTCGAGACGGTAATCACACGGCACGGGGCTTACCTCGACGGCGAGAAGGCATTATACGATCAATGGAGGTCCATATGCCTGCTCTTCGAGTATCGAAAGCTTGTGCAAAAGCGCAAGACGAACAAAGCTGATCCGCGCCTTACCTTGGTCCGAACATTCCTGGATCTTACTCGCCAACGACTTTGTAGGGACAGTCGAGACCGTATTTACAGTATACTTGGCATGTTTGACGATATCGGCATTGTTCCCAATTACAGCCTACCGCCACAGCAAGTCTACAGAGATTTCGTATCAAAGCATCTGGAAGCTGGAGACTTTGCAATTCTTCACGAATGCTGCATCGGCGTTGCCAATGCAGACGAACAGTCTTACGTGCCTTTCTTCGGCCAATCACAGTCACGGACCAAGTACATACCATTTGTAGACCCGTTGGGTGCTACATACAGCGCTGGGCTGCATCATCCATCATCAGTCACCGTCGAGGACGGCGCGTCAATTTCAATTCGGGGGTTCTCCATCGATACCGTACAACGAAAGCTCGACTTTGCAGAAGACTTCCAGATTAGGCTAGACTCTATGGGCCTGGTAGTCCCTGATCTTAGTGAGACTGCTCAGGTACCACTCCACGGAACTTGGGGTGCTATCTACCAGACCACAATGGGCCACCTCATCAACGATTCCATCGAAAGAGCAATATGGCGCAAGGACTACGAGGAGGATCGTCTTGCACCACATTTTGCAAAGGCTCCATATTCACATAACAGCCTGTTCGAGATTCTGATCCGCGCGATCAGGACGGACTTGGATGCGGACTACGACTTTGTCTCCGTGAGAGGTCAGATCAGGACAGACGCGCATCTACATCGCTCACGCCGCCAAATCCTGGCCGAGCGGAGTCTCTTCTGGACGGAGCAAGGATACATTGGGCTGGGTTCGCGTTACTTACAGCCCGGCGATATGATCGCGATATTCGATGGGGATACGACGCCTTTCCTCTTGCGACAGATAAATCCTGCTGGCGACATTGGCCACGTGTACAAGATTGTCAGTGATTGCTATCTGTGTGGTTGGATGTACGGATCGTTCCCGGACAAGACTATTGCGAAGGATCCCTCGCGGCGCAAGAGTCTTTTGAAGAAACTGAAGGGCTATGAGAAGCAGGATACTACGCCAACCGCAGTATCTCGAACCTTTGTTATTAGCTGAACTCTATCTAGCTCACGTTGTTCACCCGCTTTGCGCTGGTTAATGTCTTGATGCTAATCCCAGAACGGCCTACTGGTGATGTTGTGGCGCCGGAACATCTCTACATACCTTCTTCAAACGTGTACGACTGATATGCTAGTCTCGCTGCAAGACAGACTTATATGAATTGTCCCCCCGAGATAACTTCGCTAGGCGATCAGCATCTTTTCTCCAGAAATGCCGGGTCACAACCTCTCCACTAGTGCGGAGGACTATGACTTCATTCTCGTCGGAGCCGGCTCAGCGTCCTGCCTGGTCGCATCGCGTCTCTCACGGTAGCTGCCCGACCATCGCATCCTTGTCCTTGAAGCTGGGGAACACCTTCGAGATGATCCCAGAGTTCAAACGCCCGGTCTCATGACCTCGCTTCACTCCAACCATGCCTACGATTGGGGATATCTCACTACGCCGGAGCCAGGCTTGGACAACAGAACGATCAAGCGTCCGAGACGGAAGCTGGCGGGTGGTACCAGCATGACCAACAGTCATACTGTGGTTTTCCTGAATCACGAATATCAAGACCGTCTGGCGAACTTCGCTTCTTCTCGACGCGGGGAGAGCAGACTGGAGCGCAAAGGGCATAGAAGATTGTTGCGGCAAACGTAGCCGCTGTATATCGATGGAAAACTGCGCTGAGTTGCTTGCTAGCTAGAAGGCGACCATATATACATGCCCTGAGACGTGCTAGTCCAAGGTAGTCAACGGAGGTGACGATCGAGGCCTGTCGGACCGACTTGCACCGCAACAAAGATTATTACAGGCGGTGGCAAACCGAAATATCTGGTCTGAAGCTTAATGATGGACTGGATCGTGTGCAAACGGCTTTCCCGCGTACTCTGGATGTCCTCAAGTCGCAGTGGGTGAAAAGTTTCGAAGAGCTTGGCCACGCAACGAGTACCACAGAGTTTTTCAAAAGCTCTGCTGGAGCGATCACTGTCACCAACGCGATCGATGCTTCGAAAGCTGAGCGTAGCCATGCAGCAACTGTGTTCCTAGAGCCTGCGTTGAAACGGGGCAATGTGACATTAAGATTGTGTTCGATGACGCTCTGACCGCTGACGGAAAGCTCACTGCACGAGGTGTTCACTTCACAGAACTAGATGAAGAACATCATATCACTGCGACAGAGATCATCCTCTACGCCGGCGTGTTTGAGTCACCTGCGCTTTTGGAACGATCGGGCATAGGGTCCAGCAAGGTCCTTGCAGCAGCGGATGTACCAGTTCTGTACGAGCTTTCTGGAGTCGGCAAGAACTCGCAAGACCACCTCAACTGCGGCTTGCCTATTGAGACTAAGGATAAAATTTCCACTCGAGACGAAGCCACGCGAAACCCAGAAGAACCGAAGGCCGCCTTGGCAGAGTACGAAACTAGGCGCGCTGGTAGGATGTCGGAAGGGCCAGTGTAAAGCTTCGCCTTCACTCCGCTGCAGATACTAGAAACTCTGTCAGAGACACGTGAGCTCACCGAAAAAGTCAAACATCTGGTAGAAGAGAGAGCGACCCGAGCCGACGCACACAGTACTCGCTCATTCAAAAAGTAATCAAAGGTCCTGATGAAGCAATCGCCACCGCTTTCATGCTCCACTCACAGCACCATCGGGACGACGACTTCTTTCCCGAAGGCACACCGTCTTACGAAGATGGCAACTTCGTCACCGTAGTCGCCATGCCGGTCCATCCTTTCTCGCGTAGGGGTTCTCACATAACCTTCAGCCCCTCGCGACCACCAGAGATCAAGTTCAATTACCTCTCTCATCCGATTGACACATAGATACTAGCTCTCCATCTGCGGTTAGTCGAACGCCTGTTCCAGACACCTAGGTTGAAATCCATTACGAAGCCGGATGGACGACGACTGCCACGGAGCCATCCGTACGCCATTACTGCACCCGAAAATGCGAAGAACATACTCCCGATCGACTCGGCGACGAATTGCCATATATGCAGCACTTGCTCGATAATGAGAGAGGATCTAGGCGGCGTGGTGGATGAGCGGCTACAAGTGTATGGAACGAAAAATGTGAGGGCTTGCGATGCTAATGTTTTGCCAATTATACCGAGGACCAACATCCTCACTGCTGTGTATGCCTTTGCGGAGAAGGCTGTGGAGATCATCTGTAAAGAAACAGAGGTGGGTTGCTAGCTACACTAAGTTCAACGCAACCATCGAAAAGCTCCTCTGAGTATACACAGTGAGAATTGTTCAGAGGACTTGTTTCCGGCAAAGTTAATGTTAATTTTACTGTCACTGTTGCCAAGGCGGCACCATAGCCTGTGTTTGTCGCATGAGGATCGATAGCGCGCGTGAGAGGCACATTCAGCATGATAGATGATCAATCGGACAATGCCAATACATTGAACTCGAAACTGTTCATTCCAAAGCCAGCGGAAAATATACATTCAAAATACTTCCAGCCCAGACAGCCATGAAGCGAGGCCTCCCAAGGCAACTCTTCCTTCATGCCCGTATCTGCACCAAGATCGAACTTCCCGGCCCCTCCGGCTTCGTCGGTATCACATACAATGGAACAGGCGTGGTTCCAGAGAGCAAATAGATCATAGCTGGCGTATCAAGCGAGACCCTCCAAGTTCTCAAAGCAGAAGGTCCGATCATTCAATGTGCAATGTTGACCGTCGGCGAGTGCCTAATGAGGAACTGGCGAGTCTCGTAGAACTTCCAAGCCATCGTATATTATCTTCCGCATTCTATACTGAATGCTTGACAAGCTACCAACTACCTGTCGTAATTTCTAGACTACGCAGCGTTGGTGTACCTGAAAGTAAATAATGAAGAGATTATGCGCATCCTAGAACGTCTAGTTGAATCGCGCGTGCCACTTCGTGATTGGCTATTTGGGGCCGAGACATCAGTAGTTGCGTGCCCTACGATTGTGTACTGGAGTAAGTTCATGAGGGCTCATCCCATCCTAAGATGCGGCAGATTGCTGGCGTTTCCTTAAGACTTTGTCTTTCGCTTTTTGAGACTTAAGCGCAGATCGTGCGTTCGGTGTATCTGATGCATTCTCAACCTTGGCTCTTTCTCGGCTTCGCAGCCGCCGTTAACGCGTGTGTGCTGGGCATGGTGTTCCCGGTTGGTAACAGATCATGTTAGAGTAAAAAGACATTAAGAAGTTTAACAACTCCAAAGCGTTCTATTGCCTGTGGAAGATAACAATGTATGGACTTATTTTCTTCCGGCTCTGTGAGAATTTTAATCTGTAACGACCTTAGTATGCGCAGGCCTCATGCTTGTGCGCGCTGTAGGCGCTCGGCGTCTCGGTACAGCTGTGGTCCTCGAGGGTCAATCCTTCCTGACTAGAGCGTGTGTCGGTCTGCCACGTTGAGAGCTCGCCTCGTCGCGTGAGTTTACGACTGCTTGATTTGCTTTTATCAAAGCGCGCCAGTTCGACATCTGGATCGGTGGCGCTGTATTCCTTTGGATTGCTACCGCTGTTCGAAGTCAAGGACTGCGCGGCTTGTCGCGCCTGGGTACGCAACCGATGGTATAGATGCCGTGTCGTGGGAAGAATCGAGGCAATCATGTAGATGCTTGGCTCCACTAGTGCATACAGCATCGGGCCTCCAGAGGCGTACCATGTTGGGTCTGAAAACAGCGGCGTTGTGAAAAACACCACAAAGCGGAGAGCGCATGTGACGATGCCGCTGTACGGTGTGAGTGGACTGAGACGCGGATCAAAGGGGTATATACTTACATGGAAGCAGCTAAGAAGGTCAGGAGGAGACCAATCTTGTCTGCGGTTTGGACATTAAGCTTTAGCAGTATCGGCCACGGAAGCACCAGCATCGCGACATCTGTGACCAGGCTTGGGATGCTGTAGCTCTTGTAGAAAAGCATCACGTCTCCACATGTCCCATCATTTGGGTTGACCGCTTGAGTCCAAAAGTATCTGAAAGGTCTGCAGATCGAGAAAGCCAGGATGAAAGAGATGACGCCTTGAAGTACGATGATTATGCCGATGCCGATCATTATGCGCCGGTAGATAGTGATCTCGAATACCTGATAGTACAAAGACAGAGCGGCAAGTTTGGCAAACATGACCGCAGGCGTATATGTGAATTCGAGAACCTTCGAGAGCTTCAGCCAGGTTTGGAAGGTGGTAATGGGAACGGCAGCCACATGATAACCCACCCCTCCTATCTGCACCATCACTGCGCACAGTCAGCGTTTGCTGTTCGCATCACGTCGAGTCAGTGATGTGCTGACAGCTCGTCACCACCACACCTTTGTTCTCCGGCTCAATGTCTGAGTCTACACAAATGTGAATACATGAGAGACACTTACAGATTCCCGTTACCGCGCTGCCTAGGCAAAGTACGTAGGCCAACGTGTTGCAAATCAACATGGGCGTTCCCACCGCCTTGGGATTGAGATACCGGCTAGTATAGAATACCATCAAAAAGAACGTATCAATCACAATGAACGCGATGCTACCGCGCTGATCGAGACCTGGGTCGTTCGTCTCGGCAAGATACTGTGGTGAATGCGTACTGGAATTCGCCATGATCGAGTTGAAAGGCGTCTGAAAGGCGGCGAATGCAGTGTCGGGCGTTATGCAGGCGATTGGGGTCGTACCAGAGCGTGACCAGGTTCGGCATCAACGTATTAAAAATGCTGCAATTTCTCGCGCGAGGATGTCAAAATCTCCAAGCTTGCTACACACAAGGCTGGGGAACGGGTGTTGGTCGGGAGTGCGCAATATCATTGTCTGACAACCACGATAAATGTGATAGCTGTCTGCCATAATCGCCTTGTCGCATGACTTCCCTGCGATAGGGCAGCGTAGTTTTTCTTCCGATTCGGGCCGTGAGATTGATCGCCCTGCCTAGATGCCTCGCCCTGTGGGCCCCAATCCCATGGTCTCGGTGTGTTTTCGTATCGCGATCATTTCGAGCAGCGGTCAAACAATGCAAGAAGTTCGATGCGTCGCCGGCAAGCGGCTGCCTGTAATTGGCTGGGGTGTATGGGAAACCTTCCTCGAAACCATTCTTGACCGTGCCTCGACTAATGCCTTTCCAACCACTGGTACACGCGTTCTGCGATCTCGATGTTGTTCTCCTCCATGAAGAACATATGTCCGTTACCATGTATTCCCTCCTTCCCGAGATCAGCGTACTCGACGTCTACACCAACTTGTCTCAGGTACTTGACCGTGCAGTAGTCATACGGCGCATGAAAAGAGGCTTCGCCGGTGACGACGAGCTCCGGAATCTTGGCCAGATTCGTCAATTGCTTTGCTGGAGACCCCTGCATGATACACTCGTTGTGCTCGGCGTCGATAGCGGGCTCAATGACTGTTTCGATCTCCTCTGCATTTATACCTGCGGGCGGTTCATACGCAATCTCAAGGTCGGTGAGACCGAAAGCAAAAGCTGGATCGCTCCCGAAAGGCGGCCGAAGAGTAAACGGCGGGCCCGACGGCTCAAGCTGTACAATACCCTTGACAAGGTCTGAGCGCATGTCACCGACCCTCCAGCCTGATTGCTTGTCAGTAACATCAGCGTAAGTGACAGTTGAGGCACTGACCATATGCGCCTGCTTGAGAATGGCTGATGATATAGCACTCTCCAACGAGGTCGACAAGGGCTGCATACGCCCGCGCGTTTTGTTCCTCACTTATGAAGCGGTCAGTCTGAAACTGGAGTTGACTCCGGTAGAATGAATCGAAGGCCGAGTCGCCGATACGGCCAGTCCCAGGCCATTGGGTGTGAAGTTTTGCCTGTGCCCATTGATTGCCATTGTTGGCTACATCGGTGAAGATATCGGAGACAGCGTCGGGGGAACCAATCGTCCCAAGTGTGCCCTGGCCGGGAAGCCAGAAGGACCGGCCACGCGAGGGCTGATCTGAGAGGTACACCGTGTGGCCTTTCGAGAGAAAGAAGGACGCCCATCCAGGGCGCCCATCTGGGGTGTCCAGGAAGTTAGTACCGCTCTGAGCCGCGCCTGCAATGAAGACGATAGGTAGCGGCGCATCAGCGGGTGCTGGATGAGGGGAGAGTTTCTCAACGTAGATCTGCCCTACCATGGCGAGTGATGTCGAGTTTGTGGCATTGCTCTAAGCTTGTGTAAGCAACGTTCAAAGCTGGCTGTGAAGACCTACTATGGTGTATTGGCCACCAACATAAAACACTTCGCGCTTCGGCACTATACCCTTGAGACAAGTGCCATCTCTGTGTGCACTCCATGGCCAGCCCCACACGGTGGCTTGGATAAGGCATGTGAGCACACCGATCGAACGAATGTTCAGCATTATGGTCAAACACTATGCGTGACAGCCTGACAGGCAAGGGAGTCACTCGGGAGAACAACGAGTTCCAGGGTGACTTACGTACCGGAGGGAAATTGCGGGTGCATACGAGGGAGCTCGAGCTCGAGTTGTCTCGGCGATGATGCATCCACGCTAAGGGTGAGCTTAATGGCTGTAAGTGAAAACGCGGTCTTCTCTCGGCGTGATAGCGGGGTAAACTTGATTGGCAGCAATTCATCTTACCTAGCCACAGGATGCCCAAAGATAACCTCGATCTCACGCCCCCACGGTGAGAACGCTCAGGCAATGACGTGGTTTACTTGAGTCCTGAACACTGGGTTTTGAATTCACCCTACGTGTATCACTCTACTGTACCCTATCACACGCGAGTATCTACTGGGCATTCTTTAAGGATTTGATCCGCAACAGGGCATTCATAAGCACAGTTCATAACAAGCTAGAGCCCAGTTTAAGCTTTAAAGTCTTCCGGAAGCCAATAACAAGAGCCAACGACATCTTCCTATTTTTTTGTTGTCACTATTGAGAGGCCCTTGTAGAGTGTTTCCAGGGACGTTTCCTGTTCTGAAGCGTCGTACGACAAACTGACGCATCTTAGTCGACGTTTCTGCTTGAAGCAGATGTTGCTTTGTCTGCACCTGCGCAAGTGCTATGAATTCTTCTCTAAGACTGCGTCATAGTTTGTGGGCGTTGCAGCAATATGTTACAAGCCAGACGCTACTATTAGCATGTTGGACGGCCATGTGATGGACGTATCGTATCATCTGTAGAAACACTTGTCGATTGAGAGGTCTAACTGCGTAAAAGCGCCAAAGACATCTCATTGCTGGCACTTAGCGTCATTCGTCGGTCATAATCTGTCTCTTCGTGTGGCTTGGTCTGATGCTCTCGAAGCAAGCTGTTGTAGGGCTCAGCAAACTGCTGCACTGAATTTTAAAGACAGTGCACTCTTTGGTTCGGATCTTTCTACGACTCCACAACTCTGAGATTCGTAACTGTACCGTAAGCCAATATTGGTGCCTGAGGCCGTGCAGATCGCCGATCCTGTCTCGTATCATTGCGATCACTGACTGCATGAGATCAATAGAATACGACTCGATTGCCGTGCTGATGATGCAGTGTAAGCGCAGACTTGTGGTGGTGTAGCAATAGCACAGCGAGAGTGCGATCCTGATATGGTCGGCCTGCAATGTTTCAAGAAATTGGTTCCTCATCGCTTCAATGGTGCGATGGTTCTTGAACATCTGCGCTGCAGCATCTACGTGAGCCACGTGGGACGACGTCTATTCGGCTCAGGATATCGAGTGATGGAGCTGCTGCAAATGAAATTAGAACATACTTAAGCAGGCTGTTAGCCAGCGATGCCTTGACAGCTTGTGGCCTGCGATGAGCAAAATAAGGACTATTTGTCGTGCATCTGAATATGCTGGCGGGGGCGATGAGCTCATGGAGTCGTAATGTTGGTGCGGGACACCGTTTTAGATCCGCCGCTAATTAGGTAGAGGGTCTCGAGACGAACCAGGGTCCTCGCCAAATCCAGTCTGGCCGGTTGTCAATTTAATTTGACATCTGCGCATTACAAGCGGGATCCCATTTCACGCTTCTTCTTTTAACTACTGACCAAGTGTTGGCACAGTATCGACTTCGCAAATATTTCGACGCTCCATGTAATTATGGGTTTCACTACGGAATATACGCGTGCAATATCAGAACGACGACTGCTCTCACTCGACCTTTGAGTCGATAAATAACCTGGTGCGTGAATAACCTCTACACCCAAATATCAAGCGCAATATACGCCAACGACCAGTGAATAAAGTAGTAGGCGAACCATCATAATGAAAAAAGGCAATTCCTTGCTTGCCGAGGATGGCAAAGGCGGCGGTGACGGCGGCGATGCAACCTACTCCTCAGCCTTAATCAAAACAAATGTTTCCGACCATCTTGGGGAATGGCGTACCTTCGCCGACTGTTCGAAATCGGATATATCGCAGACGCTACCAATATCTCGGTTATCACCGCATCGTGCCTCGAAGCTCTAGATGCGATGATTCATGGTAGGCCGGTAGCGCGGAATGCCAGGTCCATATCCGTCGACTTCTCTTTCAACCACCAACCCGGTAACAACATCATGCCATTACAACATGTCAACAAATGAAGAATAGTTAGTATACCTCCATGCAGGTCGCTTAGCTCCCGCGTTCGCCACAACGGTCCATCAGTGCGTCAAAATCTGAAATGAGGTCACTTAGAAGACGAAGAAACCAGAAGAAGGTGCTTGACCCAATACGATATGAACATTCAGGCAAACCAGGGGCACGATGTTGCTGTTGGTACGTCACGCTAGGTTATTTCTTCTCTCAATGGGGCCCATCTTTCATGTATCCTGCCGGTTTGGAGTTGAAAGCGTGGTGCCACGTGTGTGAAAAGCTGCGCTTCAGGAACTTGGCTCTTTGCCGGCATGGTCCCCGTACACACAATGTCAAGACAGGTGCGATGATGCATGGTGTCCTGATAAGAGATGTTGGTTTGAGATGTGAGACTTGGGCGAAAGTGTATGAGCGGTGTAGAGCTTCAAAACATCTGGCTGGCAGTATAAATCGTAGGACGGGAGAGTCGAGTGTTGAGTGATATTTTTGAAGCCATTTCCAGCTGCTAAACTCCCCGAATACACCATAGGCAGCCGGGACGACTCCAAGCTCGGCAGTGGTGAAGGCAGTCGAGGTGGAGCCGCTTATGTCGGGCGAAAGGACAGAACGTTTGAATTTCGTACCAGTGTACAGAACGACCAAGACTCCATCATCTGTGCATCGCTTGATATGAACTTTGACGAGAATTTCTCGTTGAATACGCACTATAACGTTGCGGGACTTTTCCACGAGAAGCGTGCGTCGGTGCCTTAAAGTTATACAATGCAGACTGCAACATCACGCCAGACGACTTCGAGCAGCCAAACGGACACTTCTAGAATGCAGAAGTCAGACAAGACGCTATGGTGACATGTCGATCAATTCAAGGTCCTCTATGCCGAAATCCGTCGACATACGATCCACGGTGGGGATCGCGATGGCCACACTGTATGTGGCAGAATGCTTTGAGTGAGGTGATGTCGTGGGCCATTGATAACACAGTCTGCAGTAGTTCATTCTTTGCGACCGCGCAGCAGTAGCACGTTCTGAGGCGCAAAGCAAGGCAAGAAGTCCGATGGGATTGTACGAGCACGTCTCGGGGCGACTAAGGAGTAGCAAAGCCCTTCTGTTGTAGGTAATTATATCAACCACAAAAGCCTTGAGGAGATTGAAAGTAATTATCATCATCCAGCAGGTCGTTAAGCGACTCCAGCTGCGTGAATATGTCTATTATCAACCATCTTTGGCCCTTCGCCGTCACACAATGTCTTTATTATAATTCAGAGGCAGCATTCCGTTGATATTAGCTTTTTGTTCGATGTCAAGAAGAGGCTAGCCATCACTACCCTCGAGACGCCTGTGTCATTCTCTCCTTCTCCTCCACTTAAAGAAGTCAAATAGTCATTTATCAGATTGCAAGCTGCACCGCCTCTATCCAACCCGAGAGACCAACGTATTTCCAGTCCATCAGGTGGACGATAACACTGATCGCCAATAACCATCTCCTATCTCGCGTAAATTAGAACCGATTGTACCAGCCATTGGCGTTAGCTACGTAGGCATACATCTTGTGGAAGCTGTCGCCCGCCACTACAATGTTGTCGCGTATGAGCTTAGCACCAAGCACCTCCTCGATGGTCTTTCTATCGAGTTCACCTCTAACGCATCGGACTTGAGTCGAGCATCGCACTTTCCCATCGCCATCCCAACCCTGCTCAACGAGGACAAAACGATCGACACGGCATGTGAAGCGCTCGGCATTGATGGCTTCGAAGTCAGTGCTGTCGCCACCTCAAAGCCTTTTTTGGATATCTACCTTTTCGCCTTGGGCTTGGGCCTGGTATTGGCGGGCACTGTATTCCAGTGAACCCATACTATCTACTTTCGACATGCGAAATGCCACTGCTCGATCATGAGACTAGCATGTCATAGGAGCGGCCCGCAAGCGTCGCAAAGAACTTTATGCAGTCAATGATTAGACCTGAGAACTGTAAATGCGACACATACGTAGAGGTTACGGATCTGCTGATCGATGCTAAGCAGATCAGATTCTGCCCAAAGATGGTCACAGAGGCAAATTGGAACGAGGGCTACCTTGAGACAGTTGATGGCATCATCATGTTTATTTAGTATTGATCAAGCAGGATTGGATCTGTATATCCTTGACCGCCTTCGAGGGGTTGAAGTAAAAGATCTTTCCGGTTGTAGACGGCGAACGTTTCAGGGCGATTCTTTGCCATACTAACGATCTCAGCGGCGTGCTTCAGTGAAAAGATGGCGCGGCAGCCTACGACATGAGGGCAGAAATGTTTCAGGCCTCTGTTTGGATCAGCGTACCAAGAACTTGTATCCCATAGTTATAGCAAATTTGATGTCCTTACAACACAACGATAAAAGGCTCGGGCTGCGTGTTCGACAGATGTGAATCGCTGTGCATCTGTTCGCAGTCGGAGTGCACCTCGTCGCACCGCATCACTTCTGCCAGGTTTTGAGGTCATGGAAGGTGTTTTTGTTTCAAACACCGAATTGCATCAATTCTGATATCCCTCATGACGCTGAGATGGCGTGACGCTTGCGGAGATTTTGATTGCGCGTGCCGGGAAAGTCGAAGCATCGAAGTGGCAACAGGAATATGACGACTGCCTTCTTATACCAATCAGTGGTAACAAAGGACTGTTTCGACTTCGCAGCCTGCTTCCTGACCAGACACCTACTCCACTTGCACAGCAAGACGACGTCTCGCTCAAGCTTGACACTTGCAATGCCACGATCACGCATACGCTGTTGGATGGCGAGCTGGACTGTTACTGAAGGTATGTATCGCAGTATCGTTTCACCTAAGGGCGGATTGATAATCTTGTTGGGTTGCATCCTTTACCCCTAGCTCCCTTCTGTCCTTGCTCTTCGAGTCCTCGATGGCGAGCTGTTATGATAGGAACCTCCTCAGCTGAAGTGAATCAGCAACTAAGCTGGTGTGCGAGCAGAGTACGTCAGGTCATATTAGCAACTTCTCTTACAAAAACAACGCAGCTTTGAGTCTACTACATTTACTGCATAGAGTGCCGTTGGTCACAAGTCCATCCGTTACTGTACTTGCCAATCGCGGCCTCAGTTCACTCTGTCCGGTAAATTGCATTGCGTATGCTCGACGGCAGTGCCTGAGATACCGGTCATCAAGCTTCAGGCAGCAGCTTTTGTACGTGTTGGTATCGTTCCCCTCGCGTTCTCCCGCAGCCTCCCGCGCGGGTCGGTGTCATCCAAGGGGGTGAAACAGTGCTGCGCCACAAGTCTGAAGCGGCCGGCTGAGTGCGCCAACCCCGAACAGGAGAAGCTTGCGAAGAATTTCAACGCGACCAAACCTCCGCTGAGTCTGCCAGGATACTCGGCGCGCAAAGCAATCCGACGCGACCCAATATCATCTTCTTTCCAAACAACCATGTCGTCGCTGCCTCTGTCATCACACTCCGACGACGTTTGTAGGCTTGCGGCGTAACATTCAGCCTGCATTAAGAGATCGCCTCGCTTCGTCTTGCCCTGGAGATCAAGCACAACGAGCTCGGCCCAGACGACCGAACCCGCAAGGATCGCGTTACCGGCACACGGGATTATATTATTGCAGTTCTCTCGGAAGGTTATCGAACATTTGCGAGCGAAACAGAAAGGCTACGTAGTGTTATTGTGCTGGCCTGATGGTCAACGTATGATCTGGGGCGGAGTGTTTAAGCAGCATTGTGTCACTATTGGACTTACAGTACTGCCTTGTGTATATCATCTCGACTTAGGCCAGAGGCCACGGGTCACCACAGGTCCCTAGAACGTGGACATCCGAGTATCTTGAACCACCAAATCGTTCTGTGCCAACCGGATCTGCGACATGGTCTACACAGGCAAGCCAAGTCGCGGATGCGGCATGTGTAAGAGCCGCAGGATCAAGGTATGCTACATGCATGTGTTCGATGGTGATGCATTACTCCACACACGATCGATCAATGAAAGAGCGTGGCACAGCAAACTGACCACTCCAGTGCGACGAGAAACGACCGACGTGTGGGAACTGCAAGAAATCCGGGCGTGACTGCCCCGGGTACCCGGATGAGTTTGACCTAGTCTTCCGAGACGAGAACAAGGCTATGGCGAGAAAGGCAAGGAAGACCTCTGGTCCAACGCCTGCAAGATGTAGTCCTGGAGGCTCGAGCTCGCAACCTTCTCCAGATCAGTAAGACGCTTTCCCCAATTCGCACAGGCATTCGGCTGCAGATATTCAGGTTTTCACGTTCTGCTGTGTTGTATAGTGGTGCTCTGTTCTCATTTTACACTGCAGCAATCATTGGTTCATAGCCTTACTGACAAATCGCAGACCTACCTTCTTCACATTCGAAGCCTCACAGGATTCCAACTCATCGCAGAAGGACACCTCTTCCGCGCATACCACACCGAGTCTAGATCAACAGCTCATACTTATACCACAATATCCGGAGGCACTATCATCACAAGGCCTTTTCGACAACTGGCTATGGAATCTCGACCAAGTCCCACAGTCCATCGTCATGGCCCCAGACTACGAGGCAGTGACGTTCTTCTTCAAAAACTTCATTACACTTCCGCAACAAGCAGAGAGCACAAGAGGATACCTCGAGTTCCTTGTTCCTCTCTACAACCAAGCACTACCATCATCGGTGCTACACCTGGCCACAAGTGCTGTTGCCATGGCGGCTTGCGGTCAGTATCCTGGCAGGGAAGCTTTGGTTGGCGAGGCTGTCAAAACATACGGTAGGGCTATTCGAAAGCTCAACAGCGATCTCAAGGACCCTGTGATGAGCAAATCCAACGAGACAGTGCTCGCCGTCTTGATGTTCTCGCTATACGAGGCAAGTCCAGCAGCACATCTTCTCAACCTACAAAGCTAACTTTCCAGACCATCATGTCAACGGACGACACAATCACCGCCTGGGGAAACCATGTCGACGGAGCTGTTGCCCTCACCAAAATGCGCGGCACTGATCAATTCAGCGACCCCATGTCGCACGCCATGTTCCGCGCCGTGCGCACCATGATGATCACCTCGTGCGTTCAGCGCTCGAAGCCCATCGACTCGTTCCCCGGTCAGAAAGGCTGGATTGGCGAATCCGATATCGCGGAGGAGAACGCCGCAAACAGACTGACGCTGATATGCATCGACTTGCCGAACTTGCGGGCGCGCGCTAACAGATTGACAAGCACGCTCTACGACGCGGCGGAGGAACTGGAAGCGCGGCAGATTATCGATTTTGCGCAGCTTGTGGACGGGAATCTGGAAGAGTGGTATCGCACACTGCCGCCGGAATGGAAGCATCGAATCATCGGCGTGGAAAGCACGATTCCCGGGGATATTGCCAACGCGGAGAAGTGGCCGGGCGAGCAGCATGCGTACCATGATGTGCCGCTCGCGTCCATTATGAACGATTACCGGGTCTGTCGCATCTTCTGCAGGCGCGTAATGATCGCGTGCCTGGACTGGCTGGGATACGGCGGTCTAGAAGACCCCGCTACGTATAGGATGAGCGTATTCGTTGTGCAACAGATGGTGGATGAGCTGAGCGCTTGTGTACCATTCCATCTGGACTATGAGTTGCAGCCGCTGGCTAAGGAGACAGGGCAGGAGCAGTATGGTACGTTGTTTCACCCTAACTCTATCTGAGAAAGATTAGGTATACTAATGTATTACAGCCGCTGAAGCCTTCGGGGGCTACTCCCTCGTATGGCCACTCTACGTCGCCGCGAACGCAGACACAGTGCCCCAACTTCAGCGCGATTGGCTGCTTGGGCGGCTAAGCGTCATCGGGACCAAATTTGGACTGAGCAGCGCGCAGGTCCTAGTACTAGCCAGGCGACATGTGCTGACGTGCGGGCCCATGTTCCCTTAAAATACCAAAGCCCGCGGAAGGGTAGACGAGACGTGCGATAGAACTAGTTAGAGCACTCCTCACGTGGATGTCTGATCACAGCATCGATGAGAGGCTGTACCGAGTTTTCCGGGTCCGGAACGTCTGAGGTCGACAGGACGAACAAGGCGAAAGAAATGGATCAAACGGACGAGGACGTGGATACGTCGAAGATTTTTCCTAAAACAAAAGCACATCGTGATACGATTGACATGGGCGTGGCGGCGCAGACAGCTCCGAAAACAGCACATTATGGGGTAGGAAGGCAAGAGCATCTGCTGGGAAACAGAAAGAGATGGACATGGTAAGAGTAGCTCATGGATGATCCAGTCGGCAGTACCAAGCCCCGGGATGCGCGATGCATGTGAGCATCGGTACAGCCATCAGAACCACGTTTTGGCCGTTGCAGGCAGAACCACAGCGGGTGGATGTAGAATTAGTGTAGTCATAGGCCTTAGCTTTCTTTTTAGCGCAGTACCTGAGGTAATTCAGTAACACTTAACAGCATCGTTCCGCAAAAACCAGAAGGATCACAACGTTTTGGCAGTGCTCAAGGACAATGATGCGCAACGCCGCTCCATATGTGGCGTACGGGGCCGAGCCTTCTAGCCCAGACCCCTTGTTGCGTTCTTTGCTCAGAAAATGTTTCGAAGGAACATTTCTTTCGGGCTTTTTCGTACCCGCAGGCTCCCTAATGATCATCGAAACTCCGTCTCAACATAGAGGCGCCTTCCTCCGCGATCGCGCCAAGCCGGTCTCCGTCGGCAACGATAGTAGCGATGGACAGACCATGCTCAATGTCTCCACACCTCTTCATGTCCTCAGTCTTACCATTTCCTTCAAAGCACAATCTAGTCTGACGACCGTCGAGACGTTGCATCTACTCGAAGTAGACACGTGTTCCTGCGCCATTGCGTCAGGCCTTGGGCAGTCTCCAAGCGCAAGGGCAGCATCGACATCACTACTTCAGCACGCCAGGCGCCGCTTCATCTGCTCTTGATTCCTTGGTATTGCTTCTTTGTCTCGATCACCTGCGTTCCCCAAGCTCTTGCCCATTTGACATCATCATCAACGCCGAAGCTGAGTAAGGATGCAGCGATCTTCGATGCCACACTCAAGGGCATTCTATGCCGGTCGATTCATATTCCTGCTTTCAAACAGTTTCGGTCTCGGTTTGTTCTTCTGTTCCTTGTGACGATCGTCATCGCCGTCTCCGGGCTGTGTCTATTGAGTGGAGCCAAAAGCACATCAACACTCGTAATGCCGTGGAGGCACTCGTACTCCACGTCCGCGGGCCTCGAGCAAGGCAAAACATCCCACAAGGGCCTCCTGTTCGTTCCCAGAAAGGCTCCATAGGCGCCCAAATTGCACCGGTGATGGAGACTGGGTCGTGTGCCAACAGCAGCTGTCAGTTTGTCTCAGGGTTCAGCCGAACCACTGATCGCCTCGCCCCGCTCCGCCCGCTCGTGAGGCGCAGCCAAGCTCGTCCTGCAATCACCGCCTGCGGGCGTAATTCAACAAACGGCCAAACCTCAGACACGCGCAGTTTTCGTGTTCTCTTACTTCGATACCCATAAACAGTGCAGGCCGCTCTACATTTACAACTCTACCTTTCACTGGGTCAGTTCAGAGTGCCGGTTTTACCTCGATCACAAGGACCTTCATCACACACGGCGCAAGCTCTACCTCACTATCAAGATGGGCGCATCGAATCTCATCCCGCTGGTCATTCTCTTCCTCGTCGTTGCAGGCGTAGGCTGGGTCGGCTACCAGGTACGCCACGCAGCTCAGGTTCATAGAGCGCCTCCGCCAGCATCCGGAATTCTCCCCACCCGTTCGCTCCACTCTCATGAGCATGTCACTGACGTCGGGCTTCAGATCTACCTCTACTCGAACGAGCTCGCAGAGCGCGGTGTCCGCAAGATGGAGAAGAAGAACGTTGTCTTCACCAAGGATGGCGCGAAAGTGGGCGTCAAGGAGGTCAGCGCGGAGCAATATGCGGACAAGACGCAGAGAGCGTTCGTGAAGACATGGAATGCGGCGCAGGAAAGCCCGCAAACAGGGCAGAATGTCAGGACAAGGAGGGCTTGAGCAAAACTCGGTAGTGGTAGGCGCCACATACGACTTTCGCAGTGCATCTGCAGGATTCGCTCGGGGCCACGTCAAAGAGACCAGGGTATCAATCGCACGAACTGTCGTTTCATGTGTCACGACATGACTGGTCGCACGCAGACTGCTCTTCCGGCACAAGGTTTGAAGACATATGTCGAAAGGTCGTACCCATCATTTGCAAAGCGACAGGCAACAGACTCAATACAGCAATTTGCAACAGTTGCCCGCGCGTACCCAAGACCGAACACCGAAATTGCTGATATGCTCCTCAGAATCCACAAATCTCGTCTGCGTGACTACAACCTCGCGACACTACGCCAGCATATATGGGCGTCGTTGCGAACGGCGGATACATTAGGTTGCCGGAAACCATGCTGACCAAGATCAAACGGCGCTGAGGTAGCAAGTAGTACTGAGATCAGCTACAAGCGTTCTTACCAAGCTTACATCTCAACAGCCGCATCTGAACGCCACCTCGGCACATGAGCCGCTATGCAAGAACATCATAGCCACAAGCGAACAACGATCCTGCCGGTTCAGGATATGCAGACAGAGCGTTGGAGATGCGGTTCCTACCTAGAACATGCGTCCGAATGCGTTGACTTTGACCCGCGTAAGCAGCATTTGACTACATTCGAAAGTCAGGAAGAAGACGATGAATCTACGTCGGCTGTGCGTACACGTAGTTGTGATAGCAAGCTTCCAAGAACGCAGCACAGAACAAATGTTCGCGTCTCTATTTTTCCCGCGACTACAGCAAGTTGACAGCAATGCAGCGCGACCGTAAGTACCAGATGCATACGTCACATCGTGTCGCATGATCCGCCCGCATCCAGTCGGCGACCCGCTGTGGAGAGAAAGTGGATGAGGTTGCTAATCACCGCACTAGACCCTCAACCTGGGTCACTCATACAAAATGCCTCTCTCAGATTGGACAGAGTAACATTGATCCGGTCTCACGCTGATCGTTACCCTTGCTGCTTAGCATGCGTAGCGCTGAGAAATAGTCAGTCGCCCAACGACAAAATCGAACCAACCCTATCCGCTGTCAGCACATAGACGATTTCGGCGGCTGCTCAGCTCAGAGTAACTTGTATTAAGACCTCGACTATGCTCCTGAAGCAGAACTAATAGGGACCCGGCTCTTACTGTCACATTAGACTTCCATCTGCTCAGCCTGGTGAGCATGACATATTTGTTTGGCATATTCCTGGCTTCTGTAAGTGTCGTCTATAGACGCGGCTGACTCATTGTTTGACGGAGCGCAAGCCCAGACGTATAAATACCGGATAATAGCACGATTGTTATATCATATGTCGTACTGACACACTCTTAGCTAATCTTCTACGTCGTTGGTACCTTTACCTACAAATTTACTTGTCTCCGCTCCGTCATATACCTGGTCCACGACTTGCCAGTGCTACTGGAATTCCCCATGCATTACACATGCGCTCCGGCACCATCACCAAGTGGCTTCAGCAACTCCATGATCAGTATGGCGACGTAGTTCGCGTTGCTCCGACTGAGCTGTCGTTCATCAGTGGTGAGACGGCTTGGCCCGACATCTACGACTTCCGCACTGGCAAATACAAAGACAAGGGTGCTTACCTCAAGGACGGAACTCGGTTTTCCGAGCCTATCAACGGCGTTTATTCGATCATCGTCGCGCCTGAAGCTGATCATTCCCGTGTGCGCCGTAATCTCTCCCATGCGTTCAGTGACAAGGCTTTGCGGAGCCAGGAACCTCTGATCATGAGCTACGTCGACCTTCTCGTCCACAGACTCAAGGAACATGCTGAGAAAGGTATGCAAGTCGATATTACGCGCTGGTACAACTACACAACCTTCGATATCATTGCAGACCTGTCTTTTAGTGAACCACTGCACTGTCTGCGCGACAGCCAGTATCACAAATGGGTCAACATGATGTTTCACGGCGTCATGGGCGTTTCGGTCATGTCAATCCGCAAGAAGTATGCGCTCTTTCGGTGGTACGACAAGGCTCGAGGTCTGTTCGAAGACAATCAGTCTACAATACGCGCGCGCAAGGAGTTCTTCGACAAGGCCCGAGAAATGGTCACCACGCGTCTAGAGACCGAAAACGACCGACCAGACTTCTTCTCCTTCATCCTTCAGAGCCAGGAGAAAGATAACCGCGCGCTGACAAGAGATGAGATGGACTCTAACGCTACCCTGTTCCTCGTCGCCGGCTCCGAAACGACTGCCACTAATCTCTCGGGTACCACCTACCTCCTCCTCAAGAACAGTGTTGCATACATACGCCTCGTTGCCGAGATCCGCACAGCCTTCACCCGCATCGAAGACATCGCCATCGAAGCCGTGAACAAACTACCCTACCTCCTCACAGTCCTGCAAGAAGGCCTGCGTTACTATCCCCCCGTGCCGACAGGCTTCCCGCGCATCGTGCCCGGCCAGGGGTAGCAAATCAGCAGCCACTACGTCCCCGACGGCACGAGTGTGTACGTGAGTCAATATGCAGCGAACCACTCAGCGCGAAATTTTGCCGAAGCTGATTTATTTGCTCCGGAGCGCTGGCTAGAGGCACGGCCGGCGAAGTTTCAGCAGGATAATAGAGAGGTAGTGCAACCATTTAGTTTCGGGCCGCGGAACTGTCTGGGCAAGAAGTAAGTTGTGACTTCGTATTCCTGTCGATAAGCGATGAGGGGATACTAACACGCGTAGTTTGGCGTACGCTGAGACGCGGCTGATTCTCGCCAAAATCCTGTGGCATTTCGATCTCGAGCTCGTCAAGCCTGGGAAGGAGTGGATGAGGGACCAGAGAGTATTTTTGTTGTGGGAGAAGCCCAGTTTGGATGTTAGACTGAGACCTGTGCAGCGGTAGATGCGATGCGGTTGAAGAGGGACGATGCTCGTTTTGTGGATGACTTCGCTATACTTGTGTTCGCGATGTCAGTGTGATGATGTTCGGATACATTGGTGGTGAGACGCATGATACAAAGGCTTAGCGGCTAACTTTCGAACCAAGTCGCCCTTGCGCTGTAAGACAGTATGAACATTCTGGGCCACTGAAGGCCAACATCTGCCATTTTACTGACGGCAAAATTAACCAAATATGTTAGAGAAGCTGCAAGTACTGCCTCAGTCTCGAATGAAGAGAGACCCTACAAACACAGCTCCAGCATACAGAGAAAGTAAGTGTACCTGCACCTCATGCAGCGTCCTCGAATTGCCCCACTGCAGCCTCTTCGCCATTTCTGTCGGGTACGCAACCCCCGTCCCTTTATCCCTAACAAGCAACTTCTCCCTCACCGGCACACTCGGCGGCCAAATTGCAATTATGCAGGACGATAAGGCCAATCAAATGAGCGAAATCGTTCAGTTGAATCGAGTTCATACTCATGCGGACTACACAGTCGTAGCCAAATAAAGCAACGGCGTTGCTGCACTGTTCCCGAACCCCTGAATCTTCCTTCTGGGACAAGCCAGATTCGATGGCAGCACAGTGGCCCCTTTGGATGGGTCACAGTGACTTTTATCTCAACGCGCGATCGTGGCTGAAAAGTCGGCTTTGATCTATGACCACGACTCTGAGAAGGGCAGTCCGTATCGTAGACTGGGCAAGTTCCACGTTCAGGTTTCGACTCCGGCATTTGGCCGACTCTATCGTTCCATATTGTTCAAGCACATGGATTAGTCGAACCAAGTCGAATTGATCTTAGAGATATTACTACAATCGTCAATTGCGTAAGAGTTGCCAGAAACGCCGTTCCACTGAAAATTATACAAGCACTCGACCCTTCGTCAATTCGCATTCGCGCACTCCGCACCGTTAGTCATCTGGATGCCAGTGTAGACCAGATGATCCTGGTTGATGAATCCCGTCGCCGTCGCCTTGTTGCAGTCCGGCGCTTCTTGGCCGTAACATCGGAACGTAGTCTCCAGGCTCTGCTTACCCGCCGCATTATCCAACTCGTAGATCTCGGTCCTCGAGTGCTGGAAGCCCATCGCCTGCGACGGCAGTCCCGGCACACCGTCGGTGTTGTGCGTGATTCTGATCATCGTGCCCAAATTGCTGTCGGAAGCGCCTGATAGTCGGTCGACAAAGTTGGCGTACGCTGGGTTTCCAACACGAGGAGAACCCATGGTGTATGCGATCTTGACAGGCACATCGACGGCTTTCAGATCAGTATACGCGAGCGTTGCGAGTGCGCCGCCCAGGCTGTGGCCGGTGATGACGATGCTATATCCCGGGTTCTTAGCACGCAGATCAGCGAGTGCGGTGGTCACTTGGTCTGCAATGCTGCGCCAGGCGACGTAGAAGCCGCCGTGGACGCGGCAATCCGTGCAGCCTGCTGCTGTGGTCTGGTCCAATGGGATGAAGACGAAGTCGGTCAAGAAGTCCTGGACGGAGGACGTGCCGGGTAGAGACAGGATCAATTCCTTAGCGTTGTCGTCGCGGAAGATGGCGGCTTGGGTGTCGGTGACGAGGTTGACGATAGTTTTGACTAGTTTCGATTTGAAAGGTGGTGAAGGGCACCTGCCGAGGTTGTATGTGAATGTTGCGAGAGAGGCGACAGCAAATCTTGTGTATCTTTGAAGGACAGGGTACAGAGCCGGGTCGACTGGACGGAGTCAATATTTTTAGATCGATGCTTCGAAGGGAACGAACTCTGTACGCGAGGCTGAGCAGCCTGTCGTTCTGCCAACTCTGTGGGTAGAGCAAGAGCCAGTGGGGCTGCAACGGCAGCAAGGGCAACATTGACCGGCTTCATTGTGAGATTTGTTTGATTCTGCTGCTGTTGCCGCTACGCTGGTCGGCATCGAGCTTTATACACATCGTGTGATTGTTAGACTCGGTGGGACAGTGCAAGTGTGGAAAAGATCGACACCATCAACTATCCGTCTCGAGTAGCTCGCTGGGCGATCAGCGATATTTGAGATCTCCTTTCGCAGGCTTGGCTGCGGATGACCTGCAAAACAGCGAGATCGTGCATTGCCATGCTAGGTTAGCTCCGGCAGTTGCCTTCCTAGTCCAGGAACTATTGAAGATCTACACGCCTGCATGATCGAGACTGAGGTCGATGAAAGACTTTGCGGGGCAGAGCACATGTTTTAGAGGAACGTGGAAAGTGTCAATCTTGGAGCGAATGGGGAAGGAGGTACCAGTGTCTGACGAAAGTGGCGCCGGTCTTGGTTGAAAGCATCGTGGAATATCAAGCTTGCTTTCACGTTCCTGCTGGAGTAGTGAGTTGAACTTTGAGATACTGCAAAATTCCAAAGATGCATTAGGTAAACAATCAGTCTGCGAGATAGACCACCAGTACACCGGAAAAGCAGGATGTACAACAGCGCTAGGAGGCTTGAACGAGGGATGAGACCGTAAATAGGTGGGTTGCATCAGGCGCCCTTTTAATGTTCACACCGCACACCGTGTGGCCATATTCCAATAACAATCGATGGCGACTGTACGAGTTTGTGGTGTTGAAGACTTGCTGCAGGAACCCCAGCTCCACGCGGCTGAGTGTGGGGCTCGCGTGCAAGGTGCAAGGGTGCATCACTTCCGCTCTCCCCGACATCTGGTCCCCGACGACTGACGTGCCCATGCGCCGAGGAGACATTCCAGCGGCAAGATGGTGCTCTCGTTCATTTTGATACAGAACCGGCAGTGCGTTCACACAGTCCATATACGGCAGAGAAATTGTTGCTGACCAGTCGTCGCAGGGGAAAGACAAGACTGGCGAAGTGGTACGCGCCGTACAGTGTAGGTCCATACGATGAGTAGAACAGACCTAAAGCTGACAGGCACAGGATGAAGAAAAAGTCAAGCTCAAGGGCGAAGTACATGCCCCAATGCTCCTGTTTACCACCGCTCCGCGCCCGCCATCATTCGCAACGCTCTTTACCCACCTCGCTGACCATAGCCCTTGCAGGTCCACCGCCTCATAGCCCCGCGCGACCAAAAGCACCAGTCCAACTTCGTCGAGTTTCGTAACATGTCCAAGATCGTATACCGGCGGTACGCAGGCCTATTTTTCTGCGCGTGTGTGGACACAAACGACAACGAGTTGGCCTACCTCGAGGCAATACACTTTTTTGTTGAGGTGCTGGATGCGTTCTTTGGCAATGTGTGTGAGCTGGATCTTGTGTTTAACTTCTACAAGGTATGTATGTTTGTAGTCTTGCCATGGATTCGTGGGAGATCATGGATGCTATGAAGGCTGCAGAGGAGACATGACGAAGTCGCATTCAGCGGTCGAGGTGCTAACAAAGAGCAGGTGTATGCGATCCTAGATGAGGTATTCCTAGCAGGCGAAATCGAAGAGACGAACAAGCAGGTCGTGCTGACAAGATTGGCGCATCTGGATAAGCTGGAATGAGCGGTATAAAAGGAAAACGGTGACGCAAGCGCAAGCACAACCCCATAAAACCAGTCACTGGGGTTGCACCAAGTTCTAATGTAGTGCGGACAAACTTAAGCAGAGCCTGTTCAAGCGTACATGAACGAGTAATGACTTATCAGGCGATCCGCAGCTATACCTAGTGAAGGAGACCAACATACCCGTAAGCAGCAAGAGATACCACAGAGAATGAATACAGGAAGGAAACGGTCCTAAAATATGTTTGCAAGCTGGGGTTTTCATGAGTATACTGACGTGACACGCGACTGGCGGCGCCACCCCTGCACATCACATGTATGCCCCTCTTCACCAGTATTGGCTTCAGCAGCCGCAACCGTTGTCAGCAAGGGTCGGGAGTAATGTTCACTGAGCCTTTCTCCCACTGGGATATCTTTAAATATCACCGAGTGTAGAATTGGAGCTCCAGTGCCGCGATTCCTTATACTGTAGGTATCATCGACCTTGCATTGGCCGGAGCTCGGACGATTTCAACCATCGTAACAGCCAGATCACCAACTTCGACTTGAAGCCTGCATACGTCTGATTACCCGGACTCCGCCGAAACTATGATATAGCCGCCTCGAACGTTACCTCGCGGCCAACCGTCACTTATCGTCGAACCTCGCCGCCGCCACCGTCTCAAGACGCTCGAGCATAAACATCCCACCGAGTGCAGCACCCCCGCGGCGCAACCATGAGCGACTTCTCGATGTACCACGCCCAAGGACAGGGCTCGCCAAATCCCAATGCGCCACTGAGAAAAGATGACCCCACAAGATGGCACCCGCCCGTCGCCGGGAGCCCTGCTGGCTATCAACAGACTGGCAGCCCGTACACACAAGCTGGAGCTCCGCAGCATGGCTCGCCCGCGCAACAGCAGCAGCCCGTGCAGCAGGAGGGTTACTTTCCCCCGCAAGCGAGTCCGCTGGTCAACCAGGCCGGGACCTATCAGAGCGATTCTCACACGAACATGCTGGCGGGGCAGATGGGAGCAATGGGGCTTGGAGGGGATGCGCCACCAGACCACAGGCGCAAGAAGAAGGACAGGCACGCATACCACAATCTCGAGGGGCCAGGAGGGAGTGCGCAGACCTTCAACGGCATGCAGCAGCCAGGAACGCCTTCGCAGTTCAGCCCGCAAGTCGGCGGTCCACAATGGCAGGAACCACAGATTACACCCGCCATGAGCCAGTTCCCTGCCGCAACGCCACTGTTCTCGCCAGGGAATGCAGCCTCGCCCATGCAGCACGCTGCCCGCGCACATACACCACAGCCAGGGACAGCCGTGCAAGGGTCAGCGCAGGGTAAGGTAGACCCAGACCAGATACCGAGCATACCTAGGTCGCGAGATGCGCCAGCGAATTACTATCTGGACCACATCTACCCGACTATGGAGCATCACATACCGCCTCCCGCCACGGTACCCTTCGTCGCCTACGACCAAGGCAACTCGTCGCCCAAGTTCGCCAGACTGACGCTCAACAACCTCCCTATGTCTGCCGAGGCGCTTTCCGCGACAGCTCTGCCGCTCGGTCTCATACTACAACCGCTTGCCCCACTAGCAGACGGTGAGACCCCCGTACCGGTACTAGACTTTGGCGAGACAGGACCTCCAAGATGCAGAAGATGTCGAGCCTACATCAACCCCTTCATGCAATTCAAGGCCGGCGGCAATAAGCTCGTATGTAACATGTGCACGTTTCCCAACGACGTGCCCGGCGAGTACTTTGCGCCCACAGATACTAGCGGTGTGCGTGTGGATAGGCTACAACGGCCAGAGCTGATGCTTGGCACAGTCGATTACGTCGTGCCGAAGGAGTACTGGGGCCAGAAGGAGCCGGTCGGAATGCGTTACCTGTTCCTGGTCGACGTAACCGCAGAGAGCGTCGAGCGTGGTTTTCTCGACGGCATCTGCGCTGGCATATTGGACTCCCTTTACAATGAAGCAAACGAGGAGGGCGAGACTGCTGAAAGTTCTGTCAAGATCGCCAAGGGCGCAAAGATTGGCATTGTCACTTACGATAAGGAGATGCACTTCTACAACCTCAGCCCAAAGCTGACTACAGCACAAATGCTGGTCATGCCTGATCTCGAGGAGCCTTTCCTGCCCTTCACCGAGGGCCTGTTCGTCGATCCCCTGGAGTCAAAGACGGTCATCACATCTTTGCTGACGTCTCTTCCCAACATGTTCCGAGAATTTAGACACCCTGAGCCGGCTTTGCTTCCTACACTCAATTCAGCAGTGGCTGCCTTGACTGCGACTGGAGGGAAGATCATATGTTCGTTAGGCGCGTTGCCCACCTTTGGCCCAGGAAAGCTCTTCATGCGCGACGACGGCAATGTGCACAATACCGATGCTGAGAAGAAGCTGCTCAAGACAGAGCACCCCGGGTTTACCTCTGTGGCGAAGAAGATGGTAGAGCAAGGCATTGGCTGTGACTTTTTCCTTGCCGCTCCCAGCGGTGGCTACCTCGATATTGCTACAGTTGGTAAGTCCTCTTCTGTGCCACAATTTTGGGCTCTATTGACACGTACCAGGCCACGTATCTGCTACTACTGGCGGCGAAGTCTTCTACTACCCCAACTTCCATTCGCCCCGCGACATCCTCAAGCTGTCAAAGGAGATCACACACACCGTTACGCGAGAAACCGGATATCAAGCGCTGATGAAGGTTCGCTGCTCAAATGGCCTGCAAGTTTCCGGCTACCACGGCAACTACTTCCACCACAACTTCGGTGCAGACCTCGAGTTCGGTACCATTGATGCGGACAAAGCCATTGGTGTTCTGTTTAGCTACGATGGCAAGCTCGACCCTAAACTCGATGCGCACTTCCAAAGCGCGTTGCTTTACACAACAGCTAGCGGCGAGCGCCGTGTCCGCTGCAGCAACGTCGTCGCTAGCGTCAGTCAGAGCGCAGGGGAGTGTATGAAGTTCGTCGACCAAGATGCCGTTATCAACATCATCGCCAAAGAAGCATGCGCACGCATGACTGAGAAGAACCTCAAGGACATTCGCGGTGCCTTGACGGAGAAGACCGTTGATATCCTCGCCGGCTACAGGAAGAACTTCACCGGAAATAGTCCTCCCGGCCAGCTCGTCCTGCCAGAGAACCTGAAGGAGTTCTCTATGTACATGCTCGGTCTGATCAAGTCGCGAGCCTTCAAAGCGGGCAAGGAACCCACAGACCGCCGAGTCCATGACATGCGACTCATCCGCTCGATGGGGCCACTCGAGCTCTCCCTCTATCTCTATCCACGTGTCATTGCAGTGCACGACCTCGACCCTGCCGATGGATTTGCCAACGAAAACGGTCACCTCCGCATGCCCTCGGGCGTGCGCGCCTCGTTCGCCAAGGTCGAAGAGGGCGGTGTGTACATCGTCGACAACGGACAAATCTGCCTGCTCTGGATCCACCAACACGTCTCGCCCAACCTGCTCGAGGACCTCTTCGGGCCCGAACACAACTCTCTGAAATCTCTCGATCCCTTCACTTCCTCTCTGCCGGTACTGGACACGCATCTCAACGCGCAAATGCGGAACATCTTGCAGTATCTCGAAGGCAACAGAGCCTCCAAGGCGCTCACGATTCAGCTTGCGAGACAAGGTTTGGATGGGGCCGAGTACGAGTTTGCGCGGTTGTTGTATGAGGATCGGAACAATGAGGCGCAGAGCTATGTTGATTGGCTGGTTCACGTGCATCGGCACATTCAGCTTGAGGTAAGCCAATGGCACTCCTATCGGTTTGAGGCGCGGCTGAGCGATGAAGCTAATCTGATGTAGCTCGCCGGTCAGAGGAAGAAGAGCGACGACAACGATGGCACGAGTGTGGGGAGCCAGTTTGTCGGCTTGCGCACGCCGTACTGGGGATAGAGGGGGGACAAAATGAAAAGAAGAGGAGAAGGGATGTTCTTCACGTTGCATAGCGATATCTCGAACACAGCGACATTGTTTTGGTGCAACGTCACAGCTCTCCTGGTGTTGTGGATGATCGCAAGATGACAATGACCATGTGCTGGATGTTGGCTCTTCCGCACAGAGGAGCAGCATGGTCAACCAATATTCTGCAAGCGCGCTTCACTGCTAAACATCGCAGACGCTCCTGCTCACAACCAGCGACTTTGAAATCAGCATCGTTGCGACCTCAAGTGGTAGATCAAGAGTAGAAGCCTTTCAGTTTTAACCAGATCTTTTCGATCTTTGTCTGGAACCTGAAACCCCTTCCCTGAGCACGTTTACATCTCCATGTCCACAGCCCCGCAGATCAACTGTAACCTGGTTCGTGAAGGTTTTGGCTAAGTGATGCACGACGCACCCGATATGAGGATGCCACCAGTGCGGTACTTCACCCCATTCGCCGTCGGCACCCGTGCGTCACCGAGCGGGCGTCTGTACTCTGGCACGCGGTGAGCCCGGGCTTGGGTGTGGGATCTCGACGCGCTAGGGGAGGACGTGAAAAGCGGCTTCAACACCGTGTGAAGCCGAAGCCGAAGCCGAAGCCGCGTCTGCAGAGCCGGGGGCGCACAGCACGCTCGTCAAGACCGGGGACCATTTCGGCGCTGCATCAGCGGACTGCGCGCTGGCGATGGAATCGACGATGAAGATGGGGTTCTCGCAGCGGGGGCCCTGGTGGTAGACGCAGATGTTGCCTTTGGCCTGAACGAGCGACCGCAGGTTGTAGCGCACGGGGGGTTGGAGCTGGGTGCAGGCCATGTGCGCAGTGATGGCGTGGCAGGTGCTCTGCGAGCGGAGGCCGTTGCAGACCTTGACCTTGCCGAGGTCGGCGCCGGCGGGGATGGTGAGCTCGTGGCCTGGGGCGGGGGCGGCGATGGAGAGGGCGGCGATGGAGAGGGCGGTAATGGAGAGGGCGACGAGGCTGGTGAGGCTGGTGAGGAGGTGATTGGTGCGCATTGTGCTGCTGGAGCATTTAGTGGTCTTGTCTACGTAGTAGCCGGTAGGTGGGATACATACCTTGGCCGTAGATGAGTGGGATGATGTATGAAGCTGGAACTGCTGAATGCACACCATCGGGATGTTGAGTCGTGGTTGAGTGTACAGAAGATGAAGGAGAAAGAGAGGAGACTCGCAGTGGAATGGGTATTTCTGCAAGCTGCAAACGGGGAGCAAGTGGGTGCAGGATCGTGTGTGAAGCTGAGGAGCGAAGTGACGATGTCGAAATGAGAAAATAAGGAAGCCTCTGCGCTAGCTCGTGTCGCAGTAAAGGAGGGCGAAAGGCGGCAGCGAACAATGCCACGCTGAAAGAGAAACAATGTGCCGTCGAGAAAATGACAACAGCTATGCGTCTGTTCGGCCTTCTTCTTTTACTTCTTACAACATGTGATCATACAAGTATCCTACGGTTCGAGATGGCGGTCAATGTTGTACTGCTTGTACCCGAACCCATCCATCGTAACCCAGTGACCCAGGGCCTCCATCTGTTCCCACACCTTGGGGTACCGCTCCCTGATCCACGCCTCGACGAGTTTCTGCCTCACGCTATTCGTCGTGGTGTTATACCAGTTACTAAGACTACGCCTCTGTTAGTACGATAAGCCGCAATGGCAGCGTGGTGCTTACATGTAGAAATCCGGCTTGTGGCCGAACTCGTCCTCGACGGTCTCCACGAGCGCCACCGCCTCGTCGTGTAGGGCGTTACGCGCGATAGCCGACAGGTAGGCGGTGAAGATTTTCTTGTCGATCTCGATGTCTTGCTCTCTCAGGCGTGCCCAGATCGACTTGGCGTGCTGGTCGCCCCATGGCATGCCCTCGCAGGAACGGAACGCGATGGCGATGCTGTTGTACGAAGGGCCCTCCTTGGACTCGCAGATTTCTCTCCAGAGCTCGAGTGCTTTCTTGTTGGTGCCGCACGAGGCGTGTGCTAGCATCAGCGCGTTGCGTAGTTTTGTGTTCCTCTCGACCTTGAACTCGAGCTTGAGTTGGTTATTGACCAGCTCCAGCGACTCGGCGTCGGCGCATCGAGCAAAGCCGGTAAATGCAGCAATGTAGACGTCACGGTTGGCCTGGTGAGACTCTGCAGTGTGGTTGCGCATGTGGAAGAAGACGTGACACGCCATGTCTGAACGATTGCGCGAAAAGAACTCGTTCATCAGCCGAATGCGGTCCTCGCGGGGCGTCTCCTGGAAAGTGTTCCGCAGGATCTGGTAGGCATCCCAAGCATCCGCTGTGCTGTTTTCCCTGTCCAGGATGAAGTCGCGCAGGCTGTCGGCGATGACAGTTCTTTGATCGGGCGAGTATTGGTAAGCATGTACTTGAAGTAGGTCCATGGCATCGTGTATCTCGACTCGGCGAAGGTGCAGTAAACAGAGCTTTGCAACGGTTTCCGGGGCAAGACGGGCTTTTCGCTCATGCAAGTCGTCCACGATTGCCATGATGTCATCGTAGTGGTGTTGTTTTGACTCGCACAAGACCTGAATGAGCTGATTTACAGCTGCAACGCTGGCCTCTGAGCCCTTGAAGTCGCCTTGCAGATTGTAGTATGCTGCTCTCGCGCCGTCAATGTCCTTAACTGACAAGCGATACTGCATCTGCATGGTGTAGGTCTGCTCGTCCGGCAAGATGCCTCGTTTTTCGCCCATGGAGATGTAGCGCTCAGCGGAGTATGGATCCTGCTTCGACATGGCGAAGTCGACCAAGAGGTTGATGGTATCGATGTCCGGGTAGATCGGGGCCTGTACCTCCTCGGTGCGGCGTATCATTACGTTCATCATCCTATCGACTTCGTCCACACCTTTCCCCAGAGCTGCTGACCACAGGAAGATGGCATCCCATCCCTTCTTGTCCGGGACCTTTTTCTTGGTCAAACCAGCAATGATTTCATGGCCGAACGTCAAGTCGCCGCAAAGCGCACACGCTTTCAGAAGAGCAGTGTAAGTATCCCTGTTGACGCTGGAAGTCTTTTCTTTTGTGTCTCTATGCACAACAACAGGCTGCGAGTACCAAAACTTAGCCGCGTCCAGCTCTCGCCGAGCAGACAGACTGGACACAACAAGCCGCTGTGTAAAGTCCGTGAGAGGCACCGAGCTCTTGGTGAACAGTTCCGTCGTCTCTGCCATTTCGGCGGCGTCGTTTTCGCGCGCGGCTCCAGCGAGCACGCGATTCCAGACATCGCGGGTGACTTTTTTCTTCTTCGCTTCCGTCTCCTCAGAGTACTTGTTGTAGTGTGTTGCGGCAATGTCTCTCGCTTTGGACGAAGCGCCATACAGGCACAGCAACTCTACAAGCTTTGGCCTGATGACGAAGTGCAATTCCTCCTCCTTCGACAGCTGCGCAGCCACGGGTGCCGCCTCTGTGTCTTCTGTATGCTCCATGTCCGTGATATGATCTATCAGAGCTGTGCCGAACTGGACGTGTGGCGTCCCTCCTGTCTCTGGGCATCGTCGGTAATCGACGAGCTCGTCGACCAGCGCAAGAAGCTCCTGCCGCGTGAACCACTGCGCGCCGCCCTCTTGGGGATGCTCCAGCAGATACTTGAAGGTGTTGAGCGCCAGCTCAATGTGCCAGTCCTCCAACGGACCCTTTTTGGTGACGAAGAAGCTCCTCAACGCGTCGGCGAGCTCCTTGTCTGTTGGCGGTCTCACGGACGTCCGCTGTGCATATGCGAGAGCGCTCATCGTCTCGAGTCCGGAGGGGATATCCATCTTCTTGATCTTGCGCCTCGACTTGAACAGGCCGCCGAAAAAGGTCCTCCGCTGCGGCTGGGGCAGCGCTCTGGCGCCATGCTGGGTTACGGCGAAGGGGCGCACAGCTCGCTGCCGACATCCTCGGTACAGAAGCGGCTCATTGGCAATGATGCTGCGGAACACGACGCGGGTCAGGTGGGAAGGCATGGCGGAGGCGGCGACGGTGGGAGGGGACGCTTTAGGACGTTTCCTGTACGCGCACTTCACGTCACCAAACTTTCGAGCTAGCTTCGGGCTTGGCGTTGGCGGACCTCGAAAACGGGGAGCAGCAACGACACGCGGACGGCAACACGTCCACACCAGCCAGCATGTCGTTGCCCACGCGCCTGTTACGGTTCCGGGCGCCAAACGCCGCCGCCAGCAGGACCAGCCTGCGCTGCTTCTCCTCCGGGACCCCGAAGCAGAGGGGTGCGTCGCCAATCTCCGCTGCGCCGTCTCCGAAGCCCATACTGACGCCCACCAGGCTCCTCTGAGGAGATCCTCAACATCCTCAGCGAAAGCAGCGCGGCGCGGCCGTCCGCGCCGAAGAACCCGATCGGATCGACACTGGCGACGCGCATGGCGCGCGACGCAGGGCTTTCGGAGCGCCCGACGCAGACGCGCGAGATGGTCGAGTCGGAGCGGCGCGCGCAGTTCCAGCGGCAGATCTACCGGCGCTGGCAGACGGGGGACATTTACTCGCCGCACGACCTGACGGGCGCCGAGCAGAAGAAGTGGAAGTACGGCCGCAAGAAGCCGCAGAGCGATGCCTTTGACGTCCTGGGCATCAACCCCATCAACGAGTACAAGGTACGACGACAACGGCGACGGCCTCTGGCTGCAGCGACTCTGTACCGACCCGCGGCTGACGCACGCAGAACTTCACAATCATGTCCGAGTACATGACGGAAATGGGCCGCATAAAGCACTCCAAGGACACGGGCCTGCGCCCCAAGAACCAGAGGAAGATTGCAAAGGCCATACGGCGGGCCATTGGCCTGGGGCTGATGCCCAGTGTCCACCGGCATCCGCTGGTCCTCAAGGGCGCCAAGCCGTCACAGTTCATGTAACAGCTGGCATTGTACGATACGACTACATGTAGATTTGATTGTAAGCATAGCCACTTGCGGCCACCTCCGCGTGCAAACGGCAAACGGCAGGTTTGCTGAGAACTAAGGAACGATATTCACAATTCCACCACCAAGACTAGACAGCGGCTTGACATGCACAGTTCCAGTGCGCAATGCTACCTTTTCATTACCATTACCGTCGTCTGATATACACGACGTCATTCACCCCATCATATGCGTGTCCATCGGTATACCATACTGGGCTCTGCCCTGCTAGCTCGAACCAGAAACGCCAAATCTTACACCGGGCATGCAGAGCCGCGCAGACCCCTCAGTCCCGATTTATGACCCTCAAGCTCCTCCGTGGATTGAGCAGCACACCCTTTGTGCCCCAGAAACTCGGCTCCTGCCCATCCAACAGATCCTCCGTGACGCTCCCCACGCTACTCCTCCTCTCCCAATTCATTGCCCCCGCACCGCCGTAGCTCGTATTCTCGCCGCTGCCGCGCCGGATATCAAAGCTGCCCGCCGCCGCGCCGCCGGCAGTGCTACCCGCCACTGTGCCCCGGCCGCGCTCGCTGGAGAACCTGCTGCTGGTGAAGGTGTTGTCGCGCTTCTCCGCCGCGGCCGTCACCGCTGCGGCGTGCTTCTTCCACATGGCGACTTGCTTGCGGTAGATCCAGGCGCAGAAAGCAAAGTAGACGGCGATGGTGGCGAAGACGCCTGCCACGACTCCCGCGACGATGGCGGCGATATTGGGTCCTGAATCGCCGCTCGACCCGTCCGAGGCGACAATCTCCGTGTACAACGCGCCGTTGGGGCCCGTGATGGTGTATGTTATTGCTTTGCCGGTTGCCAAGGGTCCAGCGGTAGGTGTCTGGACGGGCGCGGTGAGGGTGGCGCCGCCCAGAGCACTACCACCAATCGCTTTCTGAACAACCTCTGGGACTTCGTAGCGGTATGACCCTTCAATACCAGCGCTTGCGTTAAAACCACGCTGATTGGCTTGCTGGGCAAGAGGATTGCCGATGCTACCTTCGCCAGTGAAGTCTTGCAATGCCTTCCCGCCGGTGAGTGATGTGAATTGGTCGCTCCACGACAGACTGCTCATGTTGAAGACGTAGATACCGGGACTGTCGCACGACAGCTCCGTTCCGACATAACCTCCAATCACGATCATCTGCCCGTCCCAAACGTGGCAGGAATGCCCAGCACGGGCAGGCGGAACGCTCTGAGAATCTTGGTCGACCTCGATCCAGGTGAACGACGGGACAGACAGAATCCACATGTCATCCTTTTGTGTCTGATTCCCGTATGGCTGCAGGTTCTGACCACCAAACATGTAGATGTTGTACGACGAACCGCTGGGGCATGTCAGCAACAACCAATACCGTCACGAGCTGGGGTACTTACTCAAGTGCAGCTGCGACCACGGCGCATGGATTGACTCGATACGCAGGCATCTTTCCGGATGTACTTTGCTTGTACCACTTCGACTCGGCGATGTCGTATACATCAATAACATTCATTTGTGCCTGCACACTGTTAGCTCGAAAACTCCCTTGAGCCAGCGCTGTACGTACGAAAGTGTCGTTGTCTCCGCCAGTGAAACCAATCAAAAGACCCTCACTACTAAATCCAGGTATGTAGGTCAGGACACCATCAGCGCGCTCCGGGAACGCTCCGGTGTCCTGGATACCACCAGTGGTGATATTTCTGTAGACAGGCTCCTTGTCGGCCACCTTGCCGTTTTTCAGGCTTTCGACTGCATCGTTGGTGTGCCCAGGGAACGTGATCTCAAGCAGACTCTTCAAGTACACGCGTGCAATCTGATTGCTCCAGCCTTCAGTCGTGAAATCATCCAGATGCCCACCAAAATACCAGCCTCTGCCCAAAACAGTGACGCCGAACCCAGCACCCTCGGCAGCCCGCTGGATGCTCTGGCCGTCGCCCTCGGCGTTGGTACCAGCCGAGCTCTTCGGGTCAGCGTGCTCGACCCACGACTTGCTGTCGATCTTGTACTCCCAGATGGAGTTTGGCCCGGGCTTCGCTGCTGGTTTGTCCGAGTACTGGCCGCCGTAGAGCCAGAGCGATTCGTGCGAGGAGTAGAGGTAGCCGAGCGAAACGGCAGGCGGGCCACTAGGTTGAGGCATGCCGGTGAGCGAAGGGTTGGAGATCTGCCACGACTTGGTCAGGTCGAGAGACAGGAAGTCGTTTGCTATGCCTCGTCAGCGAGAGATTCGTGAGCGAACAGGAGGGAACCTACTCCATGTGTCGCTCTGCTGCTGTGCGTCGGTGGTCGTGCGGAACCCGTACATGTACAGCGTACCGTTGACAATAGCACTCTGGCCACTCCAGCGCTTGCACACATCGGTCTGTGCATCTGCTCTCTCGACGAGCGTCGATCTTTCTGCTACCGATGTGATGCTACCTAGTGGAACAGAGCTTCCGTATACACCGAGCGGTGCGATCGAGATCATCTGGATGATGGGCAGCATCAGAGCCAGCACGATCGCAAAGAAGCCTGCACGGTATAGCTTCGAGTTCGACATGGCGTAAGACGACGGGCTGGTGGAGCTCGGTCGTGAGATTTCATCCTCCTCGTCCACCGACTCCCAATCGCTTTCATCATCGGCTTCGTCGATGCCCTCTCTTTCCCCAAACACGCTGTTTCTGCTGCGAAATCTGACCGTCCTCGATGGTCGTTGCCGTCTGAATGCTTGCTCGGTCACGAGTATGGGTGCCGGGCTACGCTTCGTGCGGATCGTGTGCTCATCAACGAGCCCAACTTCTGTGAATATCGAACGGCGGCGGCCACTCGCAGTGGCAGGCTGAGATCGTACTTGCTCCATTGCTTTCGTCAGCGCAAGAACGATCCAGGTGCACGATTGATGTGGAAGGAGCGAAGCGCTAGTCGACACCAATCCTGAATCTAGAGAAAAGGGTCAACGGCGCATACGCCGTGTAAGCAGAGTAGCCTCGCGGCCGTCTGGCGAGGGATGGGTGGCGAAGCGAGAGGTGCTGATTTGCGTGCAGCAGGAAGGTCAAACAAGGCTCCACAGAATGACACTGGCCAGTACTGTTCGCAAGGTAGAACCCTCGGGCAATCGAGACGAAACAAACAGATGCTGGAAAGCGCGGCCTGGGGATGCGAGGGTGGATATGCTGCAGCGCCCTCTTTCCCGCAGTCCGGTTGCATGCCATGCCGTGCCGTCTGCTGTGAGGTCGACGGCGGACGCACGTCATGGGGCTGCTCGTAACGGCAGTGATCAGACTCTGGCATTCGGTTGGCTTTCAAAATGCCCCGGCCAGCTCTTGTAACAGACACTAGCGAAGTGGGACCACATCAGGGCAACGCTGCTACAGCCCAGCCTGCTTCTGCGGTCGCTCTCCCGCCGACGTAGGCACGATGATATCGCGGGCATGCACCTCGATTTGTGCCTGTATAGTCAATTCCTGCTGTTGCCCAATTGTCGCTTCCTGGAACCGTCGCAGGGGTTTCTATTCAAGGGCTCCTGCACGCCCGCAAATCAATAATGCGAGGCATTACACAAGCATTGCCCATGCCCAATTCGTGCACACCCATCGTATCCGGGTCCTCTAGCGCTTCACCTGATGTTAAGGATGCAGCTTACAGACGCGCTACCCAACGGAGATTTCAGTAGCATGACCCTTTTCTATTTTGGGCGCCTAGCGTCCGTTGAACATCCACCACACTGCAAGGGATGAGGCTGTGTCTCTGGTGCTCAGCACTCGGTTTCGACAAAGACGTGCAGAGCTTGGAGCACAGCGTACGCAGTCAGGCAGTACGGCATTTGTGCTAGAAGCGGTGAGGCTCGAGAAGTCCGACTTTCGGGTGCAGCCGTCCCGTCCGTCGTACGCTGCAGTGCTCACAGCACGAGCACTGCCACCCACGAGCACTGCCACCTACTGTGCGACCTCAGCTTCTCGACATGCGTATACCTCGCGATTTGCGAGGAATGGTGAGGCGATCCGGCGCCGGTGAGTACGGACCGTCGCTGCTGATCAGGAGCACGCAGGGTGATGGAAGCGCTCAATGCATTGCCACGCCACCTTCTAGAACAAATCGAAGATACAAGAGCAGAGCACCCGCGAGCCTGCGCAAGCTGCTCGCACGAGACACAAATCTCCGTCTACGCCGAGGGGTCTTATAGACTGTATTGCTTACACACGTCGCTCGCTTCAATCATCCTGGACACCGCCTGCTCGCCCGCTCGTTGCGCGCGGCAAATGCTTGAACCCACCGTCCTGCATCTCGGGGAACGAGTTGGCTGTCGCGGCCTTCATCTTTGCGTACGACACGTCGATCTGGAAGCCTGGTGTATCCTCGGGCGTGATGATTCGGTGGTCAGCCTGCACCGTCAGTCACGCCTCCGTCAGCCAGCAATAAGGCAGTCAACATACCGTCGTAATCCTCCAGCTCATATGCTCATGTAGATATCTTCCCACGGTCCCCTCATCGAGGCTCGACAAGTCTCCCGCCCTCAGGCGATCTTCCAGTGCGTTCGTCATGGCAACGACTCCGTTGGCATCGCCCGGAGCCGTTAAGATGACATCGCCCGCATATCCCATGCTCTGGAATCCGGTAAAGCCGACGAAACTCCCGTTGCGCATCCACACAGTTGCATCGTACGAAGACCCAGCTGTTGCCGCATCTGTGGGACCCAAGAAGACAAAGATCTTGTACCCACCCTCTGAGCCAGACTTTCGCACCCTGATGTTGGCGAAGTACTGGTACTGACACGGACTGTTTTCTTGGGGACTGCTGATTTGAATCGACCGGCGGTCGTTGTAAGCATATCCCTTGTTAGGTGAAGTCGAAGGGAGAGGATCACCCAGTTTCCATGAGAACTGCGACGTTGCGTCGTTGCCGTACAACCGATTGACCCTCATCACAAGAGTATCGTCCGCCGAAAGACCAACGAGCTCCGGATATGTGTACCCAAAGATAGTGTGGTCCCGCACATTCGCTGAAGTCCAGAAGTCTCCTGCTTTGCTGCGGTGGAAAGGATGTAGAGGCGTGTTCTCATCTGCATAGGCCCCGGCCTCCGAGGTAAAAGTCGCCGTCGGATTGGAGTGCTTCGTCACCCAGCTATCAGGATTCAGCGCCTGCCAAACAGCCGTCATGCGGTCGATGTTCGCATGCAGCAGCCAAAACACGGGATCGAACGCCGAGTATGCGGCATTGGTCATGTGGCCTGGTCCGGAGCTGCCGACGGTGTTATGGATCGTGTCGTGCACCGATTCAAGACTGTCGAGGACACCGCCGAGCGAGACCATGTTGTTACTGATATTATGATAGTTCTTCTGCATCGCCATCATCTGGTACGTGCGTTGCCGGAGATTGCCCAGGTTGAGATCGAGTTGAGATGCGATCATTGAGTTCTGGCTCTGTGCATCCGCCCACCTGCTTGTGGGATAGCGTAGGGTTGTCGGCCAGTGCGTCCATGGGAGTTTGCCCTTGTCCGTTCAGCGTGCAAAACAAGTCGTCTTGGAAATAGGCGACTTACGAAGAGCTCCTTGCCTGGCATTGGGTGAAAAGTGTACGAGTAGAGAGGGTTGGGTATGGTGGTCTTGGCCGAGCGCGTCCCATCTGGAATCTCGACTTCAATGGTCGCCCGTTGCACACTCCCTGTTGCAGTCAGTCAAAACCGCATTCACGTGCCAGCAGCACGACTCACAAGGATATGATCCTGTGCCAACAGGAGGCACAGCAGCAGCATCCCAGAACGGTAGCCTTAGCGCAGGCAGCGCAGCAGTCATACGCGCCTTGAACTCACCCTCCGGGAACTCAGCAATGACCGTACGGGCAGAAATGAAGATCCATTCCTACGATGTTAAGCTGATTGTATGTCAGGCGTCGTTTTACCAGCTCACCTCGACCAGAGCAAGGAATGGCCGATGCCATGTTGGGAACAGATTACTGCTGTGGTGGCAGTATCCCTCTTTGTATCCTTCTGGAGGCTGTGAGCGTCCTGCAACACCATCCCACGATATGAACGGCCGACCGTGAATGCCTGGTATTGATCAGCAGAGACAGCATCCTAGTGATCCACCGAAGCATACCAGCGATTTGGAAGTACGAGAACTTGTCATCTTGGCTCGTGTTCTGCCACCGCTGAAGGCCGAGCAGGTATACATTGAACAGGTCTGGGTTCCGTTGCAGCTCGCGGATCTCTAGTCGAGGAGCTGTAGTGTTAATACCCTGTCCAGGGACACCCAGTACCGGGTAGACGTCATCCTGCCGTCGTATGTGAGGGTGGATGTTGGTCACGACGTGCCGTCTTCGATGTGCGCGCACGATCTTGGCCTGTGTCGACGAGCACAGCACTCCAAATACGAAAAGTAGCTGCAGTGCTCTCAGCATCGACACGGGCGCCATGCCGAATATTGATATCCCGAGGCTGTAGATGTCAGTTTGGAATACGGCCAGCTGACGCCAATGGTCGGCGGGCTGTTGAAGAAGAAGAAGAAGAAGCTTTACGGTGTGCTGCAGGGCTTGTAAAAGGGGATTTCCGCACTGCACCGCGAGTCAAAAGGGGAGAGCGCTCAATTGCGTCAACGTGCCATACGTGCCACATGGAGCGTTCAGCTCCTGAGGAAGCACATCCCCGGGCCGCGAAAGCAATGGATTCACGTTAGCATGGCGCACACTGTCTCAACCCGTGTCACCGCGAGCGTCGTCTCGATCCATAACGCGAGATTGCAGCGCTCAGTGGGGTTCGAGAACAGGCTTTCTGGGGTTGACGCGACGCGGTCGCGACGTCTGTCGATCGGGTCGATCGCTTGCCTGTGTCGGCTGGGATGGAATGACTGGACCCTTCTCCGTTGCGAATACATCAATGTCAGGAGGCAAACTAGCTGTCGATACGAGTTGATGTGATTGGGCCTTTAATGCTTCCCACACAGGGTATCCCGTGGGGGGAGACGTGTTGCACGCGCGAGTTCCCAAAGCAGACAGCCATACGAGCGAACGTGACTATCTGGGCGAAGCCACGACGTTGCGCCTTGCTGAGGGGGTAGCTGTGCGACACTGCGTACCCTCCGACGACACGAGTCTTATCTGACGGTATCGATGCGGGCATAGCTGGCTGCATGTTCTGGGCATATCCAGGGCCAAGGCTGGTCAAGGGCAGGAACGAGGTTGCGCAATGAATGAAGCTTCAGCCACCACCGCAGCTCGCCGGCTTGATTGGCTCGGATGGTCACACCACCACGGCACGTTCAGCCTCTGTGATTGTACGACCGCACGTGAACCAGAATTTGATTGCTGCAAGACACATACGAATACCGCGCTGAGATCCGATAGCCTGCTCGGAGGCAACGGGGAAGCATGCAGCCGAGATCAGACATGGCAGTGATTGACCTTGTCGTAGACACATGTGAAAGCGCCATGGCCGCGCTCGTCTGAAACTTGGGATTCTCATCTCGTACCTATACAAACAGCAAAGGGAGCCTGGGGCCCAACAGAAGCCACCGAGGCTCGTGTAGTGATACTCCATTCTCCGTTCGCCGATTCGCGAGCGATCTAAACAAACCATCGCCAGCACCAAGCGGGTTGTCTTGCCTCGAAGGAATGCCAATGAGACTCAATTATCCACGTCGCCACCCATTTCCTCGTGGAAAGCGTCGCCAAACGCCGAATCGTCCACCAGATCGCCCAGACCCATGCTGTCGTCCTGTCCGAAGTCTGCTAGGGCATCACCCGCAGAATCGTCTCCGGTGAAGTTGGTGAAGTCGGGAACGCTGTCGAACATGCTGCCCACGTCGACATCAACCGACGACTGGCCCAGTGTGTTTTGGTCGTTCGTTGTGTTGTTGTTTGCGGTCGGTGGGGGATTGTTGCTCGACTGCTGGGCGTGGCTCGCTTGCTCGTCCACCACAACCCAGTCATTGCCGGCCTTGTCGTCTGCGTTTGTCATACCGGACATCTCAACATCCAGATCCAGGAGATCGTCGCCGGTATCGTCGAGATGCGGTGTTTGCTGATCGAAGGTCTGTTGCTGAGCCTGGTTACCCGAGAGCAGGTTGGGTGTTCCGACTGCTGACTGCGATTGACTTGGGGGCTGGGACATGTGCGGCATCGATATGTTTCCAGGTGTGCCTCCCAAAGACCCAGTGCCGTACTGGTCGAGCAGGCTGGCCGCGGTGTTGTCAAAGTCTGAAGCTCCGTCGTTGTTGGGACCGTTCGAGGCGCCGTTGGAGCTCGGCTGTGTCCCGTTGCCGTTGGTTTGTGTCTTCTGGGGCGGAGATGGCTGCCTTTCGATGAACCCGCCCTTGTCCACACAAACCACCGACTTCTTGGCATCAAACTTGACGTTCAATGACTTCTCCAGATCCTGAACAACACCTTCTGACGGGTCCGGGCCTTCGTCATCACTTGCTGGCAAGCGTGACAGGTCCCGCAACCTCCTCTCGGCCTTGATGTAGGTTCGTGTGCGCTTCAGTTGTGCCATTTTGCGCGCATGGTCGGCCTTCATCTTGTCGATCTCGGCCTGTTCGTTCTTCGTGTACTCGGCCACTCGCTTCTCAAAGGCCTTGAGGTGGTCTGGGTTCATCTTGTAGTAGTCTTTGATCTTGTAGCCGTCCTTTGCAGTGTCCGGGGTCTCAGCCCCTGGCACATCCAGGATGCCGGCTGTCAGAGGAGCGAGCTCGCCCATAAGACCCAGGCCAAGGTCGATCGGCGCAATGTTCCCGACGGCGTATGGCGAGGAGAAGATTTCCTCCATCCATTCGTGATGCTGCTTGTATCGCGACAGGCTGATCTCGCGGGGGGTCAGAAAGTCAAAGGCGTCCTGTGTAGCATTCTCCTCGTCCTCCAGGGAAGTATCTGGCAGCGCTGCTCCAGCAACCGGCGGGCGCGCTTGTGCGGGTGCGGGGCCACGCATGCGCTTGGCGGGCGGTGGCTGCGCGGCATAGGGCCGGCCGGGCTGCATGGGGTTGTAGTAGGGCTGCTGTTGTTGGCGCATGGCTGCTTGCTGTCCGAACTCGACCTTGGGCCAGTTGGATGCATCGTGCAGCATAAACTCTTTGCGCATGAGCGGTCCGGCGGCCTGGAGCTGGGCTCGCATCTGCAGCGTGGCCTGGGTCTCGCGTGGAACGGGGATCTGGCCGGCGGCGAGTCTGTGTTGCTGGTCCGCGGGCCTGTAGTATACCAGCCACAGGTTCGGGTCGAAGCTGCCGGGCCCTGCAGTGAGGCGGTATCGGTATCGGGAGTGCACGGCGAACGGCTCGTGGGGATAGTGGTAGCCCGTGTTGTGGACCAACACCTGCAGTGTCTACGCGGAGTCAGCCAGGCGTTACAGACGGCAGGCCACGCGGGCGCATACGTAGCCGCGGATGGGCATGTCAAAGGCCTGCTCGGGGTCTGCCCAGACCATGCCGTCAGAGGCAAAGTGCGTCGCCATCCTCGGAGGCTGCCATGTGAGGATGACGGTGCCATCTTGCGGCGGCGATGCGAAGAAGGTCCAGGCGACGGGCGAGCTGTCGCGCACTATCTGCGGTCCCTTGGTGAGGTATTCGACCGCCTGCTCCGGTCGCAGCTGGGGCAGGGAGGGGAATCGGTATGACGACACCAGATGGACGTGCGCGAGCTGTGTTGTTAGCCGTTGTCGAACTGGTTGAGCTGGTCAAGCTGCCCTGGCCAGCTGCCGGCGCACTCACGAGGTGGTTCGGCACCTGCGCGCTGGGGTCGCCGCCGCCAGCATTATACGCCTGGTTCATGCCGTACATGTCGATCAACGTGACGCGACAACAATGCCGCGCGATTCAGATATCACAGATGTGTTGTGGGCGGACGCGAATGCTCGGAACGCTGGGGGTGCATCTTTGGCGCGTTGCAGCGGCGCATCGCGATTCGCGACTTCCACGCCAAGAACGCACGGTCCATGCAACAGTTGCTCAGGGCATCAGGTCCAGCTGGACAGTCACTTCTATTGGGGTACCATGTGCTTTGGGGCATCATGTGCTTTGGGGCATCATGTGCTTTGGGGCATCATGTGCTGAAGTATTGGCTCCCTCGAAACTCGGGGAAGATGCAAATTCACAGACTGCACTCAGTCCCGAAAAACCTCCTCCCTCGTCGGTGCCTCTTTCCGCCGCAGCGCGACAAAGTACGCCTCTTTGGATGCCTGCTTACCGTCAGTCAAATCTTGTATATGGACATGGGAAGAAACGTCGGGCTGGACGTACAGCGCGTGACGACTCGGGCTTCTCCCGCGACACCTTTGCAAACAGGCGCTTCAGCTTGGTCTCAAAGGCCTTGTCTTCAGAGCCCTGGTAAAACTTGCAGAGAAAATGACCCCCAGTCTTCAGCGTGTCGAATGCGAACGTCAGTGCAGCCATGCACAAGTCCTGCTACGTCAGCCATGGTCTCCATGTGTAGAGGCTGACCATACCATGCTCCCTGCGTGATCTCTGAACGAGTTGCCGCTGGTGTTCATCATCCTAAAGTACGGGTCACTAAGGCTCTTCTTGTAGAAGCCGGCGACTTGGTCCCAGGGTTCTGACATGTCACTGAGCACCACATCGACAACTCGGCCGCTGCGAAGATCCCGCTCTTTGACAGAGAGCTTTGCTTCTGAGCCGCTCTCCGTGTCTTCTGCTAGTCGCTCCGTCTCGACGCCCTCCATGTGTGCCTGCCTCTCAATGTCGATGTACCCGCGCTCCATCTCGTCCACCTGCTCTTCAGTGAGCCCATCGGGCTCCTCTGACATTGTCCGTTTGCGCGGACGACCGAGAGTGGGGTCTCGGACGTAGGCTCGAACGTCGTCTTGGATATCCGGAGACAGGAAGTTGCCTTGGATCGTGGAAACGCCTCGTGGAGGCTGGGCTGGGATGACATCGATGCCTATGACGCGTCCGTCAGGCGCCGTGCGGTTCACAGCGACCTGCGACCACGAGCCTGGTGCAAAGCCCTTGGCACATCAGCACCGTCTTACGGGTATAGGTTCAGAGCATACAAGATCAACGACAGTCTGTCCAGGCTGAAACAGCTTGTGCTTCTCATTCAGCTACAGCACATCAGCACGCAAACTACGCAGCGAATCCAGCCGACTACCTCGAGCAACTTGAAGGCAGCGCGACTCTTCAGACCCTGCACGCGGGCTTCGCGAGCAAAGGGGTCATTGCCCTGACGCGTCTTCCACCTGGTCGAGGACGAGGACGCATGGCGAGCGCGTGGCGCATTGAGTTGACTCGGCGTGCGACCGGAGCGACAGCTAGCTGCAAGGCACAATGGCCCTGTTACGGTGCCAGGCTCTAGCAATACGCTGTCTGTGAGCTGGCGGAAGACTCGTCGTGAAAGCATGAAGAAGGTGCGGTCGAGCAGCAAGCACCATAGCTCCCAAAAGTTTGGGAGCCGCGGCTGCACTTGCCCTCGGATCGCCTTGATCTTAGCTCGCCTCCGCGACCATTTCGACCATTGCAACACCAACAATCAGGCGAAGACGCACCCTTTGGATACAGCCTTGTATCCTCAGCCCGCCTGCCTCGCCACCAGAGTGTAACATGGAGAGCGAATCTCTCCTCGGCATGTCGCCGTCTGACACGAGCTGTTCTTCAGCTTCTGCACGAGGTCCAGTCTACCCATCGACAGGTGTCATGCTCCTGGCATCCGCCTCTCCCACGCTGAGCCTTGGATGTTTACCGGTAGCGGGCTCGTCCGGTGAGTGAGCTGAGACACGGGCCATGAGCAGGTATTGCTGGCACATGTCGTTGTCCAGACACGCAGGGCGCTCGACTTGACCGGAGAGTCTGCTTGTCCGCAGGGTGCCGGGATTTGCCTGAGATGATGACGAACAGGCAGGAAAAGTCAGTGAGCAGAAAGCCGGGTGCTGGGGTTTCTAGGCTTCGAGGGGTTTCTAGGCTTCGAGGGGTTTCAGGGGTTGTCACAGTGTTTGCGCGATGCAAGGACAACATATTGCTGCACATGCTGCACACCTTCCAGAGAGGACTTGAATCGGCATGTACATCATTATCAGTGCAAATGCTGCATAGCTCAGTGCAAGTGCTGCAGCTCAGTGCAAGTGCTGCGGCTCAGTGCAAGTGCTGCAGCTCAGTGCAAGTGCTGTGGCTCAGTGCAAGTGCTGCATAGCTCAGTGTCAGCACCGTCAGATGCACGAGGGCGGCCTCGAGGCAACAGGGTCGTGCACTGACTCGCTCGCCCACCACACGAGCCAAATGTCAGCCACACAGGCGACGGCGACTCACCCGCACTGACGCTCTCACCCAGTGTGTGAGAGGCTGCGGGTGCATTTATCTGCAGACAGTGGGGTCCGGTGAGTGACTCTGGCACATGCAGATCCGTGCTAAGCGGGCAGTTCGCATGAACATGAAGGGTCGGGCAGCTGCAAGGCCCTCACGGCGAATTCGTCGTCGCTCCGAGAAGCAGAGTCATCGCGCCACGCTATAAGTGATCGGTATAGCGTCCAGCGATTCTGTGGGAGAGTGCACTTTGTAATATTGTCGCAGCGATTCTGGTGTCTTCCAGGAACTGCTGCGAGCGCGACCACCAAAGCCTGGCTTCACTTGCCGTGACCGATGACGTAGACCTAGAACCTCACCCCGGCTGCCCTCTTGTTCCAAGGTGCGCCTGATCCCGCCCTGCTGGGGGCTTCGTTGCGCGTCCAGCCGCTCCCTCCTTTCCGCCATCCTATTGTACCTCTCGCTCCCCCGCTGTTCGAATAGCGAACTGTGCATGTTCATACTGCGAGCGTTGATCGACCGTTGGCCTTGATCGACCGTTGGCCTTGACCGATCACGCGTTCGCCAATCACTGCGAGCTGCGATCGGCACCACTACGCGTTCCTGAGCCACTCGGTTGTCATCAGCCCTGCACCTGTCAGACTGCCCGACGGGCTGAGCAGACGGCGACTCGCAGCGGACCGCTACACGGCAGCAACAGTCCACGACACACGACACACGACACACGACACACGACACACGACACACGACACACAACACACACGACATACCACATACACGACATACCACACACACGACACACGACACACGACACACGTCGGGCTATCCCGCCCGCCCACCGACACCCCCGCCATGTCGACCGTCTACAAGCGCAGCGAGCGCGAGCGCGACTGGGAGACGCAGTCCCAGGGCGGCGGCGCCCGCAGCTACACGACAGTGCGCCGCTACAAGGTGCCCGACCACAGCCTCGAGGCCGACACGTACGAGCAGGAGCGCATGCTCGTCCACCGGCCGCGCGAAGACTACGAGGAGCGGCGCGAGGTCCGCAAGGAGTACGTCGTGGAACGCAGCGACCCACCGCCCGCGCGCAGCCACATCAGCGAGTACCGCTACGTCGACCGCTCGCCCTCGCCGCCGCGGCGCGAGGTCCGCGAGTACCGCATCGAGCGTGAGATGGACCGCTCGCCCTCGCCCGCCCGGTCCAGCGCACGTGAGATACGCATATCCCGCGAGTACGAGCGCGACCTCCACGAGCAGCAGCGCGACTACCAGCCGTACGAGCTGGAGCGCTACTCGCGCGACACCGAGTTCTTCCGCCCCGAGCCGGCCGCCGCGCCCCAGCCGCAGCCCATCATCATCCGCAACGAGGCCCAGCCGGCGCAGCAGCCCATCATCATCCGCGAGGAAGTCCCGCAGCCCATCATCATCCGCGAGCGCATCCAGGAGCCCGCCTACGACCTCGTCGAGCGGTCGGAAGTGTACGAGGACAGACAGCTTGCCCGCCCGCGGCCCCGCCTCGACGACGAGTACTACTACGAGCGCAGGATCAAGGAGGTCGATCGGGGCGGCCGGCGGGAGGAGCGCTACTTTGACGAGCGCGAGCACCGCGACCGCCACGGCGACGGCGACTACTACAGCGACGACGACGTCGTGTACGTGCACAAGGAGAGGGACACATGGGACCGAGACGGGAGTCCGAACGGCAAGCGCAGCGCTGCTGCCGGAGCCCTCGCCGGCGTCGCCGCCGGCCAGATCATCAGACACCACCGCAAGAGAAAGGGCGAGGAAGCCGGCGGCAACATTGGCAACGCCCTGGGCTACGGAGCGCTGGGTGCTGCGAGCGCCGTGGCGCTCGACCGCTATAACAACCGCGACAGGTCCCGCTCGCTCTCCTCGGGCCGTGGTCGGCACCGGAGGCACCGGAGCAAGAGCCGCAACCGCAGCAAGTCGCGCGTGAGGGAAGTCGGCACGCTTGCTGCCCTTGCTGGTGTTGGTCTTGCTGCTTACGCCGTAGGGAAGCGGAACAAGGAGAAGAACGCCCCCGTGACCACCGTCGTCGAAGAGCACCGGAGTAGGTCCCGCAGACGGAGGGGCGCCTCGCGCCATGGACGAAGCAGGTCGCGGTCTGTGACTGTCATCGAGGACAAGGGCCGTGGCAGGTCTCGCAGCACGAGTAAGCACATGGACCCTGAGCACCGCAGCAAGCGCGCCGCCTCAGTCGGCCTCGCCAGCGCCGCGGTGGCCGGCCTCGTCCAACGCAACCGCAGCAAGTCTCGGAAGCGCAAGGGAAAGCGGTCGCCGAGCCGCGTCCGCCAGGGCGTGCCCATTGCCGCCGCCGGCGTTGCCGGCGCCGCTGTCACGGGACTGTACGAGAAACACAAGGCTAAGAAGGAAGCCAGGGCGCTCTCGCGGTCCAAGTCGAGGTCGCGCTCGAGATCAAGGTCGGTGCTCTCCCGCCATACTGGGCGCAGCTCCAGTAGGCCTAGAAGCGCAAAGAGTGACCCTGTGCTAGTAGAGTACGGTGGTGATCCAATCTATACCGACCGCGAACGAAGCCGATCCCGCGGCGCGCGCAGACGCCGACGCGATCGATCCTCTTCCTCCTCGAACGGCCGCCGCGGCAGCAGAAGCCCGAGTCGGAGCAAGAGTCGTGTGCGGTCGGTAGCAGAGACGGCGGCGGTCGCTAGCGTGGCTGGACTTGCGGCTCACGAGGCAGCGAAGCGACGTGACCGCAAGAAGGCCGAGAAGGAGCGAGGCCGACGACGTGAGTAGCGCCCTGCTCTTGGCAATTCAGCGACTGACAGAGGTGCAGGCGACGATGAATCCGCCCACAGTCAAGACAGCCACAGCCCTGGACGCTACAGCCCCGATCGATACAGCCCGGGCGAGGCGACTGCTCGCCCCAACGACTCCCAGTACTTCCCGTCGACCAACTACTTCCCTCCCCCACCGACGGCGCCCGTAGACGCCAATCTTCCCAACGCCCCCTACCCAGCATACAACCCCGCCGACTACCCGTCACACAACGACTACGCGCCACAAAACGACTATGCGCCACGCAACGACTACCCGCCACGCAACGACTACCCGCCACAAAACGACTACCCGCCACGCAACGACTATGGCCCGCCACCGCCCGGCGGCGGCTACATTCACAACGACATGAACCCCGGCAATCCGTACGCGCGTCAAGAGCAGAACCACTACTACCAGGCCCGTCGCGGAGACGAGAATGTGAGTGCTCCCGCCCCCGTGACCTCCGGCGCCGAGCACGTCCCTCCCGTGTCAACGCGTGGTGGGTCCAACCTATCCACGCATCGCGCCCGCATGTACTGACAAGCGCCAGGTCTAAACAAGCGCCGCGCCGCGTCGCCGGCGGTCGCGCCCAGCCCCCTCGGCTCGCGCGAGAAGGAAGTCAAGTTTGACCTCAACCCGCAGGAGCAGGAGGTCTCGCCCAGTCCTCTGCGCGCGCGCCGCGACGACCGAGACGGCGACGGCAAACGCCACCGTCGCGCTGCGTCGCCGGGGTCGGACACTGATTCCACCATTGAGCTTCCGCCGCGATTTGACGACAAGGGCCGCAGAAGGGACGATGCCTACGATCCGGCTGCGGAGAGACTGGAGAAGGTGTTGCTGAGTTTGTTCCGGTAGCGTGGGGTTGTTTTCGGGGCGGCTGAGTCTGTTCCGGTAGCGTCGAGTTGTTTTCGGGGTTGGAGCTGGGGTTGGGGTTTGGGGGTTTGGGGGTCAATGGGGATGAGAGGTTGCTGCAGGTGCAGATAGAGGCGGAGACGGACACGCGCTTACGATACCCATGATGCACGATAGAACGTTACTATATCCTTTCTCTCTTCTCGCGCCTTGTCCTCGCCCCTGTCTCAGTGACTCGTTGACACGGCACCACACCAACATCAGCGCATCAACATCAGCGCATCAACAGCAGCACATCAACAGCAGCACATCAACGCATCAGCGCATCAGCGCATCAGCGCCCGCGCATCCCACACCATGACCCGCTCGTCCCACGCCGTGCTCGCACACCACCCCTCAGCACCAAACAAGCACCAATCCACACCCGTCACAAACTCAGTGTGCCGCCCCATACGCCCCATCTCGCGCCCGCCACCGTACACCATCGCATCGCCCGCCACATCCGGCCCCGCAGCGCCCAGCGCACTCCCGTCCGTCCACACCCGGCACGTCATGTCGTAGCTCGCGCTCAGCAGCAGATCGCTCAGATGCGGACTCCAGCTCAGGCGGCGCACGGCGTACTCGTGGCCGGGCAGCACGGCAATGGGCCCTGCGCCCGGCATGCGGATGTCGAAGACGCGGATCAGGCGGTCGACGCCCGCGGCGGCCACGATGGTGTCGCGGTACTTGTTCCAGTCGTGCGTGAGGGCCTCGCTCGGCGCGACGCCGACGGGGGCCGGGGTGCCGATGCGTGGCGTGGGGGGGGTGTGCAGTGCGATGCTGAGGGTGAGGTGGTTGGAGGCGCTGGCGGGCGTGCGCAGGTCGAAGACGCGCAGGTGCGAGTCTGAACTCACGCTGCTGACGAGGGCGGGCGCGTGCGGGCTGAACTGCGCGCTGTAGGTGCAGCTGTGGGTGGGCAGGGTGGTGATGCTTGCGTTGCGGTTGGGGTTCCAGATCTTGACTGTGCCGTCCCAGGATGACGACAGGAAGGTGTCTTTGGCTACGAGGTTCCAGTGCACGCTGAAGACCTCGCGCGCGTGCTCGCTCCACGACTGGATCGGGAACTGCGCCACGTTGGTGTCGAAGAGCTTCACGCTGCCGTCGCCGCCCGCCGTGAGGAGCTGCGACTCATGCGCCTCCGACCACGCCGTGTCGAAGAGCGAGTCCTGCGTGTCGAACCTGGGGCGGGCTTAGCATGTGCATGCAGGAGGGTAGATTGCATCTACGCACCACTTCTCGGCCACAATGCCGTTCGCCGTCAGCCCCAGAATGTACAGGCGTCCATTCCCTACGAGCCCGAAATTGGCGGAGCTGGCGACGGCGATGCGCGAGTCGAAGAACGGCGAGTACTTGACGCCGTAGCCGTTGTAGCCCTGCGTCCGGAACTCCAGCATCGTGGCGGTCTGTACAGTACTTTGCGCAAGCGACTTGGTGCTATGTGGCCTGGAATTCCAACAAGGTGCTGCGCATCGTCGCGCGCGAGATGCTGCAGCTGTCCGTGTACGCCGACATGGTTGGGATGACGAGCAGAGCCGAGGCTGCGGGGCACGTCAGACGCTGCGCCGCGTCCGTCAGATCCAAGTGCGCACGTGAGAGCGCGATCAACGAGCCGGCGCGTCCTGCTGCAAGTGCTGCTGTAGAAAGAGCACGAGCATGAGCGTTCAGAGATCAGGACCGGAGTCACTTGAATGTATTCCTTCTTCGAGCCCGCTTACTGCGTCCATGCACGCGGCTTCGCATCGTCTACACCTAGGTGGACCCGGCTGCCGGTAAACACCGCTCACACGGTGCATTCCGCGTGCCCCCACCCCTGTAGCCGCCTCCATGGCAGCCGACAACCTTTGGGTGTTTAGACAAAGTCACATCCGAGTGTGGAGAGCTACGTGACATTCAGGTCGGATGCTGCTACCATCTATGTAGATTGTGGAGACGATCAAGGGGTATCGCGAGATGCTGTGCATGAAGTGACGTAGACTTCCTCCTTCCCTCTCCTTCCCTCTTTCCCGTGTACGCATAGCGAGACGCCCAGCGCCCATGCAGGCCCCTGCGACGCAGCTACCAGGTACATTACAGGCCTGTCATCTTCAGTACACGCTACTGTTGTACTCCAGCATGCTCTCACGCTTGGAGATGTCTTGTGTGTTTCCGGTCGAGGTTGTCGTCCCCAGCATCGTGATCCATGTTGCCTGCCAAGTACCAAGTGGGGAGAAGACGACTTTCGAGGTAGAAGGCTCTGTGCAGTGCCTGCATATCGTATGACGAGACTGCGCAGTGCGACGTCAGGTTCGCGGCCTGGGCTCTTGACACATGCCAGCCAAACTGTGCCGTGAACGATGCCAGCCAAATCGTGCCGGTCCTGTTGGACGTGCAGACATGGGTAATGGTGACGACACATGGTTCACAAGAACTGAGATAGTTCTCACTTTGCATCTCACATGATGTATGGATGTATCTGAATCCTCATCTTCTGCCGGCATGGTTCAGTCATCGAACTTTAGGCCGGCAGTCCGGAGCCACATCTGTCGTTTGCCTTCGGCTTCGCGGACGAGCTCAGCGGAGAGGCGGATACTGGGGGCAAGGTGCGCGTAGCGTTCCATCTCCAACACAACATTGTTGATAATGTCATCCATGGTTGCTGGTGGAGGGAGGAGTTGAGACAGCGACTGGGTCATGGTCGCGCCCATAATGAGAAGAGTCTGCGAGACAATCCTGGAGACGAGTTAGCGTAGACCAAAACACGTGTGCTCCAAACCTACGAGAGCGCGCCTTGGAACAGATAAGGCAGGTGGCCTGCGTGGTGCGCAGTGATATACTCCAGCTGGCGTACGCACGCCTCCAGGCACTTGTGGCAATTGTCCTGCACGCTTGAATCCAGTGCGAGGCTCTCGTCCTGCAGAACGAGCAGAACGTACGGCCGGAAGATGATCGTGCGGCAAGCGAAGTAACGAAGCCTCAGTACTGTCTGTACGGGGTTCTGCAGGGGGACACGATCGAGCGGAAATTGCATCGCTGGTGGCAGGCCTGCGTACCACTGGTTCAGCTGGAAGTCAAGTTCCACGACAAGCGGATCCAGCTGTGCGATCGATGTGGCAGCCGGACCTTTCGAGTACGGTGTCGTGCGGATGTAGAGCATCGAGCTCACTCTGTTCAGCAGTCTCCGAAGGGCAATCTCTGCCAGGAAGTACCATAACTCGTCTCGGCCGACTGCCTCAGTGCCCATATCCTCAAAGCCGGTGGGCAATGAGAAGCCCTCTTCAAACTGTGAGATACCAGAATGCGGAAGATCGAGTTCAGCAAGAAGATCACTAGACGAGCGTCAGCATAGGTGCAGCAAGGAAACGGAGCCGCTCACCTCTCAATCATCACTGCGTTCCAATAAACTCTCCTGCCCAGCTCTTCCTCGGCTGGCGAGACTCTACCGGGAGCACTGAGAAGTAGTTGCAGCTTCATGCTAGCCCCCGACAAGACGTTCCATGCTTCAACAGGTCGGACCAGGTATACCAGATAAGCAGCAGCCAGGATCTGACATTGCGCCGCCACCATGTTGTTCCTGGTCATCATGCTGGGAAGCAACTCCCATGCTGCAGCAAAACATTGCAAACCAGGAGGCTCCTTCTCAGGATTCTGTAGCGTTATGCTGCCAGTACTCCCAGCATGACCGAGTGCCAGCACCAGAAGCACTATGCAACTCTCCGGGCCTCCGCGGAACCCCTGGGTGAGGGCCGTTTGGTAATAGCTGCTCCAGGTATACGGATTGACACATGCGTAGAAGACATTCACACGCTCAAAGTACGCCTGCACATACTGGCCAGTGTTCGACAGATCCAAGCCGCGTGAAGTCACAAGGCTGACTGGTTCTCGGCTCATCTCCAGCTGAAGCAAGATCTTGGGATCGTATGGACGAGAGACCAGCTCCCGAATCATAGGGGAAGACAACAGGTTCAAGGCTGCCGTGTTGTGCGTCTTCGGCATAGTCGAGATGTTGGAAGGGTGGTTGGTCCACGTGCCAATTCCGTTGATTGGCTGAACCATACCCAGATGGGACATGTGGCCGGTGCTGCGGCCAAGGAAGTCCTCACTCGTGGAGTTGCTGGTAGTCGGCGAGTGCGTGGCTAGTGAGAACGTGCTGGTGATGCTAGTCTGCAGAAGACCTTCAATACGATTGAGATGCTCCAGGATCAGTTTGTCGCCGGCGTCGAGTTTGATCCCAGGCTCCCGGTAGACGCATTCTGCGTTGAGTTCCGTACAAAGCCTGCATTTCGGCCTTGTGCCGTCGCACCGCGACTTCCTGGACCGACAGATCTCGCACTACAAATGTCAGTATTGAAACACCACAAAGAAGCAAGCTGCAGTACCGCGATAGTCGCGCGTCTCCTTGGGTAATCGATTGTGTCGGTGCTGGGACGCTTTTTGTTTAGCGGTCGCTGTTCGCTGATTGAGCCGTTGGAATTGGTAGTAGCGAGCGCGGTGCTTCCTGCCTGGCTCGTTGCGGGTGGTGTGCCGTTTATGGACATCTCACGATCGGTACCGGACGACTGAGACATGTTGCGGGCGCGCTTTCGGTATGAATTGCTCAGACCACCACCACCAAAGATAAGGCCATTGGGGGACTCGAGGAGATGGGGAGAGCGCAGTGCAGATTTGAGCATGAAGCTGCTCGCGTCCGGTAGAGTGGCAAGGTTAAGGCAGAAGGAGTCTCGCGGGAACAGACCATTGGTGGTTGCTGCTGACACGGGACTAATGTCTGGAGAAGGCGTGAGTCCGGCCATGATTGGTGGGCTCACAATACAACGGCCGATGCAGGCTGCAAAGAGTGTTCTGGCGTAGACAAGCGCGCAGCCACGATATCGATAAAAAACGTCCAAGATGCAAAGTCGGGAGCGGTTTGAAGGTTGTCATCTGAGTTGAAAGAGCAAGCAGAAAGTCAACGCGCGCAACAAGCAGTACCTAGTCAGCGCAGGCAGCCGCCCTCCCGCAAATATAGTGCTACGAAATTTCGCCTCCCTTAGCCTCAGGGAGACTGAACTGTCGTCACGAAATGAGGGTTGCTTGAATGCGGGGACGGGCTGGGGCGCAGATGACTCCACTCAGACAATCAAAACTGGCGCCAGATAATCGCACAGGGGTGTCGGTGGATACCATTTCGTGACCCCAAAGCCCTTGCCAAGTTGACAAAGGATTGGGACAATCTTTTCACGGGCGGTAGGAAAGACAGTCAGGGACCAGTAGCATTGACAGCCACGCGCTGGTCGATGGGGTCACTTGTTGCTTACCGAACAGTTTGCAGGAAGCACAGGGCACGAGAAGTGCCACACCCTGCTCTCCCATGCGGTTTGTCGAGACAGGACAGCCAAGCGAGCATGCTTGCGTCGATGACCATATTGGATGCAAGCCGCTTACACGGCTAAAGAGCTGTATGCCGCCGTCTCGGCACGGAGAACCATGTGCGTAGCATATAAAGTCAGCAACAACCAATCTGACTCCAGAGCGATCAGCGTTGGACCTGCATCAGAGTCAGCTGCTGATCACGAGAATGTAAGCTATTGAGGATACTTGCAGCCGCCTGGTTTGCTGCGAATCACTGTAGCCGATCGATAGAAGCCCTGTACATCGTGCTATAGGCTGGGGTCGGTCCTATGCCGCATCTCATATCGAAACAACGTCCTATCACTGGGCAGAATCTTGCTGTCGAGCCATAGAAGCCGTAGAGGGTGCTGATTGGTACAAAGAACAATCGAGGAAGCGCCAGAAGCCTTGGGAATTATGAGGGCCCTGTCACTTGTTTCAATCTTTGCTGGGTCGCATGCTGCCAGGTCGTGACCTGCTGCAGGTGTATCTCAAGACGTGGTTAGATGATATTGTCGATTACCGCTTTGGAGACGGACGACGGTGCAATCGAAGTCTGACAAGCGAGCCACACATCCACGTGGCCTGCAGGTCCAGCAAATGTGGGGTACACATACCACAGGCGAGCTGTGCGACGAGGGGCACGAGGTGACTTAATCAAAGTCAGGCTGTTTCTGGAAGGAAGATTATCGAGCCGTCAGATCTGCGGCTGCAAGCGCCACGGCGGTCGATATTGCCCTACTGCAAGGACTATCGTACCCAATGCAGCAAGGCATATGGACCAATTACGCGTTAAGCGCTAGCTTCTCTATTCACGTGTAAGTCGCATGTACTGCGGATGTTATTGAGGTGAGAAATCGTGTTGCGATTGTGGGGTAACGGTTTACAACTTGCGTACGGCCGCCTCTACTTGCTCTGTTTCTGGGCGTTCATCGACCAGTTCTGGAATTGCGTGAACAAGGTGGGCTGCAGAGGTGACTTCCTGTCCGCGAACCATTGTTTCTGTGTCTCGGCATACACGTCGACAACGCCGGCGTAGTTTGCCTTGTCAAGACCCACAAGGACCTTGACAACGTGCAGGCTAGCACTGCTGCAGACGTCTGCATGAGCTTTAGCACCACCACCATTCTTCGCTTCCTCATGGATGCCCTTCAAGATTGCCCATACTGTCTCGACAGATTCAGGCTTGGGCAAGGGGGCTTTGTGTTTCGAGCGAGTGTCGAAGTATGTCTTGAGCATCTTGGTGCTCTTCTCGGCCAACTGCTTGTTTGCGCTGGCGCGCGTGCGGCGCAGCACAGGCAGAAGGACCTCAAGTGTGAGTGCGTTTGAGTACTGCTTGTCCAGATATATAGCTAGGAGATCGAGGACTCTTGACTTGAACTGGACAACGTTCTGCTTCGCATCCTCTCGGTCCTTCTTCTGGCTGGTGACCTGGCTGCGTTGCTTGAAGATCTTGCTGAGTTGAGGATCCAGCGCCATCATCTGCTCATCATCCATGTCGGAGTCGTCAGAGTCATCGCCGTCCATATCTGCCTTTGCTGTGCCGAGAGTCATCTGGAGCAGGTTATTGAATTGCGTCAACTCTGCATCATCTTCCTCATCATCCTCATCTTCATCGCTCTCACTGCTGTCACCGTCCGAAGAGCCAGATTCGTCATCGTCTTCCGCATCATCGTTGGCCAGTTCCACGTCCGAGTCGACCATCTCGACATCTGAGTCCATCTCCGACTCATCATTAGAGTCGTCGGACTTGGCTTCCTCGGCGTCGTCGTCGCCCTGGTTGAAGAGCTCTTTCTGGCCCTCGAAGTTTTCAGCAGTGTCTAAAATCTCAGCGAGCGACTGCAGCCCTTCCGAGCCGATCTCAGACGCAAAAATGGAGAACGCCTCTTCACCGATCTTGCGGAACAAGGTGCGCGGGTTGCCGAGGAAGGACAGGACAATCTCAACGAATGCATCAGAGCCCTCGCCGGAGTCCTTGTTCTTCACCATTGCCTTACGAGAGGCATCAAGGTCGTCGAGCATCATGATCGCGTCACCGTCTCCATTGTAGACTTGCAGTAGCGTTAGCGAGTATAGGAGCACGAAGCCCTCAGCAGCCATCTTATTGCCAGCGATTGAGCCCTATTAAATCTGCGTTAGTTACATCGGGTGGCTGAAAATGAGAATGCTTACCTTTTTGGAGATCTTGTCGAGCGTCTCGAATGCCTTGTCTACTGTCTCCATGACGTTCGGCTCGGCCTTGAACACCGATTCGAAGGTCTTGGTGGAAGACTTCTTAGCGCGAAGGATATTCATAATCATCGATGCGAAAGAAGATTTGGAGCCGGCCTCAACACCGAGCAACCTTGTGAGGCAAGAAGACAAACGTTCCTGGAACATCGTCCTGCTAGCTTCGCTGATTGGAGGAAGCGGCACCTTGCTTGTCTTTACATCCTTTGAAGGTGTGAAGTATGCATACTCTACAAGAAGCTCGAGGATGCTGCGGAGCCAATTCTCGCCCTCGAAGACGTCATCCGATAGCTCATCGTAGCGCTTGAACTGTTTTACAGTGCTGATAAGAAGATCGGCGATGATCTGTCGACGGCTATCTGCGACGTTTTGCTCCTCTGTCTCAGGACGCAGGATGACAGACCTGAGGTGACGCACAATCTTCTTCAAGGCGCTGTCATCTGCTGAAACAAGGACTTGTTCGAGCGTCTTCGTCTTAGTAGACCTGTCGAAATCAACGCTGCCGTGCTTCGTCGTGAGCGCCACAACGATGGGAAATGCAGAGCTGCAGTCCTGCTCGACCCTCGAATGGACTGATCTCAGAGCTGCAAGTGCTGCAGTATGCAGAAACCTGTCATCCTTCTTGCTTTGATTGATGACTGTCCTCATGAGGTTGGGGCTGAACAGCGCGGGAACTGCCCATGCGGGTACCTGCGTTATCATGTTGCTGAAGAGCTTGAAGCCCCATGACTTGCGCTCATGGGATGAAGTAATGGAGAACAAGTTGTCTGGTTTGGTCAGTCTTCGCTTCAGAGCGTCATGAAGGCAACGTACTGTCTACAATGTCGATCCATAGCTGAGGAAACTCGGGCTTTGGTGGCTCTTTAGCACTGCCCTTTTTCTCTTCGTCTCGTCGTAAGGTCTCGCCAAAGACCAGATTCCAGGCAAAAGTGGGATTCGGGCTCGCAGCAGCTGACTTGATGGCCTCATCCTTCGCGGTCTCAGCATCAACGTGAAAGTCCTCCTTCATCAGCTTCGCCAGACGCGGTCGCTCTTTCCTTGATAGAGGATCTTTCTGATGCCAGACGCCCTCTGGCAGGACCTTCTCATAGCTTGCTCGGACTGTCAGCCATACTGCAACTCCTTGCGGCGTGCTGACCAGCTTAAAAGGCGTTAGACGTGCAATTGCCTCGTCAGCGCACTGCTCAAGCTGCGTCTGGGCCTTGAGACTCTTCACAGCTTCTACAAGAACCATCCCACATTCCTCGCGCAGCCAAGGTACGTCGCGTGCCATTCCACAGATCCGGTCCAGAAGTTGGTTCCAGCATTCCATAGAAAGCTCCGGTTCAATGACTATCGAGGACTGCATGACAGCCTTATACCCGAACAATTTCCCGATCAGATGGTCTCGTCGGGCCTGCGATTGTCAGCTTGATTGCAGCCCAAGGGATGCGCGCTCATACCCGTCCAGGAACGTTTCCCTCAATCTCGGTCTTCTCGTCGACCATCTTGATGATCGACGCGACATCGTGATCCAGACCTTCAATCTTGATGCCGCCAAAGATTTGACGCAGCAACTCGGTCAGTGTGAGTGAAAATCCAACTCGGGCAGCTTTTCTCTGGCTGCAAAGACCCTTGATCAAACGGGTCAACGCCGTTTCTACCTCTCTTGCTGCTGGGTTGCTCTCGGGCGAAAACTTCACAATAATCTGTTTCGCAGCCTCAAATCGGACTTCATCAGACTCTGCGGCGAGATCCTCGTAGAGCTTCGAGAGCTTCACGTGCTCTTCGTTGAGCTGTCTGCGGCGTTTGGCGGGAGCTTCTTCGACATCATCGACCTGCGCTGGCTCGCGCTCTCTCTTGCGGTTCTTGATGCCCATCTTCACCTTTTCGCTGGTTATTTGAACGTTTTCAACTTTTGGAGGGCCGTCACGAAAAGTTCGTGCACAGCAAAAGGTTCTGCCACAGATGCTTTCACCGCTGACGGAACAAGCCTAGTGCCATCGCGGCGGAATTCACGTCCGTTGCTTGGCACCACCCCGCAATTGGCAGCGTACCATAGCAACGGATTCGGGTGGATGCATTGTGCCCACCGGTCAAGCCTCACGGACAGGGCTGTTGAGCCTTTATGGAAGCTCTCGCGACGCTTCCAGAGCCTTCACAATTGTGCACATAGGACACTCCTGCTGATCTGTGCTTGATCTGGCCGATGACACGTTTCTCCAGAGGCATCTCACTCGAGTCTCGGTTGTAAGTGACCGGATAGCAGTTGCGAGCTCGTAGAGAGATGATCAAGCCCTGGAGGGGATGGAGAACACTGGTCATCTGAGACTTTCGTATGAAAAAAGGTCTTCTTGCGACCGCTTCGAGGAGAAGAGTACCTGCTGATGGTCGCCTCATTAAATATAGCTCATGTGTGATATGAAGCTCGAAAGGCATCCCTTCCAGCACAACTACAAGCACAATTGCGTGCTGTGCGATGACTCCGAGTGATCTATACGCCCAGCTCAGCGTCAAGCTCGATGGAGCGAAGCCTCGTTATATGAAGCATCAATCCCCTCCTCAACCCCACAATCACCATGGCGCAGCCCGGTGAGACCGCACACGATGCCGCTCAGCTGGGCCGAAATCCTCATAGACCCTGAAGGTGCTCGAGATAGATTAGCTGGGGCTGACAATGGCACGTGTTGAGGAGCCGCCAGGGGAGAGGCTTCCCCTGTGAAGCTGACGATAGTTGCATGGGACAACGGTTATGCGCCTCAACCGAGATCGACTCAGGTCCGGCCTTCATTGAGTTTTCTTTTCCGGTCTTGCGACTATCAATAAAGATCTCCAGCGGTGGACGTAACACTTGTTTGCAACTCTGTCTTTACGGGCGCTTCAAGCTTCGCCGGCTCCACGATCGTGACAAACCTTCCATGCAAACCTCGGAGGCAGTCGGCCTGCTGCTGACGTCTAACGAAGATTGAGCTCAAACCGTCCGTCACAGTGCAGAAAGTTCAGGGTCCTGAGACGCTGAACCCGTCCCGCAGGTCTGGGGTTGAGTGAAAGACCCATGCTCTTTGTCACGAGACTTCGTGCGCGATGCCCATTTGTGTGCCGGTTTAGGTTGTTTGTGTCGATAGCCCGTCGCGTCCACCGGGAGACGACACGCGATTGCTTGATAGCGTTTTCGCAAACGCCGCAATTGGCCTCTCAGATGCTCAGGTCCACAGAAGAGGGGTCACCGGTTGGTGGAGTCCAAACTGGAAATGATGATGGCACCCTTTGTGAAGACTTTTGTGCACGCAGTTTGCTGGTGGATTGGGAACGCCCGTGTTCTCGAACGACCCTTTGTAAGTTCAGCTGCTATGGCGACAGCCTCCACCGACAGCCCCGAACCCATGTCAGGAAAACAATCGTTTGGTAGCGGAAATCACAAGTTGTGCGCTGTCAAGCTTAATCCATGAGAGAAAGGCCGCAAACGAGGCGTACAGGAACAGCAAACTGGGAAATCCGATCATCGAGCCCAGCCTCGTAGAACATGACGTTGAAGGGGTTGCGGCATCGCGATGCCTATCCGCAGCTCGATCTCGAGCATGCACTAAGAGGCAGTTCTGCCACCGCGCGGAGCTCGGGCAATCCAGTTTATGCATCCACATGTGGTAAAAAGCTTGTCACATCGAGGAGTTCACGGGCCGCGCAGCACCACCCTTCGCAAAACAGAGGCGCTGCGATGGTACCCTGGACCAACTGGGCGAAATTGAGCCGCCCGCCCTATCAGACCAGGTCCATAGCCTAAAACTGCTTGAGTAGGGAGTGCTCTGGCCACTCACAGCGAATAGCTGGCCTGTTGCTTCGAGGCAGATTCCCTGGCAGGGCGGCCGCCAAGTCAGCCTCCATGCTGCAATGACGACAGAACCTTGCGAGCAGACCACGCTGACGCCGGTTTACTGTGTCAGGACTTGTTACGAGGCTCTAGCAGTGCAATGGGGCGATCCGCGGCTAGGCCTCGCGGTGGTAATAATGGTGTCGGTGCAATGATGGGTCGACGGCCGAAGCGTCTCCATGGGAAACGGTCTCTACGTGACGCAGGTCACGGCTAGAAGGCACTGTGGCTCTGGCGGATGCCCACCAAGCCTCACACGAGGGCGGCCGGAGCAGATACTGCTTGGACGGAGGCCGGTGCAGCAGTTAAGCGGAAAGTTAACTTACGGTTTCACGCATTTTTCAGAGCTTGCCGGCATAATGCTGGTCGACGCAGGATCCGTGCCAGCGTGCGTGCTGTCAAGGTAGCGGACGAGGGAGGGAAGGTGTAGGCGCCTTCACCGTCGGCGGGCTACATGGGAGGTGCACGCCCAGCGAGAGCAGCAATTGAGTTCCTGAACATGGTGTGCCGCAACTATTGCCATGGCATCAATCTGGTGGACACCGCCGTAAACACACGTTCGCGGTCGCCGCAGCTGCACGGCGCTTTGTTAGCTGCAGCAGTAGCATTGTCGTGCAGCGTGATCGTGATGGCGTTCCCAGGCAGCGTCAATGAAACGCAGCGGATCAGCAAGCGCTCGCAGCACACTGCATTACCGGAAGAGCAAACTGCCCCATCCTCGTCCCGCTGCTGCCAGGGCCGTGTGCAGGCAGGCCTGTTAGTGGTGAGGGGCTCCGTGCAGCGCTTATGCCTCGCCAACGCGCGCATTGGCCGCCGTGCTGGACCACCTCCACTGCAGCTTGGTCGTTGCTGTGGAAGCGTGGGCTCGGCAACCTCAAATCCAGCTGGGTGACCTCTGCCCTGCTTCTCTTTTCTTCACCCTTCTCGCACCCAAGAAGGCCATTCTCTCACGCTCCGCTGGCACAGGCTCTGGTGAACATTGATAGCAGAAGCAAGAAGACGGTCACTGCGTTGGGATATCCTGCTGGGACGCCGCTGCCAGCTCCTCGTCCACTCGCCGCTACCGACCCGCCTACTGCGTGCCTCCATGTCCGCCTAGCCCACCGCAACCTGCGAACCCAGCATCACTGTCTCTACTAGCGTCGAGCTGCGAGGCTGTTTACCGCGAGCATCCTCAGAGTGGAATTCGCTTTCCAGTCTTATATGCTTATCGGCTCGCCGCCAGCCGCCAGTCCTACACCCGTCCTTGCCATCCAGTGAACACAGAGACCGCCCGCAGCACCTCCGCCCGCCGCCATGGAGATGTCGTCGCCACTGGCTGCAATGCACCCGCCGGCTGCCATTCCCGGTCCGTGGGGCTACCGCCGTGACCTGCCGCCCTCGAAGCCATTGTTTGGAGCTCACACGCTGGGGTCAAAGAACTTCAACTTCCGCGACATGAGCATGCGGAAGGGAGACGTGAGCAGCGCTGGCTACTTTGGCATCCAGCCAATGAGGGGGTCGTCGCCCACCGCCAGCTTGGCCGCCGACATGTCGTCGAACCTGCACGTCGACCAGAGGTACGGCCCGCCCTTGCATAGGAGATCCTTCCATTGTCCGCTCACTAACCTCTTTGTTAGCCCCCAGCTTGTCACGCCCCGTCGCTCGCTATTCACGTCGAATCTCTTTCAGCAAATTGACGCCCAGGGTAAGTCAGGCTGTGCATTGTCCTGCACGCACACACATGTTAACCCCCGTGGCAGCAGCAGAAGGCGTAACCACCCCTCCAGTCAGATGGGAAGGTGTCACCACACCGCCCATTCCCGACTCCTCGCCTAGCTTTGTCCCCGACTCGATGGACATCTCGCCGCTCCCGCACAAGGCCCCCTACAACAGCTACGTCACACTGCCATCGCCGTCCCCGGAGGTGATGCCCAGCAACGGAGACGACATGCTCTCTCCCTGCGAGCTGCCACAACTGCCCTGCAACGGGCTCGACATTCCACGACCCTCCTCAGCGGCTGAGTATGTCTGCCAATCAAAGGCCCACTCTGAACCTTCACTGACGCGCCACAGCCGCAAGAAGTCCATCCTCCTTCGACCGTCTCTCTCGCGCACGAAGAACTTTTCTACTAACACTGTCTCCTTCAAGCAGCAGGAGCAGCAACCGTGTCCGCCTTTCAGGTTTGGCGCCGGCTGCGACCGCGACAGCTTTGGCAACATTGGCTACACATCTTCACCAAGCCTTGACGAGTGCTTCGCCCCCTCACCACCCCAGGAACGTCGTCCGTACTCTAACGGATCACTGTTCGCGCCTGGCAAGGCCAAGCCTTTCCCCTTCAGCTCGAGTATCCACTCTCGCAACAATGGCTCACCCCTTGCTGCCATAAGGAAACAAAATGTCGCCCACTCTCGCCCTCGACCCAGTAAGATGAGGAGATCGCTTAGCATGTTTGAGCATCCTGGCGACGTGATGAATGCAAAGCAAGATGGTGATGAGTCTGACTCACCCAGTGGCCTATCGTCTGTGATGGATACAGAGGACTATCCGTCCCTCAAGCTGCCTCACTTCACGCCCTCTGAGCCCGAGAGCCTTCCCCGCATCACCCATGAGACCCTCGTTCAAGTGCTTGACGGTACCTACGATCACATGTATGATGAGAAGGCCATCATTGACTGCCGCTTCGAGTACGAGTACAATGGCGGACACATCGAAGGTGCTTTGAACTTCTGTGACAAGGAGCAGCTGGCTGAGCGTCTCTTCTCTGCCCCCACCACTAACAACACCCTCCTCATCCTTCACTGTGAATACTCTGCGCATCGCGCTCCTCTTATGTAAGCCTACTCTTGTCACACCGTCGTGTCCCTCCTACTAACAATCACAGGGCGAAGTTCGTGCGCTCGCAAGACCGCATGGAGAACGCGCATCGCTACCCTGCATTGCACTACCCCGAGGTCTACATTCTTGACGGTGGTTATAGCTCCTTCTACCACAACAACTCGACTCGCTGCGAACCTCAGAACTATCTCAGGATGGACGCTAAGGAGCACGAGCAGTCTTGCGAACGGGGCCTGAACAAGCTTCGACAACGCTCGAAGCTCAATCGGGCCCATACCTTTGCAATTGGCCAACACTCTTGCCAGATGGAAGACAGCCCAACGGCTCTCAGCAGGTCAAAGAGTGGCGGCAATATCTTCATGCTTGGCGACGACTCATTGAACGTTGGACGAATAGGCGCTTCGCGTCGCATGGCCTCCTACTGAGCCAGCGCGGAGCCGACGACTTCTACACGATCCCATAATTCACAGCGAACCGGACACGGCGTTTCCTTACTTGCTGCTTCGGTATTCCACAGCACCGGCGTTCCATCATTTACTCATTTCCATCTCGAGGCGTTCTAGCGATTTGCCATTTGGCCCCTTCTGTGCATCAATTTGGACTTCTGGACGGCGGGAACAACATCGACTGCGAGCAGTCTGCGCCTACACGTTTGGGCTTGCGCCACTCCCGTTGCTTCTGCATCTTATACCCCATGTCGCGTGCCGCGGGCTCGGACATACTCTTTTTTACGGCAGCACTAGACCACTGCCTTGCAGTCTCATTCATTTCCTTTGTCACAACCATCCTCACACGGATCTTTCATGGCCCCGCGGAGAAGATGAGACATCGCTCCAACGACAAGAATCTCAGAAACATCACGCAACTAAATACAATCAGGCCTACGTGCCTTGATACACATCATCAGCCCGACATTCTCTCCTATCGTCAGCTGATCTTCTTACATTCTTCGACACCTTCTCCACACCAGATTGGCTCCACTTGATCGGATTGAAAACACACCGACATTGATTGCACTTGGCGCGACTTGAGGGGTAGTTTCTTCGCTCCGCCTACGGGCTCTTGTTCCATACGAGTGTACTTATCCATACGTCTTTTGTTCTCTCCAGGCTAGGGTTGATGGTGGAGCCTGAGATTGAGACTTGAGGAGGTGAAAGGTCCTTCCTCGTAATGCGGCAGAGAGACGGCAGTGGCTTGAAAAATCTGCATGTAAACACTAGGGAAATGAAACAGTACCTTACATACGTTGTGCGGTGCGCCTACTGTGACACGAACATGCCCATGCTTCCGCTGTCAATACTGTCGTGAGACTTGACAGGTCAAGCAGACATTGAACTGCAAGCCAATCGGGCGCGACGCGTCAAAGTCGCGCTAGCTCCTGCCCCACGCCCCACGTTGCCTGCGTCCTGCATCTGACGTGCAGCACGCTGCAGCTTGTCAGACAGGACCACGAACTCGAACCAGCCCCACGCATGAAACTTGTGGTGCCTGGCCCAACGTCCCCTGTAACCTGTGCACAAAACCGCGAACTCTCTCGCGGCCCTGCTCTCACTGTACCCAACTCCTGCACCCCTAACGGTCGCGCGCAGCCTCGGTGTCGCACGACCATGGACATCGACGACCTTCTCGCCGAAGTCGCGGTCGACGCGACGTCCCTCGAGACGCGGGATCTGCAGGAGCTCACCCGCGCGTGGGTTGCGGAGCGGTCGGCGCCGGAGATTCTCACCTGGCCAGCGGAGCTTATGGAGAGGGTGCTGGACAGGATTGGTCGGCAGGTATGTTGCGTTTCACAAATGCGTGGGAGACAAGGCGCAGGTGTGTACAGCAGCACGGAAAGGGCTAATGGCGTAGGCAGATTGAGCTTGTGGAGGAGCAGACGGGGAGTCTGGATCCGCGGACCAACTTCAGACTCATTATTGTGCAGACGGAACTCGAGCGGTTCAAGTTCCTGGTCCGCAGCTTCCTGCGCGCGAGGCTGAACAAGGTGGGCCTCCCTTCTTTGCAAGATCTATGTGCTGCGCTGATGTACTCGCTAGATCGACCAACACCCCCTCCATGTCCAGGCACAGCACACCGCGTCCCTCGATACTGTGCAGTCGTTGCTGTCCCCGAGTGAGCTGCAGTACCTCACGTCCCATCAGGCGCTCCTCTCGCAACACTACTCGGCCTCCTTCCTCTCGCAGTTCCCAGCGAGTCTGCAGAGACTGGACGATACAACGGGTGGCATCAGCATGGTGGACAAGCCGGATGAAGACAAGGCCGTCTTCGTGCGAGCGCTGCGAGACATCGGGACGGTGTTTGTAGAGGGAACAGATCGCCGACTCGAGGTCAAGAGAGGCGATGTCTGGGCTGTGCGGTGGAGCGCGGTGAGGAAGTGGGCTGTTGGGTGCGGGACCGGTGACGTAGAGCTCATCTGACAAGTAGGTAGATGGTGCTGCGAGTCAGGCGTGCTGTGTTGACACCGTTGCGGTGTTGCGAAAGAGCGGTCACGACGGTGCGATGCGATGCGGATGCGCGCCCAAACAATGAGGCTGTCGCGTGCACAGAGCACCAGTGACGCTTTTGCGGAGGCCCGGCGGCACAGACCTTGCACGTCAAATGCCGCGCATCGGATGTTATTATGCAGAGATGGTCATGGTCATGTGGTGACATTCCACTATGGAGCGAAAAGAAGAGTCCAGCCTTTTCAACGCCGCGAAGACAACTATGGGCACCCCTGCTTGTCGTGTCGGCAGATCATCCGTGTGCTTCTGCGATCAATGGCCCTGGATCCATGACAGCATCTCCCCGAAGACCTGCGACTGCTCGTGCTTGATCTTGGCGTCGTCGTAATCTCCGTACACCGCGAAACCGTGCGGCACGCCGTCGTAGACCTTGACTTCGTGCTCGACTTTGTTGGCTTCCATTGCGCGCCGGCCTGGGGTGAGCACATCATCTTCGGGGAACAGAGGGTCGTCTTTGACCGCTGCGATGTAGACGGGTGACCGCACAGCTTCGAGGTCGCCTCTCGACACCATGGTGCCGTGGGCGACGGCGCCGGCCTTCAGCACGGGTGCTTTCTTGACGGTGCCCTGCTCCTCGTCTCCAGTGGCTGCCTGGCCCCATGCGACCGTGTCTGGGAGCTCGCCGGCCAGCATGAGGATGTACTTGGCGCCGAAGCAGTATCCCACGCCGTACACGCCGCCGCCGTTGGCGAGGGCGTCTGCGAACTCCTCCTTGGCGCCCTCGACGACCTTGTGCAGGGCTGGCAGGACTTTCTCAGGGGTGTGCTTGGCAAGCCACATGTCGATTGTGAATGCTTTGACGCCCTCGGCCAGCTTCAGCTTGACCGTGTCGAGCCATGATGTCGTCTCGTTGACTTGCTCCATGGTGACTGTGCTCGTGGCCGGCTCGCCATCGAACTGATCCGGCATGACGACCAGGTACCCCTCGGCAGCATATTTATCAGCCTGCAGCTGATTGTTTGTAGACCGGACGCCCGTGCCGCCTGTGAGCAGGAGCAGCAGCTTCGACGGTGCGTGGGGGTAGTCGGAGGGCTTCGTTATGTAGCACTCGACGCCGCCAAGTTTCGTCAGCTCGCCCGTGGGTACTTCGCCCGCCGGCGTCGGTCGGTCGGTGGTGCAGTGTTCGCCCATGGTCGGGCCTGTCTGCGCAGGTGTGTCGCCCGGGAACACGCTCTGGCTGGCTGCAACCTGCTCCGTATGGCCTGCAGACTGCTCGGGGGCGTTCTCCTGCGTGTCGCTCTCGGGCGCTCGTGTCGCCATGTCGTTGTCAGCCATGGTGTTGTTGGGTGGAGTCGACCTGGCCGGATGGCTGGCAGCTGTCGAGCGTCCCGCAGCCGATTCCGTGCCTATGCGTCAAGGGCGTCGGGGTCCGTTAGCGCAGGCGGCAGGCGGGGCTCTCTGCACTCAACGCGTGGAGACGCGAGACGCGTCCAAACTTCCATCGCTTGCGCCGCCACCTCGACGCAACAGCACCGTCACGTCACCGCCTGAAGCGTGCAGCATCCAATATGGCAGAACAGGCGATCACACAGGGCGCGATCAGGTAGGACACATGCTCAAGACGTGCACTGACTGTTACTAATCGTGAGCAGGAGCATCTTCGAGCCCAGCGGTTGCTTCGTCGAGCACCCTGTCCTGCAATGCGTGCAGATCAAGACCATGGAGCCCAAGGCGGGCGATGCGAACCCAGTGCAACGCTTCCGTGTTGTGCTGAGCGACGTCCGCAACTTCATTCAGACAATGATCGCCACCAGTAGGCACATGCGACTCGTTGCTGAAGGCAAGCTGATTGTGTGTAGCTGCGAACGAGATCGTCACATCCGGCAAGCTCAAGAAGGGTTCGATAGTCAGGCTGCTGAAGTACAACCCTCAGCAGGTCAAGGACAAGAAGTGCGTCGAAGAGCCACCCTTGGTACGACCGAACTAACGTGCAAGCAGCATCCTGATCATCATGGAGCTTGACGTCCTCTCAGAGTACGGCGAACTCGACAAGATCGGCCAGCCCGAGGCACTCGACATGAAGCTCAAGCAGGAGCAGCCTGCTTCCATCTCAGGCAACAACTTCTACGGCAACAAGCCTGCGCCCGTGCCTGCGCCCCAGCAGCAGCAGAGGTCGCTTCCTGTCCACCAGAGCAACCCGAGCACATCCACACACCCACACCTCTATCCAATCGAGTCTCTCTCGCCGTACGCGCACAAGTGGACCATCCGCGCTCGATGCACACACAAGGGCGAGATGAAGGAGTGGCACAATGCAAAGGGCACCGGCAAGCTTTTCAGTGTGAACCTGCTGGACGACACTGGCGAGATCCGCGCGACCGCATTCACCGAGGTTGCTGAAAGGCTCTACCCGATCTTTGAGGAGGGCGTCGTGTACTACATCTCCGCCCCTTGCCGAGTCACACTTGCAAAGAAGCAGTTCTCCAACCTGCCCAACGATTACGAGCTGCAGTTTGAGCGCGACACCGAAGTTGAGAAGGCAGAGGACCAGGACAACAAGCCCCAGATCCGCTTCAACTTCACCAAGATCGGTGATCTGAACTCTGTGGAGAAGGACACCACCATCGACACAATCGGTGTGCTCAAGGAGGTTGGCGAGGTGTCTACCATCACATCGAAGAACACCAACAAGGACTTTTCCAAGCGAGAACTGACCCTCGCCGATGACAGTCAAACATCGGTGCGGCTCACCATCTGGGGCAAGACAGCAGAGAGCTTCGAGGCGCCACTCGAGTCGATCGTGGCCTTTAAAGGCGTCAAGGTTAGTGACTTTGGCGGTCGAAGTCTGAGTCTTCTCAGCTCTGGGTCCATGATGCTCGATCCCGATATCGACGAGGCACACAAGCTGAGGGGGTGGTTCAATGCTGTCGGCCAAAACGCGACATTCTCTACTCACCAGAACCTGTCATCAACCTCTGGTGGTCAGAAGAACGACGCCAAGCTCATCTCCCAAATCGTCGAGGAGGAGTCGTACCTTGGGGATCAGCCTGCTTACCTGAGCTTAAAGGCTTCAGTTGTCTATGTCAAGAACACAACTTTTGCATACCCTGCGTGCTCTACACCTGGCTGCAACAAGAAGGTAATCGAGGAGAACCCCGGATCATGGTGGTGCGAGAAGTGCCAGGCTTCGTTCCCCGAGCCACAGTACCGCTACGTGCTCAGCATCAATGTTGCAGACCACACTGGCACTCTCTGGTTGAGCTGCTTCGATGAGGCTGGACAGATGATTGTCGGCATGTCTGCCAACGAAGCGATGAAGATCAAGGAAGCAGACGAGGAGAGCAACACCACAGCGAACCTCATGAACATCATGCAGGACGCGACCTGCAAGACCTTCAACTTTAGAGTGCGGGCAAAGATGGAGACATACCAGGATCAGCCCAAGTAAGCACAAGGTGAAGTCTGTGTGCGACAGCTGCTAACACACTCATAGGCCTCGCTACCAGGTGTTGAACATCTATCCGCTGAACTACGCCCAAGAGGCCAACAGGCTTGCAGCGCTCATCAAACAGTACGACATTGACGACAACAGCAACAGTCTGTTCGTGAGCTAGATGATGTAGCAAATCTGTATTACAGAGTAATGGGTTTGTATGCTCGCTGGTTGCGCACTTGTCGAGTCAAAGTATAGCATGTAGAGCGATATCCAGACAATGTCAAGCATGTGGAGGCGTCTCTTGCACCAGCCTTGCCTTCAGCTCCTGTGGTTAACTCAAGCTTCGACGTCGACGATCTGCCCCACCTCGAGAAGTCCAGAAGTGCACTTTGCCCCACTCACGTCATTACCAATCATTCCGAACTGCCTCGGAACAGCAGCTACGTCAGGCTTAGAGCTGATTCACTTTTGACAGCTCGTGCTTGTTAAAGCTTGACAGTCTTTCTCTTCTCTCGAGTGTGTTGATTAAGTCCTACCAATTTCAGTCGACTCCACGGAACGAACCAGCGAGATGAGCGACACAATGAAGGCTATAGGTCCGTATAGTCGTGAGTGAGCAACGCGCACAGAAATCTTCTGACACACTCCAGATATCAAGAACGGCAAGGGCCCGGTTGATGCCCTCCACATTGCAGATGTCCCTAAGCCCAAGCTCGGAGAGTCGCAAGCGCTCGTCAAGATCAAGGCATTCGGCCTGAACCGCATGGACCTCCTCCAGCGCGAGGGCAGATACCCCGTCCCACCTGGCGCCTCCAAGATCCTCGGTGTCGAGTTCTCCGGCACAATCGCCGAGCTGAGCGCAGAAGGAGGCGGAAAGGAGAATTTCAAGGAGGGCGATGAGGTCTTCGGCCTCGCATACGGCGGCGCATACGCAGAGTATATCGCCGTCTCCACACACATGCTGGTCAGGAAGCCAAAGGAACTGACCTGGGAGCAGTGCGCCGGCATTCCAGAGGTACATCCACACTACCCACAAGCCTGTTCCCTTTACTAACACGGCCGCAGACATGGATCACAGCAACCCAGGCCATGTACCTCGTGGGCGCCTACCGCGCGGGGAAATCCATCCTCTGGCACGCCGCAGCCTCCAGCGTCTCCATCGCGGGGATCCAGCTCTCCAACGCCGACGGCGCATCCGCCGTCTACGCCACCGCACGTCAAGACGCAAAGTGCGACTTCGCGGTGAAAGAACTCGGCGCAACCGCCGCCTTCAACACGACGACGCAAGACTGGGCGGCCGAGGTGCTCAAAGCAACAGACGGGCGGGGTGTCGACATAATCGTCGACTTCATTGGGGCCGCGTACTTCCAGGCGAATCTCAAAGCGATCGCGAAGGACGGCGTGATCGTGAACCTCGGCTTCATGGGCGGCACCGTGGTCCCCGACGGAACCGATATCAGCGCGTTCATCATGAAGCGGTGCACGTTTGTGGGCAGCAGTCTGCGCAGCCGAGACGAGGCGTATCAGGGCAAGCTACGGGATCAGCTGGTTGAGCATGCGCTGCCCAAGTTCAAGGATGGCACTTTCAAGTTGTTTGTCGAGAAGGTGTTGCCGTGGGAGAGCATTCAGGATGCGCATCGGCTGCTGGAGGAGAATAAGACCAAGGGCAAGGTCATTTGCACCATCTCATAGAGCATTGGAGGCCATTACGAAAGAAGAATGACTGCAGTATGAAAACAATCTACAGATAGGCTCTCACCGGCAAAAGCAAAGCAACCTTCCAGCAATCGCAACTTGCCTAACAGCGAACTCACCACCCCGAACGCGACTGCCACAACACAACCACGCAACCTAACCTGACTTCTCCAAGCTACAACTTCAAGAAGATGTTTTCGCAGAGCAACAAAAGACTCGAATGAAGGCATCAATTTGGTCAAAAAGCGACGTTGGCAGGATTCGAACCTACGCTCCCGAAGGAACAAGATTTCTAGTCTTGCGCGATAACCACTCCGCCACAACGCCGGGAAATCAAGCTGGTTAGTGCTGTGATCTTATAGGAAAACGCTACAATATAATTTATCTATACTTGTTATATGACTTCTGTATCAGATCGATTGAGCTCCCGCTCACACAATCTCTCCTCTTGAGAATCTACAAACACAGTCTCTGTGTATTGGTGTGTTCTTTGGAGGTGTAATGTTTCTGTTTGATGATAGTGATGTTCGGGGCTTTGCTGCTTTCTGAAACGTGTAGACTGTCTAAGCATGCGGCTATTCTATCGCCCGTCCCATCCCATCCCCAACTATCCTATGATCTATCCCGTACGGGCGTGCAGGACTCAAGCATCGACGGTCGGGGAAACATGGGATGTGGGAAGGCGGGGGCAATCACACCTGATTGGATACCGAGAAACATCTACTACGGTGTCAGGCATAAGTACCGTAGAACCTCAGTTATGTCGACGGATTCAGCCTACACTAACTATGTAACCATGTGGCTCAGATCACATGATATCCTATTGTAGCAGGCACTGCCCGGTGGGCAAGTGCACTTACCTGAGAGCTGAGAGCTGAGAGCTTGAACATCACAACACGACAACAGATAGCAATACACTCGTTGATCACAGTCTTCGACCGACACTGCTCACGCAGTTACAAACTACCATTAGTATAGGCTGAATCCGACACAACTGAGACCGCACGCCTTCTCGTGGCTGCCTTGTAGTGGCTGAGGTATCAATTGCCTACCAATCACCCGTCAGCGGCACCGTGCTTTACACCGATCACAGAATTTCTGTGCGTCGAAATCCGCGATGGAAAGTCGCGCTTAATTCCGCTTCGGCGAATCCTCTCTGATATGAGGAGATATAATGCCATGCTGCCCACAAGAATCGGCTCGATACAAGTCGTTCCTTCATCGCACATCAGGTTCGTCTTCGAAGACACAACGTCTTCTATCACAGATACAAACCCTTGACGATCTGTATATTCATCAATCAGGGGTAAAAAACCTAGCGAATTGAGGGCTTGACGCATCTCGTTCCTGCATCACAAGACGGACTCTTTGGGTGCACTATCGTAGAATGGGTAAGTTTTTGCATGTAAACCGTTATGCAAGATTATCACTGATTTTCAATCAATCAGCTTCATCTAATTCAACATCGCAAGCATCCGTATACGACACATCATGGTCAAAGGAGGCGCTCTTTGCCCTCTTGAGTGTACTTCTGGTTGTACTCGTTCCATCTATAGGCTTCTTGATTAGGTATTGTTTCTCCAAAAGACACCGCCCACTGAGATATGAGCCAGAGCACGGAGGTACGCACAGCTCCTCGCTTGTGTTGCGAGGCTGACGAGAAGATCAGTATGCTTTGATGGTACCAGTACTGAACGACGCACCACAAGACGAGGCCGAATATTGAAGGATAGGACAGATGGACAGAGAACGATTGTACTTGTTCTTTGAGCAAGAAGTTTCGCGTACAATTTGGAGACGATGAGGCTTCTACTGGACATAGGCACATGTTATTCTCACCGACAATCAAGACCAGTCCTCCGCAGTCCCCGAACCTCTAATCAACTAAAGAGTATAATATAAGCTTGTCGATAGCGTTTAGGGACTACTTAGATTAGAGTAAAAGGTAGAATAAAAGTAAAGCCTTTATGCTTGGGAACAGAGAGTTAAGATGCATTAAAGTTCTGCGTTGGAGCCTTCTCCTGGCGATGGCAAGAGCCATGCTAGTCATCGTCTGCGATACCGGCAGCTTTGATCCAGCACACGTACATGGCTTTGTCGAATGAGAATTTCTGAGATCCTGAGGAGGTAGCCGCAAGTGAATGTTCGTACCGTGACTGGGGATCATTCGAACTCTCGGCACTACATTTGGCATCGACCCGTGAGGGCGATCAGAGGCAGAAGTGAGGATCATGGATCGTGGCATCGGTTGGGTTTGAGATACAGAACGTGACAGATGTCGGGAGATGACGCACCAGGTGGTATTGTGAAGGGTTTCAATCTAGTGGCCGAACGCGTGACGCGAGCATATCCTTGTACTCCGAGTATTGGCAGCATCTCGAGCGAGAAGCACACCAACATAGCAAGTCAAGATGCTTCTTTGCATCGATTTACCAAATCTAGCGTTGACGTAACTTACTTCTAGTTACAACACAACATAGGTTCATGATCGGTCCCGCTGTAATTTTACAGAACACTGAAGCATAAGATCAAGTTCGGAAGACAGGATATGGACCGAGAGTCCCCAATTACTTTGTAACCCGAACCAGACGGGATCGTCTGACTGAACTTCGAGGAAAGAGGGACATCCAGTCTGAAGATATATCCTTTGTGGGCAGGATAAACATTGTAGGCAGTCTATTGGCTTTGGAAAATCGATGATCGCGAAGATAAGTGCTTGACGCCTCCTGACACCTGTGCAGACAGATGTGGGTATAGTGGGCCAGTAGCCCAGGAGGGACATATGACATGTCCCTCTCCCTTTCAAGATGAAACCTTTTTGTACAGACAAGCAATAAAAATCATCGGGGCTACTCAGCTCTTAGACAAGGATGGCACAAATTGCGAACGTGGTGAGCCTTTGTACTTCTGACATCGGGTCATAGTAGTTTGAACCTTCTCCTTAAATCACGAATGACAGTTCTACTCCGAGAGAGCGACACAGTCATAACTTAGTGCATGTATACTTTCAGGTGAGCAGAGAGCACATGGATTCGAAGCTGATTCGTTTGGTGAAGTAAGAAACAGAGCTGCATGTCGGTGAGTATATCCAGACAGCTAGACGCTTATCTTGCAGACATATTCGAAAGAAACAAATCCTAGGGCTTTGTGTCGGGTTCTGAAACACTCAAGACTCACAACATCGATATTGCTAGCGTGGGCTCAGGTCCTTCACGTTGATAGTTTCCACAAAAACTACGAAGACAAGGAGGTATTTACAGCAAAGAAGCAAGCAAGCTGCCGGCATATATAAATTGCAGACGAGGCGGTAAAAACAGTGTGAATTTGAGCAGCCCTCCCGAATCAAACACGGGTCCTTTCGACTTCGAATTGTAGGCCATTTCCAGAGGCCTATCAGCGTTTCAAGTCCGCCAGGGCCGACATTCGAGCAACGTCCGATAGATTTGCAGAGCAGAAAAGCAGAAAGCCACTCAACATGCACGTCGCCGAACAAGAGAAGCGGGACAAATTCCTGCCGACGCTTATATGTACACGATCTTGGAACATACCAAATTGGTGAAATCTGCTCGGGCGAGCGCATGGCCAGTGCCGCGGTGATTCTTAGGTACGGCCGAAGCCTCAACGGAACATAATGCCTTCGAGAGTCAGTTTGAGAGGACCGGCGCATATACTGAGACGCCTGCTGTTTTAAACCCATGGGGGAGCTGTAGCTAGGAGAGGAGAGACTGCATGGCAAGCAAGACGCTTTTGAACTTGCTGTTGCCACGCAACACGGTGGGAAAGATCCTTGCAGGAAGACATGAGAAAACCCTCGGTGCCTTTCCAGATCGGCCGACAGAGAAAGACATTTTTGTCTTGGATGCCTCATCCCGAGGGAAAGCACATACACAGGGAAGCAATCGATCTTCGGACCCAGCGACCATAAAAGTGGCCGCGCTTTCTTTCGGACGAAGCAGAGACTATGCATTTCTAGAATATCGCTTTTGGGCATTCCGGGGTCAAACCTTTGATAGAGAGATGAAGACCAAGTGTGCTTGACGTGCTCTTGTACCGTCAGTTTGCACGTGATACACCCGGGTAGCATGGATTCGAAGTATGTTCTTGTTCCTACACGATGTACATACACACTCCCGTCCCTGGAACACCGCCTAAATGCTGTACAAGAACGCGAAAAGTATGTCATAATCATATGTGCGTGCGTGAGCGAGCTTAGCTCACTTTGTTCCCACCGCCGCACCAGCACCGTCCATCGCCCTCTTTCTCAACGTGTACGACAACATCCATATTTCTGCCCTTCAAGAACTGAACTGTACGCTCGCGCACATCTTCAAGATCTGCGGCGTACGCGGCAATTATGTGGATGACGCCGAGGATCCTTTGCTTGCCGGAGCCGTGACTGTGGTCGTGATCGTGGCCGTGTGCATGCGCATGGCCGTTCGAGTGCGAGTGTGAGTGCGAGTGGCCGTGGTCATGGTCATGTCCGGAATGCTTGTGCTTGTGCCCGTCTGCGTGATCGTGGTCGTGGTCGTGGTCATGGTCATGGCCGCCATCACAGCCATCATGCTGATGCTCCTTTGCATGAGATTCTGCGTGTGCCGCGCCCTCATCTTCCAACCAGAACTTTGGCACTGTGTAGCCAACGACGCCGCGGAGCGAACTAAGCTCCTGCAGGGTGTTGCGCACGCCGTACTCCGCGTCAGTCGGTAGAGACAGCATCAAGCGCATTCCAGCGCTCTTGACGAGCGGAATTGCAGACAAGAAGATCAGGATGGCGATGATGCATGACGCGATCGGATCCCAGCCGGACCAGCCGTAGTACTTGGTTAGCAACGTAGAGATGATCACGGCGACGGAGCCGAGTGCATCGGCAAGGATGTGCAAGAAGATTCCCTGCATATTCTCGTTATCGTGGGAATGGCCGTGGCCATGGTCATGGTCCCCGTGATCGTGCGAATGTCCATGACCGTGATGTGCGTGGCCAAAAGCGGTGAGGCCCACGATGTTGACGAGGAAGCCGAGAACACTGACAATCAGGAGTTCGTTGAGTCGTTGCAGTTCATGGCCCTCCCACAAACGCTCGAATGCGTCAAAGATGATCTCTACGCTGACAAGCCTGGCAATACGTTAGCGAGAGTTGCGAATTACAGTCTAGAAGCGACTTACAGAAGAAAGACTCCGTTGGCAAAACCAGACAAGGTGTCGATCTTGCCGTACCCGTACGGGAAGCGTGCGTTGGGGCGCCATTTACTCATAACTGCGGCTGCCAGACCGACAGCAAGACCAGCGCAATCGAAGAGCATGTGGATACTGTCGGTGAGCAGACCCAAGGAGCCAGTGACAAATCCATAAAAGAATTGCACAACCATGAAGCTGAGATTGAGAACGCCAAAGTACGCAATTCGGCGCGAATCCCTTTCGATCATGATGCTGTGAATGACTGAGCCGGGTGTCGTTCGTGCGATGAGGAATGTCGAGATTCTGGAGGGATTCGCGTGGAGGTGGTGTTCGTGTTTGTGTTCGTGGGCGTGGCCATGACCAGCATGTGCGTGATCGTGGGCGTGCGAGTGTGCGTGAGTGCGGGTATCCCACGAAACGCCGGACGCGAAAAGTATGTAAGACAAGCCAGTGAATAGCACATGATACCACTCTGGCGCAGTCTGCCACCCTGTGAAGGCAATAACAAGAAGGCCGCCGAGATGCAGTCCGACGTACTTATGGCTGCGTAGAGTTGCGGACTGCGAAAAGAAAACAAGCGCCGTCGCTGATGCTACTGATAATGCCGTGAAAATGATGGTGTGTTGCGAAAGAGACGTGGTTGAAGGAACAAAAATCGAATACAGGAGGGTGATGACCATAAGCCCAACGCCGGATACGCAAGTCAGCAGTGTAGCCTCCCGAGTGCTGATGAGAGGTGAAGACGGTTTGGGCAAGGAGGCTCGCGCAGATTTTTTGCCCATGTACGAGTCTTGAGTCTGGCTCCCTGTAATCAAAGACCAACCAGCGGTTGGTAGAGGTGGTGGAGCCGCGAATATGGAGGTGAACAAAGCACCATATCCGAGCAAGGCACAGGCTGGATGGCCCCAGGCGAACACATCCACGATGGTTCCAATCAGCAGGACTGCAAACGTCGTTCGCCGAGTCCGTAAAGTCCGTTTCATATCGTCCCAATGTGTGTGCTTGCCCGGTCTGTGGTCAGTAGCACCAAGTCCTGCTGCAACTGCAGTAAGAAGCACTAAGGCCGTCTTCGCGCCGCCAATCTGCATGGTAGCAAAGAATGGCAGCAAGATACCAGCGATATTGCCGAAGGTCTGCTTGAGACTGGAGACATCACTCAATGCTGCTGCTATACTCCTGGAGCTCTCCGCCTTCCGGCGATCCAGCGGCTGATCTAAGCTCGATCGAACCCGTCCTATCAGTCCCACGACAAGCAATGTCGCTGATGTAAGGAAGAGGGCATTCAAGAGGTAGGCTTCGTTTGCGGCGGCCTTGGCGGCGACTGCGGGCTCATTCTCGACAAGAGCTTCTGATAGTGTTGCAGGCAGCCTTCGTGCGGCGCTCGGGTATGCTATCGATGCAAGGAGGAATGGGAGGGGGATAAGCAGCGCGGTGAGGGCTTCAGGAAGGACCAGCAACGATCTACGGCGAAGTTAGTACCACGTTCAAGTACGAACATTACATGGCTCTTACGAGGATGGCGGCACCGGTGCAGACTCTTGCACTGGCGAGAACAGGCCATACTTTGCGGCTGCTGCGTTCTTCCTCGGCGTTTGCGGCGAGTCCAAGCCCAGCCTGCCATTTGTCCTACCATTTGCGAAAGACGTCAGGCTGTGCGTGGAGCCGTTCGAATTGGTGTGGGCGTGCGAGTGGGAATGGCTGTGTCCATGGCTGTGGTTGTGCGCATTGTTGTTGTTGTACTCGGCGTACGGTGAACGCACCGCGCCGTACAGCTGCCCGCTCATGTCTGATCGTCGGTGTTGGTGCCCTGACGTAGGCTTGTTCGCTTCCTCTACCGGCGAAAGGGTCTTGCGATTTGGGGAGGCTGCAGAGAAGTAGTGCGACTGCGATTGTGAGCGCCCATGGCCGTGGGCATGCGAGGTGGGCGCGATAGGCAGTGCGTACGTAGACGCCATCTGCTAGCACCGCGTGCGGGAAGCCGTTCTCGCTGTGTCTTCACTCGGTCTCGGTGATGCACGCAAAGGGCAAGGTGGGCCGTCCAGGGGTCGTATCGCTCCAGCCCCAGCAGATGGCAGCGCGGCCAAAGTATATACAGAGGGAAGGAGTATTCGAACAAGTGGGGCGTCGACGACGACAGTAACGTAACGCGCTTTGGAGGCGCCTCTATCTGCGTCGATAGCGGCGCCGCATCCATTTTATTCAGGGGCCAAGTTCACTCTCTTTGACGCGCATCCTACGCGCCTTCCCTATTGGTGCTGCCCAGCAAGCGCACGAACCGGGATATGTATGCAGGGCGGGGATCTAGCGAGGCGAACTCCCCTGCAACGTGATCGCCTGCCTCGTCGTCATGACAGGCCAGACGTCACCACACCACATTCGGTCATGTTCAAGTCGCTGCTCACTGAGACGTTCAGCAATCGCTTTGACGTCGTGCTGGGCGTCGCGTTGCTCTGTTCGACCATCTTCACCATCATCTTGCTGACCCTCCCGTCTCAGTATGACCCGTATATGGACAGGCCCATCAAGCTGGTCGACTTTGACGAAGAAGGTAACGAATTTGAGGTAAAAAGAGAGGATGGCAGCGACCGATTCAAGCAGGGCAGGACGGTGCAGATTCTCGTCCTTGGAGACATTGGTCGTTCACCCCGCATGCAGTACCATGCTCTCAGTATAGCCAAACACGGCGGCAGGGTGTTTCTAATCGGCTACCAAGGTAGAAAGCCTGTGAACGAATCCGTCACATGCGGGGCTAACCTGTTGTAGAATCTGAGATACATCCCGACATCGTCTCCAGCCCATTGATTGAGGTTGTACCCCTGATCGCAGCGCCTGCTTTCCTTCGTTCAAGCAGCAAGCTGCTCTTCGCTGTCATAGCACCATTGAAAGTGCTGTGGCAGGTCAGAAGCTTGTACCGCGCTCTATGCTATCGTACGCAGCCTGCAAGATGGATGCTTGTGCAGAATCCTCCCTCAATTCCGACACTGGCTGTTGCGAGTTTGGTCTGCTTCATCAGAGGCACACAACTGGTCATTGACTGGCACAACTTTGGCTACTCAATCCTTGCACTGAAACTCGGGGTTAGCCACCCACTTGTCAAGATTTCCGCCTTGTACGAGAGGGTATTCGCAAAGGCTGCCAAACATCACTTCACTGTCACCCACGCAATGGCCCGCGTGCTGAAGGATTCGTACGGTGTCAAAGCCCAGGCCCTCCACGACCGTCCAGGCCCAATTTTCCGACCAATCGACTCACAAGAACGTCGTGCCTTCCTCTCACGTTTGCCGGAAACAGCGCAGTATGCGGAAGATCTCACTGCATCTACCAAAACACCCTGGAGGCTCATTGTCAGCTCAACGTCCTGGACCGCAGACGAGGACTTCTCCATCCTCCTCGAAGCGCTATGCAATTATTCCGCGCAGGTCACAGCGAAGCCTAATCTGCCAAACATTCTGGCAATCATCACCGGCAAGGGTCCACAGAAGGAGCACTACCTCGCCAAGATCAGGGCCCTGAATCAGGAGAAGAAGCTTCTCAACGTGGTCATCCAAACTGCATGGCTCACCTCTGAGGACTATGCGATGCTCCTTGCAGCCGCCGACCTTGGCGTCTCGCTGCACACATCGTCATCTGGTGTAGATCTGCCGATGAAGGTGGTGGACATGTTCGGTGCAGGACTGCCAGTCGTCGGTTGGGGCAAGTTCGAGGCGTGGCCTGAACTCGTCAAGGAAGATGTCAACGGCAAAGGGTTCGAGAGCTCGCAACAGCTGGCGGAGCAGCTCCTTGGCCTATTCGGTGACAAAGCCGAACTGCTGGCGACACTGAAGAAGGGGGCCGTGGAGGAGAGTAAGAACAGGTGGGATGCCGAGTGGGATCGCGTTGGCGGGAAGCTTTTCAAGCTGATTGAGTGAGGTTTGAGACCCTCCAGGATCCTGCTTACACTACATCGAGGTACGACTCCTTCAAGGGTGAAAGCTGAGGGAATCGCTACCGAAAAGGTCAAAAAATGGACAACACAGATCATGATGCTCCTGATTCCCTCACGTACTACTACTTCAGACTTCACAAGCTACTAAAAGCACCACAAAGACAGCCAGACTCAGAGCCATGGCCAGCAGTGAACCCTCCGCATCCAGAGCCTCAGGCTCAAGAATGCGTGCCCTATCGACCTCAACGTATAAATATGCATCCTACAACATGCACGTCCAGAGGTATGGCCTGAAATACAGAGAGCCGTCGTCCGTCGGAAGTGAAGATAAGCGCTCGACTTACCTCGATGCATCGGCACGCACACTCGAACATTAGCTACACACAGAGACCAGCGCATCACGCCGGACCCCGTCCGAAGCTGAGGATTACACTCACGGCAGCGCCTCGGACTGGACGTCGACAGACTCCGAGCAGGACCCAGAGAAGCAGGACATCGTCAAGGACGAGACTCGATGGACCGCAAATATCGATGCAGGAGCATGTGACCTGGAGAGCCTCGGAGTGGAACATCGATCCGTGATGCTGGGTGTCGAAGTAGGTCGCGATGACGAGGCCTTTGCTTTGCTTAGACAGTGCGGGCATGTCCTCTGATGCGCTTTGGTTCATGGTGGATTCTCTTGTCTATTACCTCGGCAGACTGGACAACTCCCATCTATGTTGTTACTGTCAATGTCTATTATGATCACGTGGAGTATGCGGAACGGTCTGAGATTGTAATTCATTAAGTTCGTCAACGAGCATGACTCGTTCTACAGAGGTCTGTGACGTCAAAGCGCTTTTCTCGTCCTTCCGTGTATTCTAGACCATGCATCCAAAAAGACTAACTCCATCCAGCGCCGTTGCTTGTGAGACATGCTCAGGGTATCGATGATAGTAGAGACAGAAACGTATACAAAAGGAAACTCCAAAAAGCCAGCGCCTCTTGCAGGCAGGTGCGGTGGCGACGGCGGATGACACCTGCTTTTTCAGAATATGACGACAGTCCAGACTGATCGACGGCTATGCATGACCCCACAGAGGTCGGCGGTGGTGGAAGCGCCATCAAGGGAGGTGAGACTGTGTGTATGCGGCTCCAATGCGCCTGGTCCAAACATGGCAGGCGTTCCAGCCCTATCGCGCGGCCTACCGAGGTACGCTTCCGATGCGCCTACCTTTCCGAAGGGAAGGTGGACGCAGGACTCACGTGCTGCGAGGACTCGGGCGAGTTGTTCTTGGAGGAGCCCGGCGAGGTCGTGTGCGTCTGGAAGACGATGTACAGGTCATCGTAGCTGCCCATAACCATGTGTTTCCACTTGGCCATGGTAGGCAGACCGACGTTGGCGACGGAGGACTTGGCGGAGATCTTGTCGGCCCACATCTCTCTCTCCTCAGGCAGGTAGAGATCTTCCTGGTGGATGTCCATGCGACTAGCGCCGCGGGGAATGGGCTTCTTGGTGACGCGCATAAAAGGCAAGTTAGGGTCTATCGTCATGATCAGTTAGGCATGGTCAAGCGAAAACCATGCTGGCGGAGGCACTCACGCTTGTCGAGCTCAGCGCAAAGAGCTGCCTCGGTGGTGGTGTCTAGACCGTTCGCACCAGAGCGGTACCTGTAGACGAGAATGCCCTTGTTGCTATTCTCATCGAGATCAAAGAGGCTACTGGCCTTGCTGGCCGTGGTGCCCGATGTGGACGTGGATTTGAAGGTCATGCTTTCTTGCATAAAGATCGGGTAGATGCCGAGTAGGTGAGGCTGAGACTGTTGGTGGGTAAATAGGGCTGTTGAAGACGGAAGTTGGGATCGGTGGGTGTTTGCGGTAACACAGGGAGGACTGTGGGCTCGGTAGGCTTTGTATGGGCAGGGTGAGTGATCTGGTGATTGCGCATGAGTGAAAGCCGGGTCGAGTGAACAACAGCAAAGCGGTCTGGGCGCTCAGCGACAACGTCACAACGGCTGCGCCTCCGGGGTGGCAGCGCAGGGTCGCGAACTGCGAGCTGCAAGCAGAAAGTGGCTGCGACCAGCAGGGATTCGTCCCGTTTAGCGAGAGACAGCGGCAGTGTCTGGTGGAGCCGTGATTGGTGCGCGCCTTCACTCTTCTTATGTGACGACGAGAATGTTCGCAAGATTACGATCCAGCATGTGACTGTTCGAAAGCGTTACTCAGTTACAGAAGCTTCCAGATACGATCTGATTGCCAGGGTCCAGGAATGTCTGCTCTGCGCATCATGGACGCTGTGAGACGTCCGAACGCGCCAGACTACAGCAGGTCCGCAACGACAAAGAAAAGCAATAATGGTTTGAGCAAACTGGAACCAGGTCTCGCAGCCCGGATGACTGTTCTCGAAGAATGCCGGTGTGACCAGCAGGCATTTGCGAAGAGTCGCTCGGCTTTGAGTAGGGCAAGGGCAGTTCCAAACTGAGTCACCTGAACGGCGTCCTGCGAATGACGCGGGATAGTTTCGGTCTCCCCATCCGACAGGGCAGCTTTGCGCACCGCTGTTGCGCATCTTCGCTGGTTCCGGGTAGCCATAACGGTAATTCGCCCATCTCGCAGGCAGCTGCCTACGACCTTTGGTACTAAGGGCACGAATGATTCGTTACCCCAGATCTGCACGATGCGGGCCGCAGCTGAGCTCATCACCTGTCGCACAAAAGTTCCTGCAGCCCCTGAAAGCTTTTCGAGAATGACCAGCTCGAACACTGAACGCCCAAACGCCATTTGATAATCAACATCTGTCAAAAGAGGAACCTGCCAGGCAGTGCTGTCGTACAGAGCCCCGGCGGGCAAATCAGGGACGTGCTCGATAATTGACTAACCCCGGAGGCCTTCAAGCGTATCAGCCACTGCCGCTGCCGCACCTAATCCCGATCCACGGTGTGCAGGTGGACATGCAGCCTCATGTGCCTTATGTACCGGCAACGCGCCCTCTCTAGCACAGACAGCTGCCGTGCACAATCCGACCGAGCCCCTCATTCCCGGGATTTGCGATCACAATCAAGCAGACAGCGCCGTACAAAGCACCGACTGCCGCCCGAAGATCACCATGTCTCTCCAACTCCCTCAAGACTCGCCGTCGCGGCCGCTAAGCATCCGAACCACGGGAACTTCGGCGACGATGACGGATAAGACTGGGGAAGCATGGCGAGGCACTGTCGACAAGCACAACTGCTGGGAGGATCTCATATTGACACTAGGTACGTTGCGCATAGTGAGCCTAGAAGTAGTTGCGATATCCAAGCTGGCGCTTAAATACAGAGCGTCTGGAGTGCCTGTCATGACGCGCAAACAAGTCCGGAACGCTAACAACACATAGACGGAGGAGGCATTCGAGGCTACTCCAGCCTGCTCATTGTCCAGCGGCTCATGCACGAGGTAGCCAAATGCGAGCGGCGACTACAAGACGAGGAGGGTCCTGTATGTGGCAGCACGCGCAAGGAGTTCAACGAGGACGAGCTGCTGCCATGTCACTACTTCGACTACATGTACGGCACCAGCACAGGAGGTCTCATCTCAGTGATGCTGGCGCGCCTACGGATGACCGTACCGCAATGCCTCGAGATCTACAGGCAGGTCGGTCACGAGCTGTTTGGTCGTAGACGAAACATCCTCCCGTTGGCGACAAAGTACCACCACAAGCCGCTCGAGAAGGCAGTACAGAAGATTGTGAGCCAATACTGCAAACTGCATGTAGGATGCGATGGCACAGATTGGCATCCTTGGGACTGGGACCCCGTGGACGAGGAGTCGCCCAACCCTTCGGCTACCTCTACTGTCAACAGCAGTTCTACGTACAAGAGCTCGTACAGTGGTGCGCCGATCCAACCGATCGACAGAATCTGCCAATCGTAAGTCGCATTGCTATTGTAGTCATCGGAACGGTCTGATAGTGATCTTCACGCACACAAACTGGCCTGACCTCCTCGAGCTTGAATCGTGGACCATCAATTTATCTCGCAAACTGGACTGACATCCTCCAGAATCTGCCTGACTGCGACACACAACGGACAAATTGATGAGGCGTATTTACTCCGGTCCTATAATCACCGATACGATCAAGAAATACTGCCACCCTGGGTGCGACCGTACAACGAGGGAGCAGACAAGCTCAAGATCTGGCAGGTGACGCGCGCCACATCAGCAGCGCCCTTCTACTTCGACATGCTGTTCGCAGACGTTGGCAAAGGCCGCGGGTGGAAAGGCTTTAAAGACGGCGGGATCCGCGAGAACAATCCATCGTACGCAGCGTATAGTGAACACGCTTCATTAAGAGGAGACGAACACGAGCCCGCTTTACTCCTGTCGATTGGTACTGGGCGCCCAAACAACAATAACGACGGGTTCGCTGCAGTTTGGCCAGGCCCTCTTGGAAAAATCCCACTCCTCCAAAAGTGGAGCGAGAAGTTCGCAGTCTTCAAGAATGTCTTGATCAAGTACACCGAAGGCGAAGCGCGGCACAAGACAATGCGCACCATAGCCAAAGGCGAGCACCGATGGTACAAACGCCTGAATGTCGATCAAGGCATGGAGGGACTCGCGCTCGACAACTGGGAGAAGGGGCCCTGGTTTAACATCTGCACCGGTGAGGAGAAAGTCGTCTCAGGCGGCAAGACACTGTCGCGCATGGAAAAAGCTTCCGGCGACTACCTCAACCGTGACAACGTCGAGACGTTAGACGGCGTCAAGGAGTACCGTCCGCCGAAGATCGTGCTCCAGCAAATTGCAGAGCGCCTTGTGCGACACCGACGCTTACGCGAGGAGACTAAGAACGACAATCCCAAGCGATGGCAGACTTACATGGGCCAGTGGCTGACCGGTGAGCTGAGAGACGAAGACTCAGCGATCCATGTCTCCCCTCCCATGAGCAGGAAGGGCTCCAAGTCAAAGTCTCGGCCGACGACATCCGGACGCACGGCACACGTGAGCGGCACTGCGCAAGCATCCTGAGACCACCTTATGATCCTCATGGCTTGCATGTTCCTGTGATTCTTGCACTTAAACATTCTGACATTTAGCATGGCGTTCCGCGTTGCGTTCGGCAAACCCCCACACCCACACCTTCCACTTTGCTTCATTGCATAGCGTTGAGCATTTCAGCGGCACCTAGCATCGAGACAGAAAACTCCATACTCCTTGTCGTTCACACGCATCTGGCATTCTGCAAATCATCTGGCGTTCTGCATAGCATTCACATATACCCTACAAATCTTGCCTGTTCAACTTAAATTCGAGGAAAGCGCGGCGGTTTGCGCAGGAAATGAGACCATTACTTGGATAGATGCAGTACATTTCGGTATTACGTATTGAATGATCGGACTACCTCCACGGTTGCATGTTACCATCCTGCTCTGATGAGACAATTCAGTACACTTGCCGTCAGCAAGGTCCGCTTCTTTCTTCGTCTCCTCCCAAGTCACAATGCCCTTAGCTCAATCTGATCTCTTTATCACCGTGCTATTCTTGCACCCGTACTCTAAGTCAAGATATCAATTTCAGCAATCATCACCACATGTACAGCTTGATACTTGAATATTGCATTGTTCATTCGCAGCTTCAAAAACTTGAATATTACCGGAACATTGTAACGAAACTGCATATAGGTAGAGAAAAATTACCCTCAACAACATGTACACACGAGAACTAAGTGCCGCCCGTCATAGTATAAGCTTGAGTTCGCCCAAGCCCCTCATTGTCTTGCAGGACGAAGCATTGGTAGCAAGCGCGATGACACTAGTTGGTCAGATCAATGTAAGACCAGTGCTCGCGCTGCGTACCCTTGCCATCAATCTTAGCCGTCGAGTAGCTAGCCGCCGTCCAGGAAGTACCGCTAGAAACGTACCTAATCCATGCGTGGCGCGGAGTATCAAGAGCGACTTACGGCCAGCAAGGGTGTTGTTGTACATAGATCTGCCGCAGTCGTATCCGCATCTACAGATCAACTCTGACACTGGGTCGTCCAATGGAGAACTAAACAAAGCCGGGGGCTCTTCAAGCGCACATGACGGCGTCTCTGAACATAGTTCAGAGACGCACGCTTGTTCGTTCGAGGTTTCACGCATCTCGAAAGGGTCGAGTCGTAGAACAGAGCACTCCGGCTCATGCCCGTAGACTGTCGCGTGCAACACCCTTCGAAACCAGACTGGTCATCAGCCTGCGCCATAGGAATCTCGAATCGAGCCTCGAAACGAGCTTCTTCCCACCCTCTGCTCTTCTGCGAAAGGTAAGACCTCAGTTCTATGTATCTCTCGTTTCTCATCTTCATGCATGTCTGGCTGTCTTAGCCGAACTTTGGAATTCGTTCCTTCCGCTATATGAGGGGACATGTGAGTAGGCAGTCTAGGTGTGTAGCTCGTGCTGCTGCAGAGCTGCAGGACTGCAGATCTCTGTTGTGATACCTGCTGGAAGCTCTGGGGACATTAAGCCTGCAGGATCGGGAAGACGATAGAGATGTGAGAGGCGCTTGATGAGTCGCTCGAGATCCGCCTCGCAGACCAGCATTATCATAGCGGAGTGGTGGTGTTGCCCTGCATGCGGTTGGTGAGAATGCACGTCACCAGCCTCCGATTCGTCAATTGCAGCCTTGGCACTGACCTCATCCTTATGATGCAGTAGATACACGCAAGAGGAATTGCAGTTGCAGAGTCTTCGTTTCTTTCGTTCTTTCCAGCTAACGTGCGATTGCGATCCATCGTGTTGCGAGGTTGTTGACATCCAGGTGCGGCACGTGGACGGTTCCAATCGACGATTGGCTGTTGCTGGGTCAAGCTCGATCGCCAGCTACAGCTCGACCACCCGGGCACGTTTCTGCGCTACAGCCGCGGGGATCTTCCTGTACAGAGGTTGTGTTTCTTTCGCTGGGCCTCCTGCAGCCTCGGACATTGTGTCACATCCTTATCCTGTCCACCAGCACCGTCTGAAGTGCGTCGAGCGGACTCTTCGCGCACCCAACGCCCGTCATGAGGTTCGTCTGTCCCCGGCACCCGCTGCCGTCACCTTCCAATCGCGGCGCAACGCAATTGGGGAGCAACGGGCACTAATGCACCCTTCGCGTAGGTTCGGCCAGCAGCTGAAGCAGTCGCTGAACAAGGACTGGCTTTTCTACTACATCGACTACGAGGAGCTCAAGACAGCCCTGCGCGTACACCACACCTGGGACGAGAAGTCGGAGCAGAGCTTCGTTGAGCAGCTCGAGAAGGAGCTCGACAAGGTCTACAGTTTCGTGCGTGTCAAGAGCGAGGAGATCATCCGCCGCATCGCAGCGTCAGAGAAGGAGGTCAGCACCGCGGTCGCCAAGTTGCAGCAATACCTGCAGTCTCAGCAGGCAAACCAAGATGGAGACCCATTCGAGGAGGATTTCGAATTGCTGGAAGAGGATCTCAGCGACATCATCGCGGATGTTCACGACCTGGCCAAGTTCACTCAATTGAACTACACAGGCTTCCAGAAGATCATTAAGAAGCACGATGTATGTTGCTACGCAGGATGAATACCAATCGGCGCTGACCTGCTGCAGAAAAACACTCGCTGGGCACTCAAGCCCGTCTTCGCCGCCCGCCTCAAGCGCAAGCCCTTCTTCCAAGACAACTATGACAGCTATATTGTCAATCTCTCGAAGCTCTACGACGTGGTTCGTACTCGCGGTAGCCCCGTCAAGGGCGACTCCTCCGCTGGCGGAAAGCAGCAGAACTTCGTTCGCCAGACCACGAAATACTGGGTCCATCCCGACAACATCGTCGAGCTGAAGCTGATCATCCTGAAGCATCTGCCTGTGCTGGTGTTCAACCCTAACAAAGAATTCAACGAGGAAGATTCATCTATCACGTCCATCTACTTCGACAACACGGAGACCTGGGAGTTGTACGAGGGTCGTCTGAAGAAGACAGAGGGCGCAGAGGCCATTCGTCTGCGATGGTACGGAGGCATGAACAGCGACACCATCTTCATCGAACGCAAGACCCATCGTGAGGATTGGACCGGTGAAGAGTCGGTCAAGGCGCGTTTCAAGCTCAAGGAGAAGAATGTCAACGACTACCTCAAGGGCAAATTGCTGCCCGGGAAGATCTTCGAGAAAGAGCGCAGGGAGCAGAAGAGGTCTGAGAAGGATATTGCGTCCGACGAGCAGCTTGCTCGCGAGATCCAGTACCGTGTCATTGACCGCAGTCTCGTACCTGTCACACGCTCTTTCTACCACCGTACCGCCTTCCAGCTTCCCGGCGATGCGCGAGTCCGTATCTCACTCGACACCGAGCTTACCATGACCCGCGAAGACAACCTCGATGGCAAGAAGCGTGCTGGCAACAACTGGCGCCGCACAGACATTGGTGTAGACTGGCCGTTCAAGCAGCTGCCGTCTGAGGACAAGGAGTTGTTCCCGTATGCTGTTCTCGAAGTCAAGCTCCAGACTGCAGCTGGTGCCGAGGCGCCGCAATGGATTCGAGATCTGACTGGATCACATCTGGTCGAGGCTGTACCTAAATTTTCGAAGTACATCCACGGTACTGCAACTCTAAACCCCTCGAGGATCAACCTCCTACCGTACTGGTATCCGCAGATGCACGTCGATATCCGCAAACCCGTCAGCCAAAGGTTTGGTATCGAGAGGCCGGGCGCTAGCAACGATATCAGTACCAGCAATACTCTTGACGATGATAGCGACGACGATGACGCCGCCATGGGCCTTCCTTCTGCTAACAGCAGCCAAGACGACGACCAGCTCAGGAGACTTCGTGAAGCTCGCGACACGATGGAGCAGAACGAGATCGCCCGTACCAGGGAATATGGTACCCTGACCAATGGCAGCGATCCCAATGCCCTCGACATCGAAGAGCGTGTAGCCGCACAGCGCAACCAAGACAACGACTATCCCATCTACGACTCAGACAGCGACGATGAAGACGACAACCTTGAAGAAGCCAAGCGCGTCGGTGGCCTTCACTACGCAAAGAAGTGGGTGGAACACACAGCCAAAACAGTCGGTAACGGCCTCGTCAACGGCGCGACTCTGCTTTTCCACCCCAAGCCCACTGATGTTGGCGATGGCGGTTTCTCGCTCGGTGTACCTAGCTGGAAACAGCAAGGCGAGGTCAAGCGCTTCAAAGCTCCCAAGGGCAAGCGGATCCACGTGCCCGTCCGCGTAGAGCCCAAAGTGCAGCTCGCAACCGAGCGCACATTCCTGTCCTGGCTCGAATTCAGCATCCTCATCGGCAGTATCGCTGCTACGCTGCTCAACTTCGGTGACGGCCTCGCGTTCGCGGCCGCCTGGGCGTTCACGATTATCGCGTGTGTTGCGCTGCTGTACTCTGTTGGCCTTTATCTCTGGAGAGTAAAGAAGATCAAAGAGCGGAGAGCAGTCGTATACCATGACAAGTGGGGTCCGTCACTGCTTTGTTTGGGGCTTCTTGCGGCGCTCGCAATTAGTTTTGGGTATAGGCTGGGTAAGGGTGGGTATGATGGTGGTTTGAAGGGCGATTTGAAGGGCAAGCTTGGCGTCTAAATTGACGTCGAGCTGAGGAGCCGCTGTTGTTCTGCCTAGAGGTTTGGCGAAGCCTTTTGGCCTCTGTTGTTGTATATTTGTACAGCGTTGTTCAACTATGTTGTCTACTCATGGAGCGGGTCCGGTCTAATGACCGACCTGGGGGGTTATTGATAATCAAGCGTAGCGCAATACCCAAAAGCATGACTCTGGAAGGTATGCCTCGCACAGAAGACTATTGCTAACTGAATGTCTCGTCGTCAAACTAACGCTGCTCATGACGCTGATCTGTGTGAGGGTTTGCACAGCCAGCGACCAAGACTCATCATTCCAATTTCTCAATATCTTGGTCAACACATGACCGGGCTGACTCTCCATGTTTGAGAGCTTGAAGGGCGACGAGCATGAGCAGTGTTCTGGCAGCGACAGATCGATCGTCTTAGAAGTACGGAGGGTTCGGTAGGTGAATGAGCCGCAATTCTCTTTCTCGAATGCAGCCGAATATTCGGTGGTAATTACTTCTATTCCACCCGAAGTCTAGAACATGCTGAGGGTCCACTATCCCTTTTGTTTCTCAAGATGCTCGGGAGGAGTTAATTTGTTGAGGGAACCGACATTCTAGGACAATCGAAGTGGCGACCGCATTCGAGAAGCAGAGAGACAGAGATGCGGGTATAAGATTGTAGTTTTCTGCATTTGATAAAGAGGTAGATGGTATTTAAACAAGCAATAACTGAAAAGGTGTTGCCCGTTATATGCGCATGCTGCGAGGCTGCAGTCTATGATAGCCAACAAAGAACAAAGGAGACCTCATGCTGAGCATTTCTTGCCTCTATCAAAAAGTGGGCAAATATCAAAGAGCCAGACTTAATGATTGACAGGTCGCAGATTCAGTACCTACGTTGTATCCCCAGTAAATATGTGGCTACGTATCTGAATCAAGCAGAGCTCATACGAAGGTCACGTAAACCTAGCGTGTACTCAAGATGAGTCGCTCCAAGACATACGCAAGTTGTCGTCGAATTTATAGGCCAAAGGTATGCAAGAACGTTATGAATGAGCTCATATTTTGAACAGAAGACAGGACATGTCGTAACAGCGATACATTTTTCAATCGATGTTGCTATCGGTCGTAAGATGAAGTGGATGAAGGTCACAGCGCAGATATCAAGACCTTATGCATATACAGAGACAGGTTTAACCATCAGAGTGTCCGTACGTCACGCACACAAAATTATGTGTCGTTTCTGGGGCATGGAGAATGAGCCAGTCTTCTGGCGCAGAGAAGCGGACATATCGACGCCCGCGAAGAGACCTGGCTAGGGCATAACAAGTTTATGGAGAATCTCAGAGGAAGAACCTACGCACGAAATCAATCAGCATGGTCCTTAATGGGAGATGCATGGATGGAGGACATATTGCTCCAATATTCGACCACGTTCAAACATGAGGCGCGTTCTCCCGAGCGCGCAGAGCTATACTCAGACCCGTTAGGGACTTCACGAACGGAACATCGGAGACACCAGGGATTATGTGCTGGCAGGAGTGCACTTTTGGGGGAAACATGTATGGGTCCATCGTCGAATTTCGATTCTGAGACGTAGAGGAGAGTGTCTGAGATCGCGCTTGAAGTCCGACGAATATAACCTTTATGTGTTCCTAAGACATGCTCAAGGTTAGTGTTGCACGCATGAACGAATCACCTTCAACTGTATCCAACAAAAAATGTGCGAAGGTCGGATATGTAGCCACAGGCCCGTCAGAAAATATTAGACAGCGTGTTTGGAATTGCGACTAAGGAGCGGACAGGCTCATGGCCAAACTTGAGGATAGGAAAAGATCGTCTGGGATCAGATACGGTTGCGACGGCAGTCTTCACATACGTTGAGGTAGCAGAGGTGGCATTGGAGGATGTACTTCCAGTGACGGTTGGAGCAGAGCTCACAGCGAAAGCCCTTCTTGGGTTGGCCGTGGGTCTTCCTTTCGAAACGTCTCGAGTGTTCGCATTCATGGCGGTCCCGGAGCTCATTGAAGACGTCATCAACGCGCTGCTGCCAAACCGCCTGTGGCAGGTCAGGTGGCGCGTCTCGATTGACAACTTCTTCCGCGCGTTCTTCAATACGATGGAGGTCCGCCACGTCGCACCTGCAATTCTTCCATTCGATCCCACATACATAGCAGAACTCGGCGCTACATTTACAACTACGATTAATTAGTGATGTCTGAGTCTCTTTGAGTACTGTTATAACATACGTGATATGGTTGCAACCGGTGCGCAGTTGGATGACCCTATCGCAATTGTTACAGGACCTCCACCCCATGCTTTGAGCGAGCGCCTGGGTCTCGCGAAGTCCTTCATCTTCTGGACAAGCGTTTTCGGGGTGGTATGCGTTGTTGCACCCCGAGCAAGTGGCTGTGGCGCACTTTGAGCAGGTCGCACGACCAGTGTGAGGCTCGATGTTGTCTGGATGAATAAAAGTATTGCACTCTAGATTGCTGCAATAAGTCCTGTTGCGCATGGTGTACTCGATACTCGCCAGCTCGAATGTGGCAAGCTCATCAGCTTGCATGTGCTTAGCTACAAGCTGGAGTGGGACACACTGTTTGCAGCATCGCGGTGGATACAGATCCTCGTCCCTGGTTGCGCGTATGAACAGGCCTTTAGCACAGTCGCCACAGTAGCGATGACTGCACTTCAAGGATACCATGAGGGCGCGTGGAAATCGATCAAGGCAGAAGGCACACTGAAACTCCATGGACAGTTTCTTTATCGTCTCAGCCTGGCGCTCAGCGAAGCTCATTGATGGTCCCGCATTATCCTCATTATCTGAGAAGTCTAACACGGTGGTCTGAGCGACAGTGGCGGATAGCGTGGACATCCAGTCGTGAACATCGTGGGATAGTGCCTGTCGAACAGCGGAAGGAGGCGCTTCAATCTCAGGATCTTCGTTGCTGATCCGGAGTACATGGCGTCGATCCTCGTAAAATTGAACTTCCTGTGACGTGAGTTCTCCTATCAGAAGACCATCGCTGTGTACGGCAGCACCGATACTCTCAGCCAGCTTCCTGTCGGCCAGGAACGTTTTGTGTTCGGCAAGCTCGGCTTGAAAGCTCGCGAAAGCGACCTCAACATCAGGAGGCTGATTGACAGGATGCTTTCCTTTGCTGGATTGTGAGAAGATTTCGATCTCTTCAAGCTGCAGGGCCAATGCAGCAAGCTCATCGTCCAGAACCGTGGGATGGGAGGGCTGAATACTGATCGTGGAAGCACTCATTTTCGTAACATGTAGAAAGCTGACCTCACAATCAAAGCACTTGAGTGGATGAGCGACATACTGAGCAGTCGATGACCTCTACATATCTCCTTGAGTGATGCAAGGGCGAGTTTGTGGTAACGAAGAGGCTGTCCCTGCTCTGAGTTATGTGCACTGAGCTCTGCAGTAGGTAGTTAAGGAGCCTGTGCCGCATCACTTCAATGGACGGAACGCCCGTGGTAGGCCCTTGCATTGTGCCGACAAGATGTGCTCTTGCTGCTCAGCGCGTTATGTACACCTGCATGCTGATGTCTTATTGTCGGACAATCTTGCGTGAACTTCGCTTGCGCGAAAGCTATCCGCAAGATCTGGACGCATACGACCATCAAGTGATTGCCAGCATTAACTAGAGGAGGCTCGAGAACTGGGGCGAGATGAGATGGCGCGTGCACCTGATTTGCCCTGCAGCCCCATGCCTCGAGATCCGTCCTGCGAAACGAGGCTTTCAAGACGTTTCCAGCGAAGCTCCGATCCCAACCTCTGGGGCGGTTTCGAATGTTGGGGTGCATCAAGCAAGCGTGCATGATGTGTGGCAGAGTGGATGCTTCAGATCGGGCTATTGTGGGCGCTTTAGCTTCTCTAGGCACTGTAAACAAGCTTTGCCAACGCTAAATAGGGAATGACATCAGTCTCGACTGCCACAAACACGCACTATGTGAAACTTGTCAGGGACGACACTGACAATCAAGTCCGCGCCGCTTACCTTGTTCGTTCAAGATAATCCTGCTGGCCGCCAGCTGCCCGTCTCCTCATTCCCTTCAGTCTGTCATCGAAGCAGTCCAGGTTGCCAATTCCTATATTAGACACGCGAGTAGCACACAACTGTAGCCGCTCGCCCCTATCAACAACACATCAACATGGCTCCTAGCAGGACTTCGCAGCGCGCACTGCTGCTGAGTGCCACACTTGGCCTCGTAAATGCCGTTTCTTTACCAGAACCAACCGCTGCACCCGCGAAGGTCGAAGTTCGACCACCGATTGTCACTCCCGCGGCGATCCGATTCGACGAGCGATACAGCTATGTTGAGAGACGAGACATCTTGGACGACATCAAGAGCGGTGTTGGTGGTGCCATCAAATCGCTGGAGAGTGTTATTGGAACGGCATTGCCCAGCTTCTTCACTGATGGTAAGCTCGAGACGAACTAGCCCTAGTGAAGCTTGTGCTGACCAAGTAGGCATCCCCGGCTGGTTTGAAGGTCTTCCGACCGGTAGTGCGGTCATGTCCAGCTTGGGAATCAACGACGATGACCTCGCTGCGATACCTACTCAGGTCCTCAATGTCCCTCCATACGCGAACTGGACAGACAAGGGTTGGAATGTGCGATTCCACGGCAATGTCTACAAGATTCCCAACATCTCGCAGTCGAAGATCGACGACCTCGCTAATATCTTCCTGATCGACACGAGCGTAGAGCAGCTCCCTGATGAACAGAAAGCCAACGCTCGCAACCTCACTCGATCGATCTTCGTCGTCCAGCAAGGCGAAGAGAATGTTACTGTGACTCTGGAACCCGCACCCATGCAGGGTGGAGATGGGGAGTCAGGAGGTGGAAACTCCATTCAAGCCACTGGAGGCAACCAGACCATCAAGCTGCCGTATGAGACCACTGCTGAGGGAGACTTTGACGTCTTTGTACCGATCCAGAGCAATGGCCTCACCAACGGCAACGAGACCAATAATGTACAGCGTCTGAACGTTCACACCCTTGGCACCGACAGTGGCAACGCAACCGCCTATCTGGTCCCTTCCACAGGCATCACCTTCATCTCCGATATTGACGACATCCTCCGAGTGACTAAGATCTACGACCCAAAGGAAGGCCTGTTGAACTCTTTCGCGCGCGACTTCACTCCATGGATGAACATGCCCGACATATACCGCAACTGGTCGCAGACTCTGCCAAACAACACGCACTTCCACTACCTGACGACCACCCCTGAGCAGGCTACCCGCAATTACATGGACTTCATCTACAAGACCTACCCCGGTGGTTCATTCGACACCAGACCCCTCAACTTCTCGGACGTCAGTGCTACTTTGGCCATCCGCGATTACCTCCTACGTAAGATCTTCGCCACCTTCCCTGAGAGGAAGTTCGTGCTTGTCGCCGACACATCCAACTCCGACGTCATGAAGGACTACCCACAGCTCGCCCACGACTTCCCCAACCAGGTCCAGTGTATCTTTCTGCGCAACACATCCTCGACTGACAGCAGCGATTGGTTCCCGTACAACACCGAAGGCTTCAAGGGCCTGAACAACCGCAGCTACATGTTCTTCCACGTACCGGATGACCTGACTGGTCTGGACATTGCCAATGGCCAGTGTTTAAACGAGTCGATCAAGCAGAACGTTACTTTCTCCCGACAGGCTGAGGTCCTTGGCATCCATGGTAGTGCTGGGAGCCGGGTCAGTGGCGGTGCCACCATTAGCTTTGTAGCGGCGTTGGTCGCTGCTATGCTCTTGACTCTGTAGAGTCACTTTTTTTACGCATGAATGATTGTATACGAGTCATTGTCAAGGTCGGATAGGATTCGAGCGCTGGCTCATCGATTTTAGCGGCATGTTTCTTCTTGGTAGTCGCATCATTCATAGTCAATGCATCAAAGCCTTTCAAACACCGTACTTGCCACCTGTGCTACCACGTTGTTCCACACTGACAAGTTCTGGTTCGAGCGCTGGAACCTTCGCTGTCTTACTCATACGACAAATGCTAGTGTCTCCAACAACAACAACAAAAGTGCTTTTCAAATGTCTCCATGAAAAGTAAGACAAGATTCCACGCAGACTCGAGTCTTCATAAGCATGCCGGCCTTCTAGCTACGAGATATACTCCAGCGCTACTAAATAGCATACTCAGTATAGTCGCCAAAAATGTGCCAGCAAACATACTCCCACTTCACTTCGCCTTGTGCAGCCACCGGACTTACCACTCTCCATTTGTCAGCTGAGGACTCAGCCCAATAACAAATGCCGCCAAAAACTCCGAACCGAACTGCTTTTTTACGAACACTGCCAGCCTTGCGTCGTGCAGATGAGGAAGGCATGCGAGGCAACGCAGCACCAGGAACCGCTCACTGATCTTTTCCGCGCCCAGCCCGCTCCAGAAGATATACCTCCACCCATTGCAGTGGAGTGCGACGCACCCGAAGAACCCCCCCGTGTCGAGGTACCAGAGCTATCGCCGACGCCCAGCACAGCAGAGCCCGATGCTCGCCGCGCTGGGATACCTCGCGCGCTCGTCGCTAAAACCGTGGCCCCGCACCCGCACGATCGACTATCCCTGCTGCACGGGAATGCTCCAGTCCATCCTGGACAGACACCTTTGAAGATTCCCGGATCACAGTCTGTTCCCTAGGCCTCTGGTACCCACAAATCTCCACGACCAAGCGCAGAACAGCATCGCCATTTGGGGGTGGGGGAGAATTTAGAGGGCCGTAGTAGAGCTTTGAACAGTGTGGGAGTTGGGTGGGTAGGTGGTCGTGTCTTGTATCATCGGTTCCATGGAGGAGGGAGATTTGAGGGTTGGGAAGCGTGCAGGCGTGCTGGGTGCTGGGCGATGGGTTTTTAGAAAAGGTCGGCGAGTGGTGTCGATATTAAGTACCGATTAGGATGGACATGTGATTTTCCATGATTTGTGACCGGGTGAGAAGCGTGTCGATTCTCGTGATACATACAGCCAGCCTACTATAGACCAGCATTTTCACACGTGACGTAGTAATACGCGTCCATCTACAGCCTCTCCACCGCCCCCGTTAAACTCCGTAACCCGGGGCTCACGCTCTCGCGGCTCCTCAGACTCAAGCTCGCTGCGCTCTGCGCGAAACTAACAACGTCCTGCACCCTCTTCCCCCTGGCCAACCCCACAGCCAGCGCGCCGCAGAACGTATCCCCAATCCCATTCACACTAACCACCTCCTCGGGTTTCAACACCTTCTCCACAGGGAAAAGTCTAACATACAAACCCCCAACATCCGCCTCGACATCGCCGTTCTTTCTCCTCGCAACGATGTACTGCCGCTCGCTCTCATCGCGCAACTCATGCGCGTCGTTCGCCAGCAGCCGCGTCACTAGAACGCCCTGCGGCCCCAATTTGGTCAGAACAGTAGGGAAAAAAGGCAGCAGTTTGATCGCTTGCTGCGGGACACCGGCATCGACTAGCGCGCTGGAGGTCAGCATCGCGAGCGGGACGCGCAGGCCCGAGCTGGGGATGCCCAGGGCGTCGATGGTGCGGAACCAGGGCGCGGTTTCGAATAATCCGAGGGAGTAGACGTGGGCGTGGAGTGCAGTTAGTTCGTGGTTGTTCGGCGTGATGATGTGCGCCAGCGGGGAAGGGTAGGTTGATATTGATGTAGGTGTAGACGAGCTGTCCGAGGGGAATATGCGTAGGGCCTTGGCGGTGCTGACGGGTTCGAAGATGGTCGTGCTTCCTGCGGACGAGGCGGTGGAGAGCCAGGTGTGCAGGGCGGGGGAGGACCAGTTTGCGTCTGCGACGAAGACTTTGGGTTTCGTGGCGGGATCTGCGAAGAGCGTTTTGGACAGCGAGGTGGTCAGGTCTTGCGGGATGGTCTCGAGAATCGACATGTCGGCCATGGCCAGTGCGAGGTCTTTGTGTGCGTTGTTGATGGCGACGTATTGCGCCGTGCGGGCGGGCGCGGGGAGTGTCTCGATGCCCATCGTCGACATGCCTTCTTCCTCCAGTTGGCTCACTGCTGCTCGGCCGCTGAGGTCGTTGCCGACTGCGCTGTAAAGGCGTACGGAGGAGCCGAGGAGGTGCGCGGCTTTGGCGATGTTGTGGGCTACGCCGCCTAGGCTCTGGCTGATTACTGCTGGGTTGGAAGTGTGAGGTAGCGGGTCGGTTTGGCTTGAGGCGTTGGCGAAGGGAGCGTAGTCACAGGAGAAGTCAACGGCAAGTGCACCTGCAACGACGATGTCGACGGGTGCAGCATCAGAGATGGACGGCGATGTAGTGGTAGGGGTTGGAGGAGGTGTGGGCATCACATTGTTCAGCACCTCCTTGGCAGTAGTGATGGCGCTCTGCACTGGAGTGAAGTAGGAGCCATATCTACGTACTTACATCAGTGCCAGTCTACAATCGAGCAACAAGAGTGTCTGGCTCACCCTTGGGCTTCTTCTTGCTTCTTCTCCAGGATTGACAGCTCGCGGGCAACGATGGCAGCTCTCCTCACGTTGGACTCGATCAATGCCTTGTTTGCTGGAATGCTCTTGCCTTTGGTGAGCTCCTTGACCTTGGCCAGGACAAAGGGAGTGTTGTCCTTGCCCGATGCGCCTTGTGCGTTGGCTTGTCTGAGAGCTTCCTCGATGACTACATCCATCTCGGCCTTAGGGATAGCGGCTTCGACTGGTACGGGGTTGGCAAAGAGCAGGCCAGACCTGATCTGCATCTCATGTTGTGCATCTGACGGTGTTAGAATATGTCTGTTGTGAAGTCAATTGAATTGCTTACGAACGATAGCAGCAGCCTCAATCTCGTCCTTGATGGTCGTTGGACTCTTGACGCCACTGTCCCTCGACCAGAAGGCCGGGAAGTCTACCTTGCCCTCGCGGCCGTCTGCGAAAGTGCCAACACCCACGCCCTCGGTCTCGAGGTACTCAAGGGTCCGGGCAATATCCAAAAAGCTCTTGCAGCCACTCGAGATGACAGTGACAGGCGTTCTGCCCAGCTCGGTCAGGTCAGCAGAGATGTCCATGCTCGACTCTGCACCGCGGTGTACGCCACCAAGGCCTCCTGTGCCAAAGATCTTGATTCCAGCCAACTCAGCGAGTAACATGGTGCTTGCGATTGTAGTGCCGCCATTGAACATCTTGCCCGTCAGCCGCAGACCGGCGACATAGCTCAGATCCCGTCTGGACAACTTCAGGGTCGTTGACTGGCCAGCAGACTCGGTGAGCCGGATCAGCTCTTCTGGATCCAAGCCCACGCGTGCTACACCGTCTAAAATGCCTATGGTGGCAGGCACACCGCCATTGACTCGGACTACGCTTTCGAGGAGGGATGCGAGAGCTACATTCTCGGGGTACGGGAAGCCTGAAGGATTGATCAGTTACTATCAGGCATCTGCATTGATCTATCCAGTCGCACCATGAGTGTAGATTGTCGACTCCAGCGCGACAACCGGCTTCTTCGAGTTCAGAGCTTCTCGCACCTCCTCCGAGACGCGGAAGAAGCCATTGTTGGTCAGGTGGCGCCTTCCCAGCGACGTGCAGCTCCGCTGAGGCAGACACGGCCTCGGTGCAGCTCTAGAAAGAAGTCTCATGGTGTTCGGTGAAAATGCGGGGATTGACCGCGGAGGGCGAGCTTGAGCTACCTGCAGTGCACGGGCGCGGGTTGTGGACACGACGCATCAGCATACGCAACGCAGCGTTTCGTCGCGACAACCCTCCTCGACGTTCCCTCAACACCGACCTTCACATGACTGGGTAACTTGGCTGCTACCCAACATGAGGTCGTTTTCTCTCTTCACGAGCGCCATTGCGGCATTGGCCAGCTTCGCCAGCGCCGAATCCAACCTTTCGGAACCGCTGCGGTCGAAGCTGCTGCTGCCCAGCACATTCAAGCCTCCGCAGGTCTTCAAGAATGCCAACCTGGTCAGGACTACCAATTTGGACAAAGCATACCCCCGGGAGACGGTCAACATTCTCATCGAGAACATTGACGCGAAGCCGCAGTCAGAGTACTATGTGCCGTTCGACACGAGCCTGTTGTCGAGGATCGGAGGGTTCGAAGTGAGAGACAAGAAGAAGGCAGAAGCAGGCACGTTCAGCGTCCAGGTCGTCGGCCTCGACCAGGACAGCACAACCGAATACTACCGCGTCCACCTGCCTGAGCCCCTCGCACCCGGCGCCCAGCAGACCCTCAGCATCTCCTACTCCATCCTCTCGGCGCTCAAGCCCATGCCCGCCGAGCTCCCGCAGATGGCAAAGCAGTACCTGCAGTACACATTTAGCGCGTACGCGCCCTCGGCCTACCCCGTCGACAAGCAGCGCACCAAAGTCAAGTTCCCCAACGCCGACGTCACAGACTACACCACGCTGCCCGCTGAGCTCAACGACGAGCAAAAGTCCGACCCGCAGAAGCAGGGCTCGACATTCACATACGGCGCGTACGCCAACGTGCCCGCCGGCGCTCAGCAGCCTGTCAGCGTGCGCTACGAGTTCACAAAGCCTGTCATCCAGTCCACCCTGCTGGAGCGCGACATCGAAGTGTCGCACTGGGGCGGCAATCTCGCCACCGAGGAGCGCTACTGGCTCGTCAACGAGGGCGCCGGGCTGAAGAACCACTTCTCGCGCGTCGACTGGCAGAAGCAGTCGTACATGAACCCGGCCACATTCGCGCTGAAGGCGCTCAACCTGCCCCTCGCCCCGGGCGCAGTAGACCCGTACTTCACCGACGACATCGGCAACGTGTCGACGTCGCGCTTCCGCCCAGGCAAGAAGGAGAACCTGCTAGAGCTGAAGCCGCGCTACCCAGTCTTCGGCACCTGGAAGTACAGCTTCCGCGTGGGCTGGAACGCGGACCTATCGAGCTACCTGCGAAAGCTAGCCACGGGCGACGGGTACGCGCTCAAGGTGCCGTTCCTCGAGGGCCCGCGCGCGCCCGAGGGCCTGAGCTACGGCCGCGTGGTGCTGCGCGTCATCCTGCCCGAGGGCGCTACCAATGTGCGCTTCCAGACCAGCGTGCCTCTGATTGCGGACGATATCTCGCTGCACAAGACCTTCATGGACACGCTGGGCCGCACCGCGCTGACGCTGACGGCGACCAATCTGGTTGATGATTTCAGAGACAGGGAGCTGATCGTCACGTACGACTACCCCTGGACCGCGGGGTACAGGAAGCCCATTGTCATCACGCTTGGTGCGTTTGCCGTGTTCGCCTTTGTGTGGGCGGTGGGCAGCATCGACACGTCGATTGGCAAGAAGAAGACGGCGTAGAGAGATGGCTGACGCAGCGCAGAAGAGGGGGTGGAGATGAGTGGGAGTAGACAGGGCGCGGAGCCGAAAAGTCTGGCGTCAGTGGCAGGTACCCAATATCCAGTCGAGTTTGTGTTAGCAAGCATGTAGAACAATGTGATGATTTCCAGTCTACACTACCGTCGCCTCTGTCCATACCTATCCTTATGCCGCACCGTCACTGCCCTGGTCCTTTCCGCACCCACTCTAGAACGGATCCTTTATCCCCTTGATACGATGCACATGCCTAACCACAACCTTGCACTGCACCCCCTCCCCCGCCCTCCTGACCCTTTGCCTCACACCCCTCGCAACACACTCCGCAATAGCAACACTGCGATGCGTCCCCGCCGTGCAACACACAGCAATGGCCGTCTCCCTTCCGCCCCCGATGCAGGACGAGTCTTGTACGAACCCCATCAGTTCGTGCACAGCGTGCTCAATCTCCCTCCTCGCCCCTCGGTCCCGTAGCACAGCGTCTTGAGTAATCTCCGCCACCCCGGAGTAGTTATCCTGTATCTGTCGCGACGGGACGAGGAAGCGTCTCGCGTCGATGGTGTACCGCAACGGGACTCCAGACGGCAAGTGGTCGTTAAGGAGTCTCGCGAAGTGTTTCGTCGTCGGTGCCCGGTCGGTGGAGAAGGAAAGGAGGTAGATCGTCGGCATTGTTTCAAGAGGTCTCGTGGACTTGAGGATCGAGCGCAGTGGTGGCGGTTCCGAGGCGGGAGAGCGGACGTGGTGCATCATGGGTGAGTGTTTTGATAGGACTAGTTTGGCGAGAGAGGCTGCCATGGCTTTTTCTTTGGGGTGCTGGATGGTTGAGATAGCGTCGTATGTCGAGTCGTAGGCCTTTCTTGCCTTTCTGTCGATGTGGTGGATGGCGTGGATGCGATGTGCGCCTGGATCGGGTGAGAGTGTGGAGTGTGTTGTTTCGACGATCCGGGTGCCGTCTTTGTTGATGTACTCGATGGAGTGTGGGTTTGAGGTGGAGCGTGGAGAGGGTAGATCGCAGTGCAGGTACGGGTGTCGGTATCGTGAGGCGGTTGAGTAAGTGGTATGTGGACACACATCGTAGAGGGCCAGGCAGGCATGCGCGCCGTTCGGAGCAGGAATCGTTGCGTGGAGCTGCATGGTGGCAGCAGAGTTGTATGACTGATACATTGAGGAAGACGAGGTAGAGTGGTTACTGTAGGCAATCGCAGTTGTTTAGCTGCGGAGTGCGTGCTTGCTATGGCTTCATGCGTGCCTTTCCATATGCTCCATCGTCCACTTCACTGTCACTTGTCTTGCGCCGCACAGTTCTTTCGCGTAGCGGTGGGGGCGAAAAAGCACAGTTATAGATCCTCGAACGAATTGTGAAGGGCTGAGGATGACGAAGTAGGGTTGATGAGGAAGGATGAGTAGGATCTGAGCACGGCGCGGCTGGTGATGATCCAGCGACCAGTGACGATTCAATGGCTGACGGTGCATTTGATGAAGAGGTCGATAGGCGGTTGGTCTATCACGTGCATCGCGTGTGGTCTTACAGGTGTTCTTTCGATCTGTGCGAGGGTTGGTGTGAGGAGTAGGAAGTGCGTAGGTGTCGCTCTGTCCTACTTGGCGACCTTGTATGGCAAGATGTTGTACGTTGCTTGAAACAGGAAAGAGCGTTGCACACTCGAATGAAACCCACTGCAACTAGCCTTCACCATCATCTGACCTCGTCAGCACATCAGTGCCGCGAAGGGGTTAGTCGGCCCTAGAAGTCGACAGCTGACTGAACATTATATCGTTTCGCATTTTGTTCCCGTTAGGGCTCGCTACATCTATCATCCTCATAATGCTGCTACAACTCTTAACTCTGACCGTAAGCAACGCTAGAACTTCGACACATCGTTCAACCAACCAACCTCAAGCCACTTGCTGGAGCACCGATCTGGCACACCTCGCAGATCTTGCACACTGTGCCCTTGTATTTGGCATGGTATTTCGAGCCATCGTAGGGGCAGGCGGCTGAGGGACTACCACCGTAGATGGGTGTGTGGCTTGCTGCGCAAATCTCGAAGTCGGCGAACTGGTCGAAGTCGATTTCGATCTGGTCGGCGGGGTTCCTCTCTGCAACGGTCTTGACACGCTTGGCAGACTCCTTCATCTTCGCGTTGCCAGTCCTGTCAAGCAGAGCGTTGGCGAAATTCAGCGCGGTGTTAAGCTGCTTGTTCTTGTGTGCGAAATTCATGGCAGCTGACAGAGGCAATGATCTATGTGCCCCCTCAAGCTCAGGAACAGTGAAGTAGGCGGACAGTTCCAGCACGCGCTTCTTATCCTCGTCAGAAAGACTGGAAATGTCGGTGGCACCCTTAGCGAGTGCGCGACGCTCGAGCTCGATGGACATAGCGAGTGTGTATTGTGCAGCGACGTTGATGGCTCGTCTCGCCTGGATGTTGTGTTAGCATGATCAAACGAATGGCATGATGTAATAACGTACCTCAGTGAGCTCTGCTTGTGACGCAACGACGTTGACGATCAACAGGTGCAGCAACCTCTTGAAAGCAGCGACACCTTCTGGAAGCTGGTTCTTGAGCAAAGCCTGCTTGCCCGCAGCCAGGTCGGATTGCAAGATGGACTCGAGAGCCCGCGGGATGATGGGCAGAATCTTTCGCGAATCTGTCTCAGTGACAGTTCTCCGTACGTAGTTGACAAGAGAAGGCATGTTTGGTGTTGCGGGGAGGAAGGTCCGGGACGACTGGTAGATCTCCTGGAAGCGCTCTTCAAGAGGTGCGAAGTTGACAGCACCGACTTGTCTGTTCAGCAGCTGCATGGCAGTCTCGAAAGACCCAGCGGCGATGTGGTCTGCTGCCAACGGCGAGTTGCGTGCCCACAAGTCTGCTTCACTGCTTCCAGCGCCTGCGTCAGCACCCTCAACCTCGACGAAGTCATCCTCCGCCTCAACATCGCCATCGTCGCCCATGTCCCAGCCACCGACGTCTTCCTCATCATCGCCCCCAAGCTCGGCAGTAGCACCGGCAGCCTCGGGTTCACCAAGCAGGTCCTCATCACCGTAGCCGTTCGCCGCGGGCTCTTCGTCACCAACACCCTCGATCTCACCAGCGAGAGCCTTCTCGAAAACACTCGAAGATGCTGCACGTGTAGGCCAGTTGGCCTTGAAGGTCGGAACGATTGGCTTGGATGGCTCGAGAGGGTTGCCTATCGAGGGTACGCTGATCTGGTCTTCTGTGACACCGGCGGCTTCAAGGATCAACTGTGCCTGCTCGTCGAGGCCGTGAGCTTTGGCAGTAGCATAGGCCAACGGATAGAGGTCAATCTCCTGGAACATCTCTATCCTGTTTTGAACATCACCGAGGTAGAGTGCGTTCTGGAAGCGGGCAGTCATGTCTCCGCGATGTTCTGCGATCTTGGCCATACGCTTCAGCTTGTCCTGGTCACCTGTGGTGAGGTACAAGAATGACAGCTTGTCGAAGTTCCTTAGCTTCTGGTATGTCATCTCTACGATCTGGTGGTTACCGTGCGCGAGGGCTTCAGTGCTGAGTCGCTGCCAGAGCTTAGGGCGATCAAGCTGCTTGGCCATCTCCACAGCAACCTCAAGGTTGCCACACTCAATGGCGAGCTCGAAACGTGTTTGAGGATCCTGGACGAACTGGAGAGCGATCTCAGGGTAGCCCTTCTTCTGCAGGTACGAAATAATGCTTTGACCAACCAGACTAGATGTCTTGATGATGTTGAGCATCTCATCGTAGTTGCGCTTGACAAGGGCGAGCTTGAAACGGTACTCAGTAGGGTCGATTTGAAGAATCTTTGGCTTCGCTGCGCGGTCCAAGCAGTAGATGTTGCGGCCCTTGACTCTGACTAGGTAGACAGTGTGCTCCAGGGTTCGAACGATACCGTTGTCGCCATTCATCAAGCTGTACTTAATGTGGTTCAATGTCGAGTAGAGGAGCACACCGGTGTCGTCCCATGTAGCGCTCTTGATACGGATGGTCTCGTGCAGTGTGCTGACCTGGTCGAGGTTCTTCGTAGCGATTGTGACATTGTGCTTGCTAAGCAAAGCAACGTGCAGGCCGTCCGAGGACCAGACAACATACTTGACGCCGGCTACAGCAAGCTCCGCAAGGTTCTTCTTAGCCTGGATGTCGTACAGCACAACGTTGGTGGGGGTTATGAGGAGCAGGTTGCCAGTGCCACCAAAGTAGATATCGGTGGTTCCGTGCGGGGGCTTGATGGTCTTGGTTGTGGAGTTGCTGAGATCCTTGATATCAATCTGCTGGTTAGCCAGGCTGAAAACTGCGAATCTGTTCCTCGCGACAAAGACGGCCGAGTTTCCAGGGCCACGCTTTGTGTCGGTGGGTTCCACAGCTCCAGACGCATCGCGCGGAAGACTGATCAGCTCGTACGTGCCACTGTCTGCAGGCGATGTGACCAGAATCGAGCGCTCAGCAGGGTTGTAAGAGATGGTTCGCGGCGGTGTCCACGGGCTGCCGAGCTTCTTCAAGGAGAGCATAGATGGAGATTCGAGATTTTTCTGGAAGTCGTATGACCGGACATGCTTCTCCTTGGTGATGTAGAAGAGGTTGTTCTGGTAGACCGCTGACGCTGGGCGCTCACGCTCCAACTTGAATACCATCACACCATTGTCGTGACCAGCAGCGAACAGGTTGATCTCAGGATGCGCCGCAATAACCCAGAAACGGTCATTCTCCCGCTTGAAAGACTGGACCGATGTCCTCCTGTTGAGATCCCATACACGGATGGTCTTGTCTTCGCCAACTGACAGAATCAGGTCCTGGTGGGGGTGAAACAGACACGCCGATGCGTTCTGGAAATGCCCCCTGCACGTATCGACCTCCCAAGCCTTTGTCTCTGACATCCTCCACAGCTTAACCAGGCGATCATCGCCAGCTGAAATAATTAATGGTAGTGTAGGGTGGAATGCGACCCAGTTGACGCCTCGGTCGTGGCCCTCGAGAACGAACTTGACGACTGCATCTGTGTTTCCAAACATATCTGCCTGGTTCTGGTTCGAGCGAGCCATCTGGTCCTCGAACGACATGGAAGTCGGCGCAGAGTGCTTCTTCCTCAGGCCAGAGATATCCCAAACGCGGACGGACTGGTCGAGCGAGGCGGAAACGACAAGATCTTCCTTGGGATGGAATTGCGCGCACATTGTGTAGTGGTTGTGGCCGGTCATGGTGCAGACTTGGGCGTGTTAGGCAGGGTCTAGGGGTGGTTCAACGACGGTGACTTACTAAGGGAGCCTGTGAGTGTTAGCATTGATTTCTAGATATCACTACTCTGTTGACTTACGGTTCTGCCAGTTCCAGATACGGATGGTCTCTGCTTCCTGTCAGTATGTCCCTGCGCAGCTGCGGGTGCGCTTACGGTCGTCTGAACTACTAATGATCCATGGCAGCTCGTGGTGGAAGAAGACGGTTCGGACGTAGTCCAAATGGCCACTCAGTGTGAACAGACATCGTCGAGTCTGATACGACCAGACCTTGATCTTGTAGTCGTCGCCACCAGATACAAATCTGTCCCTTCTCAGTATGCCGCGCAATCGCATTCAGCGCTCTCATGCTCACAATGGCTGCGTCTTGTGGAAGTCAACGCCGCGGACCGGCCCATCGTGTTCTTCGAAGCGGTCGATCAGGGTTCCCATACGGTAGTCCCACAGCTGGATGGTGGAAGAGTGCAGCGACACGAGAATCCAGGGTCTAGGGGCGGTCAGCGCAGGGAGACGGCATTTGGAGCGCGTGGAGATACCTCTTGGGGTGGAAGGCAATGCCCTTAGCCCTCGAGGACTTGGACTCGAACTGTGCGTGGTCAGATGCAAGCAAGAGCGCATACGCGTGCAGCTGCATACCTTGGTCAACATGCTCGGGGACGAGGCCATGGTGGAATTGAGGGCGAAGCCGCAGCTTCAGTAACACGCTGTGAAGCTTCAATGCAAGAGACGGCGGTATCAGAAGTGGTATGGCGTGCACAGAACAAAAAGAAACACGATGTTGCGAATGGTTGACGCTCTGCTGCCTCCGCCGCAAGCTGCTCTGGCCAGAGGTTCAATCTGCCACGCAACGGAATACTGGACTGAGGCCCGTGCGAGACTAGGGAACCAACCCCACCAAAAGAGCTTCATTCACGTGAGACCTGCGACATCACCCTCTGCAGGCGAATCACCGACGCCTGAGGCTCGCAGCAGGGCTAGTCGACTTCAAGGCTCGTCGTCTCCCAAGCAGAGCCGCATCGCCCCGAGGCCCGCCCAAATTTCTGCTCCGTTGCGTGCGCTCGGTTGAATGTCTGCATACGAAGTTCACCTTATGCGTGTCTGCCCCGCCAGTGCCTACCCGCTGCCAGCTGGCCAGCACTACGTAGAGAACCATGCGTGCCGCAATACTGAGCGGTGCCGTCATTCGTCGGACGGGTTGGGCTTGACGCAAGGTAAGATTTTGCAAGGCCTCAAAGGAACTAATTGCTCATGAACACATATCGAGGCCGCCAGGTGGAGTCAAGGTAAAGCGCTCTTCTGCAGGCAGATCCGCCGCAAAGAACCGCGGCCGAACAGCTCACTGCTGAAACGCAGGTGATAATTGGCGACGTCCCGCACAATCCCAGGCTTTAGGGAATTGTGACCACCCCAGGCCCGCCTCCTCCAATCCTCGTTTTTTCTCGGACAGCCCCATTCGACCACCGCCGCACACTTTGCCCTTCCACTGATCTGCTCTGTGGCTCTTTGTCTGCGAGCTATCCGTCCTGCATTGCTGCCCGTGACACTCCTCCTTCTTCCTGCACGACAAGCAGGGTCTGACCTGTAAACCTTCCACCAGTCCGTCTGCAACTCGCCGCTCAGTCTTCCAGTCAAGCCTCCAAACCTTCTCCAGAATGATACTGTCCGCACAACAATCTTTCTTCCGCATCACAAAAACAAGACACGTCCGCCGGCCTTGCATACCATAAGATCAGCAAAGATCGAGAGAGGTCATCATTGATACGTACGTCGTCGCAATTGGCCCGCCAGCCTGACACAATCGTCACCGGTGAAGAACAACACCCCCCCAGCACACATGGCGACACATGCACCACCACCACCCTACGAGATGCTTTACGGCTGTCCCACTCCGCCGCCGACTGCTTCGAGCGCATACGGTCCGCCTCGATTTCTTCCTCAAGCAAACCACACGCCGCCACTGTACAAGCGGAAGCCGCTACACACTCCGCCGGCCGAGTTCACTCCCATTGGGAAGAATCAATTCACTTTCACTCGCGCGCAGTCCATCGAGTGCTCTTCGAGACCTTCGAGCGTCTCTGGGCACGCCCATGCAGGCACAGCGGCGCAAGAAACCGAGTATGAGGATAGCTCGAAGGAGGAGAGCGAAGAAGAGGACGACCGACCCAGGCGACCCATGGACGAAGCCAGCTTTGAACTCGAGGAGGTGGACAGCGATGAGACCGATGACGAGAGCGTAGAAGTCGTACAGCCAGACCACTGTGAGGATGCAAAGAGCGATAAGAGCGGCGCGGCGTTGGAAGCGACTGGGATCATGGACAGCATGGGGGCGTTGCACGTCTCTGAAGAGTCCCACGACACCGACGAGGAGGCGGAGGCTCTGGCGCGTATCTATCGTCGCAGGAAGAAGAGCATGAGCCAGCGATGGGTGGACCGTAAGCGCGACCACGACCGAAGTGTTGCAGGGGACAGCAGTTACTCTGACAACGATCCTCAGGACGACAACAATATTGAGGCGCGCCGTCTGCGCCGCAAATTGAGCGGATACGGACCGTGGGATAGGCGAGCCTCGCTCATCTTCGAGGACCAGGGCTTTCCGAATACCAACAACATCATCGAGGAGGAGGAACCTGAGGAGGGCGTAGTCAAGCACACCAAGGGTCCGCCATCTATCCCTAGTGACGATGCCTTCACGCTGGATGAGCTGCCCTTCTGGGGAGGCGCTTACGAGACTATGGAAGTCATGACTGGTGCGGAATGAGGACTCTCTGCATCACGCTGGATGGCTTTTGTCTACGGATCTTCAGAGGGAGAGCCGTATGTTTGTTTGTTTGTTTGTTTGTTTGGTGTCTGTTTCTTAGCGCAGCGATTACCCCTTTCGTAACATATCGTGATACTTGCTCTCCTTACCAAAACATCACCTTGGTTTTGTGACATGGTGCAGGTATCGACTTCGGATCCTGCCACTTCCGAAGACAAGTGAGGTTGATGATGTTCTGTCTGGAATTCGGCGCCTGGGTAGGCATCTGCATCTATTTCTGGCCTGCTGACAAGCCATGAGGCTAAGCCCCACGTTAAGGCTGAGTGGCCCACTTCAACACCAACACTCACCACCACCAGATGAACAATGAATGCTAAGTTTAGGCCGCGACATCTAATCGCATGCAGACAGCTCGTTTGAAGGTTTCCAGCCTTTGATGAAGGCACTGAAGCCCACATCGTCGTGTGAAGCGGACCTGAGTGCAACCATCCAGGAAACGGCCTAGGCAGCGGTCTGCTAGTCTACCGCATCGCACAACGCAGCTGGATCTGGAAACGGATGTGTCTGACTCAGATTCGTGAGATTCGAGTTTATCATCAGTCCTGTTCTAGTCCAGTTCATCATCAGTCAACACGTGGCCGTCACCGCCGCGTGGTGCTGAGGGTATCTTACGGCTCGCAGTCTCCCGCGCCTGCGCCACCATCAGCAACCGCCGTCCGCTGAGTGGCCGCGATCGAAACATTCACCGAGGTTGTCTCAACAGCCAATCGCTTGCTGTGCCGCAAGGCCTGTCTTAACAAATCCAAGCTGTCACTGAATCAAGATGCGGGCGTTGGACTACTCAGCCCTGCATTATCAGCATCGGATTGAACACATCCGTCTGAAGCCCATCAGCGTGTCTATGGCGGCTTGCTGTAAGTTGTATAAAGACGTTGAAGAGGAGCTACACATTGTCTATCATCTCATATCTCACAATCAACAAACCATACTCCAGTCTTATATCCTGTTCCCTTTTATTTCCATTTCCTGTTTCCTTGAGTCTTTCTCTCAACAAATCCATCACTCAGCAACATGATGAACTTCACCAACCTCTCCATCCTCGCCCTCGCGGCACTCGGCTCAGTCAACGCCCTGCCCCAAAGCATGCCCTCGTCCACCAACACCCCCGCCCCTCCAGCGCCCACGGACCAAGCCGCGCTCTTCCGCGACCTCTTCACCGCACCCACAGCCATTAAGCGATTCCAGCGCCTCCTCGTGCAGGGCGACGCGCTCCTCGCCGGCCCCGCCCTCAAGGCCCTCACAGTCTTCGACTTCAATGGCGCGACCCCCGCGCCCGGCGCAGAAGGCGGCGCCACAAAGGCCGCCAACATCGAAACCTTCCCCATCCTCACGGGTCTGGACATCAGCACGACGCTCGGCTTCCTGGAGCCCTGCGGCATCAACACGCCGCACGTGCACCCGCGGGCAACCGAGTTCCTGACGCTGGTCGAAGGCTCGAACCTCAAGTTTGGCTACGTGCTCGAGAACGGACTTGTGGGCGCAGACAACAACCCGGAGATTGCGGGCGCGCTGAGCAAGTTCCAGGGCACCGTGTTCCCGCAGGGCAGCATCCACTTCCAGTTCAACGACGACTGCGAGAAGGCGACGTTTGTGGCGACGCTGAACAGCGAGGACCCGGGCACCAGCCAGGTTGCGCAGAACTTTTTTGCGCTGGACGCCCAGGTGCTGGGTGCTACTCTTGGGCTGCCCAAGGAGATCAATGGCGTCAATATCGAGGAGTTCCGCAAGTCCATCCCCGCCAATCTTGCGCGCGATATGGATGTTTGTCTGCAGCGGTGCAAGAAGAACTGAGTGCGCGGTGGTGAAGCAGGGAGGGAACCGATAGAGGTGTAGTTTTGTTCGGCATGGCGAAGGCGTTGGGGCAGTTTTTTTGCTTAGTTTGGTTCTTCTCGCGGTTTAACAGTCACTCTTTAATACTTAAACATTGTCACTCTAAAATATCGTCACCCATCCACCCCCCGCCGTTGCAACACAACGCACCACCTGCACATCTCCCACGCATCTCCAGCACACCGCACACCGCACAGCCCACAGCCCACAGCGCACAGCCCACAGCCCACCTCTGCCCATGCACCAGAACCACCGTGGGCGTGTTTCAACAAAGAAAAGAGCATGGACGGTGGTGATTGCACCTCGCAAAAGAGCATGGACGGTGGTGAGTGCACCTCGCAAAAGAGCGTCGATGAGAACAAGGGTGGGTGATGGACATTTATTTCCTCGCGCCAGAGCCACGCCAAGTCTAAAGGGGCGGATGCAATATACACGGCCAAAGGCGCGGACGCTCGATACACGGCCAAAGGCGCGGACGCTCGATACACGGCCAAAGGCGCGGACGCCCGATACACGGCGTCACGTGCTCGCAATATACAGTACTCGTACAACACACCACAGCCCTGTCCTCGTCCACGTCCCTCGTACGTCGTGGCTACTTCCGCCGCTGCAGGACCTTGGTGCACATGTCGAGCAAGCCAGTCTTGGCGTCGCAGTCGGGGAACGGCGCGATGGCGGCCATGGCCTTGTCGACGTAGTCCTGCGCCAGGGCGCGGGTCTGCTGGAGGCCGGTGGAGGCGAGTACGATTCGGCGGGCCTAGAACCACGTAACCAGTCAGAATGTCCGTCCACAAGGGGCTTCACACGCGCTGCGCTCGCAAACTCACCTTGTCGGCGTCGCCCGGCTCGGCAAACTTCCTCCCCACCAGCGTCCCCAGCGCGGCGTTGTCCTTCCACGCAAACAGCAGCGGGGCGGTCGCGAGCCCCAGCTCCAGATCGGCGCCGCCCGGCTTCCCCAGCTCGGCGCTGCTGACAGTGTAGTCGAGCATGTCGTCGACGAGCTGGAAGGCCATGCCGAGGTTCTTGCCGTAGGCGTAGCTGGCGTCGACGACGTCGGGCGCACAGCCGCCCAGCACGGCGGCGGCGCGGCACGACTTGCTAATCAGCGAGGCGCTCTTGAGATACGTCTTCTGCAGGTAGTAGGCGAGGGTGTCGTCGCTCCAGGCCGGATCCGACTCGTCGCGCGCCGTGTTCTGCAGCTGCATGAACTCGCCCTCGACCAGGTTCGCAATGACGGTGGCCAGCAGCTCCGTGACCTCCGGGTCGCGCAGACGGGCGAGGGCGACCGAGGCGCGGCCCAGCAGGAAGTCGCCGGCCAGCACCGCCATCTTGTTGCCGAACTCGGTGTTGGCCGAGGCGGCGCCGCGGCGGGCGACGCTGTGGTCGATGACGTCGTCGTGCAGCAGCGAGGCGGTGTGGATCAGCTCTGTGATCTCGGCGAGGCGGCGCTGCGAGGGCAGGATGTCGGCGGCGGCGGCGGACAGGTCATGGGCGGCGGACGGGTCATGGGCGGGGCTGGAGGTGCTCGCGTCGGGGTTGGCGTCGCGCAGCGTCTGCGGGCTGGAGATGGGGGCGTCGACGCTGCTGCCACTGCTGCCACTGCCGCCGCTGCTGCCGCTGCTCCCTCGACGGGCGCGCTGGGGCGTCAGGGCGGTGGCGCGGCTCATGAGCAGCACGAGCATCGGGCGCACGTACTTGCCCTCGCTCTGGGTGTAGTACTTGGCGACCGTGTCGAGCGTCGGGTGGCCGCTGCCGAGCAGCGAGCGGATGTTGCCCGTCAGGAACTTCATCTCGCGCGCGACCGTCTGGAAGGGGTCCATCTTCAGCGGCGCGTCCGGTGGCGGCGCGGCCCTGATGTGCTGCGCGACGCTGGCTGCCTGCGCCGCGGCCGCCCACGACGACTGGGCCCGTCGCCGCCGCGCAAAGTGGTGTGTCGAGACATGCGGCTGCGGGCGGCGGGCGGCGCTGGCCGACGGACGGCTCGGTGTCGCGAGGCCTGGCGTGGTTGCGGACGGGGTCGTGGCCCGCTGGGCAAAAGCGCTCGCGAGCCGGCTCGGACGGCTCATCATCGGAGGCGCGGGTGTCGAGGCGGTAGACGGCGGACGGGCGAGTGCAGGTGATGCGTCCCCGAGGAATTGACGTCGTCCGGGAGAGATGGCCGGCTGCCGCTGTCACCACTGCGGAAGGGAAGTTTTCCCAAAAGTCATGACGAGGGCGCTCGGATCGACGCGAGTCGGGAGTCGGCGCGTCAGGCCGGCGAGGTCGGACAGGGCGGACATGTCCGACCTCACCTACCAAGTAACGACTTGGTGTCGACCATCTGTCCATCCGTCCATCTTCTGCCGGCCATGGTGCTCCTCACCATGACCCCCGGCATAGTGCAGGCACTGTCGCGCATCTCCCCGACACACCCCGAGCTGCCTCCGCCCCTGCAACCGGCATGCTCGCCCTCGCTCGCCGCGCCCGCGCCAGGAAACCCCATCTCGCACGCGCAGCTCCTCGCCCTAACAGCGGTGCTCAGGCAGCTGCCCACGACCAACTCGAGCCGCCCCAACACCGGCCCAACACCAACAACACCGACAGCACCGACAACACCGACAACACCGACAACACCGACAACATCGACAACACCGACAACATCGACAACACCAACAACACCAACAACACCAACAACACCAACAACACCAACAACACCAACAACACCAACAACACCAACAACACCAACAACACCAACACCACCAACACCAACACCACCAACACCACCAACACCAACAACACCAACAACACCAACAACACCAACACCGACAACACCGACAACACTCGCCGCCCTCCTCAAAAACACAACCCTCTACACACCCCCACCCGCGCCAAAGCCCGCCCAGACGCCCGAATACCACGCCCTGATGGCCCGCCTGCGCGCCGCCGACGAGCGCCAGAGCTACGAGCGCATGCTCCCGCCCGCCCGCGACCCGTTCTCGACCCGCTTCCCGCACGCCCAGAGCCGCATGCCCTCGGCCTTTGGCACCGGCGCAGACGACGCCGCCGACGCGCACGACGAGCTGTCGTACGACGAGGTGCACCGCCAGATCATCCTGATCATCAACGTGCTCATCTCGGTCGTCTGCGTCGCCGTCTTTGTGTGGGTGGCTGCGCGGCACTGGACTGTGGGGACGCGGTTGGGGTTGAGCATGGGCAGTGCTTTTGCCGTGGGCGTTGCAGAGGTGGTTGTGTACAGCGGCTATGTGCGCAAGGTGGCCGAGGCGAAGAGGGTCGAGAGGAAGAAGCCCGAGGTCAGGGAGATTGTCGCGAGCTGGGTCCTGCATGGGAAAGAGGGCGAGGCTGTGGCGACGGGGAGAGAAAAGGACGATGCTATGAGGCACAGGAAAGGGAGACATCGCTGAGAATTGCATTGCATTGGTTGTATTGACTGCATTGGTTGCATTGGTTGTATTGGTTGCATTGGTTGCATTGGTTGTATTGACTGCATTGGTTGCACTGACTGCATTGACTGCACTGGTTGCACTGGTTGCATCGACTGCATTGGTTGCACTGGTTGCATCGACTGCATCGACTGCATTGACTGCATTGACTGCATTCTAACCCCGGACTATGCTCAAGACGTATGCAACGCTGGAAGATACCCGAGACGCCAAAAACACACCTGGCTTCTACATCTCGTCACTTCTTCCTGTTCCGCCCAGCCACGCCTCCCGCGAACCGTCCAAGATTGCTCAGGCTAGATCTCGGCTTGTGCCCCTGCGCTGCACTGCCTGCCGCCGTCGTCACGGGCGGCCTCATCGCTCCCGCTGGCGAGTTGGGTCGCAGACCTGCGTGCTTCGGTGGAACCGCCGGCGGGCCCTTTGGAATCTTCTCCTCGACCGTCTCGAGGCCCGCTGGCACGTCTTCGCCCATGGCTACGTGCTGATGCGTGCGCCGCGCCTTCTCCTGCGTTGCTTTGAACCGATCGAGGAGCTCCACCCACTTGACGCTGCCTTCTTCTCTCGCTTTGAGTCGGTTGGGCCGCTCGAACCCGGACGCAGAAGGTCCCTGCGGTGCGCTGCATGTACCCACTTCTGAGCTTTTTTGCCTCAAATGGTTCAGCGTGTTGGATTGGGGTACATACGTCCGTGGGGCAATGTGCAGGTAGCCAATGGCTGACACGCTGTTCAGCCTGTTCTTCAGAGCCGCAAACGCCGACGATTGCGGCAGGAGCATGAGAAGCCCGTACATGCACCTGTACAGTTGAGGGTACTTCTCCGGCTCGAGGAGCTGCATGCGGAGGTCTGTTGATACATTAGATAGAGACAGTCCTGCACATGCAAATCAAGCACTCACATGTAAACACTGGTGATTCCAGCAACTGCACAAGCTTGTCAATCTGGATGAGCGTGTTTACCGTCATCTCGAGATCGGCGCTGTGATTGTCAGCAGTGGAATAGCCCTGTGTAGAATGACATACAAGATTTGGAGCAGGTGGTATGCTTGCTCGTAAGCTTGGGCGAGTAGGCAGAGCGAGAAGGTGGCCACTGCGTTGTGGCACCAAGCTTTGAACAACGTAACGAAGAAGGATTGGCCGTCCTGATCGAGTCAGTACACTGAACATGAAAGCTTGCCGAAAACTTCATGCCTTGTTTTCCAAGTTGCGGAGACGCCTCCGCAGGTCGGCAAGCTCAGGTGCTGTGATGAGGTTGTTGTTGAGGTTCTGAACCATGATGCTCGCAAACTCGACATCCTCATCTTTCACGATGCAGTCTGCCATTGTGCGGTAGATCTTCTCCGCACTCAGCGTCAGGCACAGCTGTCGGATGATCAGGTTGCCTCGTGTCTCGAGCAGTCTTCGATCCGTACAGAACAACTTCAGGAGATTAACCATGAAAGACGTAAAGTACGTATCGTCACTGTGCATCGAGATCTGCGATAGCAATAGCAGGTCGCGTGTAACAACCGCATCAGACGGATCCGACAGTGTCTTTAGTAGCGCCGGGAAGGTCCCGTCGTCGACCGTCAGTATCTACACCATCGTCGTTAGCCAGAACAAACTGTTACTAACATGCTCGCCTACCCTTCCAGGTGCCATTCTGTGTAGCATGATCAGCCATGCAATCGCCGCGACACGTGTGGCTTCGTGTTCGTTGAGAAACTGTAGAGTTAGAGCGCTGACAGAAGCCTGGTAGTCCAGTTCAGGTACTGGACGTGGCAAAGGGCCGCCGTCTTCTCCTGGTATCGGAGACTGCGTGCCTGCCTTGCCTTCTGCTGCCTGGTCACGGATGACTGCCTTGAGGAGTCTGGCCGATAGATTCGAGTCTCGTCGCTGAGTGCCTGTGAGCTCTTTGCCGAGCTCGGAAAGCGAAGGTGGAAGTTGAATCTTGTCGCTTATGTTGCCGTTTGGCTGACCATCTTCAGATAGGGACATGATGTACTCCATCAGCGAGGCGTTCACTTCTTGAGCCTCCTTGCGGACATCGTCGACATCGTGTGACATGCGTGGCAGCACGTGCGAAAGCAAGCTTGGAACAAATGGCATGATGTCCTCGGGACAGATGTCGAAGAACGCCTTAATCCAGCGCAGAGACGTGAGGAGGATGCTAGTCTGCTCTTCTTCCGCGTCTGCAGTCGTCAGCCTTGATATTACTGTACAGGCATTGGAGCCTTACCTGATGGTGAGCTGAGGAAGCTAACCAGAATCGCCAAAATCTTTGGGTGGTCGACGTGGACATCTTGTCCTGGGATCCAGTCGCCATCGCCATTCACAGACTTCCCACTATCGCCAGATAGCGACTCACTGTGTCCACTTGCATTGTCGCCGTCTTCTACCGACACGTGATGCTCGAGCGGCGTACTTCCTGTGGTTTCGCTCTCACCTCCAGCATCGCTGCGAGTGCTTGATGACGTGGAAAGTCTCCGACCGTCCTTGCTCTGGCTTCTTTTGCTCTCTGCGATGCCTTTCTTAATTCTTGCAATCTTCCTGATCTCGTTGAGGAACCTGTCCAGCGCAACCTGCGTCATGGTGTACACATCGGTGTTCGAGTCGCTGAGGAACTTGAAGAGGCCGCCGAGGAAGCGAGGAAGGCGAGCAATGAGCTCCAAGTCGGGTATCGAATCGAGCAAGGTTACCCACGCAACCAAGAATGAGCGTGTGAACGGGTTGATGACGTTTATGCGTTCTTCGAGAAGGGGTAAGAATCGTTCGAGGTTGAAGGCGGTCTCGAGATGGTGAGGGGGAGGTTCTGGCGAGTCGTCTGGGTGGCCGAGCGGCTCATCTGGGTGGTGCAGAACAGATATGTACGAGGCAGCGGACTCGGACACAATGTCCTTCACTAGGCGATCGAGCAGTTCAGCTCCATTCTTGACTGATAGCTCTGAGTCGGCGGCAAGCTGTTGTCGCGTGTAAGCATTGCACTCCCGCAAACACCAATCCGGAACCCACCTTGCACAATGCATCAAACACCTGGTTGAAGTATACAAGTATTTCTCCCTTTGCCACCTTTGCAATGTTGTACATGCTCTCGCATGCATAGTACCTAACGCGCGCATCCGAGTCAGAGAAGCAGGCAAGGACCGGAGGAACGATTTCTTCGAGGTAGCGGGCTACTTCCTGTGGTCGTGTGAGCACAGCAATTACCAAGGGTGCAGTCCGGCACATACTGGCCCCAATGCTATCGAAGCCGCAGCCAGACCAATGAGGCCTCCATTGCGGGCGTGCGGTTGGTGGACAGCGTATGCGTAGTGGTGGCAGAGCTCGTGGACGATCTTTGCTATCCTGTCGTGGTCCTGCGCCTGGAGTGCATTGCGGATGAGGGCCTCGAGCTCGAGGGCGCCGCTTTTGCGCTTGTCGTAGAGCTTATCGCTGAGCGCCTTGGTGATGTTGGGGTCCATGTTGATACAGTGCGGCGGCTGCCTCTACATGGTGCAGCTACACGTTCATCGTTGCCGGGGGCGTGGACAAGGCGAGCGCAGGATGCGTGAATGGCCTTTGGCGGGTGCGGCTGCTGTCGCGTCGGCGTGCATGCTTCTGACGTCGACGCACCGCTGCAGAGCCATCCCTGCCCGCCAACACGGGAAGTCCAAAGCCAACAACAGCTGCGGGTCAGCGACCGTCGCACACACAACTTCTCCAGGACGCGATTTTTGGACAGCAAAGAATCTCATCTGAGCCTGATCTGCGCCATGACGCCCGAAAGCATCCGAACCCATACCCATCCAAGTCCATCATAGCCACCCCTCACCCTCACTCGTCGACACGGCCTAAGCGCTATACCTGACTAGTGCTCCACCATCCACCTGCTCCCGTCAGGTGTCTTGCACGGCCAACATGGAGAAAATTAAGAACAAAATCCACAATCTGCGCAGGAAGCCCCTGCCAGACCATCTCAGGGAACCCGTTATGAACATGCCGGACGGATTTCGGAACTGGGCTGTGGCGTTGTGAGTCTCCAGCATTCCCTTTCTAGAAAGATATGATCAGACATCGAATGATCGCATATAGCAAACGAACCTGAGGTTCAGGGCAACATGACAACTAGGAATGTATCACTGACTGCAACAGTATCGTCTGCAACTTCAACGTCGATGTAGGGTAGGTGAGGCTGCGCGAATCCACCAAGAGTTACTGAAGTTGACCTTCAAAGGCCAGAGATCGAAATCTTGTATCCACCCACTGTTGCATTCAGCACTGCGGACCTCACTGCAATATGCTTCAATAGGTAGCCCTATCTCTCGAGACTGATGTTTCCACGACTGACCTTCCAAGCTTCCCAGAACAACAGAACACTGAGACAGCTGAAGACCTGGCGTTCAACTTCACGGTCACGAACGATTCGCCTGGTGTCAAGCTGAGCTCTCCAAATTCACCACATGGCAGTGGCGACCAGTTCTTTGCGTCATGCGTGTTCCGCCAGGAGTTCGACGAAACCATGAAGAGAAGCTTCAACCAGAGATCGATGGTTCTGATATCACATCACAACTTCACCAGCTTCAACAATCGGATATTACAAGTCATGACAGAGAGCGGCGTGATCAGCGATCCTACTACCTTGGAAGGCGCCCATGCGCAAATGAACAACTGGCCGCCACCATCGATAGGTGGCCACGAGCTGCCATTCCTAGGCCGTATCTTAACATTAAACATCGCGCCACACCCTTCGTTCCCACTCCAAGGTCTCGCTGGGTCCAACCCTCTGCCGGCAGATCCCCACCCGCCCATCTACGCCTATGAGCCTGTAGGATCTTGGGATACTATCATGAACTTTATGCCCTGCATCACGGATCTCTACGTCCTGTACGAAAAGCTGATCCTCTGTGAGTCCATCATTGTAATCGCCAAGTCCCCCCAACTAGCCAGCGAAGCCGTGTCCTCCCTCCTTGACGTCATCCGACCCGTGCCCTACGCCGGCGTCGTAAAACCCTACATGACCATGCAAGCAGACTTCCGCAGCATCGGCATCGACGGCGGCACCCCCCGGCCCTTCATAATCGGCATCACCAACCCCTTCCTACTGAAACGCATCGTGGCTGCCGCAGAGAAAACACAAGGGCAGCGCCCACACATCCTCTACCTGCAGAACTTCGACGGGCCCGTCCCAACCCGGCGGCATCACTCTCTGCACCACAAGTCCAGCCGCAACGTGCTCCTAGACCTGCCGGGCGGCGGCATCGAAGTACACACGCCGTCGAAGCGGTTCCTGAAATCAGACGCCGGCGTCGTATCGCAGATCGAAGCTACCCTCAAACTCGACTCCCAGACCTCCTCCCTCAGCCCGCTGATACGGCGCCACTTTGCCGAGCTAACAGCCACGTTCATCGCACCCATCAACCGGTATCTCGCAACTTCCAACATCGTCTCGCCCGGCGGGCATCAGCGGTATGCAAGTTTCTCCATCCCGGAGTTTTTGGCTAGTGTCAGTAAGTACGGGACGAGTGTGAAGTTGAGAGGTCAGGGACCGATTCAGAGACACAGAGTGAGGGATGCGTTGTATGCGGCGTTCTGTGCGAGTGAGAATTTCTATAGCTGGCTGGATGTCAAGATTAGTCTAGAGAATGAGGCGAGTGCGGGGTTGTTGGGGGGTGGGATGGGGGGCGCGAGAGGGTGAGAGGGTAAGAGGTGGAGGGAGCAACATTAGTGGGAGACGGGCTTTCGCAGCGTAATGTGTAATAGACTTGAGGTGATTGAACGTACTGCGTGTCAGATGTGCTGTGAGAAGTGTACATGTCCGGTACAGGACTCTTCGTTGACGCGCTATTGCATTGGAGCCTGAGCCACACGAAGCCAGAGGCACTGGATGAATGTTCATTCCCCAGCACGATGTAAAGCTTTTAAAGACTTCCTCGCACTGTAACGAAGACTAAAGACCGAATCCCAGCACCTCAAACAGAAACATGATATTCAGAGGCTTGTTTGTATATATTCGGAAGGACCTCTATAACAGAATACTTAATTCTAAGCGCCTCACTGCATGCACTCGTAGTCGTTAGACATATTACCAGTTACAAGGCAGCCGCACGCTGATACCGACAACCTCCCGTGCATCAGGCGCGCGAGCGATATCTGCCCACGTAGCGAACTCTCGGACCGCGAAACCAAGTACTCCAACAATGTACGAGTGGTTCCAGGTAACCACGCAGGTCAAAAATTCTCTTACTGAAGACGTTGATGCCTACAATGCCGCGCCTGCCATCCCCCAGCATTTTCACGAGCAGGTACACTGTATCCGCGAGGCCAGTAGGACAAAGGGAATGTACCGCTGCAGCGACTCTCCATGACGACGGTAAAGCAAGAAATAAACATGGAACATGTCGTAAGCGTTTGTGGCAGGCCTGGGCTGGAAACAGCCGTCGGACGGTCTAGGGTGGTATAATTTTCCCTCAGCACCTTGTGTTAGACCGTACTGGTACCATTATAGTTCGACATTACAGCCTCAGTGCTCGACAGTACGGTCTCCTTGTTCATCGATGCGACACTCTCCTACTAGAGCACGGCTAATCTCGTAACGATAATAACTTTCTAATCAGCAATGCTTCCATCAATCGGCAATGGGCGATTGGTTTAGTGGTATAATTTTCCCTTAGCACTTCGGTCGCCTTTCAGGCAATCGAGCAGCCTGGGAAAGGTCCTGGGTTCGATTCCCAGATCGTCCATATCTTTTGCTTTTCTCTAGTTCTCTTTTGCAGTCCACAGCGTCGTGGTGGGCGTGGGCGTGGTGGTGAAATTTTCGACCATGTCAAATTTGCGGAAGGAGCGATGTGGGTCTGCCACCTCCGGATCGGTCGAGAAAAATGAATGATCGTCCGGAAAAATGTAGGGTCTCTTGGAATGCTGAGAATTTTTCTACGTATATTGATTGATTGCCGTCTGCCGTGAGTGTAATTGACAAACTGGAATCGAATAATCGAATCCAGCACCTTTCACAAGCTATGACATAAGGTGCTAGGGGTAGGTACATCATGTCACTAGCGATCGCCTGAGGGCGGTCTCTGCAGGCTGCGCAAAGACGCATGGTTCTTGCTGTACCATTGTCGAGTTTCGCTCGTAGACGGATACCGTTTGCACACCCACGGTACGGGGAGGTATTCAATGTAGATGTGCGGCTGTCTTGCAGTCGATGAAGAAGTTTGACAGCTCCAGGTGTATATGCACGTGAGCGAGGTACTGGGGGTGAAGGCTCGTCAGAGAGGTTCTGCCGAGTGTATGAACACTTGAATATCATGTTCCCGTGTTATGACGTGCTAGATTTCCAGGCGGTTTGCCAATAGACTGCCCTAGACCTCGTTACGATGCGGTAAGTCTGCGGGAGCTTTACATTGCTCGAGAACGAAGATAGAACTTCACAAGTGCTCCTGGCACCGTGTGACTGAGGTTGTGATGTGAAGGAAGAGACGAGGAAAGGTAAACATTATCATTGTGAAGAGACTACTGATCGTACAGTTCGCCGAGCCGCGCGGAAAAAAGTTAGCAAAAGGTATCCCGTACTAATCGAATCCGTGCCCCATCATATGCCTGAAACCAAGTAAGAAACGCCATCCGCATCAGTCGTAACCAGCAATCCTTTTCTCCTTCATTATCTGCGATGTGCCTTGAAGCACTTATCGGATAATGCCGTCCTTGCCCGGGGGCGGACCAGGAGGAGGAGCGTACTGGTTGTTGCCGCCATATGTAGCTTGAGGGCTCTGCAGCTCAACACCGTTCTGCTGGCCGTAGTAGCCCTGGTTTGCGCCGCTGTAGTAGCCCTGGTTTGCGCCGTTGTAGTAGTCGTTGTTGTTGTTGTTGTTGTTGTTGTTATTCGGAGCGGAGTAGGGTGGTGCGGGCGCGCTGTTATGGTTCTGGTTGCCGTAGTAGGGCTGCGCGTTGTTGTTCCCAGGTCGCGCGGCCCAGCCTGTGCCGTAGAAGGGTGTGCGACCGGCCTTTCTCCTGCGACGCGCGGTGATGCAGCTGATTTGTGTTAATGTTGTTCATGTCAAGCACGCTCAACTGAGTGGAGATGACTTACCTGCAGAGGAAGAAAAGGAGCAGGAATCCGATTACGACGACCGCGAGGACGACCCAGCGCACCCAGGTGTTCCACGCGGACTGGCGGTAGCATCGTCGTACACCGTAGCGATCATAATAACAACTTGTTTGCGCCATGATGTTAGTGAATTGTGATGATGAAGTTGCCAGCAGCAGTAGTTGCGAGTTTAATGTGGATGTGGATGTGGATGTGGATGTGGGTATAGAAATGGCAAGGTCGAAGGTGAGATAGAGATAGGTAGATGTGTGTGTTGGGATGCGCGATGAATGACGTCTTAAGCACCGTTCGCTGAAGCAGGGATGCGCGACCAGCTTATAAAGAATAGCGACTCAAGGAAATGCAAAGCCACAATTTAGCAATGGAACGTACTCATCATCGTAGAATTGCCGAGCAAATAGAGCAGGCATCGTCGTGCTCGCTTGGCCGTTATCCGGTCGAAACTAGGCGTGTTTGGAGCTGTGAGAGGGTGTGTTGTGAGCGTGTGGGCCGCGGGTGCAAGCTCCAAAGGTGGGTATGACGAAGTCTAAATGCTTGAACAGGCCCGCCTCTCGAGGAGCGGTGCGGCTGTGCACTTGGCAAGAGAGCTAGTTCGGTTCAGACGGAGAGCGCTGCGACTGGCAATGACGACGCCAGGGGCGTTGTGATTTGCTGCAGGCCCGACTGTGATGAGTGAGCTGCTGATTTTCTGCTGCGCGTGCAGTGGCTTGGTCTCGAGATGCGGGGATATCAGGGCAGGCGGATGGCTGTAGAATCTTCGGCTCCGGTCGGGAGCGTTCGCGTTCTGCTCACCGGGGTCGTATCGGTGAAAATTGACCGTCTGAATCTGGAATACACAGAGGCAATTATCATGAACACAAACTTCTATCGTGGCGTGGTGGTTGTACACTCCCTGCTAGCAAGCTGAGAGCAAACTGTCATCATCGTGGCGCGTTCTTGGAGGAGCTCAAGGTCTTGCAGAGCACCTGAACCTCGTACAGCAAACTGTATGTACTCAGATCGCATGATGTCCTCTTGGTGTCTTCATCGAGACTTGATAATCGTGGGACGCTGCAGCAATCGATGCGTGACCCCACATCACCCACAAGGCTGATGCTGCACCAGCCTCAAGCTCTCTGCCCGCTGCCCTCTGCACTTCCACCCACTTTCACTACAGCTAAAATCTCGACTGCATCGTCTCCTCCCTCGCCCTTCTTTGAGTCTTTCCCAACACTCATTCCAGCAGTGTACGCGAGGACAGGGATGTGTGACTGGCCCAGGACGGTGTGGCCAATGAGAGCGCCCAAGACCTCAGTTCCCTGGCTACGCTAATGCAGGATGAGTTGTTCAATTGTAGATGGCATGGTTGCCCGCTGGTCCCACTGCCAGCGAAGCTGCTGAAATAATACTATTACTCGCGGTTGTGCCCTTCCGCGCCCTTTCTCTTTCTGTGTGGGTTTTGGCTGCCTCATTGCTGTGCTTGTCGTTCATTTCTGCGCGTTGAGCTCCATTTTGCGACTCCTGAGTCCTTGCGAACACGGAGACCCTGGTCAAGGACCGCCTGCAAATTTCGTGCGACCGCGACACGAGAGGACCGATCCCGCCAGCTTTCACAGTACTGAATTTTGGATTCGAATGCACACCGACTGCGCTGCTCTACGACGCTGCTTGTTTGCACGTGATTGCGACAGTGTGAGCGAGGATTGCAAAGGAGTGCTCCTTTTCGACACGAGGTCACGAGCACGCGCAAGTCACGATTTGCGAAGGGTACGCAGCCATAGTCATGCGGAATGCCGGCAAAGCTGCACATCCTGATGAACAGCACTTCGAAACATACAGCAATTGTTCCGCTACATACTGAAACCAGACCTGGACCGGATCATCCGTCTCTTTATCGCGCTCGCTGTACTGTCGCTCGAACCGAAACAAATGAAAATGCTACATGCTGAATCAGATGTACTGGCATCCGTCCATGGTCCTAAAACCGACGTCGCCGAATAAATTCGAAAAAGACAACATATGCTGGGTGGAAACACGATGTGGCCATCGCTGGCCTGCAGTATGACCTGCTTGTCTTGTCTTCCGTTCACGTCGTAAGAATCATTAAGCATATCGTAAGAAGCTGACGGCCGTAAACTCGTGAGAACATAGGCACGTCGAAGTCGTAAGGTCGAAAAGTCGAAAAGCACCACATCGAATCGAATGCGCTGCTGGGCACGTGGAGACCCGCCGGTCACGTTATCACCCGTTCCTCCAGGCTCACACCATAATTTACTTGCTGGCTCGGGCAATCAACCACTGGAGGACAGCGTCGAGGTTCGTCTCTTCTTTGGCGCTGATTCCGTAACAGCTCACCTCTCGATGCGAGACTTCCTTGAGGTCGAGCGCATCGATGAGCTCGTCGACAGAGAGCTTGCCTGGCAGATCAGACTTGTTTCCAAGCACAAGGAGTGGAATGCCTTCGAGGGCTGGCTTCTCTAACAGCAGCTTCAGCTCTTCTCTTGCGACTGGAAGAGCGTCCCTATCGGCCGAGTCGACAATGAAACTGGACGGATCAGCCGAAGCGCCGCAGCACGTGCGACCAACTCTTACACAATTGCATTCACTCCACGGCAATATCTCTCCCACATAGAGCGAAATCTAGGTTGACCTCCGAGGTCCCAACTGTAGGTCACGGTCAGCAGACGGAACCACGACAGGGTAAAATGCCTGCAACCCGGAAAAGTGGCTCAAACCGGCTTGGTGCTACAAGAGGTGGACCTGCGTGACCAAGACGGCACAGGGAAGCACTCACCATTTCAATGTTACATGGCCCTTCTGAACGCGCTTCATGTTGAAGCCAACGGTAGGGATGGAGCTATGGCCGTTAGCGCTTTGACCAACTGTGACGATGGAGCTCATGGTCGCGCAGAGCTGCGCAGCCGGCACGCTGCTATTTGCACGACATGGAGTGAGTATTGACGCACTCAACAGTGAACTCTCCTCCCTAGGCAGCATCTCGTCAGTGGGACATGTTCGCAGAGATCTCGCGGATGTAGCGCGGCCACTTCCCGATCTGGAGATCACTCACCGCCAGAACCCTCAATAGCGACGTCTTGCCAGCATTCTGCAACCCGATCATGGTGATGTCCATCTCTGTCGCCCTGCAAAGTGAAGGGAGTCAGCTTCCATCTCATCTCGGATCATTTTCGAGTGTCGTGACGCTATGTCTCGGGACTGAGACGGGTAGGAGTGGACAGATATTAGAGGCGCATCAGGCATCGAGGCTGGTGCACGCGCAGGCGCAAGGCAAGAAGGCAGACGCACCAGAACAGGCGCAGAAGCCAGTCATAGATTCGGCGGAAGATGCTCGCCATGGTGGGAGCCCTGGCGATGGTAGTGGCCTCGAGTCGTGGTCGTCTTCCCGCAAGGAACAGGTGATGGACGATGGATGCTGGTGCGAAAGCGTGGGAATCCTTGCTGCGGGGTCTATTCGGTAGTGGTTGGCGATCACGCCGGTGTCGAGTAGCAGCAACAGAGAATTGACAACAATACAAAAATCATGCAAATTGTGCTGGCTGCAGAGTGGCGATGTGAAGAGCGAGGACTGCGCTGCCCTGGAGAAAAGGCCGCAGGTGGAGAGGTCGCTGTGCACAAGTTCGCCGCGGGCAGGTGACTTCCGCTGCAGCAAGCTAACTCCCGCGGCTGCATTTGCCAGTCCGTGCGTCGCCGCCAAAAAAGTTAAACTTTTGGAAGAAGCAGCACCCACAGCTTCCACACTGTGACCGCCCACGCGACCCACTGCAGCAAGAGTCATCCGTCATGGCTTCAGCTGCCACTGCGAAAAAGCAGCCACAGTGGTCAACAAATTTCGACACGAAGCGCCGCCAGCACCTCTTCCGGAATCCGCCCAAGGACAAGACCGCTTATCCGACACTCGCTGCAGCTGTCGACCCCCACATCAACTCATTTAATAGTATTTTTACGCCCGGCGGCCAGATCGAGGAGGGTATTAAGGACATTGGTATCAAAAGCTTCACCGATGGCGACCCGTACGCGCAACCTGAGGAGATTGGGCGCAGAAACCGACTTTCTGTGCGCATTCAAGATGTTTTCCTTGACAAGGCTGTCCTGCCGCCTTCCAACAAGGTTGCACTCAAGAACCGCAACATCTTCCCCGCGGAATGTCGAGAGCGCCACGCCACATACCGTGGCAAGCTTCGTGCTCGTCTCGAGTACAAAGTAAACAACGAAGATTGGCAGGAGGAGGTTTGCGACCTGGGACAGATCCCCATCATGTTGAGGGTGAGACTCACCCAAACTATCGGAATGCGCACGCGTACAGCAGCACGGAAGCTAACGCGTGACAGTCGAACCGGTGTCACCTCGAGAACATGAGCCCAGATCAGCTTGTCAAGGCCAAGGAAGAGACCGAGGAGTTGGGTGGCTACTTTATCGTCAACGGTATTGAGAAGATCATTCGAATGCTGCAGGTGAACAGGCGCAACTACCCCATGGCCATCAAGCGTGGTGCCTTCACGAACCGCGGTCCTGGCTACACACCATACGGTATCCAGATTCGCTCGATCCGCACCGATCAATCTTCGCAAACGAACGCGCTCCACTATCTCAGTGATGGAAACGTCAATTTCCGTTTCTCATGGAGGAAGGCCGAATACCTGGTCCCTGTCATGATGGTCATGAAGGCGCTAGTCGAAACAAACGACCGGGACATCTTCGAGGGCATCGTCGGCGCAGCTGGCTCGAAAGGACTCGCAGAGAAGCAGTTCGTCACCGATAGAGTAGAATTGCTGCTCAGGACGTACAAGGTCTACGGGTTGCACTCGCAAGCAAAGACAAGGGCATACCTGGGATCCAAATTCAAGGTTGTGCTACAGCTTCCTGATGACGCCAGCGACGATGAAGCGGGTGTCGAGTTTCTGCGAAAGATCGTTTTACCCCACCTTGGAGCCTACAAAGTCACTCCGGCGCAGAACGCCGATAAGTTCCAGATGATCCTCTTCATGATCAGAAAACTGTACGCCTTAGTCGAGGGCGAGTGCTCGGTCGATAACCCAGATGCGGTCCAGAACCAGGAAATCCTGCTTGGTGGTCAGCTTTACGGAATGGTCATCAAGGAAAGACTAGACGAGTGGCTGAACTCGATTCGGCCTGTCCTGCAGGACTGGGGCCGTCGATCGGAGTGGAAGTCGTTCACATCGCCCGAGTTCAAGAAGGAGTTCGTTCCCAGGGTCTTGAAGAGGACGACCATGGATGTTGGGCGCGCCATGGAATATTTCCTCTCCACTGGTAACCTCGTCTCTCCAACTGGTCTCGACCTGCAGCAAACTGCCGGTTTCGTCGTTGTGGCTGAGAAGATCAACTTCTACCGTTTCATCAGTCATTTCAGGATGGTGCACAGAGGTGCCTTCTTTGCGCAGCTCAAAACGACCACAGTTCGTAAGCTTCTTCCGGAGAGTTGGGGCTTCATGTGTCCAGTCCACACGCCTGATGGTTCTCCATGTGGTCTGCTGAACCACTTTGCGCACAAGTGCAAGTTGGCTACACAGAACGTTGATGTTTCAGCCGTTCCCAAGCTTGTGGCGCAGCTAGGCGTATCAAGCAAGTCCTCCGCATCACTTGAGTCAAGCGTGGTCGTACAACTTGATGGCCGAGTCTTGGGCTTCTGCTCACCAAAGCAAGCCAAAGTCATCGCAGACACATTACGATACTGGAAGGTCGAGGGCACGCACGGTGTACCGTTGGAGCTTGAGATTGGGTTTGTTCCCAACTCAAACGGCGGCCAGTACCCCGGTGTCTTCATGTTCTCACAAGTTGCACGCATGTACCGGCCCGTCAAGTACCTTCCTCTCGGCAAGCTCGACTATGTCGGGCCCTTTGAACAGCCATACATGTCCATCGCTTGCACGGACCCGGAGATCGTGTCTGGTGACTCTACCCACGTCGAGTTTGACCCTACCAATATCTTCTCGATCATCGCCAACATGACACCGTTCTCCGATTTCAACCAGTCGCCTCGAAATATGTACCGTAAGTATTTTCTATTCCACCATGTGTTTTGATTCTGGTCTAACAGATTGTAGAATGTCAGATGGGTAAGCAATCGATGGGTACACCTGGAACCGCGCTGCGCTACCGCACCGACAACAAGACCTACCGCCTCCAGACAGGCCAGACACCTATTGTGCGACCGCCCCTCCACAACGAGTATGGCTTCGATAATTTCCCGAACGGCACCAACGCTGTTGTGGCGGTCATTTCATATACCGGTTACGACATGGACGACGCTATGATTCTGAACAAATCGGCGCACGAACGTGGTTTTGGTCACGGCACCATCTACAAGACTAAGATCTGTGATCTGGAGGAGGGTGGCCGCAGGAACAGGTCAGGAAAGACCGTCTCCAAGCTTTTCGGTTTCGCGCCGGAGGGCTTGAAAAAGGCTTCCTATCTCGACACCCTTGATGAGGATGGTTTCCCACGTGTTGGCACACTCCTGCGTCACGGTGACGTTATCGCAGCGTGGCACACAGTCTCGTACGACGCTGCGACTGATGACTACATCAATCGTGATGCCAACACCCAATTTTTCAAGTACAAGGAGGATGAGCTTGCGTTCGTTGAGGAGGTTCGCATCATTGGCTCAGAGGATGGCACGCAGCCTTGTCAGAAGATCAGTGTCAAGCTCCGCGTTCCCCGTTCGCCCATCATCGGTGACAAGTTCTCGTCTCGTCACGGACAGAAGGGTGTCTGCTCGCAAAAGTGGCCCTCGATCGACATGCCTTTCTCTGAATCTGGTATTCAACCCGATGTCATCATTAACCCTCACGCTTTCCCGTCCCGTATGACAATCGGTATGTTCGTCGAGTCTCTGGCTGGTAAGGCAGGTGCTATGCACGGTATTGCCCAGGACTCGACGCCCTTCCGTTTCGATGAGCAGAACACTGCTGTCGACTTTTTTGGCCATCAGCTCATGAAGGCTGGTTACAACTACTACGGAAACGAACCCATGTACTCCGGCATCACAGGTCAGGAGCTCGCGGCCGATATTTACATCGGCGTTGTATACTACCAGCGTCTCCGTCACATGGTCAACGATAAGTACCAGGTCCGTACCACAGGTCCGGTCAACTCGATGACAGGTCAGCCTATCAAGGGTAGGAAGAAGGGTGGTGGTATTCGTGTTGGTGAGATGGAGCGTGATGCGCTTATTGCTCACGGTACTGCTTTCCTGCTCCAGGATCGTCTGATGAACTGCTCCGACTACACCAGAGCAGCCATCTGCCGTGGGTGTGGCAGCTTCTTGTCGACTGCGCCAACAGTCAACGAGTTTTCGCGTAAGAACGAGAAGAGTGGCAGGAGCCTGACAATCAGGTGTAGAAGATGTGCGAGCCTCGCGGACGGTCACCAGAGCAAGAGTGATACTTGGACCGATGGCCAGGGCATTCGCTTCAGCGGTGGCGACGACATTGCTACGGTTGCTGTGCCGGGTGTGTTGAAGTATCTCGATGTTGAGCTGGCCAGTATGGGTGTCAGACTCAAGTTCAATGTTTCGCCTTAAGACTGTGAACACGCACGAAATGGAGATACGAGCGGCATGTTGGGAGGAATTGTTTAGGCATTGCTTGGCGTTTTGGATGCAAAAGTTACCCGGACTCTTTAGCAGCATCAGCGGAGTTCTCTAGATTGATGAATCGAATCACGTCACAACAGACAACGACTCGGTAGACACGCTGTGATCACCTGGGATACCTCGAACGACAACACTGGAACAACAAGGAAGACAGTTGCGATGGTTCCCAGCCCTCTGCACGTACAGTGCCACTTCTTTCACACCGACTTCTGTTGCGCTTATTCTTAGCTGGGCGTGCAGGAGATGTCGGAAAGGCCGTGAGTAGTGAGCGGCTGAAGCATTGCTGCGGCGCAGTGCACAAAGGAATATCCTTTTCTAAAGCCCGCGAATCCGCATGCTATTACGATACAATTGATACTCTGACTTGAGCATCTGTTAGCAGATTTACATCAAGTCAATGCCTTTGATCAAGACAAAGGTGTAAAGATGAGAACTGGTGATGCTGTGCGGAGACTCTGAAATGTGACTGTAGCCAGCCAACCGGAGGCGCAGGAGACCCAATTTTAGAACCACAATTTCGACTCATTTCAGCTCCGCCGCAACAACCACCATCCTACAGCTGAGCTTGGTTCTGCGGAAATATATACTGCCGCTTTACTCTTTCTTCCCTCTCTATTCCGTTCACTGCACCTGCAGACATACAATCTGCAACACATCAATTGGCATAGTAGCTGCGTTACCCCTCTATACCCCACACCATGGCCGACTCCATAAAGCAGGAGATCGCAACGATCGAGAAGAAGATTGAAGAACTTCAGGCACAGCTGGTTGATGCTAAGGCAAGGTTACAAAAGAGCCAGAATGAGACTGCTGCCAACGACGAGTCGGCGAAGCTGTCGAACGAGGAGAAGCTGGACCTGATCAAGGTCAACTTGAAGGAGGTCTTGAACCCTGAGATTATGGAGGCAGCGCTCAAAGAGGATCGACCACTGAAGGTCTACTGGGGAACCGCTACAACAGGAAGGCCGCACTGCGGATACGTGGGTTCTGCACATCTTTGGGCGGAGTGTGATTGTAGCTAACAAGACGGCAGTTTGTACCTATCCTCAAGCTCGCTCAATTCCTCGCTGCAGGCTGCCATGTCAAGATCCTCCTCGCCGATATCCACGGCTTCCTCGACAATCTGAAGGCGCCTATCGAGCTCGTCAAGTTCCGCGCCGAGTACTACCGCTTCACAATCACCGCCCTCCTCAAGGCTGTCAACGTGCCCATCGACCGCCTCGAGTTCGTCCTAGGCTCCTCTTACGAGCTCAAGCCCGACTACATGATGGACGTCCTCCGTCTCGCATCCATAACCTCGGAGCATGATGCAAAGCGTGCTGGTGCCGAAGTCGTCAAGCAGACTGACAACGCACCTCTCTCTGGCCTGCTCTACCCGCTCATGCAGGCCCTCGACGAGCAGTACCTCGACGTCGACATGCAGTTCGGTGGTGTCGACCAGCGCAAGATCTTCGCCCTCGCAAAGGACATCCTCCCCAAGATCGGCTACAAGGAGCGCGCCCACTGCATGAACCCCATGGTTCCTGGACTGCAAGGCGGCAAGATGAGTGCCTCCGACCCTGACTCGAAAATTGACGTCCTCGACAATGAAGAAATTGTCAAGCGCAAGCTCAAGAAGGCCCACGCCGCACCCAAGGTCGTGGAAGAGAACGGCGTCCTCTCCTTCGTCGAATACGTCCTCCTGCCAGCATCCTACCTCCGCCATGGCACACAAAAGTTCGTCGTCGAGCGCCGCGATGCCGATCCTCTCGTCTACACCGACATCGCCAAGATGCAAGAAGACTACAGAGCCGACATCCTGTCCCCTCAGATCCTCAAGCCCGCCGTTGTCGACGCGCTCAACGCGCTCCTCAAGCCCGTACAGCAAGAGTTCCAGAACAGCCCCGAGTGGAAGGAGATCGAGCAGAAGGCTTACCCGCCGCCGCCAGCGGAGAAGAAGAAAGAGAAGAAGGCCAAGAACAAGGGCGCTTTCCACCCAGCCGCCAAGAAGGTAGAGGCCAAGCCCGACGGGCATGTTGAGGGCGCGGACAAGGCCAAGGTCGATGTTGGTACTGAGGGTGGGGAGAAGACGATTGAGAACTTGACGCTTGAGGAGAAGAAGTAATCGCTAGATATCCTGAAGCATAGAACCATGCATGATGTCTGACGCAGGTGGACGGATTCCGTTGGTACGCTTCTTTCTTAAATACAGTGTTGTGCTGCTCCCATAACCTACTTTTACTTGTCCTTCAATTCTGCATTGCGCTTGAATCTGTGCATTTCATCAAGGACTAAGTATGACTACCCCCATACCGAAGACAACAACGCTGCATCACCAGCACCGAAGAGAACGTCACTGCATTTGCAGTGCAAGTGGGAAGATTCAGACTTTGTACTTCTCACAACCAACCTTAGTCGAGGGATGTAGGCTTGTGTAGGTGACACCGCATATCAGTATCGGCCTCCAGCATTCCGCAATTCCGAGCGAGTTGAACAGGCATGGGTCGCACGGCTCGATACTCTTTGCACACCTCAATATCCCCAGGGTGAGCTGACGCGGATGAGTGTCGTATCAGTAGTGGAAAGGGTAGCTGAGAGATGTTTTGGGGGTTTTGCGCTGGGTCAACCTCAGTGTCGTCGCAGCCGTGCAAGCTGTAGCTGTGCATGCAGAGACAGTGGATGCATATGCCGTAATTGTAGCCGTTGACACCATAGTCTTGATGATCGTCACTGAACGCAGTTCAGAATAGTTACAGAGAGGTTGAATGGACTGACCCACCTGGAGTCTTACCACTGTCTCCGCCTCTATCGTTGACTTGGAGATTACGGTCACCGGCTTCCACGCGTGGAAAGGATCGAGCAGGCTTTCCAAAGAGCATGTCGAAGCCGGAAGTCTAGCAGACAGATTGAGCGCCGACAGTGAGACTGGCCAGGATGAGCAGGTATACGAGCAGCTTCTGCACAATCGTAAAGGACAGATGTTAGACTGGATGAACTGGACAGCAGACCAGGTAGTGAAAAAGTAATAGCAGAAGAGAGGCGAGAGCTATTTGAGCTTCTGTCAAAGATGTCTATTGCGTGAGGATTGGGACCTATACTTTTCTCTCGTGTCCAGACCAGAGAGAGCATGAGATGCGCTACCGGTTTGAAAAGTGTGGGTCGTCACAGTACAGTGCGCTGGAGAATGGTCTTTGCAGCATCAAAAAGACCGGAAACACTGACCGCGGAGGAAGCAGCTCCGTACTTTATTTATGGTGTGCAGATTCAATCCACTGCATCATCTGCTTTGAAGTCGTGAGTCGTCGTTCTCAACCCAGTGACTGACTTGTTTTCCACTCAAAGAAGCACTACCTCGCATTGCCCGCTTTCCCACATGCAATGTGCTCCGATGTAGTCCGGTATTTTGTCTTGTTCTGGGTTCCTGGTGGAACATGTTGGAGCCCTGGGGTCAGGAAGCAGCACAACACCGAACTTTCAACGACACTGAACTGTTTCAAGACGAATGCGGAGATTTAATGAAGCCGACTCTCGCTTTCGAAAGAGAGAATATTAATAGGTAGTCCTTCTAGGTCACAGTTCACGCTTGATACATGCCGCTGCGCAGTCCCGATGCTACGAAGTTTCTCGCTTCTTGCACCAAGCCACTGCTGCTGATGTAGGCTGGTGTCGATTCCGAGTCCTCACGAACCTTGGCTTCGGACTCTTCACATCGTCTATTGTCCGTAGTCAGATCACATACTTCCAAACAGCCCTGAATAGCGTCGCTGACCGTACGTATATGGTTACGGCGAGGGTATATCATCGTAGTCTACGGCTCAAAGCTCCTACCGTGACTTCGTAAGATCTACGTGTCGCATAACTGTGGCATAACAGTAGGGTAGTGCTATATACTGTACCACCTTACCCAATATAGTCATAGCGGTGCAATATACTGCTCCTTTCCTTTCCGAACCACGCCTACGCTACGCCCAGCGTTGCCAGCTGGACGTAGTACTGGAATCTACGGCTACGGTGTACTGCAGTAGGCAACAGTAAGCAGCAGTAATTATATTGAGCCATAGCCATACAGGAAGTAGCCGTAGATTAAGGCGTAGTAAGGCAGTACTACGCCAAAATTTAGTGTTTATTCTAAAGTACAATTATTAGGGTTGTAAAGCTAGGAATAAGGTCTGTTAGCTCTTTTGTGTTAATGCCTACCTTTATAGCAGTAATGATAGCATTACTTTGTACATTTACAAATTTAAACCACACTCTAAGCACATTCTAATTATCTTTGCTTTTTAGCTTTGTCACGTGCACAGCAATACTGCAGTACTACGCCAATTATAGCTATCTACGCCTACTGTCCGTATGCCACACATGCTACGTAGGTTTTGGGACGCTACGGTTGCCTATAATTGCCGTAGGTTACAGCAATTGACCCTTACCGTAGCCGTATACGTCCCGTTGGCAACGCTGGCTACGCCAATGGTGCAACTATATGACTATTACTTACTGCAATGACTGCCATACTCTGTGACCAAGAGATTCCGTACTACATCTTGTTGTCAAAGATAGGCGACTTTCTAACGTAGCTCAATTATTATTCAAGCTTCCTGAGGATATCAATCGCACTTTCTCTCTTTGCATCGCCTGCCTCCAGTGGCAGCTTGAAGCCTTTCAAAGATGACACTGAACATTTACCTGGACCTTCACCTGGACCCAACACTCACGTCTGCCATGTCGATACTGGTGTCAGCTACAATTCGGACTACCATCTCTTGATTGTCTCGAGTTTGCAAGCAGCGAATTTCTCTAGGGACGGCATTGTCTTCGTCGTTAAGGGACTCGGTGAAATGGGACAGCACGATCTTAAACTGGTTGCGCCGGTCAACAATTTGCTACTGATCCACAGTTACAGTAATGCGACTCGAACATCAGTCCTGGCAACTGTGGCCAGTTTATGAAGTACATCCCTACGTGCGTCCTGACACCGTTTTGGTAACACCAATTCTTAGGCCGACAAGCAATGAAGTGTATCCCATCAAAGTGTCATGCATGGTCCGTCAACCTTCGAGTGGACAGTATGTCGGCGCAGTCACAAATGCTGACTATAGTGATTCCCAACGGAGAAGCGTACACCTCCGTGGCCAGCCCCGCAGCGTCTGCGTCAACGGCCCTATCATAGATACTATCGGTACAATTGCCCAAGTGGATTATGTAGAGAGGTGTAGCGCCGAACCAGGCTGTCTGAGTATCCGCTGAGTGCCCGTATGCCAGAAATGGACCTGTTATGAGCTCTCTTCCACAGTACCTATTGTAACCGTATCCTGACAGATCCGGTTCGGTCGTTCGTCCGGAGAGCATTCCGACATCGAGTGCGGTCGCCGGACCGGCACCGGAAGCCCGGGGAGAAGTACCTTATTTACTTTCTAAAAACTCTCACGCTTATCCGTAGCAGGGAGCCCCAGCCTACCCATTTCGACAGACCGCTTCATTGCTTGCGACACCAGTATCGTGTGCCTTACCGTGAGCTACCAGCCTACCATGTATCGAAAAAGCTTGTTGTTGTAATTGTCCGTGTCCGAACGGTTTGACCGCGGAATGCGAGCCGGGGCCGCCAGCTGCGGGTGTGAACAATGAGCGGTGAAAATAGTTCGGCCAGGCCGGATTCGATCGTGAAAGTGCGCATTACCTACCTTCACTGATTGACTAAGATGAGTTTAGAACGAGATCTCATTTTACCTATCTCAGATAGATGAAAGATCTTGGTGTAGAAACATCGGCGTGTGTTCCAGACAATGAACAAGCAGCTCGATAAGCTTTTCAAGTGTCGGCAGCCATGAAGTATATTTGCTTGTGCATTTCCCCCTTGTTTTCTGGGACACCCGACAACTGCCGCCCAAGTATGCTGTCTCGGGAATCCGAACAAGCTTTTCCACCGTTGGCAAGTTGCCTGTTGACTTTGCCAGCGTCAACGAAACCGCGGCCCGATGCATTCGGTCGGCGCGGATGTCGTGCGCGGTACCCTCGGCTGCGACCGAGTAAAGGGCCTGAATGTAAATCGGGCCTGTCTTTGCGGAAGAACGCAGATATTTGGTACTGCTACTGCGCATGAAACCGGGCCTTGACATGGTGAGCTCGATACATAAGTAATAAGCATTAGCTGTATATGCCTGGTAGGTAATGAAGACCAATCGTGAATGCTTTTCGGGCCGCGAGTAGAGACATCTGAATGCTGCCGAGTAGAGGCAAGTCTAGCTTGCTCAGTAGGTATGGTGAGACAATTTGGACGCAGATGCTCGGCAACCGTTTCTTTGGTAGTCTGTATAGGGTCGACGTTAGGGACCGGGCAACAATTGGGCCGCCATCAGCTTGTGACTCGCATTCGCTTGCTTCCGAGCCAAAGAAGGTCCGAGAGGGTTCGGGCCTGCTATAGCACGTTGACACTTGAGGAACAGACACGCTTACGCAACAGGCGCTGTCTCCGTGGTTTTGCGGCGGCGTGCAGATCGGCGGATCCGCACAAGCTGGGACGGGGGTAGTTTTGTTTGTGGTCCATGGGCGATGCCGCGAGGGTGATATCGGTATGACCATGGAGTTATGGCGGTGTTAGTGTATTGGGTGGTTATTCATACGTCGTCTGAATATTGTCGGCTGTCGACGCCCGTGGTGTCGAGGTACAAGGTTAATATGGCCTGTCATCCTGTCACTTGCGGTAAGTTGCTTCTCAAACCTGGACCTGGTAACGCTCGTGGCCCAACCTTGCTACGAAGCATAGCCACGCTCGTGCAGATGCCTGCTCATATGCCATGGAGTAATTGTTGCGTGCCGGGGCAGGCATTGATACTGCCTTGGATAAAGTTCAATTGGACGTTTTGACGTTTTTATAAAACCCGGGATTGAAGATTGACAAGGATACATATAGTCTAATCCGGAATCTCGATATCCGCGTTGAGACAACTAGGCCTGAAAGACATCCCCGGCGCATATTCCGAGCCAGGCCTTTGATCTTAAAGGCTGAGTCGTCTGGTGCGCGGAGTCGGCTTTTGATATCGTGACTTTGTGACGGCCGTGATGCGTGTGCGAAGTAGATCCTGCTGTTGTGAGTTTAGGAAGGTATGCCCTGCCGTTTGGGCACGATTCTGAAAATTATCTGTCAACCTGAAACTGACTTCTGTTGTGTAGATCCCTTGTTCACTACACCATTGCATCGCGGGATTGAGATCAGAAATACCGTTAGATCTTGATAGATGCAGGTCTTGGAGATGTCGCCGACTCAACATACCTGCAACACCTACCAGGACTTGGTCTCTACGTTTCAAGCAACTTAGGTACCCATGTCAATTCTGCACGTTCACGATAGATGTCGGTGTTAACGCTCCGTCCTCGTCACCGGATTCGGATTCGGACAGGGGCTCTGTCCGCCTACCCACGTGCGCACCGCTCACTTTCATCAGTACTCACAATTCCGGAGAACATTTCCAATACTAAACTCAATATCGCCGTTACATGCGCACTGAGATGCCCTCCTGCTCTCCGCTGCCAAGCCATCTCACACCGTTCAGGGCTTTGCAACGGCAGAGAACGTCGGCTAGTGGGACCTTCCCGCTCTCGACGCGTCGCTGATCGGTAAGGGAAGGAACTCGGACAATGGGATTGGAGGCGCACGCCGGGAGGATTCCCATAGTTGCAGATTTGGAAAGCCGCTGAGTCCTGTGTGTGTGACATGTGTGTGTTCATGTTTGCTTTTGTGTGTGGGATGGTGTGAGCGGCGACAGCTGTTGGTGGTCGGTTCTCCGTTAGGGTGATGTTTTGCAGAAGTGTACTGTTGCAGGCCGTATAAGGCTGTAAGGCATGAGGCGTGTCTGGAGTCTGGATTCTGGAGTCTGGGGCTATGTGGTTGTGGGATAATTTCCGCGATGTGACGGGACGTGGGTTGAAGTGAGGCGGGCAAGCGCTCCCCGAGGACACAGTGCAGCGACACCTGCTCTTTCTGCCTGTACGCCTGACGCCCGTTCGCACGGTCTGAAGCTGACCACTGCCGGAGTCTCTGGAGACGATGCAGTCGCATGGCTGCTGTCGGCTTAAACAAGGCGGATGTCAGGCCTCAGTGAGGCTGGGAAATAGCGGGGTACTCCTTAGTCCTGCATCTGTCAGTAGGTAGGGTAAAGTCACTTGTTCCTTCGTCAACCTTCACCGAAACCATTCTCATTTCTGTGATCGGATCCGATCAAGCACTGCGAGACAATCACGTGGTCCTCGCGTTCCAGCGAATGAAGCCAGGTGTGGATCTTTATGCCCAGTTGAATCCTCCAGGACCGCCATCAACCATTACCACGCAATGCCTATCCGCTCTGCGTTCTCGTCAATACCTAATTGCCTGACGACTTAATCACCGCCCGATACCAATATTCGCGAGCTGGTGTTTGTGGAATGATAGTTCCAGTCTCAGACATGTATTTGTTTCCTTTTTGCAAGGTTAAAGTAAGCCGAGGGCCTGGAGCATGATTCGCAATTCTCGACCAAGAATGCGGAGTTTCTGCCGCTGTCAAGTGTTGGAGCAAATCCGCGACCGTATTGCAACTCTGTTACGGGCTCAGCACCTGCGCTTTAGGCTGCGCGACGTTGGGCAGTAGCGTTCCATGCTTGACTCTATTCGACTGTCAGCCCAGAAGTAAGTTTAGAGGTCAGACCAGGACAGGCGACTATTCGTGCCGCTATCAAGACGTTATGCTATGGTGTTGCTCAGACCGACCGTGTCCAAGACTAGTGGATGGCGGACTAAAGAAGCCCGGATACTGTTCTTGTATCCAAACCTGACAAGTTGGGAAGTGTGTGCGAGTGATCTACGTTCGGCGTCTTTCATTCCACAGAAGCAGCTCGCTGCAATTCATGGCGGGGCTTGGCTGATCGACGAAGCGCGGGAACCTCCTGCTGCCGGTTGAGTCTCCCTCGTCTAGCTGTAAACTCTGTATCACGACTAACAGAACGCCATAGCATCTTGCAGCTTTGGGCCGTATGTTGATCTCAACGTTTTAAAGCGTGCCTGTCGAATCCATGATTCGCTGGAACGAGAAGATATCTGCCTCAAATTCAGCCTCACTCGTCAGCACTTTGCCTGGATAAATTAATACAGGCGTCATCTTAGAAGCAGGAGTTGAGTCTTTGGGGTCGGAAATCCCTCCCGACGCCGCGCCCTATGGTTCGCTCTGTTAGTTCCGGCCGCATACGCAGTGGCTGCTGCGCCAGGAACGCAGCTTTCTGCGGAACGTCAAGCAATGATCTAGCGCGGGGCGTAGACTGTTGCACTTTACTTCTCTAGATGACTAAGATTGGGCTGCGATGTTTGCAACCGAGAACAGACGCGTTTGAGAAAGCGGCAGCGTAGCGTGGCTATCCGCTGCGAAGTTTGGGTAATTTGCGCAGCTCATGCTTCATTCGATCTCGCTGTCAAATCATAGAGGTATACATGGTGGAGTTTGAGTTTGGTCGGCACGTGTCCGCGGCGCTTTGCGTCGAGCTTCATATCGTATATGCAGTAATCGTAGCGATCTAACCCAGTATCGAAAGTTGTTCAGGCAGGCGTCAGATGCGTGCGCACCTCGGTGAAGCCTGGCGTTTCGTGCGAACGACGCATCGCGACATCAGGCGGACAAGGAGGGACAGCCAATAGTGTGATAAAGAAGCAAAGAAAAAGGCAAAATTCCGTGGAACAAAGTTTGACAACTTCACTTCTATTAGTAAATCAGCCATGAGATGCGTGAGCTCTCCAGTGGCTACGGCGTCCGTAGCCAACCATCTATATCATCCAAGACGTGTATCCAAAAAGTTATACCGAGAAACGGCCGTTAGCTGCACAAGCCAGAGAGGCTAGCATGGTATAGGTGTGCGCACAGCGACGCAGGAGTTGGTGGCCGATTGCGCGGTCAAACGACATTTCCCCTTCCAGACAACGATGTCTGTTTCCAAAGTTTCTAAGCAATCCCCGCCCCCCTCGTGCTTCCAACTAGTCCGGGGTATGAACATCCTGCACACAAGCAAAAGAAATCCGACCAGGGTCCGCGTGCCGGTGACTGTGGTAGGAGGTATACGCAAAAGCTTCAGCGCTGGTCCGCCCAATGAGTATGTGTTCGATGCCTAATTAAGAAAGAAATGACTGATGCTTTGCGCCGAGTTAGATGCAGAATGATAAAGTGTGTACAGCAAATGCGCGCTACGCGGTGGCGGCTATCGGGAGTCCTCTCCGCCCAAATGGGGTATATCCAAACAAATTGAAGTTCTGCTTGAGGCTTGTTGTATGGCTGCAATGATCACGGGAAGAGGTCGAGCTGCTTCCGAACGTTCCGCAGAATCTTGAGGTCCATCTCTAGGATTGGAGAGTTCGGTGCAATCTCGCCGAGAACTTTGCAGGTCCGGTCCATGAGAAGAGTGAGGTTGTTCTTCGTAAGTTGTGTGTCTCTTGGTAGGTACCTGCAAAGTTGAGACTTAAAAACTGCCGCGAGGACAAGCATGTTTCCAAATTGACTATCGGCTATTAGTGACAAGCAAGGTTGCATCATGTTGAAAGTTAACTTACGCATGCATGGTGCCGAAAATGTTGGTAACTACCAAGCGACGAGTACGAGCGTTGGCGTTGAACTTTACGTACTTGCTGTTAGGAGCAGCACCAACACGGTCGAAAGCGATCGTACTCTGGATTGCGGCATTGATGCACTTAACAGCAACTCCGATGATGCTTCTTTGATCGTCCGATAAATCAACCAATAGATGTACGTTTCTGTTAGACGATCCGCCAGATGTCGGCGCGGGGGAACTGTGATGAGAAGCCCGTGCGCTTGCACCTGTGGGAGGGAAGTCGATGAAATGATTTGCAATGCGTAAGTATGGGCGCAAGATCACGTAGATCGATCCGTAGTACTTGGCACGTAGACGCGCGACATTGATGTCAGTGGCGGGTGGGTCATCGTCGTTCCAAGCCAGCGCAGGCGGCAGCACTCGTCTCCAGTCTTCCAGGATGCGCACATGTGCTATAGCACGGTGTGCAACCTCTTTGATGTTATGGGTGTCAAAGCTTCGGCGAGCATCTGCTGTTGTCAGCAATATTAGAAACAAGAGTATCAAGTGCCACTTACTTCTGCCATAAAGCATGTTGTGTGCTTCATTTAGTATGACACGAAGCCAGATCTGGCTTGAGTACATAAGCATGGAGCCTTCCTGTGTCTGCGGATCGGCAAACATCTTCTCCTCAACGCTGATGCCGGATTCGATGGGCACCGATTCGTAGACGCCATCCGGATAAGCGATCTCGCTCTGGAAGTCCGAGATTCTGCTAGGTGGCAGCGTGCTCATCTCGGCCAGAATATCTGACTCGAGCTGGAGACATGTCCAGTATACGCACATGACTAGGTTGAGCCTGTAACGCTCTTTTGGTGGCAGAGAGGCCTTGTTCTCCAAGCACCAGTTTCGGTCGAGCTTCTGGTAGTCTGCCTTTATAAGGACGAGGACGACACGGCAGGCGTTGTTGATCCAACTCCAGCTCTCCAGGACTCGAGCGAATTGACTCAAATAGAGCGCAGCCAGGATCATCGCCTGTGCGTGTGCCACTGTGTTGCCACCCTGCTGGTTTCCAAGGATGTCCGTGGCATAAGCGAAGTAGCCCATGCCAGGGAGTATGTCGACATTTCTTGGTCGATTGTCATCGGAGGTATCGCTGTTGAAGCTACTGTTGGCATGGACACCCCAGCCTCCGTTCGCATGGGTCATTCTGTCACTTTGGGGCGAAGGCAGCGGTTCATGGTGAGCGCAGACCTTGCCGAGTGCAAGCACGAGGAGGACGAGGGCGTTACGTAGAGAACGTTCGATCGCTCCCTTGGATGACCAAGGCTCACCGTATGCACTGCCGGATCGTTTCCGCTTCAAGCCCTGGTGAAGTTGATGGCTGGCCAGCGAATTGGCAGCAGGCGATCCAGCGTATTTGCCGTTAGAGTCCGGACTGTACTGCTCGCTGAACTCCTTGATCATTCTTCGGAGCTTACTCGCATTCATGAAAGGATGAAGTTTGTGGATGTTCTCGATGTACGAGTCGTACAGCTCCCCCAAGACATGAGAACGAAAGTCAGGCCTGCCATCTGGGCCAAGGCCACCATAATTTTCTTTTTCCGCTCGAGGGTGACTGCTGGGAATCTCTCCAGGAACTGTTCCGGGACTGGAGGTATCGGCAGGTGGATAGCCCCAGAGGCCTTCCTTGCCAGGTGCTGGAGAGGAGGCGTCTGCGTCGCCACCACTGTCAGGGCTTCCTGGGCCCTGAGCACCGTCGTTGAGATCTTGGCCTTCGCCGACTCCCCAGACGCGGAGCAGGCCTCGGTCCTGCTCGAGTAGCATTGGGTACTCGGAGACTTCGTGGCCGCCTTCGATCAGCTTCTCAATGTAGTCGACGTTACGACAGAAGTTTGCCATCGAGTGCCACTCTTCGAATAGCTTGTGTGCAGGGGTGGTATGGTCACTCTGCAATCCGCTCTTCTCCTTCGGTGGTAATCCTGTTGCACCACTGTGTTCGCTTCTAACGCTTTCAGCCGGAGTGGCTGGCTGCTGAGGCGGAGCAAACATTGACTCCTGCTTGATTGGGGTCATGGCTTGCGATGCTGATGGAGACATCTGTGAGTGTCGAAGATTGGGGGACTCTGTCTTCATGTTGCTGATCCGGCGCATCTGGCTGTTTCCCTGGGCCGGCGTGGGGATCCTGGCGTTAGGTGCTACGAACCCTGCTTCTGGCGATGCTATGTTCGAGATCTGGTTAGGCGTTTGAGCCAAGGGAAGTCTGCTCTCTACGCTCTGTCTCCACGAGGTGAACTCTCCTACAAGACTCTTTAAGACGTCGCCGATGTCATTAACGCTCTCTTGAAGTTGCATCATGCTTCGATCTTGCCTGTAATATGTTAGTGGCTGCCGTTTGCCCGAAAATTTGCCACATACTTTGGAGGTGGTACATCCTTGTACTGGCAATCGAAGTTGTTCTCCCTGCAGAACTGACATGGTCTGGCTTCGTCGCACTTCTGCTTTCGTGTTCGACAGTGGTTACAAGCTTGTGTGGCGCGGACCTGTTTGCGCCGTACTTGCTGGCCAGCTGTGCCTGCATACTGTCCCACATAAGGGCTCGACGCATACGGGCCCTGGTCGTACTGCGGAGCTGGTGGAGGCGGTGGATGGAACGGCTGCCCATTGTTGTGATGTGTAGGGCTTATGGAGTGGCTGTAGCCGTTGGACATATGGCCATTAGGGCGATGCTCAGGGTTCATACCCCATGGACTCTGGTGACCTCCATGATCCATAGGTGGTGGTTGAGGCTTGACGTCGGCACTGATGCTGGATCTGGTGCTCTGCGGCTCTGGCTGTGTCGACGACTGTGGAGTGGGTGGCGCCCGGTATGTAGCGATGTTGTCCTGGGAGATGTTCACCGGAGGAGGGCCACCGGCGCCATGAGGACGTTGGCTAGGTGAAGGGATGGTACGGGGGTCTGAGTAGGCGCGTATATCGGAGGGTGGCAGTGACGGCGAGGGTTGCGGTCCGGGTGGAGGTCCTTGCCCCGGAGGAGGATAGGAATGAGACGGATGGGGCAGGCCGGGAGGATAGTGGCGGGCGGTAGGAGAGGGAGCAGCGTGAGCGGGAGTGGGATGAGATAACTGGCGGGTAGGTTGGGCGTGCGGCGGAGGAGGGGGAGGGAAGCCGTGGCCGTTATGATTGTACACAGGAGGATTGACGGAGTCCAAACGAGGCCTCTTCTGGGCGGGCGCGTCAGGGTCAGCCATCCTTACATACGAGAGACGCGATCCGCTCAGGCCATGCGGCTATGTGTGACGGAGTACCTGACTACGATTACGGAAGCTGCCAGGTCCAAACGGCAGCAGCCCAACAAGGTCGGCGGGGGGCAGCTGGTGGAGAGGGTGGCCTCGGCACTGGGCAGTCGCAGGGACACGAAGAGACCAATTCACCAGTGCGTCAGAAGATGACTGGCTGGAGGAGATGTGCGGGCTACAGGCCAATCCGCGTCATCGGCTGGAGGGATGAGAGAAGAGTTTGGAGAGCGTCGCAGGGCAAGGTGCTCGGAGGCCAGAGTGCGATGCAGGAACGGGAGCTTTGGCTCAAGCCGCGCGAGGAAAACCCAGCCCTGAGCAACACTTCCTTACCATGGACCCGGAGGCAACTATCCGAAGCAGGACAAGGGGCAGTGGTGTTGAGTCGCGGACAGTCTATGCGTCGACGTTTGTTGCTGGTTGGCGAGGGTGGCGCTAAAAGCTAAGACGGGCCGTGCGGGCGAAGTGGCCGGGGAGCACGCTGAGCAGTGGGCACCGGACGGGGGGGCGCCAGCTAGTCTCCGGCCAGGAGGAGCAAAACTATGTCGAAAGTCAAACAGAGCAGGCCAAACGAGGCGGCGCGCGGGAAGACTCTTGGCGCGGCGTCGGGCACGAGGGAGATGGAAGGGATAGTAGACGGGCGGCAGCGCGTCGTCGACATACGCCCATGGAGTTTGATAGAGAGGGGATAGCCAGGCCGGGTGGAGAACTGATTTGAGCGACACAAGGGCGAGTAGTGAGCGCCGACCGCGATTCAGCGACAGCCGTGCTGCGACGTGCAGCTCGCTTGTGCCGAAGAGCATCAAGATACTACCAGGCCCCTGGGAGCAAGCCATGCGTTAGGTGCCCGCCTGCGCGCCGTGCTGGGTGCCATCTCAAGATGACAGAGGAGCCTTTGCTCGCACACAGCGGTAGGTACCCTCGTCCGTCTTTGCATCCTTCACGGCGCTGTTGCAGACGGCAAACGTCGCTCCCGCAGCCGACAACCCAGCAGCCAGACACGGCTGTTTGGTGTCGGCTACCTCGGGCTGAGACTGATGCCAACGCCGCAGTAAGGCCAGCTGAGCAACGTGACTTGCAACACCAGCACTACCGGACCTGGTGGCATCGCCCGCTGGTCTTGCTGTTGCTGCGGCATGCGCGCTTCTCCGCGCGACACACCTCCCTCTCTCAGCCGCCAGCGACAGCGCAGCCAGCAGCAAATCGCTCGCAGCTCACATATTGCCCGATAATTATTAGTACGACCGCGGCCAATTGGACTGAGATGAGCGCGACGATCCGAGCTCTCTCGGCATGCCCTGGAACTTGACTATGGTCCCTAGTATTCATCTAGCTCCTCCACTGAGGCTTTGAGCTGTAACGCCGCTGTTTTCGAGAACATCTCGTGGAAGTGGTGCGCTGCTGAATTTCGATGGCTGGTCAAGCCTCCGAGCGTCGAGATGCTAGTCGCTGTCTGCTTTTGCTCGGACAAGGGCATGGCACCTTTGCTGTTCATGATGGCACCAGGCACGACACCGCCTTTCACGGCTGTTGTGCTCGCAATGTGATGAGTCGGTTTCTTCCGAGTGACCGATTCATCAAAAGGATCAGAGCTATCAGATTACAGTTACCTAGGTATCTGATAGCCTTCATACTTCCTATCTGGTGCCCGAGATCTGCGACATTGGGCTCCAGCGTCTGGCGGACATTTGTCCGTCCATTCATCTATCCATGTGCTCAAACGACGCATGTCACCCTCGTGTGCGGAGCACTTGGCTCCCACGAGTCTGTAGGGCAGGTCCGAAGAGGCGCCGCCCACTTCGCTAGTTTCAAGGCCTCTCGATATCCCCCTCACGATTAGCGCGTCCCAAGGATCCAGGCACGACCGCGGGTCGCATTGAAATCACTTTGTTTCTGATGAACAAGTTGACCGGGACGTTGTTCCCAAAATCGGAGCTTTCGCGACGCTGTGTACACACCAACAATGCATGACAGGAGCCGAGATGGGGTTGATGCGCAGTAGGTTGCTCAAGTGCCGGTGACAAGTGGTCAGCTGCCATCACATTCACTGAAAAGGCAAGCGGCCCGAATGTTGGCCCAAGCCGTTTTTGGCCGAATACTATCTCCGACCGGATGCATGACAAGTCTGCTTCGAAACGTTGCGATTCAGATTCCCTGAAGACGTTTCCGAACGACCGAAATTGCTCTGGTCCTAACAGAAGAATTCCCGTCCCTTGCCTCACGATGATGGAGACCGTGGCGGGTCCACGTGGATCGCGACACCACGAGGCGCTGAAGGCGCTTCGACGACAGTTGACATTGTCAGGGAACGCCATGCTTGACGAGCCCAAATTGGCATGGCAGTAGCCGCCATCAAGTCGGTGAGGTCGGTGTGCCCGCCACGCAAGCTTCGTTCTGCGAGAAAGCAATGCGACTCATTATTGCAAGAGACGAATGTAAATTTAGTCAAATCTGCTTCTCATGACAAAGATCGTAGCGGTGGCAAGCTGTGTGCAAATCCTCGAGCTTTGTGATCGTCAACATTCGCCCTGTCACTTCCACAACCTGCGAGATGCAGATGAGCTGCAAAGCGACACCAACGATGCTTGGCGAAGCACTGATGCCAAAAGTAGCTACCCGCACTTGCGTTGTCGAAGAATTGCGTGCATAATCTGCCGAGTGTTGAACGATGCAGCGGTGAACTGGTGCAAGTAAGAGGTGCCGCTTCTGACATCAAATGGCATGTGACACAGCAAAAACCGGGACCGCAGATCTGTGTATCGGTGTAGCCATCGCTTCGAAGTGGGTGCTGCTCACCGTCTGTGTGATGTGAGGTTGTGGATACTTTGAGGGAGATCCTTGTCTGAGACGCCAAGTAAGCTAAGCCTCTTTCGTTCGGAGATCACGCTTACTGCAACGAAGGATGCTGATGCTGACCATAACCTCGCATCGCGGTCACTAAGCATGGCCAACTATAGGCTTTTATACTGAATAGTCGAGCTGGTTCTACACTCATCAGAAGTGTCAATGAAAGTCTCAGGATGCCTGAGAATGATGTGGCACCTAGTGAAACGCTAATGAAGCAGGGACGACCGACGAGGTTGGTGTCTATGCGTCACCGCATTCGCCATCTTCAACGGATAGCAGCGTTCCGGGCACAAGACCACATCATCAATTTCTATCCTCATGCTTTGCATATTTTTCAGTCATTTTGTTTAGTTTCCGCCTCCTCTCTCGCTCCACATTTTGGAATTAGTGGGCGTCATGCTCTTCACCCTGGTCTTCGGCGCTCTTGCAGCGGCCGCATTGTTCAAGGGAGTGGCCCTTTATAAAAAATGGCAGGAGAACATAGCGCTCGCAAAGAGCTCAGGACTACCCGTTGTTATAATACCATGGAACATCTTCAGTACATTCTGGCTAGCAACCTTCTACATCTGGATTCCAATACTAGAAGTCATTTTGCCTGCTTCGTGGAAGGGCGATTGGTTTGAGTAGGTTGTATCTGTCTAGACTGGGCGACTCATATTAACCTATTTTCAGCCTACTAGATCCAGAATGGGGGTATCGAAAAGGTCACGAGCCCTTCGAGAAGATCGGAGGCGATGTCTTCATCATTCCCTCAATAACCCAATTATCTGCGTTTGTGGCCGATGCGGAAGCCGTAACCCAAATTACCACCAGGCGCAATGATTTTCCCAAGCCTCTTGAGATGTACGGGGCTCTCGACATCTATGGCAAAAATCTGGTCTCAACTGAAGGTTCAGATTGGCGCATGCATCGAAAGCTCACAGCTCCGTCATTTGGCGAGCGGAATAACCAGCTCGTGTTCAAGGAGTCTATTCACCATGCCAAATCACTACTTAGTCTCTGGACTGGACCAGGTGGTCAAGGCAACGAGACCGTACAGGATCCAGCTTCCGCGACGATGAGTTTCGCACTTTTCGTGATCAGTTCTGCAGGCTTCGATGTCCGCGTCAAGTGGCCACATGAGGAGAGGAACCAAGCATCTTCAGTCGAGAGCGACGAGTCAAAGCCGATGCTTCTCGGATCTGAGAAATCAGCAGGCCACAAGATGACCTATCGTGAAGCTATCAGCGAACTGCTTCATAACATCATGTGGACCCAGATCATACCACCTAAGTATCTGCCACTATCCCCGGTCAAGGTACATCGTACAGTCGGTGCCGCCGTGGCAGAATGGGGACAATACATGGATGAGCTGTACGAGATGAAGAGGCAACAGGTAGCTTCCGGAGATGCCAACAACGCGGGTATGGACCTCTTCGACGCTCTAATCCGCGGAAGTGGTATCACGGAAGGGAAGACCAATGTTTCAAAGAGCGATTTGCTAGGGAATGCCTTTGTTCTCATGCTGGCCGGTCACGAAACAACCGCCAACACTCTCCACTTTTCCCTGATCTTCCTTGCCATGCACCGGGACTCTCAGAGACGATTGCAACAGGACATGGACAAAGTTTTCAGCGGCAGGCCGATCGAGCAATGGATCTACGAAGAGCACTTCCCCAAGCTGTTCGGTGGCATGGCTGCCGCTGTCATGAACGAGACCTTACGCTTGTTGCAGCCAATCGTCAATATCCCCAAATCTACAGCACCAGGCCGACCGCAGAACCTCACCCTGGGCGACAAGACATATACCGTACCAGGCGGAACCCACATCTTTCTCAACTCGGCGATTCACAGGAATCCAAAGTACTGGCCGGCGGGCCCCAATGGTTCGAATGAACGAGGAACAGGTATAAAGAGGGATGTGGACACTTTCCGCCCCGAGCGCTGGCTCTCAACTACAAAGATGGAGGGCAGTTTTGTAGACATTGCATATGATGATGAAGAACTGCGTGGTCCATCAGGTGAGGATACGTCCGCATCGCTCTACAAGCCTGTCAAGGGTTCATACATCCCCTTCAGCGACGGCTTCAGATCCTGCATCGGGCGGCGCTTCGCACAGGTCGAGATCCTGGCCGTACTTGCAGTCATCTTCTCGCAGTATAGTGTCGAACTTGCAGTGGAAGAGTGGGGTACCGATGAAGAGGTTGCCGCTATGAACAGGGCAGAGAAAGAGACGATTTATCAGAAGGCTGTCGACAGAGCAGATGACGCCCTGAAGACGAAGGTAGCTAGCATCATCACTTTGCAATTGAGGGGAACAAGCGTGCCTATAAGATTAGTTCGACGGGGAGAAGAGAGGTTTGACAACTAAGTCGACATGTTGGCATGTGTATATGGTTACCATATTCGTAACAGCACTTTGTATACAACTCACATAGGAACCTGGGCACATATAGAGAATACACTCAGAGACAATCAGGCCACTCTCGAATCTCGATCCCGGGCCCAGTATCTCTGTTCTCGAAATCGAGTCTTCCATGATCGTTCCTTGGAAACATCAGCGCCTGCATCATCATCCTGCCCACGCCACACACCCTCTCCGCGGAGCGCGCCGCATACCCGTTGCCAATCTCCGTGATCAACCCACCAGATCCTTCAGCCTCACTCTCATGCTTCCACGCCAAGGCCTCGATCCTTCGCCACTAACCAAAAATCCATCGTCAGCTCCTCGCTAAGGCCACGAATCCTTGCGCACTTCCTTCTTCCGCCTCAATCTCGGGTACACCGAGCGATCTCATACACAGAGCGCGGCTTTGATCACGCGCGCACGTGGGTGTGGACCCCCTCTTCCTCCCTACTTTCCTCAGACCTGTACGTCGACTGTGCCTCAATGACGCAGCCTAAGCGCCGTCGCCTTGGCGCTGTATGCAAATCGAGCCTGCTAAGTGCGGATCGTGGGTGTGCGCATGGGGGGAAGAAGGGTTTCTATCAAGAGGGAAACAATATGATTGTAAGGGTCGGATGGTACATGCGGTTGCTGCTGGATAAGGAAGATGGGAAAGCGGCCTGATTCACATCGAGGTACGGTGGAGGAAGCGTGAATCGAGGGGATGGCGAGGGGGGGGGGGGGGGGGGGGGGGTCGAATCCTCAGTATGCCGAATCATGGCGAGATCGGATCATTCCCATTACTGTATTGGTGAGCGGTTGCATGAATCTGCGGGCGAGGGGGGTTATCTGAGCTTTGCGCCGCAGATGGGCATACTAAAAGGTGAAGTGATTGGTGATTATATCATTAAGCCGTCTCAGCACGCTCGCCTTCTATATACAATAACAACGAAACACTACAGACGCATTGTATTTCCATCAGACAAAGGAAATTGCTGCTGAGCAGAATATTATCTTCAAGCGCGAACTCTTAGATCTAACAGGGAGTGAGAAAATGGCAATAAACATCGAGTGTATGTGTGCAGTAAATGTGCTGCGAATGCAGGCCGTGACTCGTGCCGGACGCCAGGTTGATCCGGATGGGTATTGACAAGGAAATGGCGAGAGATAGGAAAGTGTATGTGCGGTATTGATTATTCACATTGGCGGCTGCGCTTGATGAGTTCGTCATCGCTGAGCGCCGCAAGCCAGAGACATCTGCTAATCAAGTCAGGATCAACTCTGAAGTTGTACTTGGAGCTTGCTTCGAGTAGGCGCAACAGGTTCTTGACAATTGTGGCTGCTGTGTGGTGTCGTTCGAAGTTCACAAGTCGTTCGCCGTCGACAGGTACCGCATCGATGAAAGCAGGCTTCTGAGCGTTGTAGATCAGATCTCGGGTGTAGATGCCAATGAAAGGGATGCATCCATCCTCGACTGTGGCTGTCTCCATCTCAAGACGAAGGTTGTGGAAGTTGCGCAGTGGCTGGACGAGGGCTTCGAGCTCCTTCATTGTCTGCTTCTCGGCCAGAGGTACGAGAGACCAGGTCTTGTGAAGTCGTGACAGATCATTGGAGATCAGCGCGATGGCGATCTGGTACATGGTGGCGTAGTTTCTGAGTCTTCGCGCGTGCGAGGCGATATGGATGAACTGGACGATGCAGCGAGCTCGCTCCTCCATGTCCTCGGTGAGAACACACTCAGAGACTACCCACTTGACTACTAGGTTGAATCGAGCGATTACGACATCGACGCCGCGCGCCTCTTGGGTACGAAGGTAGTGTACCCAATCACGAATCTGAGGTGATGACTGCTTCCAACGAAGTTCGATGAGCTCCTTCCAGTCGATCTCGTCCAAAGCATCCTTCTCCACAACTGTGAATTGCTGGGCAAGTAGCTCGGCATCATAGGCCATGACGAAAGGCAGGTGAGCAGTCTTGATTGGCTGTCCAATATGTGGCGACTCCTGCAACTTGATCTGTTGGTCAGGCATGGGTTGACTGAACTGGTCGAGTCGAGAAGCAGTGGGTGACAAGCCTGGTGTGGGTAGGCCTCTGTCCCAGGTTGTCGTGGGTACGGCTTCCTTCAAGCAGTCTGCTGTAGAAGGCGGTGTCGGAGGATGGCGCATGGGATGCATGGGAAGGTTGCTCGATGGCTGGTCCATCACTGCCGGCTCGTCTTCGAAGAAGCTTCGTACACCATGTGACGTCTCGTCTGACCTGGCGCCTGTCGTCGTCGAAGCTAGGTCGCTCAAGTCTTCATCTTCATCGAGAAGAAATGACTGGCGTACGATCGAAGACGATGGAAGAGTGGCGCCATGGGGGATCCTCTTCATGCTGTCTGTCTCATCAACGTACTCGATTGACGAGCTCGGGGACGAGGGTTTGGTTGCAGGTGCTGTCGAATCGGCAGTTGTGTTTTCGGTGAGCTGCAGAGGTGAAGGCTTAGCCGAGGACCTCATCGTGTCGAATGTCTGGGTACGCCCACTAGCCATGACGTCGCTGAGACCTCGGTCAAGAAGCGGTACCGAGGAGTAAGAGTCTTCTGATTCAGCTGCGGTGCTCACAACAGGAGGCACCCGGCGGTTGAAGTTCTCTCCTGAGAGATGGAACATCTCCTGGCCTTCTGCGCCAGGGGTGGCGAGCGGTCGGTGGAGGCTGTCGTCGGCGCCACCGTGCTCCTCCGATTGTTTCGGCACATAGGCGTCTTCCGTCTGTTTTAGCTTGTATGGCGGGATGAATAGCTCATCAGGGGCACCAGTAGGTCGGTAGACTTCAGGTTGTTCGATAACAGAGGTCCGTACAGAAGACACCCGTGGAGACTTCCTTTCATAGCGACCTTCTAGCTTCATAAGAGCTGCCTCAACTCCTCCCTCGTCATCTGTGTCGTCTGGTAATGCTGCAAGTTTGGCGACCTCTGCTTCGAACGAAGGTCTCAAGTTCGGCTGTGACGAATGTGTGTCAACCAAGGATATCGGTTTCTTGACGACGACTGTCTCGTCGACCGCTTCTGTGGTGCGACTCTCTTCGAGCTCTGGCGCAGCGTAGCAATCTGATCGTAGGATGACCGAGTTCGCGATCGAGTGGGTGCGATTGGACATTGAACCGGTAGAGTGTGGGCGAGGGGTCGACTCGAGATCCTGCATGTTCCCAGCAGCGCGCAGATCACCTCCTGGCTTTCGGCGAAGCATACGACCAGGACCATTTGTTTGGGGCGCCTGGCGCTCCAGGAAGAAGGGGTCGTTGTCCGACGACATAGTCATGAATGTAGCCACACTCTCCGGGCCTTGACGACCGCTGAGGACACTGTTGTATGAGGCATGTCGACGCAGGGAAGATCGAGCCATCGATTTCCGCATCGAGCCTCTCCGCTTGAACGAATGCATCTGCTGCGTACCTTCCGACACGGAACGTCTGTGTGGTCCTCGAGACTGTCGTGCTGAGGGACGGGACAGACGTCTTTCTTCGACAGAGACCTTGGGTGGCGTCGAGTCCTTGTACAGATCAGAGTGGCGCACGACGACCATGTCTCCCTCAGCCAGCCTTTGAGCGATTGATGGGTTTCGTTGGAGGACCATCGGTGGCGTACTCGAAGCTCTCTGTGTCTCTTCCGCCGCAGCCGATGGCAGAGCTCCAGACATCATGGGTAATGGAGGCGCTCCAGTGTCATCGATGATGAGGATCGACTTGCTGCCCGTAGTGATGGTGCTGTACACGCGAGGATCCGGATCCCTTGAATCCGGTGGACCTTCGCCAGGCGGTGGACTCCTTCGGTTCTCGAACTCGAACTCAAAACCACCGAGATCAGGAGGCTCGACGCTGCTCTCTCCGCGCTGTTCCTCCTCCCTGAGCTGCTCTTCTATTGCTTCCTTAAAGCTTTCGCCGACCTTTGAAGCCAAAGCATCGATTCGTATCTCTGGTTTCGTTCGAATTGTACGTTGCTTGCGAACGCCTCCTGACATCGGAGTCATCGTGCCGGGATTCGACGAGCGTATTGAAGGTACCACCCGCTGGTGGACGTTTGCTCCTAGGTGCGGGTTCCCATTTGACGATTGCTTGATGCTGAGAGCACGACGCACGCTGCCAAAGATCTTTTTCATTCCAGGGCTGTTTGCATGACCTGGACGCAGCTGCATATCTGCATATATGTCATCACCATCTGTCTCGCTACGTGTCCGTGTGTGACGCAAAGTAGTGCCTTTTAGTTCGATGTAGGGCGAACTTGGTTGAAAAAGCCCGCCACGCACAAGGCTGCCGGGCATGCTCGTGACTGCGGAGATGGTAACATCTACAGAAGCGTTCTTTGGGATTGATAGAGGCGCTCTGCTGTCCCTCATGGCATCGGAAAAGCTACCACTACGCTTGTGGGTGTGCGACGGGCGAACGTTGGTCTTACTTGATACCGGCTGTTGTGGGCTTGCTGCCAACCGTGGGGCTATCGCGGGAGGGTTTGATACTGGATGAGGGTAGAAGGGCAAGTTAATGGCTTGCTCACTCTTCAGGAAACCGCGCCTTGGGAGGGAGCAGGACAAAATGTGCATGCTCCCGTCGCTGCCCGGCGACAGTGGAACCCGAACAGTCCCGCCTTCGTTTGAGGGGACATACGGCGAGCTCAACGAGTTTTGAGGTGTGTGACGAGCTTTTTGCGCCCAATCCATGTGCCGACTAGCAAATTGGTCGCTGGGATTAGATCCCATGGTCTCTTTCGTATCTCGGTCTACCTGTCGTGGGGTAGCTGGAGTCGTCATTGGCATCTCTGGCTCTTCGTACGTTGCTGGCAACTCCATAGAACCACCCGGAAGTAGCTCTTCGTCAGCATAGTCTCTGCCCAGCCCGTCTTCCATCTCCCAATATAAAACGCATGTCCTTCTCCAGCACTTCTTCAGTTCGCCAACAATCTTGACATCCCCGCCGCCCCCATCTACACGGGCCTTCAGATCTGCATATAAGTCATTGACCAAGTCGCAGAAATACATTCGCAAGTTCTGCGATGGTACGAAGTCATCCACGAAGTAGTTCAGAATCCAGTGACGAAGAGCCACGAATGTTCGCACACGTACGATGCGCCCAAAGTCATCCTGTCTGTTCACTGCCCATCTCAGTCTCGCAATGAGATAAGCAACTAGATCTCTGGTGCAGAGAAAGGCACGGAACGTGAGGAAAAAGTCCGAAAGCAATTCGTAGTCCAAGAAGCTCGGGGAAGTGATGTGCGCAACAAGTCGTGACGGTGTCGCTGCGAGAATCTCACCAGATGGAGAGAATCTCACAACTGCCCTATTGTCTGGGTCAAGGGTTAAGGCGTCATACAGTCGAGGTCCAATCGGGGCGTGCGAGACGCGCGACGAAGATGGTGCTGAGGCAGAGACAGGCGGTCGGTCCATAGTCGCACGGTATCTGGCAGGGACAGGCGAGAATGCGTCCGACTGCGGACGTGACGACACGAACGAGTGCGACCCCGCGCGCTGTGGAGTCAGGAGCGAATTCCTGAACTCCTCCGTGGCTGATGTGCGAGTGTATACTGAGCTTCGTAGATCTGCAGTGCCCCTGGTGCTGAAACGCGGCGTGCCGAGGCGGTAGTGAGGTATTGGTACCTGTAGCAGGGGCAATGAAGATGTATCCGCCGTCTTGGGTCGCCCACCAAACGGAGGTCTTTCGATAACCACCTTGAATGTTCCAGGCTCAGTGGTCGCCGAGGTCACGGTGTGGTCGTCGACAGTCGAGAAGGAGTGCGAGCGGGCGTGAGCGATAGGTCGTGAGTGGAGAGTCTGTTCTGCCTGCTGTCTGGCCTCATATTCCGTGATCAGGTCCCGTGGCAGCGGCGGAGTTGGTTCGGATCGCGGTGTCCTTGAGCCGTACAGGCTTTGCTCCCATTCATTGCTGGTTGGACGCAGTTTGGAGTCGAGTGTGGCGCTGTCTGGGGGCGTGTTCGGCGGGAATACGAACGGATCTGGCTGCGAAAGATTGCGCTGATTCCCAGCGCGCACGACAGGCCTAGCAGTACGGTCAGCTATGATGGCGACACCATGATGTTGGTTGTAAGCGCATCTTGTGTTTTGGGTTCACCGCGACGTTTCTTCCTCCATAAGGGTGGCTCCTGCCACTTCCCAGTGGTGTTGACCTTACCCTCGACCGAGCTTCGAAACGCCAACGAACACCAACACCACTGGATGTGCCTGCACAGGATAACGCTGCTCTTGCGACACTCACCTGAGGTATATTACGCCGTTATGCACGTTCGCGACGGTGTATGATCGCCCTGCCGAAGTCGAATTGCTCGTCGAGGTGTCAATCGTGCCGTTGCTCGTGCCGCGTGCTCGCGTCCTCCTCTTCAGCTGCTCCTTCGAGTCCTTCACTCGGCGGAGGCGTCGTTGGTCATCAGCGCGTCGTGGTGCCGTGTCTGTGTTTTGCGCTCCGGCGAGCAAATCGCGCTGCCCGGCACCAGGTGCAGGGGAGCCTGGATAGGCATTTGGTTGCAGTACCGCCATCCTTCCCCATGCCCTGCTCAGCGCGCAGCAATACCGCGGCAAGATCTCCGTCAGCGGGAAGCGAAACGTGGGCGAAGCATCACCAGGTGACGTGTGCACAATGCGACACCCTTGATTATGAGCACGAAGCGGCAGGAGGGAGAGCGACGGTCGAACTTGCGGACCTGTCACTCATCGCGCAGAGAGCGCCATCAGATGCACTTCACCAGTCAGCGGCAAGCCTAACACTTGGACCGGGGTCTATGCGGCGCGAGTCCAAAGTACAACCAGCTCCTTGCTTCCCCCGGCAGCTTGCACCCGTATTGGCTGCATGTTCCTTGAACATGTGCGTTCGTCAGGCCTTTCACGACAGGATCACCCAGCGACCAGCACTGTCGCAAATGAGCTGCTGTCATCTCATTTCGTAGCCTTTCTCCTCGACGTTGGCAATCATAATTACCCGTCCGCGCACCAGCCACGGCCCACCCACACTTGCCATTTTCACCCGCGACGGCAGACCAGACCGTCTTCACTCTTGGAGGCTATTCAATAAGGAAACTCAAACATCAGGTGCAGTGTTGGGGTGGACTGACTGATTTTGACTTTCGCGCCGTCCTTTCGGAACCAGAAACGAACTTCCGCAGACCGCTTGTTGGTCACAATCTACGCCAGCTGAACTGGACATCCCTTCAGCAGCTGGCCAGGAATACATGCTTATGCCAACTACATGTTCGGCTATCGACAGGCATCAGCCTTGATTGCGACAGTTACTGGCTATAACAAGTGCTCAACGGTCAAGTCATACGCTCGTTCTTTGCGAGAAAAGATTGCCAATTTGAGATGAGATCGGACTCATCAGTCGCAATCTGTCACAGCTCCCGCCAATCATTGGCCACCCGGTTGCAGCTGCTTCGCTACTTCGTACTAGAGATCTTGTCACGTCGCAGTTGACCAAAGGAGAATGCCGAACGAAGGGCAGGCACAGCGACTTGTCAACATCGAGTCAAGATGGTTGTGAGGCGGCACAGCAAGGGTGTGGCATCGAACACACTTCCAGCCTGTTTGGTGTTCTGTTGGACAGCGAGGTCTCGACTCGAGCACAACGCCCACTTCTGTGCGCACCAGCGAATGTGGCCATTGCCACATCTGACCCGACTTCGGTAGACTTGCAAGCAAGCGTAAACTACTGCACAACATGCGGACCATGATTTGCATCCGTGTCGCATCTTTTGGTAGCCCAGATCTGCATCTCGATGCCCAAGCCGCCATCGATGGTCAAAGTCGACAGGTACGAAACGGGCCGATGCGCCTGGAAGATCCCGTCTTGACAGAATGCTTAATGGCTGTCGAGCGTTCCCTCGCCGACTGGGGAAGTTTGGTGGTCAGAAACGCAAGCCCGTGATAATTAGCGCCTGCTACATAAAGGAATTGCTTCTAAAATGAGTTGCCATACAATCACAGTGAGCAGTGAATAGATGCACAACGCTGTAGACCCAAAATTGCGTAGCTGAGGAACAGCCTCGTCGCATCAGGGTATTGCTGGCACTCGATAATGACCACGAAAGGAATTGCAGACCGACGAAGACGTAGACCTCTGCGCTATCGTACACCCCCGCATTGAACTGATGAATGGAAAACACCTGCGACGCAGCGACTCTCACAGATACTTGGCAACCTGTTCATCACTCCAGTCCCAGAACTTTTGCGCCTTCCCCCCTTCCTCTCCTGCTTCCGCAAGATCCGCCCTCAACGCCGTTATGCGGCCAAACGGAATCACTGCATCGTGTTAGTAGAGCTCGTACATGACACCGCCCTCGGCAAGTCAACTCACCCCACTCATTCCGCTTCAACGCCTTGACCTCGGGCGCTAAGCCAGCGAAGAGCTCCGTATACGCGCCGTTCACGGGGGGATAGGTGATGAGCTTGACGACGATGGCACCCAGCAAGCCCGCGTGCCTCGTGAGCTCCGAGCTCAGATTGCCCGGATTCAAGCTGACGCTGAGCACGCCGTCCTTCTCGTGCAAGTTGCGGAACGCGAGCGCGTGGAGCACGTTGCCCGCTTTGCTGACGCCGTACTTGTGCACCGCGAGCTTGTCCTTGCGGTAGTCCAAGTTGTCCATGTTCACGCCGCCCTTGGGCGCGCTCACCACTGCGCTCGACGACACCCACACCACGCGCACGCTGCCTGCTTCGCTGACCTTTGCGGTCTGAACCAGCAGCGGCGTGAGCAGCTTGGTGAAGGCGTAGTGGCCCAGGCAGTTGGTGCCGAGCTGCAGTTCGTAGCCCTGCTTCGTCTTGCTTCCCTGCGGCGGCACCATGACGCCGGCGTTGTTGAAGAGGATGTCGAGTCTCTTCTCCTTGGCGAGGAACTCCTCCGCGGCGGGCTTGATGCTCTCCAGGTCTGCGAGCTCGACATAGACAAACTCCAGCCGCCCTTTCGAGTCCGGGTGCGCCTCGCGGATCCACGCCATGGCGGCATCGGAGCGTTCCTTGGAGCGCGCCGCGATGTACACGGTGCCGTGCAGTGAGTACAGGAGTCGAGCCAGCTCTTTCCCCACGCCTGTCGATGCGCCGGTCACGATGAAGACTTTGTCCTTCAGCGAGCCCGCTGGCAGCGCGGACTCGGTGAATGCCGGCGTGGGCGGGAACATCTGGGAGACTTGGTTGCCCATGTTGACTACCTACCTATTCGCAGGTGAAATACTCAGCTTCCTTTTGCCGGTTCGAATAGCTTGTCGCGCGTGTGGTGATTGTGGGGCTTGTCGGTTGCGGCACGGTCTGGATATATGTAGTCGACACGATGTTAGTTATCGGAGCCCGAAGACGCCATCTAGGGTTTAACATCTTAACCCCGTCCATTGTGAGAGATCTAGTGTGTTTTGAACATGTCGACATCGTCCGCAATCTTAACGTAGCGATACCAAATTGTCTTCGGCACTTTTCCTTGTGCCAGCATCCCAATGCAGCATCATCGCACGCCGCGGTTCGTGTGGCGCGGAGATAACGGGCGAATTTCAGCGGCTGAAGGGGTGCGCGCGAAGGGTCGTATTGCTCGCGCGGCCCTTTGTATTTTGGTGTGTTCACGGCGAAGACGGTGATTTTGGGTTGGGATATCGACTACGGATTTGGAGAACGACAGGGTGGCCGCAGGAGTGAGATCTTTATTCTGATTTTGGTGGAACAACGCGAAGCTAGTCTACTTCCACCTTCACGCCTCCACAGTTGGCAACAGCCTCGGAGACGCATCTCCGACAAAACGAGCACGAGGAAAACACTGCACGATTCGCGTCGCACTCGTTGACCAGTCGGGTGTCTGCAAACTGGCCCAGGGTCCTGCGGTGTTCAGCCCCACTTTCAACCTTGTTTGCTTCTTGAAACGGCAACAGCTCAACCGCCATCCAACGTCCTGATGAGCAGGCGACGATTGCCTCTGGTGCGTGTTGCCTGTACAGGGAAGTGCGGGAGAAGAGTGTTGTTCTCTCCATGCGATTGCTTGACTGCTATGCATAAACGCTCAAGGTATCATGACCAAACAACGCTCAAGGTATCATGGCCAAACAACGCTCAAGGTATCATGGCCAAACAACGCTCAAGGTATCATGACCAAACAACGCACTACACTCCGTGCTGCAAGATCGAGCAACAGACCTCACAGTGGCTCCTCAGTCCTACTCCGCTTCCCGTGCTTGGCGCCAGCCTCGCCGTCGGCCTTTCTCTTGCCGCTGCCGGATGCAGCCGGTTTCCCAGGCGCAGGTGCAGGTGCAGGCGCAGGTGCAGGTGCAGGCGCAGGTGCAGGTGCAGGCTTTACTTTCTTCCTGACGACGCTGCCGACGTCGTTTGCTTTGTGTGTCGCCTCTGCGAGCTTTGCTTTCTGGGTCGCGGGGTCGGCGCCGAGGAGGCTGCCAAAGAGGCCCTGGACGACGGACGGGTCGATTGAGTCGTAGTCTTGCTTTGTGGGGTCGAGCTTGAGGTCTTTTAGGCGGCCGTGGAGCTCCTCAAGCATGGCTTTTTTGTCCGCGATGACGGTCTTCTTCTCCTTTTTCTGCGCGTCGGTCAGTGTGGCGCTGGTCAGCGCTGCTTCTTCTTTCTTGAGGCGTGCCTGCAGACTCTGGATGGCGAGGTCGGTGTGTTTCGCGCTCTCGTTCCTCAGCTCCCAGTTCACGCCGTCCTTGTCGTCTTCGGGGTGCGCCTCGGCGTCGGCCTGCTGCCGCTCGGCGTCGACCTGGTCTTGGCGCAGCTTGCTCACGGATGCGAATTCGAGCGCCAGGGAGAGCGAGTAGTGCGACTCGGTGACGTTTTCGTGCTCGAAGGGGTTCAGCTCCTCTTGCAGGGCGAGCGAGGCGCGGGCGTCGGCGACGGCGTCGTGGAAGCGCTCGTTCTCGAGGGAGATTTCGACGAGAAACCCGTGGCAGTCTGCAATCTTCTCTTTGATGGCGCGCTCGGAAGGCGAGAGCGTTGCAGGGTCCTGCAACACCTTGCCCTTGTCTGTTGCCGGGCCCTTTTCCTTGTCTGTTGCAGGACTCTTTCCCTTGGCTGCTGTGGACGAGTCGGGCGCTGTGGACGAGTCGGGCGCTGTGGAGGATTCGGGCGCTGTGCAGGGGTCGGGCGCTGTGGACGAGTTGGATGATGTGCTGGCGTCGAGCTGCTTCTGGTACAGGACGCGCGAGAGCTCAAAGACTTCGTAGGCGTTGCCAAAGTCGTCTTCCTCTTCTTCCTCTTCCTCCTCGTCCTGCTCCTCGCCGTCGCCGTCGTCCGAGTCGTCCCAGTTCTCGTCGCCGGTGAGCTGAAAGTATGCGGACGCGGGCTTCGGCGCCGCCGATTCACCCCTGGCGCCTGTCTGCGCATCCGCTGCCGAGCTCGATGCCTCCTTGGCGGCCTGCTTCGCCTTCTTCGCCTTCTTGTCGTCTTGTGCGCCCTTTGCACCCAGCACGTCGCTCTTTGCGACGGCGACCTTGTACAGCGCGCGCCCGTAGTAGAAGAGCAGCTCGGCGTTGTCGGGGGCCATCTCGCCGTTCAGCTCGGCCTGGATCTCGACGGCGTCGGCATAGTGGTCGGCGGCGGCGGAGAAGTTCTTGAGCGAGTACTGCAGCGATGCGGCTTGGGTGAGCTCGTCGAGCTTCGCCTTTGTCTTGGGCAGCTCCTCCTCGGTCTGCTCGGTAGTGGGATCGGCCATGGCGATGCTTATGCGATGCTTATGCGACGTTTGTGCGATGCTCATGCAACGTTTGCGCGATGCCTATGCGACGTTTGCGCGATGCTTATGCAGCGTTTGCGCGATGCTCATGCAACACTTATGCGACGTTTATGCGACTGCGGATGGAGGTTTGGCGCGCTCAATAATCAGAGTGATGTCGGCGTTGTTCACATGCGAGACGTGCGGGAAAGGTGTTTTGGCTATTAGCGTCACGCGTCGCGAGCGCGTCCAACGTCAAGCAATCTGCTTCGCACTACCGTAGGTACGCGGCACGCGGCGGCCTGCAACGGGCAATTCCCCGCATCGCTCCAAGCACACACACCGCAGCACGACATGGCGACAGCGCGACGACCAGAGAAGCCCGCGGCGACGGCCGCGAACCCGATTCCCTCGTCGTCGCCCGCGTTCGGCACGCCCGTCCATCCCATCCAGCCCCGCCGAACAGCGCCCATCCGCGCCCCGCCCGCCCTGCAGCCAAAGGGCAAATCCACCGTTCTGCCCATCCTGCTGCCGCCCGCGACGCTGCGCCCGCTCGCCTTCCGCACCTTCACCAAGAAACACAACCTCACCCTCACGGCCTCGGCGCTCCAGGCGCTCGCGACCTTCATCGGGAAGCACTGCGGCTCGGGATGGCGCGAGGAGGGCCTCGCCGAGAAGGTGCTGGAGGAGGCGGCGAAGAGCTGGAAGAAGTGCGGCGGCCAGGTCATTGTCGGCGGCGACACGGACGTGTTCAAGGGGATCCTGCGCACGCTCGAGGGCGCCATGGACGGCGGGCGGGTCGCCCACGGCTCGAGTCTGGGCCGGCAGAGCAGCTTCGTCTTTGGCGCCGAGCAGGCCGCGGCGTCGAGACCCGCGCTGGACGCGACGAGCAGCTTCGGCATGTCGCGGCTCGACGTCGAGGACAAGGACGACGACGAGGAGCTGCTGAAGGACCCGCGGGAGTGGCTGAGGGTCATCGGAGCGTTTGAGCAGCCAAAGCAGGTGTACAATGCGTCGCAGAGGCATTTTGAAAAGTGCGCTGCCTCCCGATGCAGACTGACGCGCGGGTTGCTGACACGCACAGATGGACCGCGAAACCGTCGCTCTTCGCCGAGCCCTCGCACAAGACGGACCTCTTCCGCCAACGATACCACATGGTGCACCAGCGCATCCTGCGCAACGAGACCTTCCAGGCCCCGGCCGCCAGCACGGCTCGGTCGGCGGCGCTGAACAGGACCGGCTCCATGGCCACGCCCCAGACCAACACCGTCACGCCCACGTCCCAGACCAACGCCGTCACGCCCACGCCCCAGACCAACACCATCACGCCCACGTCCCAAACCAACACCATCACGCCCACGCCCCAGACCAACACCATCACGCCCATCGCCAATCTGCTCGGCCGCACGGGCAGCACGCACTTGGTCCTGGGCATGCTCGTCGTCTCGCCAACCGGCGCCCTCTCCCTCTCCGACCTCACGGGCACAATAGCGCTGGACATGCAGCATGCACGGCCGGTACCGGAGAACGGCGCCTACTTTGCGCCCGGCATGATCGTGCTCGTCGACGGCAGCTACGAAGACGACCGCGGGATGGCGTCCTCCAACCTCGGCGGCACAGGAGGCATCGGCGGCACCATTGGCGGCAAGCTCCTCGTCTTCTCCGTCGGCCACCCTCCCTGTGAGCGGAGAACGGCGACTCTGGGTGGCACCGACGAGCGCGACAAGAGCAGTCTCCAGGGCCCAGCATTCGGCTGGACCGACTTCCTCGGGGTGGGCTCGCAACGAGCCACGGGCTCGCGCATGACGCGCATCTCGAACAAGGCGATGACGCCGACCGCGGCGCACCAGATCGTCGTGGCATCAGACCTGCATCTCGACTTGCCCTCGACGCTCAGCGCCCTGCGCACCCTGCTGCGCGCCTACTCCCCCAGCCCGTCGAACCCCCACCCGACCTACCCCCTCGCCGTCGTCCTCATGGGCAACTTCTCCTCCAGAGCCACGCTCGCCGGCGTCCCGCAGGCCGGGAGCATAGAATACAAAGAGCACCTGGACGCCCTGGCCAGCGTGCTGTCCGACTTCCAGCCGCTCATCGCACACACGACCCTCGTCCTCGTGCCCGGCGACAACGACGCCTGGCCGTCGGCCTTTTCCGCCGGCGCCGCAACCCCGCTGCCGCGCAAACCCGTGCCCGCGCTGTTCACGAACCGCGTGCGCCGCGCCGTCGCCGACGCAAACCGCGAGGTCTGGGGCGCGGGCAAGGCCAAAGGCAAGGAGGGCGAAGTGCTCTGGACCAGCAACCCGAGCCGCATCTCCGTCTTCGGCGTCAAGACCGAGCTGCTGCTCCTGCGCGACGACCTGGCCGGCCGCCTCCAGCGCACCGCCATCCGCTTCCCGCGGCCCCCGCCAGACAACGACGACGAGGAGATGCCGCCCGCGCCCCCGCACCACGTGAGCGAGGCCATGGACCTCGACGTGCCCGCCCCGCGGCCGCTGGACCCGCCCGTCGACGCGGACACGCAGACGGCGCGCGCGCTGACGCGCACCATCCTCTCCCAGAGCCACCTGAGTCCGTTCCCGCTCAGCGTGCGGCCGCTGCACTGGGACTTTGCGCACGCGCTGGGACTGTACCCGCTGCCTTCCAGCGTCGTGCTGGCGGACAGCGAGGCCCCGCCCTTTGTCGTCAAGTACTGCGGTTGCACCGTCATGAACCCGGGCCCGATTGATGCGAGTCGCGGCAGCAAGGGCAGAGAGGGGCGCGCGCGCTGGGTCGAGTTTGACGTCCGCACGCATGGCGGTCTTGTGCGCTGCGAGGGGTGAGTGGGAGGCATGTCCATGTATCGGCGCGAGCAGCCAGCGCCGATGAAGCGTCTCATGCTCGTCGGGCGCCGAGTGGTGAGCTGGAAGGAAGGCGGTCTCGGTCTCGGTCTCGGTCTCAGTCTCGGTCTCAGTCTTGGTCTCGGTCTCAGTCTCAGTCTCGGTCTCGGTCTCGGTCTCAGTCTCAGTCTCAGTCTCAGTCTCGGTCTCAGTCTCAGTCTCGCACCGCAGCCGCAGCCACGCACCCACACAACCGCAGCGCAACCATATTCATCCGTCTATGCTCCTCTTCTTGCAAGACGCGCTGCGAGACGAGCAGCCCCGTCCCGCGGACGCTCCCTCGCGCGCACGCGGCGCCGTTATCTCAGCAACTCCCCGGACCGTGGACACATCCTGACCGGTGAGTACTCGCCGAATACTCGTCCTCTCCGCTGCCGCGCGCAGGGCGAGACTCCAAAAGCGCCGCCGCCACGCACGATGCCTGTGCATCTAAAATGGGCATGTATTGATGGCAGACGGACGGATGGGTGGATGGGCGAGGGGATGGATATACATGTACATGTACGTGTTCTGCCCAGACGGTTTATAGTACATTGTAAGAATGAACATGTTGTATCTCCACCACGTTGCACTGCGAGATGCATGTCGCATAGCATTGCGAGATGCATGTCACACAGCACTGCGAGATGCATGTCACACAGCACTGCGAGATGCATGTCACACAGCACTGCGAGGTGCATGTCACACAGCACTGCGAGGTGCATGTCATACAGCACTGCGAGGTGCATGTCACACAGCAGTGCATTCGTCGTTGACGATCCGCATTTCAGTCAAATACTCTCACCTGTTGAGATGCGCCACACAGTGCCATAAACATAGCAGCTTCTAGGCATGGCACGTGAAAAGTGTGTCGCCCTCTTTGCTGGACCTGACGTACGTCCAGCAGTACGAACCTCGCTGCTTTTTCTCATGTGCCTGCAGTGTCAATCTATTGCGCGCTGCTTTGCTGCAGTCTGAATCACGTGCGCTGTGTGTATTGTGTCGAGTACTGCCCGTGCTCGGATAAGAAGCTGCTCTGGTACTCGCTGACTCTTTGGAGTCATGACCCTTCACGTGTTTGCAATGTGAGCTGTCCAGGTGGTTAGATCTGGCTCCTGAGATTTGGCACGATGATGCATTCTCGCCACCTGGAAGCGCTGTGGCCCAAGCTATAATTACCCTTGGCCCTGAAGTCTACTTGCCTTGACGCGCCTTCACGCGCTGAGTAGCGAGGAGAAATGCTCCGACCACTACACGATACGGGCGACTCGATGCGCCGAATGAAAGCTGCGATTGGAAACCTTTGCCTATGCGTGGAGCCTCCGTGGTACATACGTACGTCTTCTTGTTGATGGAGGAGTTGCGTCCACTCAGACCCGAGTCATTCGAGATCTCTGATGGGAGTGACGTCATAGCGACTCTCTCCCGGGCCTCGACGAGCACCCAGAATGTGGAGTAGGTGTTGCTGAGGACGTATCCAGAACGTGAGGTGAGAGTGAGGTTGGATCGAGACGATGGTGATGCGGAGAGGCCGACATGTCATAGCGATAATTACCGGAGTCAGTTTAGCGCGGGGCTGGCATAACTGAATCCGCGGGGCCAAATTTGAGGGATCGCGTCGAGCTTTCGAGTCACCGAGCGACTTCTCAGATTCACCACAACACGACCAATTTTGCAGGTGAGGCATCCCGCCCGGAGGAGTCATGCAAAGACTCATGCGTGGTTCCTGAAATCCAAGCACTCGTTCACACAATCTGACCGTCAAACCCCAAACGCTCAATCACACTCGCTCGCAATTTACGAGCCCCCCCCCAAGCTGTTACTTACACGACTGTAGTTGAGCGTTGATCATGGCCGACTCAAACCCCCCCGCGCAGCCCGCTGCCGCCGCAGCAGAAGACACGGCGAATCTGCACAAAGATCCCGTCACTGGCGAGATGATCTCCAAGTCTGAATTGAAGCGACGCACCAAGCAGCGAGAGGTAGAGAAGAAGAAGGCCGAAAAGGCGGCCGCTCTGCCTGCGCGCCCCAAGACCGAGAAGAAGGAGGAGGTCGAGCTGAACCCCAACGTATGGTCCTCCCTTGTACTAGCCCAATTGATCTCGAGCTGACGGCTCATAGCAATACTTTGAGATTCGGTCGAACAAGATCCAAGCCCTGAAGGAATCCAAGGAAATCAACCCATACCCCCACAAGTTCCACACCAACACGCGACTGCCGCAGTTTCTGCTCGAGCACAAGGAACTGACCAGGGGCCAAGAAGCGAAGGAGGTAGAATGCAGGCTCGGCGCTCGTGTGATGAGCGTGCGTGTATCGTAAGCTGGCGCAGTCCTGCATCGACGACACTCAGAAGCTAATCTACGCATACAGGAGTGCGTCGCTCCGCTTCTACGTCGTCAAGGCCGAAGGAAAGACTGTCCAGGTCATGTGTCAGCTACAGAACGCGAAGGGTGACGTGCCCTACGAGAAGCAGCACGAGAACATTCAGCGTGGAGACATCATTGGCATAGTCGGATGGCCTGGTGTCACTGCACCCAAGAACCGCCCAGATGGTGGAGACCTTAGCATCTTTGCTCAAGAGATCATCCTGCTGACGCCTTGCTTGAGGATGTTGCCTACCGAGCATTTGTGGGTTTCGTCCGGACAGCGATCGAGGCTTATACTGACGTATTGCAGCGGATACAAGGACCAAGAACAGCGCCACCGCAACCGCTTCCTCGATCTCATCATGAACGACTCAACACGGGAGACATTCATTACCCGAACCAAGATCGTCAAGGGAATCCGCCAGTACCTCGACGAGCGCGATTTCCTCGAAGTCCAGACACCCATGATGAACAAGATGGCTGGTGGTGCCACAGCCAAGCCGTTCAAGACATACCACAACGAGCTGGACATGGAGCTCTACCTCCGCATCGCACCCGAGCTGTACCTGAAGGAGCTTGTAGTGGGTGGTCTCGATCGCGTTTACGAGATCGGCCGCCAGTTCAGAAACGAAGGAATCGACCTCACACACAACCCCGAGTTCACGACCGTCGAGTTCTATCAGGCGTACGCAGACTACGAAGATGCATGTCAACCAGCCTAAACAACATACACAAGCTAATGTCACAACCAGGTATTGCAAATGACGGAGGAAATGGTGTCTGAGATTGTCTTCAAAATTAAGGTATGGGGCTGCTATCTATCACTGCTTCATGCTCCGCTGATAGGGTCTAGGGATCATACGAGACGGTCTACCACACACAAGTAAGATAATCTTCCTCGCCCTCCAAGAGGTAGAGCCAGGCACTGACGAGTCAAAGACCGGCGAAGAGTATCGAGTGGATTGGTCTCGTCCATGGAGGAGAGTTGAAATGATCCCTGCGTTAGAGGAGGCAACCAAGGAGAAGTTCCCCCCTGCGGATCAGCTGCACACCGACGAGACCAACGCATTCCTCAAGAAGGTGCTCGAGAAGATGAACATCCAGTGCTCAGAGCCCCGCACCAACGCCAGGATGATCGATAAGTAGGTCTACCAAAATCCTTTCTGTGGTTCAATGCTAATTTATCTAGGTTGGTCGGAGAGTAGGTTCATCATAAACGTGTCCCTCACGTTTAACGCTAAACTCATTGACAGGTTCATCGAGGAAACTGCCATCAACCCAACATTCATCACGGGTGAGTGTACCTCGCTGCGTGTCTTGGCAGTAATCATTGACAGCAATCAGGTCACCCGGAGGTCATGTCACCGCTCGCCAAGTACCATCGCGATATCCCCGGTCTCTGCGAGCGCGCCGAGGCTTTCGTCTGCAAGAAGGAGATTGCAAATTTCTACACGGAGTTGAACGGTAAGAGCGCCATCTTTACAGCGAGCAGACTTTGGAAGAACGTGATCATCGGGATCAACGTCTCCGGATTCTCGTCTGAATGTGTTTGAGATGAATACACGCTGATACTATGTTCACTCAGATCCCTTTGTCCAGGCTCAACGCTTTGCAGAGCGTAAGTATTTCCAACAGTTGCCCGTTGATTTCAAAGCTAACTTGGTCCAGAGGATCGCCAGAAAGCGCAGGGAGATGACGAGGTCCATGGCAGTGATCCCAAGTTCATAGAATCCTTGGAGATCGGCCTTCCACCTACAGGTTCGTCCCCCAAGCAGGGTTTTGACTGAGAACACAGACTAACGAATATCTTCAGGTGGTTGGGGACTTGGTAAGCGCAAGCATGGTCTTGACTCGGATCTGAGACTGACAAATATCTCCAGGTGTTGATAGGTTTGTTATGTTTTTGACCGACAACTACTCGATCAAGGAGGTCCTGACCTTCCCCTTCATGAAGGACATCGAGGAGACCAAGAAGACAGCCGCTGAGGTTGTGGAGCTCGAGTCCAAGCCGGTGGAGGGAATCGGTAAGTCCATGTTGGATATGTCACCGCGAGCAATACTGATAATTCGTAGCCCACAAGTAAGCCTACCAAAGCATTGCAGGCGCATAAGGGAAGACGGTTATCGTACGAGCAACGCTTCATGAGTAACGAAAACCGAAGTAGATTGAATTGGAACAACACTACAAGTGTCATTACCAAATTAGTAAGGCGAACGAAACCGAGTACCTCCAGCCTTTAGTAGACTGCTCTCTTGTCCTGAACTCTGTTGCAAACCAAGGAAGAACATTTCTTGCAATAAGTCTACGCAGAAAGGCTACGGAGAGATATTCGATGCGGATCTCGACGAGCAAAGCGTTCGGGCCAATGTCCTGGGCCATAGCTTGATCTTCATGCGTGGTATCGACAGTGACGCAGCTCTTGGTGTCCGAGAACACGGTCCCCCTTCACTGCCAGTCAGCGGCGTCGAAGAAGTCGATGCCGAAGAACACAGCAGCGTTGATGCAGCCATGCGGGCTGCGACGGGGGATGGAGCGGATAAAAAGCTCGTATCTGGCACATCGATCGTGTAGCTAACCAAAAAGGGTACGTTGTGGAATCAAGTGCAGGTATCAGAGGGATGTTCCATGAGCTTAGAGGGAAGTCGATAATGCAGAGGCCGTCCAGTAAGATGATGCTGCGTCAATCTGCTCGAGCAAGACTGCCGACTGCGTTGATACCTGTCACGACACCGCAGCCTTGGGAGCCGCGTTCCCCAGCGGTTTGCTGTAGTCGACCGTAACGATCTGAACTCAGCAAAGGGTTGGTCGGCGAAGGTAATGGGTATCTATCTCTGCCATTGAAGAACGATGTGTAAACAAGAAGAAAATTTGTACAGACACCGCGGATGCTCCAGATTACCGCCTGATCGAATACCATCCTGAGGCTATTCTGCGTTCAACAGCACATACTTACCCGATGCAGTTAACATCTGCGAGATGACATCACAACCTTCACCCACCAACATCCTCACGCCCGAGACCATCCCTGCACCATAATGTACACTGCACATTCCACATTCCCAGATGACAGAAAGCGAAAGTCAGTCCCAGCAACTCATCAACGGCGAATTGAAACCACTGTCCGGCATGGAGGCGACGAGCAACATCCCCGTGATCAAGAGCAAAGCTGAGTACCTCAAGGCCGTCATGTATGAAGGCGTACGTCTACCCTATATCACTCAAAGATCTCCGCAAATACTACTCACGACTTCTACATCTCAAGCTGCTATCCCGCAGTCTGTTCTTAGCGTTCTACCTCTGTCCTCCTACCCCGCACCTTCCCTCCCATTGACGCGCTCCAGGTAACCATCCTCGAAGGCACGGCGACATGGTGCAAGCAATGCAAAGTGATCGCGCCCGAGGTCGCCAAGATGGTCGAGGAATACCCAAACGTCAAGTTCTACCTCTACGATGTTGAGGAGTGTGAGGACGTTGCGCAAGAGCTGGGCGTCAGGAGTATGCCGACGTTTAGCATTTTCAAGGATGGTGATATCCAGGATGGTGTTACTGGGGCGAAGCCTAAGGAGATTCGGAAGGCGATTGAGGCGTGTTTGTAGGGGGATGGTGGTGGGGTGAGGGGGCTTGTAGAGGATCGAAAGCGTGGCGAGTAGTTGAGCGGCTTCTGGTGGTGATGAATGACTCAGGACTTGTTTGATTTCAACCGGGTCTTTCTGAGAACGCTGCTGTTCTCTCCCTTTGACGGTTTTCGTGCGCTCTTCTCTTGTCGTAAGGCTGATCCTCGAGCTCTTTGCACGCCTGTCTCCGACTTGACAGCCCAAAGAGGAGAGTAAAGCGGCATAAAGCATGCACGAGCGAGTTCGAATATCTAGGCTGGAAGGGCTGGGGACGCTGGAAACGTGCAGCGCTGAAGACAAGCAACGCAAAGCCAATAAACAACAGCAATTTCATTGAGCATGAGACGGGCAAGACGAAGGGATGCTGGAAACAATGTGACTACCCCTCCAACTGCCGCTGGGGAAAGCGAGTCGGCATCCACATGCCCAGTCCCACACCCACTCCTACAACATTGCCCACCTCCGGCTTTACAATCGACACCTCCGTCCTAAACACGCCCATCGACCACCCAAGTCTAGACGACTGCTTAGCCACCTCGGCCCCTCCTTCGCTTGAACTCGAGGCAGAGGACAGTGCAGGCGCGCTCGGCAGCGCGCTAGAAGTCAGCGCAAAGCGGCGGAAGAGCCAGGACATCGCGTCTCCCACGTCGCTTCTAGAGATCGAGTCCGCGCAAACGAGCGCCGTGTTCGATATCGAGATGGTGAATGCCGAGGATTCTCCTGCCTTACCGGTGCGTCGGCGGCTGAGGATAGGAGCGATGAGAGGTCGCGGACACTGGGTAGGCTAAGGAGTATGCTGTCTTTGTCTGGTCACAACCGGCACGGCGACATGTCGAGGTGCTGCCTGTGTCGAATGCGCAGAGCATTCTTAGGAGGAGATGTGCGATGTCTGGGCTGACGATGCAGGAGCCGCTTTTCAAGAGGGGTGAAGAGCTGCTTGAGAGTGTCTCGTCACGGGAGAGGGTGAGGAAGTGGAACGAGAGTGCGCTGGATGCGGTGTGAGCCAATGAGGGGTGTTACAAAGCGCTCTTTGATCTCGTCTATTTACGTGTTCGATACCCGGCTTTATTGCGAAATTTTGATGTCATTCACGTGGTTGTTGACGGTGCACTGGAACTAACCTACGCTTTGATAACTTTATTAGAAATGTCTATGGTGGTAGTAGATACCTCTGAGCGCCGTGCAGCATGACTGATCTACTCTAAATGCTCTCCTGTCTATTTCTGAGTCATTCTACAAGAGCAGCCTGTGCTTCCTCTTTGCGTTCCTTAGAGTTGCGCTGGAGGCGAAGGAACCTCGCAAATGCAAACGGACTCATTTCTTTCCGTCCTCTTCTCTCCTCTGCACGCTTCCACCTAGCCAAGCACTCACAAACAATCGAGACAACCGGGAGCACGAGCACGAGCACGAGAATCGAGGACGGCTGTTGGAAGTCTCTGTCGTACTGACACACATAAGAGAGCAAATTTAACACGATCCAATCACAATATCTGGGAAGCCAGTGGTTCGCGTTGAGCCGAAGAGTCCAATCCAGATAGTCTTCGAGAAGTAATTCGAGTATTTCCCGCAAAGCGAATGTCGATATGGAGATAGCAAATAGTCTGAGAAGGACTTCTTCATGCGGATTCAAGAGGTCTTCCTAAGCCCAGAATATCCCAGCCGGAACGCCAATAGCCACGAACACGCGGCTATCCTATAGCATAAGAGCCCAGGTAGCCCAGAAAATGGCCAGAGCAGATGCACCAACCATGCCGATCGTCTCAATACGGCCACCGAGACCCTTGGGAATATTATTCGTCGAGACACCACCCATGTACCACGAGCCGATATCCGTGAGCTTGCCGTCCTGTGTGAGCATAGCAGCATTGGGGCCAACGTTCGAGACATCGCTGCGGAAGGCGCCGAAGTACGAGTAGTGAGTCAAGTTGCTGCCCGTCGTCAATCTTGGTCCAATACTCAACGTTCTCAAACGGGGCAACTCACTCCCAACCATCCATAGCGTTCTTGCTCATGTTATAGAATTCCTGCGTCGCCTTGAGCTCCTGGCCCGGGAACCCGTACTCAGTGACCCAGACAGTCATATTCGGGTACGTAGCCATGACCTGCCCGATATGACTCGCCATGCCCTCGAAGTTGCCGTACCAATGCACAGGGATGAAATCAGGCGTACACCCGCCGTCGCACGCGGTGAACCAGTTCTGCAGCCAGGCCCATCCCGACGCAGCGCCGGTGACGGCAGGCGCACCAACCTTGACGCCCAGCTTCTTGAGGGGCTCGATCTCGGCCTTCCAGCGGGCGGCGGCCAGGTCGACGGGGAGCGCTGAGCCGCCGGTCGAGTGCGGGCCGTCGGGCTCGTTGAAGCCGAGGACGTAGCTGATGTTTGCGCCGCCGTCGATTTGGCTCTTGACACTGTCGTAGAAGGGCGTCCCGGTGTCGCTGTCTGAGGCGCCCCAGAGCATGGGCACGAATTGGAGGTTGTTGTTGTTCTTGTAGGCGTCTGACGGCTGTGCTTTGTAGTTGTAGTACCATGTCAGATCACCCTGCATCCAGATGGAATCATCGCCAGGAAACTTGTTGGATGGGACGTAGCAGAGACCGCGCTTGGGCGAGGTTGACTGGGCGGCTGTGAAGGGCGCCAGGATTGCGAGGCCTGCAACGGCGGAAAGAGTAGTCGAGCGCATGGCTGCGGTTTTTAAAGCGAAATAGTATTACTATCGTTGATCATACAATATGAAGCGAGCTGAATGGGCGTAACGGTCGTGTCGGGATAATAGAACGCGTGGAGGTTGAGGAAACGAAAGGACGCTCGTCAGTCGGCGCAGCAGGAGCAACAGACACCCTGTGATCCTTCTAGATTTGTGGAAAGCACAAAAAGTCAGGAAGCAAGAATCTGCAGAAGAGGCCGGCACCCAGACCCTTATCATTCAACCTACCTCGACGCTCCGGTGCGCCATTGCGCGCTACTCTTCAGATCTCTCGGCCCAAGAGCGTAGCGAGAGGTAGCGAGTCTGTAGCGAGTCCTTGCGACTCCGTAGTGAGCCTAGCAAGTCTGTTAGAGTAATCGATACCTGTAGGCTTCAGATAGTGTTTCCCTAGGCTGTCTTGAGAAGTGGTGGCGCGCCCGAAATAGGCACCCTGAGAGAGCGCCGCGGGAGATCGCCTTATTCAGGTGGGACCCTCACAACCTGACAAGTCGTTCCTGCAGCAGCCACATCCACTTCTGGCTGGCTCGGCTCGCAAAAACGCCATGCTGCGCTCTCAGCTTCAACCTCATGGCGGTGGAAAGTACCTTGGACATGGGCACGGGGTCGCCAGCCTCGAGGCTCGAAGACTGGAACAGCTCTGCAGAAATAGTTGGTATGGGATGGTGATGGCTGCCACTGCCGCGCGCGATAAAGTGCTGAACCGCGCTGCAGATAAGCAGGCTACGTATTGCCCAGCACCCGCATACATCATTGACAGGGCAGTTAGCAAGGCTTTGCGTCCTCGGCTGGTGTGTTGGCGAGTGCTCGTGCAGCGGATGCAGAACGGTGCGACGGTCCAAGGCCTTCGAAAGAGAAGGGCCTGGGCAGCTAGATTCAGGGGTGCCTGGGCTAGCTCCCAACATTTCGTCCTTTGTGTAAGGCTTGGCTATCAGATTCCCAATCCTCGGAGCCTAGCGGCGACCAGCAGGGCTCTCAGTTTGGTTGACAGCAGCCGAAGTCAATGATCACCTTCGAAATGGGAACGCCAATATGTTTGTGAATAATATAATTGTACCTCTACTCCATCCTACATACAGAATATACTTTAGCTACATTGCGCGCCCCAGGCCGCATCGTGAATTACAAATATGCTGTATCAGAATGTTCATGTCATAGGTCAAGTCACCTGGCAATGTCTGTATGTCCAGGGCCTGCCGACAGGACTATGTGTGTTGGTATTTTGCCGCTCTAGATGTCAAATATCGGTTGTCAGATTCGATCTCGCTCGCCCATGCAAACAAAGGAAACATGTACAACCCCGCTGATGAACAACATTTCGGGTATCAATCCTCCTCTAGTACGCGTGACCGTCCTGGTGCCCTCGTTGAGGTTGCCAGGGAGCGTTGTTTGACTGAGTATAGCCAGTCTGTTGTTGACCGAATTCCAGGTCCGGCAGTCGCGGCTGCGGGGTCGCAGAGTGACCACGGTCGTCGCTGAAGCTTGGGTTGTGGCTTGGTGTCCGGCCGAACGTCGAGGCATCGGCGAGAAGGTGGCCGCGATCTTCTTCAAATCGTCGGCCGTTGTTATAAGCAGTATTCTGCTCAGCGAGCGGTACCGCATCGTAGCCGGCGGCACGAGGTCCGAATGGCGACGGAAGAGAACTGCGCTTGTACTCTTGGGGATCCATAAGCAGCGAGTTGCGAGCGTCCAAAGGGGTGAGGTTGTCGAGGTCGCGGGCCTTCTCTGTGTGATTGTTAGAATGAGCGCACGAGTTCTTAAAATGTGAGACTTACCAGCTTCCTTTCTCTTCTTGCGGTGAGGGTTCTCCTTGCAGCAGATGATGATGGCGTTGACTGCAATCAAAATAGCCAGAACACCAGTCAAGACAGCCTGTACAACGACAAGCACCAGACCGGTGACAGTCTTGGTGGTCTGCGTCATGCCGAGCTCCTCGACAAAGATCAAGATGCAAACGACTGACAACACACGGACGACCTGGATAATGATGTTGATCCAGTTTCCAGACTTGAGTGAGTATGGTCGGGCCCACAGCAAGACCGTGAGCAAAAGAGCTTCAACGATAAGCTGACCGGCAGCCTGGGCAAGTCCGTGACCATCAGCACCAGCAATAACGCAACCACGCGCGAAAGCATAGATGATAGCGGGTACGAAGATCCACCAGTAGCTCCTTTTGTAGTTCTCGTAGAAGATGGAGTACTTGCGCCAGACTTCCTTGTCGTCGTAAAGAGCAGAGTCGTCGCCTTCCATCTTCTTGTACTTGCGTGCAATGCTCCAGATCTTCCAGGTGAAGATCGCCAGAACAGCTGTGAAGGCGGCCAATGTAACACCAGCAAGGACCTTCGCGGCCCAGGAATCTCCGTTCTTGAACTGGTAGACACAGTACAGAGTCCAGATACCGTAGAGAAGCAGGATCAGGTTGGTAATGGTCTTTGCAAGAGTCCACCAGTAACGTTTGCGGAAGCTGGTCAGACGTTTGGGGAAGGTTCCGAACAGGGCCCAGGTTTCGAGAATAACCTTGAGGAGCAGGATACCGACGGTGATGGCGGCAATGACGATTGCGAACCAAAGAAGGACGGTCATGAAAGTGTTGCCGTTGGGAATCTTGTACTCTTCAACGTACCCTTGGATACCCTTGACAGCGTGGATAACCTTGTTGTCCTCGCTGCTGTCCGTTGTGCCGTTGACATTGGTTGAAAGGTCGTCACGAGTCCATAGGAGAACATCGCTGATACCGTCGAAGCTGCGCTTGGTCAAAGTCATATTCTGGTCCACATGCACGAGTGTGGCATTCGACAAGAACTCGACACTGTTGGTCGTCAGGTTGCCTCCAGTCTTCTCACGAAACCCATCAATAGATGTTTGCATGTCCTCCCAGTACACCAGACCCGTGCTGAACGCAAAGTTCTTGGACCAGGATCGGTAGACACCGGGGACGTCCGCGCTCATCATACCATTCATGGCCATACCCTGAAACCAGAAGACGACGTCGCCGAATGTAGGACTCGAGTGAGCGACGCCAGCCTGACCAGCACCCGCCAGCGCAGAGAGACCTCCGACTGCGAGAGCAGCACCAGCAATACCAGCCGCGATGTAAGATACTCCTGTTGTTGACAAGGACTTGCCGTTGCTGACTTGTGACGTAATACACGCGAGCTTTTCGCCGCCGTCCTTGGCTGTGAGCTGCATAGTCGCTTGACTGTCGATATCAGGGACGCTGAACGCGATAGCTGGAATCTGCGAGATGTATTTGTCGGGAATGCTCTGTTCTCCAGACGCGCCGAAGGTACCAGCGGGCACTGGGTCGTATTAGCGCGTGTAGAATAAATTCAGACTCAAGCAACGTACCTGGACACAGCTGGTCGACCTTCATGTCTCCTTCGCAAGGGTCGAATGTGTTGCTGTAAACCTCCTTTCCGTAAGCATTGACCTTTAGTGTCGCCATGACCTTTTGCTCCTTCCCGTTGGTACCCGATACGTCAAACGTGACCTTCTTGGTTGTTCGGTCGAACTTGATGTTAAGCTTGTTGACTGTAATATCCGAGTTGCCATTCAGACAAGAGCTGTAACCGTTGGTCTGCAAAACATCGTTGGCAAGTGCGCCCAGTGGCGCAGAGGCCAACAGCAAGAATGGTGCGAGCATGCTCGAGTACGAGCTGTGAAGCATCATGGTAGCCTGCTTTGCGCCCGCAGGCGTCGAGGGTACAGTCCTGGTGGCGGAAGTCGCTGGCGATGCAAGATACGTATACGGTGATGGGTTGTCGATAAGAAATAGTCGTTACTAAGAAATACGAGAGGTGGTAAAACGGGGTTCAGCCACAGATTCAACCTTTCTCGCGCCTGGAGAAGCTGGTAGAGGCAGAAACACTGGTGGTGATGATGCAAACAGGAAGCAGGAAAACCTAGGAAGATGCTGGCTGTGCGGAGAAGACGAAGGTGAAACGAGGGACAAACGACGTAAGAAAGCGCCGAGCAAGTGTGTGAGAAGCTGGAGACCGCTGGACGGGTAGGGGAGAAATGGCAGGTTTAGAGCCGTCGCTGAAACCTTGGCCGTGCAGTTGGGCAGGGGCAATTGGACAATCTTCCCGAAAAAGCAGGGACGCGCGGCGCTAGTACCGCTTTTTGGCACAGTCGCGCGGGCCTGTGAGCTGTATCGAAGGAAGATCGAAGAGCGGTAGAGTTCGAGAACCACGGAGAGATTGGTGATGTGCAAGTGTTGAGAGAGTGGGACGGTTGAGCAAGTGCGCGGACGAAGGCATTGATGTCTTTTAACGCGCCTATGCTGCAGCCGTGCTACGAGACATGCGTTGCGCTCGCGTGCTCGGCCACGATGAACCACTGGATGCCCATAAGCTGAAGAATATGACGACGCAGGGGAACCTATCAGAGGCGTTCCGTCCGCTCGAGACCGTCGTGGCTCAATCTAGCAAGCTGCGGCGCGACGTCCGCTAAAAGTCGCTCGTCTCGTGTCCCACAAAGAGCTGCCCTTCGACAGACAAAGGGCTCGTTCAGCTGCACCTCAGCGCGTTTGACATCGTGACCACTCATCAAGCCAACCTGAAGCCTTCGGTTGCTGTTCGTCTGTCCTCACCACGTTCACGTTCGATAGTCGTCAAAGGAGACCTAATGCGGCCCCTGGCTTGCTGTGCGCTCAGCTCGGTAAGGCACATGTCCGCTCGTCGACGCTTCTTCGGTCGCATCTTGTGGCTGTGCGAAACAAAAATAGATCTTGGCTGTCAACAAGACATTTTCGAAGCGGACTCAGCGGTGCTTTGTCGAAAGGTGACGTGTGATCGCATGCAAGGCTCGAAATATCTCCTCTCGTGTGTCGTGGGTGATGAAAATTCTACCAATGTCTAGTTTGTGCAGTTTGCTTGGGTGACAGCTGGCAGCCAGCTTTCCGCAGTGGTTTGACAGGTCTACTGTGGTACCAAGAAGCCTGCGTTTCGAATTCTGCCCACTTCGAAGGCGACTTCTGTTGCATTCCACAGCTGCATGAAGAGCTGGCTTTGCCTGTACTTTGCAACTGGCAACGACGGCCATGCAGCGACGCTCCGTGTATGCACGGAGTTACTCCATTACAGCCGGTGGTGTTGTATTTGATGTCTCACGATTGTTCGGAGCCTCCTGTTACCCTCAGGCTCCAAATAGCTGCTGTTCATCAATATCGATATGATTTCCGGAGCTGCATGTCGACAGATTGTCGAAATGAGTCGCCATCAATCTCGTACCATCGCCATAGCGCTGCTTAATCTTACCCTGGAGCCGTTTGATTGACCTTCATCTCTCCACGGCCCACCTTCGATATCACATAGGTAGGGATCCGTTGCCGAGTCAACGGCTCTCCAGTGGACCCCGTGGGTACCACGAAACTTTGAGCATCGCAGGCGTTGTAGTGACATTTGGTCTCTGCGAGCCTGGTTGACGGGATGCAGACTTCGCACATTGTCCTCAACGTCGCGTCAAGGTCTTGATTGATACTGTTGCGGGCTTGGTGACTCGTGTCGGCGCGAAGGACGGCGTCGGACGCGACTCAGCTGGTGGCCGAAGGATGCAGTGGATAGCCAGCACGGAGCGCACGAAGCCGAGTGAGGCTCGTTCCGGTGGACGATGGCAGACGCTCCCCTACATGTGCGATCGACACTTGAGCAAACTTGCCCGATGAGGCAGTACAGATCTCCAATACGTATCCCACGATATCGACGAAGGATGAAGCGAGTACCTTTCCGGTCGCAATTAGCAGACACTTCCCTACTGCCGCAATCGACGGTCAAGCAGACCTGCTCCAAGAGGCAAGCCAATGCGATCCTTCGATGCGGAAAGTGGCTGATTTGGAGTCATTGGCAATGTCTGTCACGGACTGTGTCTCATTCTGGCAGACAGTACTGGCGAACACCCTGTTCGTGTGTTCGACGGCGAAGCAAACCTGCCTGATTTAGCAGGTTGATGAGTATCAGTGCGATTGAGGTCATCGTGGGCCGACTGATGCGCACGGATACGAAGGAAGTGCATGAGGCAGAGGTGAGGATGAGATCGAGAGCGAGTAGCATGAAATGAGAGTGGCCAAGGCACGCGTTTATTCGCACTTGGAAAGCAGAAAAGAGCGACCGTGCATCAACCAATCATGCAAACAAGCTCAGTATAGCCAAAACTCCATTCAACTACCTCTTTACACGAATAAGATATCTACCCGAACAATCATAAGCCATCAATCATCACTAGGTACAAGAACCACAGCGCCACCGTCATTAGCATCAATCGCAATCCACCACTGCGTGCCCGAGTTGGTCGGGACGCAGCAGTATCATCTCTCCACGAGGTGCACTTGCAAACCTTCGAGCTACCTCCTTCTACCCCTGCGCCTCAACCCCGTCCTCGTCCTCACAGTCAAGCACATCCTTCCACTCCCCCTCATCACCGTCCACATTTTCCTCTCCACCCTCCACTGCATTCTCGGCCACCACGGCACGATCATATGGCATATCCCAAGGATTTCCTAGTCTCGGCCTCCCCTCCTCGAGCGCATTATCACGATACTTGTTGAAGTAGCTGCGCCAGTCAGTGTAATCGTCCTCAGGCTGCGTGGGGACGGCCTGGGTTGGCCCAGACTCGCTGGGCTCGTAGTCGATCCATTGCGATGCAGAGTCGGTGTAGGGCGCTTCGACTGGCGCCTCGGCGGACTGCTCTTGTGATGGGTGTACTGGAGGCGCCTCTTCCTGCTGAGGTTGTTCCTGCTGGGAAGGCTGAGGCTGTTCCTGCTGGGGAGGCTGAGGCTGAGGCGGCTGTTCGGGTTGCTGAGGTTGCGCTTGAGGCTGTTGCTGCTCTGGCTGAGGCGGCTGTTCGGGTTGCTGAGGTTGCGCTTGAGGCTGTTGCTGCTCTGGCTGCTGGGTCGGCTGCGGCTGCGGCGCTTCCTGAGTAGGCGGTGCGGGAGCTGGGACATCGTACGAGGGCTCTGCTTCTTGCTGAGGAGGCTGAGGCTGCTGCTGTGGCGGGTACTGCAGCGTCGTACCCTGCTCGGCCTTTGCAGCGCGGAGATTGAGCATAGACGCAGAGTATGCGAGATACCAGGTGCGACTCGCGCCGCCGTCGAGAGAGCCGTAGTCAAAATTATCGCTGGCGAAGTAGTTGTAGCTCGTCTGAGGGTCGATGAGCGCGAGGTTGGCGTACAGGATGCCTTGCCAGCCTCCGGCGATCCGGTCGACACGGCCGTTGCTGAAGAACGTGTTCCATTCCTCGGTGACGAAGTCCTTGGGGCGAGTGTATGCAGAGCTGGGGTTCAGCGGGATCATGTGGATTCCCTGGATGTATTCGATGTTGCTGCCAAAGTACGTGACGTGGTCGCACTTGTTCTCAAAAAGAATACCGGTCACCTTGTTGAAGAGGAACTGCTCGGGCTGGTTCTTGTTGTCGGACTTCAGCAGGAAGTAGTTGCGGACGCTGCGGGCTTGCACGGCAAGCTGAAGGTTGCCACGAGCTTCCATGTTGGCGTCACCAGATATCTTTCCCCACATCTTGAGCGCGAAGGTCGCGAATGTGTCTTCTGATGTAGACTCTTGATCCTTACCATCACCGGACTCGAAAAGACCCTTCGCCCAAGAGTGACCGTGGAACCAGTCGAAAGCACGTGAGAACGGGAAGTAGTCGTCAGTCACGGGGTTGGCGTAGTCGCGCACGAGCGTGTTGACCCACTGCTTGTTAGTACCTTCCCCAAGCCAAGATGGATCCAGATGGCCGATTACTGCAGCAGTGTACACGAAGTACCCGTAATGGAAGTGGTGGTCGTTGTAAGCGGTGTTGCCGAAGTCCAGACCTAAGTCTCGAGCAGGTGACCTGTAAGACGCACCGGATACTACACCCTTCCATACAGTGTCGTATACGAGAGGTTCGGGCTGCGTGTTGTTGACGAAGACATTGAAAGCGTCCTTGAGTTTCCCGAGACCTGCAGCGGCTAGATTACTGTTCCCAGCCATCGTTTGCATGGTGTAAATGATACCAGCAAATTTTGCGAGTCCCTTGCCCGAGTAGTACATGCTGTTCAAGCTTGTCTGCGAGATGAAGTCCTGTCTCAACTCAGAGGTACCCGCAGCATTGACAAGCTGCAGCGCGGACGCAGCCAGATTCACGTTCTCTATGCCGCCTTGAACACCACTGGCAGCCTTAGCCCAAGGCGCGAAGCCGATCGTCGTGGGAAGATCAGGCTCAATCATGGTGAACCTGTCTGCTTGAACCGCTGTAGCTGCACCCTTTGTGGTTGTGATCAACTGTATGCCAGTCATAGCACCTCGCGTCTCCTGGTCGAATGTTTCGACATGGTGTGGCAGAGCGTACATGATCAGTGGCCGACTGGTCACACCCTGCTTGGTCCACGATAAAGTGTAGCTCCCTGCCGCACCGTTGACCGAGCCAGAGATATTTGCTTCAGTCGCATATGTACCGGCACTGGCATCGAACTTGCGCTCGCCTTCTGCGCCGGCTGGATTCTTAGTGACTTGGACTAGACCCGTGAATGCCTCTGGACCACGAATGGTGCTACCTCCAGCCAATGTCATCGGCGGAATACCATCAGCTCGAAGAGGCGTAACATACAAGAGCCACGAGGATCCATCCTCGAGTTGTAGATTGTACTTGAACGTAATATTGCGGTCGTCGACGGGTCCAGTGAAGTTCAGGTTGCGGAAGAAGACACCGCTGGTAAGCATGGGTTGAGCGTTGTCATAGACTGCAGTAATCATGCCCATACCTTGAACCACAGGTACAGACATCAAGATCCTCGCGCCTGGAGATGCAGCAAAGTTGGCATAGACCGAAAATGCCTTTAAGTTGTCAACGTTCATGACTGTTCCCTCTCTCAGTTCAGCCGCGGACAGTGCCATGTGTTGGATGCCAATAGGTGAGATGAAGTATTGCGGACTGCTGGGATTCGGACCGAAAGCGAGTTGACTGCGTTCAGTATGACTGATAGCCATGCCATAGGTGGATCCTCGACCCTGCGCCCAGGACAACGAGAAGGGATGCGTCCATACTGACTGGCTCCTGCTGCCGAGGAAAAAGTTGGCATAGAATTTGTTCGTCTGAAGAGGTACGTTGCTATCGAGGATGTTCTGCTTCTGCACAGGATGGTCGCCTCTAAATGGTATCGAAGGTGCAGGTACTGGAGTGGCTAATGGCAACGGCGAGAAGACGTTTTGTGATGGTGCCCCGATCGGCTGTGTAGGACCTGGGTTGAGGCCGCTCTCTTCAGGGCACAAAGGATCAGTCGTTTTGGTCTCACCAGGTGGATTGGCAGGATCTCTGGTGATGCCGCCGTTTGTAGGGAGGGCAGTCAAGATGGTCTATAAATGTATTAGGTTCTTTTTCTCTCCAAGCGTGATACAGTAGAACATACCCCTGTGAGCGAGGGACGAGTGGTCACTGTCGCTGTTTGCAGCGTTTCGATGGCTGTGCTGTAACTGGTGGTCGCCTCGAGGTTCGTAGATATCGAGATGGCTTGTCGCTTCAGATCTCCCGCCGGATGGGTATAAACGAGTGTAAGCTGGCTTACTGCCAGCAGCAAAGACAGCTTTGCCATCTTGCGGAAATGAACGAGTGATTGTCGAGAGACAGAGTCTCGCGCAATCGAGGGGTTTCGGCGAGGAGTTCGAGTCTGTTTTGATACAGCGGGCGGAATGAACCGAGGAATGAAGTTGCTATGGGGTGCTCCATACCGCGTCCTCAGGGTCTATATAGTTAATAAATTGATACCCTAGACAGAAAGGTTGATCATGCTTCATGTGAGAGGCGCCGTTGACGTGCTCATCCGGCAGGTCCGCTCGAAGGGTTGAGACACGGATTTCATGCGCGCTGGTTGGAGAGTACTCAACAACGCCCAGGTTACCTAAGAAGACCGACGAAAAGCAGGTACCTTTGCGACAGGTCGCACAAGTCGCTTCTAGTATCTGAGACTGTAGTACCTTGGTCCCAGAATCTGTTCTCTGGGAGGAGCTAAAAGGGTGTCACGATACATCGCGGGCGGTACGGGCCGCCTAGAAACGACATCTAGAAGACTATCAGCGTAATTTATCGCAAACAATCAGACCCTGAGAAAATGGTTAGCAAGATAATGAGTAAAGAGTCGCGTCAAAGCCGCCTTGAAAACTGGTCGTAAAGCCCCGCCGAGGGTAGCCAGAGAGCTCCGAGTCCACCTGACCCTGATACGGTGCTGCAACGATTCATGGGACCTTGCTTGTCCAGAACAGGCGATGAGATGAGGGAAACCAGACAGAGCTGACAGTCTGACATTGGACTGATAATCTGGGATTATCGTCTGGTGATTGGCTTGCTTTTCCTACTCAAGAGTCATGTTAGGTGGCTCAGGTGCGCATCAGATCGCTTGACCGTTCTGAGCATCGCAGTTCATTACACTGACAAGCTCAGCGCCCTGAATCGGCATATGCGGTGAACTTCTCGGGGCGGAACGGGTGATGCAATCGACTTGGTGCCCAGACCAAGGGGTCGCTGTTCTAAATTCCACTTGGAGTTGTGTTGAGAAGGCCCTGAGCAGAGGCAGCACAAGCAGTTGAGGTTAACCCCACCAGCTGGCCACAAAAGCAACAGCAAGGTGGTAAGTAGCCTCCAGCGGGCTGAGATACCCCGCAATGACAGGCCGAGGCATTCGAGTGGCCATTACTTTCGAGGTTGAGCTCTGCTGCGCTGTGGTGAGCGCGAGACCAGCGGGCGTGCGCACAAGACCATCGGCTGCCGGCAGTGTCGCCAGTCCCCAAGATCAGATCTTGAGACCTCTGAGACATGCCTTCTTGGGTCTGAAGGCACTGCTGTGCGACTACAAGCGCGCGTGGTAATTGAATACAGGCCAAAGACTCAAGCGCGCCGTTGAGAGGTAGAGCGCGGTACTGTAGGACGCTGCCTTGCCCTTGCCTACTTCAGGGCCCGGGAGACAGGTGGCGGCGTTTACGTATTCGATCCGCTGCAGGGTTTCCTACCATCTCTCCACACCGCGATAAGGAATCTGGGCTTCGAAGACGATTGTAACAAGACGAATGCTTGTGATGTGAAGTCCAGCCGGTACGTGGTGCTTCCATTGTGCCAGACGGCCGCACAGCCACATGCGCGTTCCCCGGAGTTAAGCTGGCAGGCGCGGGGAGCTGACGCCACGATGAGCGCATACCGGTACATGTCGTCAAACACGCAGCAACGATTCTCACTTGGTCTTCCAACGCGCAGCCTCACAATCGCCCAGCAACATTCAAAGATCAGACCGTAAACTCTTCGACACAGCAACCTCTCCCTGTCACCACCGCAAACTCAACTCGACCCACCATGTCGGGCACACAGCACCCACACGAGCCTCCACCGTCCTACGAGAGCGCCACTGGTAGCTCTTCGACAGAGCCTACGCCAGGCCTGGCTCGCGTCTCTACAGACGGGCCCGGCGCGCGCACAGAGCGGAACGGCATCCCTATGGAGCGACGGCGCTCGATGGAGGACGAGCTGCGACCGCTCCCGGAAGGCTGGGTGAGGACGTTCGATCCAGAAAGTCACCACCAGTTCTTCGTAGACACCAAGGCGGACCCGCCGCGATCGATATGGACGCACCCGTGCGACGACGAGCAGTACCTCAGTACGCTGAGCCCGGAGGAGCACAAGCAGTATAGTCGCATGAAGCGCACCGTTACACTCGAGGACCTCGCCGCCGAAGACTCAGATGATGATCACGAACTTCCACCACGACCTACAACGGGGCGCGGCAAGAGCGCCGAGCCAGAGCTCACAGGCTTTCACAAGTTCTCCCGCAAGCTGAAAGACAAGGTCACCGGGTCAACACATACAGACCGCGAGCAGCAACGCGCTCGTCGCGCAGAGCAGGAGCGGCGTGCGTACCAGGCGCATCTCCGCGCTCGTCAAGCCCTCATTCGCGCCATGGAGACCGGCGAACCTCAGTTCCTCTGCAAAGACGCACAAGGTAGGGACGTTTACGTCACACCACCGAACGGCTATGCACCCCGCGGCGCGTATGGTTACAACCCATACGGCAGACCATACGGAGGGTACCAGCCCGGTGTGCGGTACATGCGTCCAGCGACACCATACGGCAGACCCTACGGTTACGGATATGGTAAGCGAGCTCATCTCTTTTTATTACCGAGACATTGCTAATATGAACAGGTGGTGGTGCTGGACTGCCAATCGCAGCTGGTTTCCTTGGTGGTGCTCTCGTTGGAGGCGCGTTGTTCTAGACAGCATGAAGACCGAGACCTTCCCTAGGCGCAGCGGTGCACGAACGAGGTACGGATGCTGGAGGCTTGCAGACGGTCCTCATATGATGCATGAGATATCCTACGACAATAGATTTTAGTGAGAAACGGATTGAAGTTCAAGTTATCTGCATGTGAAGGTCGACGGCTGACAAGCCCACTCGGAGCTGTGCACGTGCCATCGGCAAAACACAACGCCGGCCTTAGCGCGCACCATGAATTTGACCTGGCAAAACTTCAAGTGGGCGGGCCGTCCGTTGTTCACGATACTAACTCAACAGCCGTCAACATGCCCACCAGGTCAGCAGCCCCGCGCGCACGCATCACAATCGCGTCTAACATGCCTGCAGATTGAGCAACACCCGCAAGCACCGCGGCCACGTCTCCGCCGGTCACGGACGTGTCGGAAAGCACAGGAAGCATCCCGGTGGTCGTGGTATGGCTGGTGGTCAGCACCACCACAGGACCAACATCGACAAGTACCACCCTGGTTACTTCGGAAAGGTTGGTATGAGGTACTGTAAGTAACAACCTCACTGCCGCTCCCTGCGCAGCGCCTAACAGGTATGCAGTCCACAAGCAGCAGAACCACTTCTGGAAGCCCGTCATCAACCTCGACAAGCTCTGGTCGCTCGTTCCCGCTGAGAAGCGCGACGAGTACCTCGCCAAGAAGGGCGACAAGGCCCCCGTCCTCAACCTCCTCGACTTCGGCTACTCTAAGGTCCTCGGCAAGGGCCGCCTCCCCGAGGTCCCCATCGTCGTCCGCGCCCGTTACTTCTCCGCTGAGGCCGAGAAGAAGATCAAGGAGGCCGGCGGTGTCGTCCAGCTCGTCGCATAAGCGCTCCCCACGGGTGTACCAACTGGTTATCGGCATGAACGCGCATGACTTCACGGCGTCAGGATGGATACGGATAAAAGCTCTTTGATGACAGTGGAGGAATAGGGTCCGCGTGCCGACAGGCCACGGAGCTCTTGCAGCGTGGTGGCTGAGGAATGGTGATTCATAGCGAATACATCCATTACCTGAACAAACCTCCCAGCTCAGTGAGCTCCACTCTTTGAGTGATTGCGGTACATCGCAGGGGATTTCCATGGCTTTGCTGTGATGATGTGATTTCGGTTATGACTCGTGAGCCTGTGATATGTTGATCGTTCACGAACTGAGGAACTGCTGTCTCGGCGGGGACCAACACCCCTAGAGATCGTGATGACGAAGGTCTTCGTCCATGACTTGCCTTGCGTAAGCAATCGAAGAAGATGTCCTTTCGCAGTCGTGATCCGCTGAAGCACGAACACAATTTTGAGCATCTGCCGCCAGCTTTGACTCTCCAAAGTCAATCGCCAACGATCTTCATCACAATCTCAAGCACCAGTCCCCTCTACACCGGACCCAGCCAGGAGAACCAAGAATCCCAACCGCGATTCAACCACAACATCAATCACTCAACCAAAAACAACTCCTCTCTCCGCCGTTCCTAGCTAAGTCGTCTTCAGCACCTGCACCGCGCCAGATCGTTGTGACGACTGAGTCCGTCGACCCACTTCTGCCCTCTGTCGACGCACGGAGTGTCATTTCCTCACTCTGTTCCAAGCCCCTTGGCCCAGGCTGGATGTATTTAATATCCCCGCCGGTACTGTCGATTGACGCAAATTTGGCCTGCGCGTGTTTAAACTGCGCGAGTTCCACATGTGGCGGGGATCGATATTCGTCCCGCAGTCTGGCTGGATACGTGCAGCCATCGACTACGATCTTGCCTGTATGGCCGACAAGTCCTTTGACATTCTCACCTCCACACGCAGCCAAAGCACCGCTCTCGCCCGCATTCTCTTGAACAGATGACCGAGGCTTGCTCGACTCAGGCAATGCAACCCCAGGCCCATCAATCGCAGAAGGACCATCCACGACCTCATTTGCCGACTTCCGTTCCCTCCACTCAGCAACCCAGTTCCTAACTTTCTCGGCCCTGGCCTCGGGCTCTTCACGCGAGTCCACACCGACGTCTCGAGGCTGGCCGGGGAACGAGTACATCGTCCTCAGTCCGACGTTCATCCCCGTTGGCTGGGGGGTAGTCGATGCTTCGCCGCGAGGCTCTCCGGGATACAGAGAGCCAAGGTCACGATTCTGCTTGCTTGTGTTGGGCAGTCTTGACTTGAGCCAGTCACCGGGCGCTGGAGCTCTGGAGCGAGATGCACTCGTCGCAGGCTGATACTGGAGGACTGCGGGCAATTCAGACGTAGCAGGCTGTGCAATGCTCGGCGTTGGCGACTGCCTTGCCCACCTGGCACTTCGCGCAGCATCAAGAAGTGTCTGCCCTATCATTCTCTCAGGCGGCGAATCCTCCTCAGGCCCCTCGTCCCTTACTTCCTCCTCTTCCTCTGCCTGAAGGTCCCCATCGTTGTTCGGCGTCATCCGCGGCACACCAGCAAGCAGTGCATCGATCCTGCCCACCCTCTCCTGAACTTCGGCGTGCGTCAGCCTCGGTCTCGGTCGGCGCATATACAGATTCCTAGCGCGGAGGTTCTCGATCCTCGAAAGGCTGTGATGCAGGCGAAGCTTCGGTGGAGGCTGAGCGGGGAGGTGACCAAACTTCTTTTCCTCGTCTTCGCCTTCTGGCGCTCCGGCGTGAATCTGGTCATGAGCAACCGCACGAGAGGCGTCTACTTCCGAACTATGCGAGGCCGATGGTGCAGGCTGGAGGGCGTCAGCGTCTCCAGCGTCGATCCCACGATCCTCTTCTCCGGTACTTGCAACCTCAATTCCAAATTCCTCTTCTCTCACATCTCCCACCTGTCGGTCCTGGTCTTGCTCAAGCCCTCGAGTACCCAGCCCAGGCACAGGCTGAAAAGTGACCGCTTCCAGCAATCCTGGATCCGCCGAGCTCGGCCACGTAAACAGCGACTCAGAATCATCCGTTCCCACATCCGTAGACCCCGCAGACCTCTCGTTATCCGCACCATCAGCCCGCGACGCTCGAAACCAAAGGTCCCCAGACGCATGAGTAAGTACAGGAGAATGGCGGATCTTCTCCCCCAGAGGCGACGAGTGCAGACCCACACCGCCGCTCTCCTGACCACAGCACCAGAACGGCGACCGTCCAGGCGACCAAGTCGCGAACCTGGCATCGCCTCGGGGTTGTACATGCAGCAGGTGCGGAAAGCCGATATGCGCGGCGTTACTATCTCCATCGTGGAGTGCAGTGTCGGAGGTATCCAGTGTCCTCTGACCGTCATCGCCATTGCCGTCGTGTGCAGAACCCCAAGGTGCGCGTAACCGTCTAACTCTGAGCCTCAGCGGCCGCGCGACCTCAGCGCAGTCCCCATCCGCGTTACCATCCTCCGCCGCCTTCTCTTCCGCAACCCGGCGGCCCTCGAGTTCATGCCCATCCTGCGTGCGGAGCACACGTCGCACGTCCCGCCCAAGCGCCCGCCCAATACTCCTCTTCAGGCTCGTCTTCCAGCTGCCGTTCTTCTTCGACCGAGCTGGGGGACGCTCGTCAGCTTTGACTTTGACTTTTTGATCCTGATGTCGCTGCGGCCGTCCATCTACATCCTCCTTTTTCTCCAGTTCGACCGCGACCTCTCGATCAATCCTCCGCCCCACCGTGCGCCCGAGACTCTTCTTCCAGCCATCGATCTTCTTCTGCATGTTAACGAAACAGCTCGCTGCGACGTTTCGAATTACGTCCAGGATACGATATGTGTGTGATTTCGAGCTTAGCCTTTGTGAATGATTGTGCTTGGTTGGATGCGATGCTTCCAGGGAGACAAGCAGCAGGAATCTGTTCCTGAAAGTACGCAGCGTTGACGAAGACTCACCCACTCGCCTAACTGCCCTCAATAGCACGGGTCAGCCCCGTAAGGCTTATGTGACCATAGCGAGGCGTTCAGGGCAGTATTGGATCAGGGTCTGAGGGTTCCTCAACAACAGAAAGGGGAACGAAAGGTTGATAACAAAGTATGGCTGGTGACGTGATGGAATAATGAATTGATACCTACCGACTAGGTTACTCTGCCTTCTTTGGTAGAAGCTCGAGAAGGGTCTTTTCAGCAACATCGGCCTCCACCGTTCCTTCTGGACTCCTCGCCATCATCTGCCCAACGAACCACATGAGCTTCTTATCTTGGCCCTTTTCCACAATGTCCCTGACCATGTCTGGTTTCTCGTTCAACAGGGTCTGGGCAAGACTGCGATACTCCTTGGGCGAGAGCGGCCGTAGTTGCATGTTGTAGTCTTCAATAATTTGGCCAATGTTCCGCTCGTCACCCTCAAACTTTTCTGCAAGCAGCTTTCTGGCGGACCTTGATGTTATACGTTTCTCCAACAGTTGCTGGATGATGGAAACGAGTACTTTGGGTGGCACGCGGTCCGTCGACCATTCTTCGTCTTTGAACAGGCTGCCGAGCTCCATCAGGACCCTTTGTGTCATCAGTATTAGTTCGAGCAGATGTGGGCGACTTGACGTACCAGTTGCCTACCGCCTTGCCGAGCATGGCAAATTGAGCGTCACTCGGCCTGATGTCCCGAGCTCTCGAAAGCTGATTTGTGACCTCGAAGAAATATTCCAGACGATCGCCATTGTCAAAAGATAGAAGTGTGCCAGCATCTTTGACCGACAGGCCATACTTTTGCACCAGCACGTCAACGACTCGATCAGGGAGCACGGGTAAGTTTGTTCGAAGATGGTCAATGAGGTCCTATGCAGGGTCAGCACTGCCTAACTCAAGTCGTTTCAAGCTACACACCTGAGCAATGAAGACCGGTGAGATGTCTGGGTCTGGCATGTATCGATAGTCGATTTCTCCCTCCTTGCCGCGCAGACGTTTGGTGGTCTTGCTGCCCACGGTCCAACCGCGAGTCTCGCCCTCGACAGCTCCGCCGCCCTCGATCAGCTCGATTTGGCGGTCACGTTCCGCAATGATGGCATCTTCCACAGCCTTGACGCTAGCCAAGTTCTTGATCTCCGTCCGCTGTCCGAGGCCAGTCACGCCAGAGTATGACAGACCGCCCTCGCTTGTCGTCTGACCCCTCTCGCGTATCGAGACGTTGACATCGGCACGCAGTCCGCCCATCTCCATACCTGCTGTGCACGCACCCACAGTCTTGAGTATTGTCTGGATCTTGCGGACGCATGCAGCAGCGACGAGAGGGTCATGGATGTGGGGCAGCGTGATGATCTCAATCAGAGGATGAGAGACGCGATTGAAGTCTAGGAGGTGGGTCGAAGGCGGTTGCTGCACTGTCTTGGCTGTGTCCTGCTCCATCTGCACCTGCTTGATACCAATCTTGATGGGACAGCCTTCCGGTGCAGACCCAGCAGGGAAGTCGTGGGCATATAGCCTGATATGGCCATCAGTCGCGAAGGGCTCGTAGTATTGTGTGATCTGGTATCCATTCGGCTGATCTTGGTAGAAGTAGTGCTTGCGGTCGAAGCTACTCCTTGGCTGTATTGTGCAGTCGAACGCAAGGGCGGCGCGTAGAGCAGGTATGAGGGTTTCTCTTTGGAAATGTGGTTGACTCCCAGGAAAGGCGACATCAAAGAGGGAGGCGTGTGTGTTTGGTGACTCGCTGATCGACGTGGCGGCGCCTGAGAAGAGCTTCCGCGCTGTGTTCAACTCGGCGTGTATCTCGATGCCCACGGTCAACTCCCATTTCTCCAATCGAGGATCTACAGGCTTCTTGGATTTGTTGCCGCCCTTTGACGCTTTCTTCTGTTGCTTGGCGGCATCCTTGAGGGCTTTGCGAAAAGGTGTATCGTCGTGCGCCGGCGGTTGGCTTGCGGTTTGTAGGCTTCGCGTCTGGGGTCGTAGAGGGAGAGATCTTGAGGCCAATAGCAGTTGCTTAGCCCGGCGCAAGCATGACTGACATACGAACGGTCGCTTTGAGACAGCAACGAAAGCGCTGCGCGTGTTGTTGGCAAGCATCGTGTGACGTCTGCGGAGCTGCAGGTCGCGATGCACTGAACGATTGCGGCGTCCGTGCTCACCTCCGCAGCCCGCACCTAGACCACACAGATCGCAGTCTCTTGACATCCACAACGACTTCAATATGTCGTGACCGCACACTCGTCTCCACCAGATATCTTCTCGAGCAGAACAGCCAGCTTGACGATAAGCCAATGCAGGATGGCCTCTCTCTTGTCCTCTGACTTCGCCGCCCTGAGAGCCTCGTCGATCTTGAGCTTGATGGTTTCGTTCACAGAAGCCCCGTCAGTCTGAGCCGGACGTCCGGATGTGGATGTCTTGTGCGTCGTTGCTGTCGTTGTTTCTGAAGAGCTTCCCGGCACTGCTTATTCCAGGAGCAGCGGCAAAACCTACAATGGCCATCGGACACCACGAGGATCTCTCGCTGCCTCTTCCTACGCTCGGCCTTCGGCAAATGACGATGTGCCTGTAGCCTCCTGTACCGGTCGCGGAATCGAATCCACGCTTCGCCTTCGTCTTCGACGTTGGCCGTTGGGGGCTTGAATTCTCCAGGATGGACGTAGACTCCCGGCCAACGGCTGATGTCAATGTCTCGTCGCTCGGATACCTCGCTGGCAAACCGCACGCTACGTAGATGAAGAAGTTCAAGCGCCTCCCTTTGAATAGGAACAGGTACAGCCAGACGCACCTGCTGCTCCGCAAGACATGCAGTTGAGATCATTGGTGACCCTGGTGGGTAAGTCTTGACGTAGCTCTGCAGATCAGATGCTTTGCCTTGCCTCTGCGCTCAGCTTACTTCTCCTTACGGCATCATTTTCTCTTAAGACACTATCGCTCAAAAGCCTCTCACTTCTTCCGAGTTGCTTCTCTCTACGCAGGAGTCCGAGAAGCGCGAGACCTACCGCTGGTACTGGTGGTTGGGAAGGAGATGGGAGGAGCGATGCCTGGTGTGAGTATTGGTGCGACACAAGGCGCAGTTGGACAAGCGCAAGCACAACTCATGCAATCAAGAGCGACGTCGGAGTATCTTGACCCTGAAGTACGTCTTCAATCGCTGAGCTGTAGTCTTCTTCGGCCCAAGAGTATGACCTTTGGCCTCAGCTGCCTGAGCTTTGGCTCTGGTCTTCTTCTCCTTCTTGATCCGCTTTCGCTGCTCTTTCACCTGTCGTTTATGCTCCTCTTCCTCTCGTATCCTTTCAAAAGCCTTTGTGTATTCGTGTGCGGCGAGAAAGGCGTGCTCCTCCTTGGACAAGAAATGGCGGTTCGCAGGACTTGGTGCACCTCCACTAGCTTGAATATTGAGTAGGCTAATAGGAGCAAAGCTCATGTGCAATAGACAGTGAGACGCTGTGCTTTTCTACTATTCAAAATTTACCGGACGCAAAGGTGTTTAGTCGCCGTTGGATGCTGTCTCTCTTGCGCGAATGTGTCCGCGTTCTCTATAAGACGTCGGCGTGAATGCGAATGTACTTCTTTGGCTTGGTTCTCGATTGACGTCGAGTCTGAGGGCTAAGCCGGGGGCTCGTCGGCGGTCTAGTTTGACGTCCGAACTGTCGAACGTGGTCAGCTGCGATGCGAAGCTTCTCTTCGACCGTTAAGTGCTGAGGGGGTTGCTGAGTCGTGTGAGAACGAAAGCTGAACCGGCTCTTCCAAGAATTGGTGGAAGGTCTTTGAGTTTGCCGGCTGAAATGGATGGCCTGATTGATGTTCGATGTGCGTGAGACAGTGTACGAGGTCTACGAGAGAGTCGTAAGCTTGGCCTGGAACGTGGCCTTGCAGGCGGGAGCGGGTAAGAGGTACGGTTGGTCCTTCGATGGCGATTGCTGTTCGAGCTGGACAAAGGCTGGTTTGTAGGATACAGGGATGCGATTCGGGGCATACACTAGTAGTGTGTATTGCTAGGTGGTAGTGTGTATCGATAGACGAGGGTGATAGTCATGTGTGGCGGATATTGTGTCGTTGACTCGTTGCATGAGCTCTGGCGACAGCGGGTGCTGTAGGCTCTGTTCGCCTCTGCGCTAGCTTCTTGTAAAAGGCAAGGACTAGGTCGGAGCAGAAGAAGGTAAGAGTAGGAACCAAGGAGTAGCTGCTTCAAGTTAAGAGCAGATTTGATCGGAGGCAGGAGTCACCTACAACAGCAGCTCTCGTGAGTTAACAACGAAATTTTTCAGCGTGAATCGCGAGAGTAAGTAGGTATCTGGGCCTACGCTTGCAAATCTGTTGTTCTCAATCGTGAATTATATTAGTCGTGAACGCTAGAGATGAGTGGAATATGCACACAGGAGGATAGGATAAAGAACAATGGGCCGGTCACCGAGTTGTCGATGAGCATAACAGTGTAAAATACCAAGGACTTGAGATTTGAGAGGGGCGGGACCCCTGACGAACAACTCCCCGATCTTGTGAATAGATTTGGTTGGACTGATCTCGCAACACTCCCGTTAATCACTCTACCTGGGTCAAAAGACCCTCGGGGTAGTCAAAGCTGGTCTTGAATACCTTGAAGGCCCGTGGCTTATAGCTGGGGAACATCACAGAAAGGTCTTTCATTGCGCTTATCTGCCTCAATTCCATCAAACAGGTACTGGGGGACAGTCGAAAGGGGATAATGTTCACAGAGCAGGTCTTCCTAACGAGAAACGTGTGAATGCAAGGAATGTCTGTCCTTGTGTCAGAGGTACCCAATGGATCAGTGGTCAGGCTCGCTGTGAGTGTTGCATAACACGTCTGGACCAGAACTATCACCTTCCTGGTTCGCTGTAAAGAGACGAAAGTATTGAAAATGGTTGGTTTAGTGAAGTGAAGACAATACTCCAGTTGAAGTGCGAAGAAACAAAACTTCCGAGGTTGCACACCGGCTACGTCTTCATCACCTGTGACCTCGCTGGAGTATGTTTGCACAGTCATGGATCAAACCTTCAACCTTTACGAGAGGTAGAGCAGTCATGATATGGATGATAGCAGTGTAATAACAGTGTCGATGTATTGACCGTGAGGGAAAGGCGCTGCGTGGTTGGAGACGATTTCTTGTAAGGTATGTCCTGACGATGGGGAACGTAGCGGTGGTAGATCTCAAGACTTTGGCAGCGATGAGTCATCTACGCATAAATCGATGCCAGAGGCTTACCGATCCGAGGGCTTATTCATCACTTCGAAATGCGCAACGCTCTCAGAGTCTTGACACACGCCTATGCAGAAGTTCTCGATTCTTGCGTACCCAGAGCTAGTACCCGGTTGAAGACAAGAGACAGTGATTCGGAATCTGGCTCTTGTTGCTACCGGCTATGTAATAGAATGACAGCGTCTATGATAGCGTAGCGAGCCCATCAACACCCGGCCAGTGAGAAGGACCGGTACGCAGCAGGGAAAAACAACGCAACCACGCACCCACATCCAGCCATACATCGAGACTGAACAAAAATACGATAGTGGCGTGACCCGATAGACGACGAAAGAGCAGGACGTACGCGATACTGCAGCTATGCGAGTATTGCGTCCGCGGTCACCTTATCACCTGCACCTCGACTGCAATGTGGAAACAAAGGATAACAGCCCCTGTGTGTGACGACAATTACAATATCTTTGCATTAAACCTGGGTGCTGATTGACTGGAGATTTACTCTTGGCCGGGATTGTCGATCTGGGGTGCAGAAGTAGCGTGACTGAGCCTAGAGATAAGGGACCTGGGGCATTAGCTTGGCGGGTAAAGGTGGTATTCCGCGAGTGGCATGGCTGAACGCCATTCACATATACGGACATCGATCTTGGATCGCAAGAGATAAGGGGCTGGGTGCTTGTGAGTACCAAGCAGTGGAGAAGGAACATCAAGGATTGGAGATGGAGCTTAGATGGCAGAAGTGATTACTGAGATGCGAAACGGTGTCTGGTCTGATGTGAAGTGTGTAATTATATGGTAGGAAGCGTACGTCAAGTACGAGTACATCCCAGTACATCTCAGTCTACCGCGCAAGATCTCTACATCCCCGTAAAACGAACATAGTGGTATCTCTGAACAAGCTGAACAATTTTAAACAAAAGCAGAACGGGCATTTATGCGTAGTCGCGCGAAGACGAAGGAGGTGTGGTCTTCTCGCGCTCGGGGCCCATAGCAACAGCGTGACGATCACCACCGATACCGGTGTGTTCGTTGCCGCTGTGCTCGCTGGGTGTCTTGCCCTCGAGCATCTCGCTGTGTTGGGGAATGCCATGGCGTTCGCCTTGAGGAACGCTGTGCTCGCCATTCAAGGGCTCGCCCTTGGCGGGTGTCCAGGCGAGGTAGTCACGGCGAACCTCGACGTAGTCGTAGGCGAATTCGCCGAGCTGGTCATCGTCCATGCCCAGAAGTTCGGCTTCCTCAGATGCACGGAGGTACAGACCAGGGATCTTGTTGATGACGAAGGCGAGGATGGCGCTGACGACGAACGAGTACGCGGTGCAGGCGACGATGTAGGCGATCTGCTTGTAGATAGCTTCGGGAGTACCGGTGATGGCACCGGCAGGAAGACCGTTGTTGACGCCGTCAAGGCCGATAATGTAGTCCGCACCAAAGATACCGTTGAGGAAGAGACCCCACATACCAGCGACACCGTGCTCGGCGAAGACATCGAGGGAATCATCAATGCGGATCCAGAACTTGACTATGTATAGTTAGCAATTATAGAGAGCGTACAGGGGATTGAGAACGTACTCTTGGTAGCAAAGTTAGCAACGATACCGGTGGTGATTCCAAGAATGACGGATCCCCAGGGAGTAAGGAAACCAGAGGCAGGAGTGGCAGCGACAAGTCCGGAGATGACACCGGAGCACCAGCCGACCATAGACCACTTGCGAGCAAGGCGCCAATCGAGAATGACCCAGGTCATCGCAGCGAACATAGCAGTGATGTTGGAGTTCCAGCAAGCCATGACAGCGCGGAGGTTGGCGCCGAAAGCAGATCCACCGTTGAAGCCCAACCAGCCGAACCACAGGAAAACGGTACCAAGGGTGATGAGAGAGACGTTGTGAGGGCGGAAGTTGAGCATCATCTTCTCCTGACGGCGACCGAGGATCATCGAGTAGGCGAGAGCGCTGCAACCAGAAACGATCTCAACGGGACCTCCACCAGCGTAGTCGAGTCCACCCCACTTGAAGAACCAGCCGTTCGAGTTCCAGGCCCAGTATGCAACCGGGCAGTATACGACGGTGGCCCACAGCCAGATGAAGACCATCATGGGGATGAGGCGACCGCGCTCAGCAACGCAACCAACGACAATCGCAGCAGTGACGGCGCAGAATTGCATCTGTCGGTTGTTAGTAACTATCCGGTTGCCATAATCCGACTTGACGTACCTGGTAGAAAGAGTACAGGAGCTCAGGAATCAAAGGAGAACCTGGGCTGGGAGCACCGAGAACGCCCTTGAGACCAAACTTGTCTAGGTTGCCAATGAAGCCGTTTGTCGAGGGGCCGAAAGCGAGCGAGTATCCCCAGAAGTACCACTGGAAGGTGATGACCGAGGCAGAGAACATACACGCCCAGATCAGGGACAGAGCAGACTTTCTGCGAGCAAGGCCAGAGTAGAGGAAGGCCAGACCAGGAATCATGATCATGACCATAGCGGAGGCCACGAGAATGTAGGCCTGGTCACCGGCATCGTACCACTGGTTCAAGTTCTCTGTCACTATGCGAAATCAGTCACTGTTCGTCTTGCGAGGTGTCGAATCCCCAGAATTTGAGGAATGTATGCCGTGCGCGCTCGGCACGTGCTTGGTAACGGTGTCTGTAAGTACGTACATGAGTCTCCACCTGTGATATCGTTCGTTCCATTAAACTCGGCCGGAGCCCCGATCCACGAGTACGACATGTTGCGCGCGTCCCTAGGTGTGTTGTCGTGTGATCAGGAGAGGGTCGAAGTGCCTTAAGTGTAGGATGTTCGGGCAGGGCCTGATGATGAGAGTGAAACTCAATTAAGTCTGGAGCAGCGCCGGTAATATACAGGCGTATGGGAGAAGTCGGAGCCCTGTAGCTGATCACGGCAGCTCGCCCGGAGTCTTTATGGAAATGGGTGAAGCTACTGTACTACTCTTATCTATCCCGGTCCACGGACCAGCGCTTGAGGCAAAGTAAACGAGGCGCATCTCCCACAGCCGCGACCGCCGTGGGGTTCGCGTTAGATCGGATCTGGAGCTTTGTTCTTTTTTTGCCGGGACAATCGATGGTGCTGCGTCATTGTTTAGCGTACCTTATCTCGCGGTGAGCAGAACTTTTTGGGGTGATTCAGATAGGCGCAACAGCAGACGGCCACGTCGGGTGCCGTGCGTAGGAAAGCCTTCAGCAACTCAACGGCCGCGCACACGACATTGGCTGCCCAGCTGCCCAACAGCCACACTGTGAGCGCATGCACGACGAGCTCAGTTTCATCTTCGGCGGAGCGCTTGGCGAGTGTGGGATTGAATAGGTAAACGTCTTTTCAATGCGCTGATAAGTTGGTCAGTGTTGATTGGGCGATAGGCGGCTCGATCGAACACCGATTGAAGATAGGCGCACTAGCCTGTTTTTGGCGGCGACCGCCAGGCGACCGTGCGTGCTCTGTCCCATTTCACTGCGAAATGCCTCCCCGGACCTGGTGAATCGAGTGCATGTGCGAATAAAATGCCTTACGTTGGTCGCGATAACGACCACGGCTCAATCCGCCTATCATTGGTCGACAAATTGTCAAAATAAGATGCACGTCTCAGACACAGCAGCTGGACACGCGGTGGTGCTCTCCTCCAGGCCCTGCGATTGGTGACGTCGCGGCCTCGCAGCCCGCTTGATGTCTTGTGAGTTTGCTCTGATCGAGCCTTGTTTAGCACCGTGCGACCGAGCTGTTTCTGGCTTTGATCTGACCACGGCCGCCGTTGTACCAAGCTCATACAGTAGTACCCACACGTCACTATGGCTAGGCCAAGCACTGTTAGCTGAGCTTGAGCGTTGGGTCAACTCTAGCTTTTGGTCCACTTTCCGGAGGCTGGGCGTGGCTGTCGTGGAGAGTTTCTGCAGGGTTCGCGCGTAGTGGCCCTGAGCGCGTTCCCTTAGAGCCGTGTTCCTGGTGGCAGCGTACCGATGCACAAAAGCACTATCATCCGAGGCTTCCAGTGAGCATGAGCACTTGCCATGTTGTGTCCTGTCGTTGTTCCACGCTCGTGCGACTGTGGCATGCGACAGGGCTGCGCCTATCTGCACGTCAATTGTGCCTCACCCGTGTTGGTCAATAACCCGCGTCCGCCCCGCGTCGCTTGGCAAAATTGCAACGCGAAAACATGTGAGAGCACTTCCCCGAGCCAGTGGGGAACGAGAGCCGTCTCCGTCGCAGTGGGCTCGTGGAGGTGTCAAGTGTTGTAAGACACGAGCCGTGGGGATGTACAGGGACCTGGAACCACGACCAATCAAAAGAAAGTCACACAACAAGCTAAGCTTCTCAAATCCCTTTTCTCTGCCGGGGGTTTATCTGGGGGAACCAATTCTCTTACAATTCCGGCACGCTGCTGCGATATGTACCGATACGAGCAGCCGCGAGCCTATGACCGTTCGGCCGGAATCGGAGCCATGACTACGGGACTGAAGTAACCAGCAGTGCCCTATCAACTCTCCGCCGACTTCATCTCATGCTGAGCCCTTGGAAACACGACGAATCAGCTTGGCTATGGATCCCATCCTTGACTGACGTCCTTCCCTTACCGCTTTTCGGCGATCAGTTGCTTGGGGCCTGAGCATAATTCGACTTCAGTTGACCAGTTGTTTGCTAGTCAGATGAGGCAGTGCTCGTGCGATACCGCCCGAGTCGGACTGGTCGACGGTCATGAGTTCCGTTTCGGTGATTGGTGCATTTCAGTAAGCACGTCGCGTAAGTTCTATGAACAGCTCCATGTTCCAGTACGGCTCAAAGTTTGAGCATTCGCAGTGCATCGTACGCCAGGAGCTCGTGTCAGCATCCAACGCTGCGATTTTTGTGGCTTGCTTTGATGAGTGGTCGCCGGCCAGAGACTGTGTTGGGTCAGCTTACAGTATACGTTGCACAGGCTACACACAGGAATGCAAGCGTTGGTGTTGGTACTAGTGGGGTCCGTCCGAGGTGAGCGTGAAAGCCCGTCTCCAGCGGTCGCAAAAATGATTCAGGTCTCCGTCGTCCCGACGTACAGCAGTCGATCGAGCAATGTCGTGAGATATATCAAGACCAGTGTCACGTCACGAAACATGTTGGATCTGGGTAATTTGGGTTGGTGAGTGAAAACTTCGATTTTGAGTACATCTTAAATGCGCACGCCAGTAAATACGCTTAAATGTGCCATATGGTGGGCAAGGATCCATCGAGGTGCTTGCAGGTATCCAGAACGCCAACAGAAGAGCAATTTGATCCAACAGCCGTGTCTCCTCGAGCAAAGAGCATGGAAGCTTACATCTCCTAGGCAGTCTCCGCAGCCGAAACCATGCCGTCATCCGGCTTCTTCTTGTCCTTGTAGACGAACTTGCGATCGCCCATGACAGCCCACAGCTCCTCCACCACCGCCTTCTGCTCTTCATGCTTCGCCGCACGAACAGGGAAGTAGCAACGGCCCTCGAGACTAGGGTGCCAGTCGCCAGGATTGGCAGACGCAACGATACCGCCCGCCTCCTTGACCATGAGCCAGCCAGCCGCAATGTCCCAACACCAAACGCCGCCCTCCCAGAATGCGTCGAACATGCCGGCTGCGACGTAGCAGAAGTCGAGCGCAGCGGAGCCAGAGGAGCGGCAGGACAGGATCATCTTACCGCCCTCCTCTTCGTCGGTCAAAAGCTTGTTGTGAACGTCAGTGCGCAGCGCCCAGTTGAAACCCTTGCGCTCGTTACCCCACTCGATGGCGATGAGTCGCTTCTTGAGGGAGGGCATGGGTGGCGGGATGGGTGCTAGAGGGAGATTGTACTTGGGCAGGTCGGCCATCTTCTCCTTGAACGTTGGCTTGAAGCCCTCAAGCTCCTTTGCCGTCTTATGTGCAGTCGACATCATCGGGTCATCCTTCTCCACAAGAGGTGTCGCCTTGGCGGTCTTGCCTTGACCGACACACAGCATCCTAAAGGCATTCTGCAGGACCGGGTCCTGGTTCTCAAGCGGATCCGTAAGCTTCTTGCGTGCGACGAAAAGTTCCCGAGTCAGGAAAGCGCCGTGGTTCTCGATGGCCGTCCAGAGATTGCCATGACCTGGACTGTAGACCATGCCGACGACTGGATACTTGTCAATGGCAAGGGCCATGGAGATGCCGAAGTTGGGGAAGCCGCGGGTAAAATTGATCGTACCGTCAACAGGGTCAACAATGAAGGTAGGCTTGTCGCTGAGCTTTTGGCCATACGTATAAGACTCCTCACCAAGGAACTCGAAGTCAGGAAACGCCCCAGTGAGACGCGTATGGACCATGGTCTCAATGGCCTTGTCGTAGTCAGAGACCAGGTCGGAAGTGTTGTTCTTGGTAGCCGCTTGGGCAAGAACATCAAACTCGGCGTTGAGCATCATAGTGCCCGCGGCTTCGGCAAGCTCGATGAACTTGTCCTGGACCCGGTGAAGATCCTCGACGGTCACATCGTATTTCGCCAGCTTGTTTGCAAGCACGTCCGGTGTACGGGAAGGTGTTGTGGCAGCGGTGGTGTTGGACGAAGTGCCTGAATGCTCTGGGCTGCTGTCCGAGTCGACAATGATGGGGATAGTGGAGGTCATGATGCTGGGTGTATGGGTCTTCTTGATGGAGTATGGAAAACTTCGCGACGCTTTTGTAATCGAGGAATATATACGCTCTGGTGAGAGGTAGTGACTGTGATTGTGTGTTCGAGAATCGTGGATGGTTGTGTTGATGAGTGTGTGCGATGGTTGGTGAATGGCTGGTGTACTCGTACGAGATTGCGTGGAGGATATATACCTTTGAGACCCAGTCTGGCAATATAGTGAATACGCAGTGGGGTTATTGTACTGTGTTTGAACGCCCAGGCCAAGGCTGACCGTAAGGACCTTGGTGAAGCGTTTCAGAGCTCACGTTGAAAGGCCGATTTTTGATAAAAACCGTTGACAGGGCGGCACCTAAAAGTCGAGGTGAAGGTGGCATTGCGCTTACCTCCCCTTGGACCTCGCGAACAGAATACGTGAGACGTGATTTCCTTGTGACAGCTGCTGGTTGCGAACTAATGCGGCACGCACCATGAAACGGGCGTAGCCGAAGGGGCATTGATCCTAGATCCTTGCGGCTTCCTGAAGCACGGAAGAAACTATTAGATTCTGGAGCAGCGCCGTGCCCATCAAAGGTGGACAGACTGGTCGGACGTCTGCGAAAGCTCAACAAATGCCCATTGCTATATTTGTCGTGAACAGAATGGGGATTCGCGCTTGGTTGACAGACAAGCACAGTCGAATAAAAGGTACAGGGCTTGTCTTAAGGCCGACTGGGTTTGCTATTTTGACGCAGCTGTCACATGTTTGCTCTCTCACTGTCATACTACGAGCAAGCAAGCAGTGAGCAAATGTAAGTCTCAAAGGTCGGATCCTTCTGCAGGTCCGGTTCTTTCCGAAGTTCTTGCCGGCGCCGCGGAAGAGTTGGCCCAACAGGGCTTCTAGGCAGTGAGGACTTTTGGTCTGGCGTGAAGGGCCGTTAAGACAAACACAAAATCATTTTCAAGGATCGAGAATAGATGCATGTATATGAAGGTAGGAGACGGAGAATGATGCGGGGATCACGTCCGTGCGCGGCTGTTCCTCCCTCAAACGACGTCACCGCACCCTGATGGCCGTCGCACAGCAATAGTACACCGATATTGACCGCTTGCTGTTCAGCTGCGAGGCATAACATGTGATCTGCAGTATGAGAGCCTTCACTGGTGCACTTGATCGACATGAGCGTCAACATAAGGCTCGAGCTATCCGGCGTGCGTTAGCGGACATTACACCAAGCAACTCCAGGCTTCAAGAACAGTCTTTATTCTTCTCGAAACTGCCTGCCGAGATTCGTTTTATGATCTTCCAGCTTCTACTGAGCCAAAAGCACGACCACGAGAGACCTGTCAACTTTCACTCCATCTCGCCACTCTATCGACCGGGCCATGCGTATCGCACCAAGATCCATACGGCGATACTCCTCACCTGCCGCCTTGTATATTACGAGGGACATGCAATTCCCATAAAAAGCGCGACTCATCACTTTCGGCATCTGGGGAGTACCTCCTGGCTCTATGAAGGCGATGTCTGGCTCCACCACATGACGAAGCAACGCGGCGCGGACGTCTACCATCTGCATGACAATCTAGTTGCTCTGAATCGACGCAACTTTACCAAATTCTTCTTACCACATTTGCACTGGAAGAAAATCACATGGACGATATGCGCATACCTATGGCCTCCAATACTGGCTGGCTACCGTGAGATCGATCGCTTGGCGGAAACGCTTGCAGGCATCGAGCTACCAGCCTCGTGTCAAGAAGCCAACCTCGAGTTTGAAATTCGGGAAGATGTCCCAGAGTTCTGGGAAAGCCTTCAACAGCAGGCTGAGCTTTGCCAGAAGATAGGCATCCCATGTTCTTCTGAAGTACAGTCAGGATCTAGTACGCTTGAAAGCATACCGCAGCCTGCAGGTCTTAAGAAGAACGACAGAACAGTCTTGCGATTCGATGAATCTTATTCGAAACGATACGCGTGGGTCGGCAGCGGTCAAGCTCGATGGGGGACCAGCGCGCTCATCAGAGAGAAGGAGACTGTGAGGTACCGCACAATCAGGCTTTGCTGGCGTGCGAGAGTTCCGCGGAGAGATTACATGAGCTACGACCACATGAACTGCATGGACTTGACTAACTGTGAAGAGGTGAAGGGTATCGAGTATGAAAACACGACTGATGAAGCACAACAGGGTGCCGCATCTGGGTAGAGCCAACCATCGACAGATGCTTCTTGGACTGGCCTGCCGGACCAGTATGTCTCACACAGGCAATGGCACGAGGAAAACTGGATCTTCAGGCTAGACAATTTTACGAAGACGCTGCACTCTTGTTATCTCAAATCACGAAGGACAAAGCACTCAATGGCGCAGCATGTAATGAGACATAGTATGAACTGGTCTTTAGTGATATAATAGACGTGGTATAATCCCACCATCTGGTAGCACTTTTTTGGAAGCACAATACTTCCTCGAACGAATATTTCGACACCGACCCTCAACTCCCTCATCACCATGACAAGCCAGATTCCTTCCCAGAAAGCACAGCCCAGTAACGAGCCGCAGACTGATGATACACTAATTGCTGACCAGTCGCGTGTCGCCGGTGCACACCCAACCGGACTTCATTTTCATACGCGCTCACGTGTGCTGTTTAATACGCGCCAGCCAACTGAGTACCGGCCTGCCTCAGCACCCGTCCCGATCAATGGGCCTAAGAGCGCTGCGAACGCTCATGATGGGCAGAATTCTCCCACGTCTCCCTATGTGGGTTCATACGATTCCATACGCTCCGTAGGCAGCGTCAATAACTGACTTGGCGACGTCCCCAGCAATCACTACGAAGAGAAGATGAAGGGTAAGGAAAGAGATGAGTCTCATCATAGGTAAACGCAGCTTGTCTGAGGGTGGCTTGTTGCTAGGTGGGTGTGATTGATGCAACGCAATATGCGCCTTAAGCCTATGTATGTGTACGCAGCTGCAGCTAGAAAACAACCGAGTTCTTCTTCTTATTCTTCTTCTTACTCTTTTTAGATGTATCGATGCCGTTGTTGGCGACATTGTTTGCCTCACTGATGCCCTCGTGTTTGGAAGTTTCGAAGCTGCTGTCAGGCGCTACTGCATCTTCCTCCACTACTGAATCAGTTCGCATGTGTGAAGGCTTTCCGACCTCTGTAGCATGTTTGTTGACAATTTGGAGAACCTCAGGTTGTTCGGTAGTAGGCTCGATGGCTGGGAGATCAAATTCGTCGTTGAAGATGGAGTCGATAGCCACCTTGGCAGTCTTCTCTTCGATCTTGAGTTGGTATTGGGCTCGGAAGTCAGGCTTTGGAGCGACAGCTGTATCCAGTTCAAGAGGCTGTGGTTCGATCAGTTCATCTGCCGCCCTCGACGTAGGCGGGTTATCCACAACCGACTCCGTTGGTGAACGTAGTTGGTGGTGGTTACTCTGAGTCGACGCCCCGCTCTCAGTGATCATGCTATCAGCTAACGGCGTCTCGGCACCAATTTCCTTGATAGATGCCGGCGCTGATATGATTGCGTAGTTACTCATGACTGTCTTCCAAACTATCTGCAGCAGACGACTATTGCCCTCGACTCTGGTAATAAAGTCCGGTTTACGGAAGGGCCCTGGGTCCTGAGCCATCGCTTTTTGAATCACGTCTTCGAGGTACTGGGAGTACCATACATCAGTCTCGGGAAGCAAAGAGAAGGCTTGATCTCGAGCCACTCGAAGTATGTCGAAGATATGTAGACCTTCACTGGCTTCGACGATCTTGTCCTTCGAAAGCTCGGCGAGACTTGGGAGTTGGTACTGCACGGCCGCACAGTACACACAAGTCGAGTGCCTAAATTTGCCAACAGGTGCGTAGCGGAACTTGACCTCGAATGTGCCTGCATACAGGAAGTGCACCAAAGTATGCGCCGGTCCCTCGTCAAGCTTCGATAGGGATACAGGTTGCTCTTTGGAAGCCAAAGCGGACAGCGCTGCGCTCTTGTCTAGCATCCGGCTGTGAACCAAAAATCGAGTTGTCGAACTTCCTACATCTAAAGAGACAATTTCGGAGTCAACATACGGTCTTTTCAAGAGATATTAGTCAGTATTTCTCGTGTATTCGAACGGTGCTTCACTTACGAATGAACTTGGTGGATTGTCGGCGCATCCCGCTCATTGAGATCAACAATATCTCCAGGTATATCCGCCGAAATGAGATTCTTCTGATGCGAAGCAGCGGCAATCGAGTTGTCGCGGTACGCCATGTGGAGTATCGGCTTCCGTGTGCCCACAGCCAGGTTAGCCATCGAACATAGGCTTTTATGATCTTCAAGTGCGAATACACCAAAGCGAGGCTCAAATTCGCTGAGCTGTCAGCTCTTACGCTGTGAGGAGTGCATGCGTCGATGTGCTGGCAGTTGGACCAATCTTTCAGCCTGGTGGGAGAAAGTCTCCTGTTGGTCAACCTTGTGTGCTTCGCTGCACCACTCGCAGAATTCGTTCAAGTGGGCGCCACCTGCAGCCACCATTCGACAATGTTCTGGCTGTTCTGTGCCCCAGTATTTCGAGGCTCGAATGAAGTTCTGTGTCATGTCGAAGATCGGTGAAGTCGATCGGTGAAGGCGGGCTTGGTCGAACCACGGGTTGGGATGGAGCGGGCCGCAATGGAGCCTGAAATTTGCCTCGTGAACGAGGTATGGCGCAGAAAAATACCAGGAAATACTGTTGTTTGTGTTGGTTCATTGTAGCTTCAACTTACACCAAAGCGTTTCGCGCATCGATTGCGCTGAATATTGATGGGTGTATCCGTGGGTTGAAAGTTAGAATATGTTGAGCGCACGCCACTGATGTTTGCCGTGCCCACGCTGCTACTTGATGTGCAATGCACACCAATAGCGGTCATTGGCTGGCGCGGGTAACTATCAGTCTTGTCCTTAGGTATGTTGTACGCAAAATCCCGGTAATCGTAGGCTCCATAGAGTCCAGTGATGTTGTGATCAATGCTGAGGTTGTATTGCGGAGCAGGACCGGTTCCATACGACGTATTGTAGACCTTTTGCCACAGCGGCATCTCGAATACTCTCTCCTGATCGATACCGGGGTATTCACCTGTCGGAACGTCATTATTATTGACGTAGCAATTGGTATTTCCCGTGGAAGTTGATCCGTGATACTCTTGTTGGGCCGTACTTGGTAGGCCGTCTCCAAAACAGCATTTAAGTTGCCTGCCCACAGAACTCGGAGTATATCCGTCTGGTTCTGAATGATTACCCTGGAAAGGCCATCCTGTATGTAATAACTCTTCAAGCCCTGGGTGGCGTTCAATATGCCGTTGTTCGATGCAGTCTGTCTGTCTTTCAAGATGCTCATCTCCTCGAGATTGTTGACGACAGTATAATCGTACTGAAACAACAAGCCCCAAGCTTTGCCTTCAAGAGGCGTTTCTGATTGCGCAGTCATGAAGATGCGGGGAACTCCTGCATCTTTCGGCAACGCATTGGGGACTTTGTTGAGAAAGGCGTGCTGTGAGCGATCGAATCCTTCCTGGATATTTACAATGCCTTGTCCTGGGACTCGCGCAACCAAAGCGTTCTCCCATGTAACACCAGCTCCAATGAAGACGTCGGTGCTGGCTCGTTCGTTGAAGTTTGCGTAGGCGAAACCGGTAACATTCGATCCGACGACAAGTTTACCATGCAGGAATCCTTGCGTCGTTTCCAGAAACAGCCCTGAAAATGGCCAAGCAATGAATATCAGTGTACTCGGTATCACAAGTGCGAACCATAGTCGATAGGGAAGCTTGCGCTGCACACCAAACTTGGGTTTCTGCGCTACCCAATTCAGCATCTTAAGCCAGCCACCTGGGCCAGACCAAGTCCTATCCGCGTGCATCGTCAACCGCATTGCATCGCCGACGTTCCATGCAGGCTCCATCAATATAGCCGCTTCTACTCCAGCGAGTCCGAAAAGGCTGAGATTAAGTCCCACAATACCGGCAATGAACCAGCTGTAGAAAACATGGATTGCGCCGGGTGGGATGAATGCCAATGGGCTATGCATATCGGCAGGTGCCAGATAGAGGCGCCATATTAGAATGAAGTAGGCGGAGACAACAACGGGTCCCAGCACGCCAACCGCGGAACGGAAATAGAAACGATGAAGAGGCTGCCTTCTGACAGGGTTACTGAAGGTCCTTCCGACTTCTGCGACCTTGACGAAGCCTCGTTTGCCGTTCAAGTCTTTCCTGAAGGCCTCTTCGTCGGCATGAGAGCGACTGTATTTTGTAAGTGCCAATGTCAGTACAGCCTTCTGTAAGTCTACAGCGCACCTGCCAAGCTGCCACACGTGATTGACGATGGCATCGGATGTTTTTGGACGTGGCGGGTTCCTTGGGGAAGTACAGAACACGACTGTCCGTCGATGAATGAAAGAGCGTCGAGTGCAGAGAAGCCTCTCGGTCTGACATATTGGTGCTCATAATTAATTTGTATTCCATCTTATTTCGAGATGGCGCACGGCAAGTAGTGGCTGGCTTGCAGGATGGTGGCGTCTTGGTGGATCTGGTGCTGGTGGTTGGTAGCTTAAGCGCTTTGCGGCGCCCAGCTCTCCTGCGTAACAACGCGCGCTGACCTCGATAGCCCTATTCTCTCTATCTGTATAAAGATTGACCATCCCAAGATTGTGCTACGGTCTTGCTGCTGGGTTGAATTCGTGATGTAGAAAGCATATCTACATTCGAGAGATGTGATCGCGAGAACGAAGCTCGACACTTTCAGACGGCGATCCAAGATATCGCGACCCAGCTCTTTCGGAAGCTGACAATGGAATGTCGTAATATTAAACGATGCGGCCGTACTGCATTGCAGAGCCCATGTGAAATATAGGCGTAGAGCTGCCTACAGTCGCTAGTGAGAGATCGCGGGCCTTCACCTTGGAGCAGCCTTATCTGGTATGACGAGACCACACGACCTACCTGAAATCGAGGTGAAGTCGCCTTGCGCCTGCGGATAGCTCAAGTTTGCCCATCTTCGAAATTAACGTTGCCTACTCGACATCTTCTCCCGTACACACCTTCTCGACAACCTTGACTGCGCACCCTTGAGACCAATACAGCAACTCAATCATGTCCGACACCGACCCTAAGACTCCAAGCAAAGGTGGCGCCGCAGCTGCTGCTACCGGTGCAGCATGGACCGACACCGAGCGCGTAGGTCTCCAGGAGTCCTTCAGTGTCCAGCTCTTGCTAACAATCCTAGATGGCGTACCTCATCGTGATCGCCGAACACGCTCTCGAAGCGCCCATCGAATCCAAGATATCTGTACGTACTCTGATCTCCTTACCCTTCCTCTCCATCCCTCATGCTCTAGCTAATGGCTTGAACAGCAAGCTCCCGTCCCCGGCGGCCGCAACGTCAACGCGTGCCGCAAGATCATCAAGAAGCTCAAGGACAGGCTCAAGGACGATATCGAGAATATCAAGGCCGGTCGCCCTGTCGTTTCTTCTGTTGATGGCGACACCGCTGCTACGCCCGGCAAAGCCACTCCCCGCAAGCGCAAGACCGATAGCGGCGAGGACGGAGACGCTTCACCTAAGAAGAAAGCTACTCCGCGCAAGATGAAGAGCGAAGCCACCGTTAAAGACGAGGAGGAGGTCAATGGCGAGGTCTAGTGCATCGGTTGACGCTTACGAAGTAGTGCTTGGGTGCTGCGAGTTCATCTTGGCTGGGCGCTCAGCGTCAGAGTATGCACCAAGACTGAGCAACTGCGTTTGATAGCATTACCACGACTACCACTGAGGAGGGCAGATCAGCGTTAGGAGGACGTTATTGCTACCGGGATGCACCAGGAAAAGAAGGGGCGCCTCGCTCTAGGTTTCCATGGTTGTTGGCTTTGCTCAAGCTGTTTCACATCCTCATTATGAGTGACTACAAAGGACTTTCCAATTTTCAATGATCTCTTTCCGTCTAGCTTGTCGTAGTTCTTTAGGATTTTATGTGATGCAGGACATGCAGGCCAATATGACCGGACCACGTTGTGCCAACTGAAGTGGCAGCAAACACTAAATCGCTGTCCAATCAGGTGCTCAGAGAAGCGGAAAGGAGCACTGAACTGCACAGGGACGAAAACCATAAAATAAGGCACGATGATATCAACATACGCAGCTGCGGTGCTCTTAAATTCCAAACCAGCATTAAAGATGATGAGTGAAAGGCCATGCTCTTCGTGAGCAAGTCCGCGATGACGATATCGGGCAGATCAGATCTGTTCACCGAGCACCGAGCGAACTGTGCCCTGCATCCTTGATGGCTTGGCAATAATGATGCTGCATCTTTGGCTTTGCGACAGCAGAGAACTGCCCGTTAGCCTGTACAATCCTATTCCGCGCGCGTGTGTATTTTGTGCTTCGTTCAGAAGTAGCAAACGTGTGATAGAAGTGGCACCTGGGCATGCTTAGCCGGTACGCTGTCGCCTCAGCCTGGAAAAGAAGTTTCTCGTCATCAACGCCGCCGTCCTTCACCGCGATCTATTTCTTCAGCAGACCTATTTCTCGCCTTTGGTCTGCATCGACGCTCCTTCACCGCGCCTACACCGCCTCCACCCGACTACAAACATCCTCGCCCATGGAACAAAATGGCGCGCACAGCAAGCGCAAGCAGCCGCCTACACCCAGCATCGAGCGCCCAATGAAGCAAATCAAAGCCGAGACGGAGGTCCACAGCCGCAACGGTGTAGCTGCGTCGCCCACGCCTGAGATGGACGTCGACGATGCGCACAGTGACGTCAGCCTCGAGCCTCTCCCCATTGTGCCTGTCGCCGGCGCAGTGCATGATACGGCTGAGTGGCAGAAGACGATCGAGGGCGTCGTGAAAAGCGTCGTATCGATCCACTTCTGCCAGACGTGCTCGTTCGACACTGACCCGGCCATTGCCTCAGAGGCGACAGGATTCGTTGTTGACGCCGAGAAAGGCTACATCATGACGAACAGGGTATGACCAGCACTGAACCTTCCACTAACACCGTATACTAACACACACAGCACGTCGTTGGCGCCGGACCCTTTATTGGATACTGCATCTTCGACAACCACGAGGAGTGCGACGTCTATCCCGTTTACCGCGACCCCGTCCACGACTTCGGCATTCTGCGCTTCGACCCTTCCAAGATCAAGTACATGCCCCTCACTGCGCTGGAGCTGAAGCCCGACCTCGCCAAGGTCGGTGTCGAGATTCGCGTTGTGGGTAACGATGCTGGAGAGAAACTCAGTATCCTGTCTGGTGTCATCAGTCGACTGGACCGCAACGCCCCCGAGTACGGCGAGGGTTACTCCGACTTCAACACCAACTACATTCAGGCTGCGGCCGCTGCGAGTGGAGGAAGTTCCGGCAGCCCAGTCGTGAACAGGGATGGCTATGCTGTTGCCCTGCAGGCTGGTGGACGATCAGATGGCGCTGCGACCGACTACTTCCTGCCCCTCGATCGTCCTCTTCGCGCTCTAGAGCTCGTCCGTTCAGGGAAACCCGTCTCACGGGGCACAATACAGACACAGTGGATACTTAAGCCTTTCGACGAGTGCAGGAGGCTTGGCCTATCAGCGGACGTTGAAGAGGCTGTACGCACTCAATTTCCCAAGGAGACTGGCATGCTGGTAGCTGAGGTTGTCCTTCCACAGGGTCCTGCAGCTAGCAAGGTTGAGGAAGGCGATCTTCTGACACACGTAAATGGCCAGCTTCTTACTCAGTTCGTGCGCCTGGATGCGATATTAGACGACAACGTTGGCAATAAAGTCGCAATGACGATCCAGCGTGCCGGCGAAAACATTGACGTCGAGCTGGACGTTGGCGACTTGCACGCTATCACACCAGACAGGTTCGTGTCTGTGGCAGGAGCCTCATTTCATGATCTGTCATATCAGCAGGCTCGCCTGTATGCCATCTCACTCAAGGACGCAGGTGTCTACGTGTGCGAAGCAGCAGGTTCGTTCCGCTTCGCTGACGGCTACGCGTCTGGATGGTTGATCCAAGAAGTCGACAACCAGCCCACGCCCAATCTTGACGCCTTCATCGAAGTCATGCGCAGAATACCTGACCGCAAGCGCGTCGTCATGATGTACAAGCACCTCCGTGATCTGCATACTGTTAACACAAGTATCACAGCCATCGACAGGCATTGGCACGCAAAGATCAGAGTAGCTACACGCAACGATGCCACAGGGTTGTGGGATTTCAAGCCGCTAGCTGACCCTGTGCCTGCCATACCGCCAGTGCCGCGACGCGCCAACTTCGTCAAGATGAACTCGCAGTACCCAGAAGCCGTCGACATTGTTCGTAGCCTTGTGCGAGTACATGTCTCCATGCCAATCAAGCTTGATGGGTTCCCCAAGATGAACAAGCAAGGCTATGGAATTGTTGTAGACGCCGAGCAAGGTCTCGTCCTTGTCTCGCGAGCGATTCTGCCGTATGATCTCTGCGACATTGCTTTGATCATCGCAGACAGTATCTTCATTGACGCCAAGGTCGTGTTCATGCACCCATTGCAAAACTACGCTATTGTCAAGTATGACCCTTCGATGGTCCAAGCCTCAGTCAAGACACCAAAGTTCGCAACCGAGTTCATCAAGAAGGGTGACGAGACTATCTTCTTCGGCATGAATCAGAACTTCCGCCCTGTTGTAACAAAGACTGTCGTAACAGACATCACCACGGTCGCCATCCCCGCCAGCGCCATCACACCCCGCTACCGCGCTACCAACTTCGATGCCATCACAGTGGACACAAACCAAGCGTCTCACAGTGGTTCAGGTGTTTTGATCGCTGAAGACGGCACAGTTCAAGCTCTTTGGCTTTCTTACCTCGGTGAGCGGACATCACACAGCGGCAAGGACGTTGAATACCATCTAGGTCTCGCAACACCCAACCTTCTTCCAGTTCTAAACGAGATCCGCGGCGGCAAGACGCCTAAACTTCGCATCCTGAATGTCGAGTTCCAGACTGTTCAGATGAGCCAAGCGCGCGTCATGGGCGTCTCGGAGGAATGGATCGAGAAGACCGAGCACGCCGACCCAGAGCGCCACCAGCTCTTCATGGTGCGCAAGGTCGATTCCGGCCACGGCGACGGTCTGCAGGAGGGTGATGTTGTGCTCACACTCAACGGCAAGCTCGTCACGCGCAGCCCCGATCTCGACATCATGTACACCAATGAGTTCCTGGACGCTGTCGTTGTCCGCAAGCGCAACGAGATGTCTATCAAAGTGCTCACCGTGCCCACCGAAGACCTTGAGACAGATCGTCTCGTCAGCTTTTGCGGCGCGACGTTCCATCGTCCACACCAGGCTGTGCGCCAGCAGATCAGTAAGGTGCATTCCGACGTGTACATATCGTCGCGCGCCCGCGGCTCGCCGGCGTACATGTACGGTGAGTCATTCATCCCAACTCTTCCTAACTCATGCACCCACTAATGAGAGACAGGCCTCGCACCAACCAACTTTCTGACGCATGTCAACAACAAGCCCACTCCCGACCTCGACTCCTTTCTCGAAGCTGTCAAGCAGATCAAAGACAACGAGTACTTCCGGCTTAAGGTCATGACGTTCGACAACGTGCCGTGGGTCGCCACTATGAAGAAGAACGAGCATTATTTCCCGACTATTGAGTTTGTCAAGGATAAGAGTGAGGAGCTGGGCTGGCGGAAGATTATCCATGAGTGTGATGATGGGGGTGCGCGTGAGGAGGCCGTGGATGGTGGTGAAGCCGAAGCAGCGGAGGGTGAAGGATGCGAAGAATAGAGGTGAGTGGAAGAGGTGAACTGATTGTCCTGCATTGTATGATAGACACACGGGCGAGGCGACCTATACCACCTGCCTAGTATCCAAGAATCACATTTTCAACAGCAGGGTGCTCGTTAGCTGAAGTGCTCATCGTGTAGTTTAGTGCCCTCCTGATCCAGCGGAGCGGTAAGCTACGCTCTACATCGAGCAGATAACTCCCGTTTTCTTAAACCCGTCATCGTCCCTTATGATTCCCCCGATTCTGCACTTGACGCAGATACTGCCCAATCGAGCGCTGCTTATCCTTCGCCCACCCAAGTACCTTACGTCCATAGAAGTCCTCTGCCACCCGTCCAAGCCGGCTATTCGCGCTACCCATCGAGCGCCCAGATGCCATGGACGTCGTACGCTGGAGTTTGTGCGTGTCAAGAAGTAACGTCGTGGACGGACTACGTCGATGGTTTGAGCGCTGAGACAAGGACAGGGCGCTAAGCACCGAGGCCATAGAACCGTTGCGCTGGAACGGGTGGCTGCCGCGTTCTGAGGGGAGGATTGCGATGTCGCTGGGCGGGATGGAGCGCGCCACGATGGTTATGCGTCGACCCGTTGGCGCCGCGGGCGGGAGATCTTGGGGGAGTGGGCTGAGCTCATCCGCCCATTCGTCCTCACCTGCTGTGTGGGTGGGATAGGGAGGCTTGGTGGTGGAGGGTGTTGAGGAGTGCTGTGGCATTGTGTATCAGTATCTGTGAGTGGGTGTGTTGAGTGTAGGATATGTAGAAATGCCTACCTCGAATGATCAAGTGTGTTGCACTGCTTATACGTTGTGGGTAGGTCGAGTCGCGAAATGTTGTATTAGATGTCTTCGCGGACTGTATTTGTTGACTGTGAAGCTTCCAAAACGATGCTGTGAGTCTCAGACATGGAGTGCGAAGTAACGAGGTGGGCTTTTGTCCTGAGTCAAGCCTATGGCTGATACTTGCACGTCTTCAGACGGAGCTGTCAGCATATATACATCGAAGCCTCCCGCACAGAACCCGGTAATATCGACGGTTGTTGTGAGATGCGGAGGGAAGCTTGTTTGTTCTGGTCGGATTAGACCAGAGAGGACCAGATATAAACCTGTAGACACCGGTTCTGGAGTCCAAGCAGAAGTTCTACATGCATGAAGGTGACAACAGATGAACAGGTGAACAGAGATTTAGACCATTGGAAGCGTGGACAGTCGGGTCAAAAGAGCATACCAGATCAATGTCTGACGGAACACTAACAGCAAACCGGGAACGCTACGTATTACTGTTGTGATGATAATTAGAACAGAAGAGTAGAACATGCTGATGGCACTACCAATTTACTTGGAAGAGTAGAGAACATCGTCCGAACGAGTCATCTTTTGGTACGCAAGAATAGACCGGTAATTACGGAGGTTCATCCCAGGGCTGGGGATGAAACACAGGAGTGGCAAATTATTGACTGCTGTCATGGGAGATTCTGTCGAAAGACGACGAAGACGTTGACTGAGCGAACGGCTCTTTTGGTATTCACGACTGGAACGGTCGTAATAGCGAAACAGCGGATATATGCCAATTGTGTTGAAGACTTGAGCGGAAGAAGAGAACGAACATAATCGGAGGCAGATCTAACCTTGTCATTTGACAAGGTGGTTGCGGTGATGAGAGACTTGCTTCATGGCCACTTCGGGAACGGACGAGCGGCGGAGCATGTGCACTAGTTTGCTTCAACCAGTTCAAAGAAGAGCACAGAATATAGCCCACGTCGGACTCCAGTTTTGGTAATGAAGAAGGGGCGTTCGATGACGAGAGGCCGGTGCGGTGGTTACACCCCTGGATTCAGTTTTTCTTTGGGCTCCACATCTTCCACATGCATGAGCTTGAACCGCGTGATTTCATAATCAGATAAAATTTCAGGCTCGATTCGCTCAATCCCGCCCAATCTCCCCATTCACATGGAATTGTTGTCCTCGCCTCCACCCTCAGATGCTCAGCCTAGCAAGTGGCCAACATGCTCGTCAACGCAGTCTTCTCCGCACTTGTGATCGTCAGCGAGTACACGCTCTTGACCTTGACCCACATCTTCGCATAGGTGCAGTAGTAACTTGTTAGCGGGGGCTTCCAGTCCTCAGGCCCGGAATCGCTCTTTGCCTGGTTGACATTGTCGGTCACAGCGAGAAGCTGCGGGTTCGTCAGGTCATTGGCGAAGGCCTGGCGTTGAGCCGTGGTCCATGAGGCGGCGCCGGACTAATCCGTGTTAGTGCGTGTGATTCTTAAAGGCGGGAGATGAGGACGAGGAGATAGAAGGGTGAGTTCTTGGATGCTTACCTTCCAGGCGTTACTCAGGGGGACCATGTGGTCAATGTCAACGTCACTGGCCGCAGTCCACGTAGCGCCGTCGTAGGGTGACACCCATGTTCCGGATGTAGCGGCGCAAGAAGAGGACTGGACGACGTTTGTGCCGTCACGTGCGAGGACGACTTCACGGGTGTTGCAGGTGCCTGTGGTGGTCAGTATGAGCTTTCGGTGATCCGTTACTTTCTATACCGGACTGGGTGATCCAGTGAGGGAACAGGTCACGTGAGTATCCGGTCTGGGGGCCCTGGGCGGCGACTGTGAGACCAGCGAGCTGAGTCTTTGCGGCAGCTGTGGTGGGGATGTTCGGTGGTGCGCGGGCAACAAGAGGTGCTGGTGCGGCCGCGGCGAGAGTCGCCAGAGCGAAGGTGAGGATAGCAGTCTTCATTGTGACCTGTATCGGTGTATGAAGTGACCGTGAGAGGAAATGGGGCTTGATGAAACCAAGCGAGATTGCTCGAAGCCGGGATCCGAAGAAAGGAGTTGCTGGAAGTCCTATCTTCTCTTCTAAAAGTCGTTGATGTTCGCCAGTTTTATAAACTTTCCCGCGAGTCGTTTAGCAGCAGTCCTCGGAGACTAACAGCGAAGTCGCACAGGAACACCCAAGGCTTCAATCAGTATGCCAATGATAATGATCTTCGGAGCCACGCGCTCACAGTATCAATAAGTCCTCTGCTAAAGGACAGCACTTGTACATGCACCAACGCTCTTACGAACCCAGACTGGCAGGTCAATACCCTGGCCAAGATGCGAATCTTTGCATATCTTCCACTGATTCGGGCGAAGTAGGCGATGTGTACCTGATTGACCACATGCTGCTCGACACAGCAACGTCGCAACTGCCAGGACGGGACTCGGGGCCGACCTTAGTAACATTTCCTTCAAGCTGACTGGACGCTCGGAAGATTACCAGAGTTTCGAACAACGTGCTGAGGGGGAAGCTTTAGGAAGGTTGGGTGCAGGTGCTCTTATCGCGTCATCTGATTGGGCAATCTACTTTCGGCGTTGTATGTAGATCACTGTTTGATTGGCGCAGTAGATGAAACTCCAATAGGCACGGCGGTTCTACGGTTCGGGACGAGGGAAGTCGGCATGATCAGTTGCAGATGAGATAACGAGTAGATAACCAGGAGGGCAGAACGTGAGGAGGCGTTGTCTTGTCATAACAGCGTGCGCTGGGGTGGGCTTTAGCGGAGGGATCCGATCAAACTGCCGGGACGCCAACGGCAAGGGCTGGAATGGGAGATCTTACCCCGCGTTCGCACGCACATGATGGTCTAAAATCACTTGTGCCAAGGGTGGTCTTGGCTTGAAGTAGGAATGCCAAGCCGCAAGCAGTCACTCCATCGCGCAAGCTCGCTGAGAAGTTCGTATCAGTCGTAGCTGTGGTCAAAGAGCGCGCTCTGCGTTTTGGATTGGCCTGCATCTCGAACGAAAACCGCATCAAGTCGCACAGACAAGTAGATGCCGGCGCTTCGGATATAAGAAATATATGGGCCGTTCCAGCCGCAGTGCCAACCCCTTAGTGCCGCGTTCAATGGCATCTGAAAAACATTCCGTTTCGAGTAGGTATGTATGCTCTGGGAGCCTGGGCATTGTAATATCTGAACCTTCTTGATAGGCCTCTCCAACGAAGGTTCCAGACGTCCGCGCCGGATGAAGGAGGTGCCACGTAAGGATGGCGTCGCCAGTTCAGGAATCCATATCAACTTCCATCGGCGTCCGCCGTATGTTCGATTGCTTGTTGATACAGGCGTTTGCGTAAATGTATTTCGTGACATTGGCAACAAAGCGTCCCTACTCAGCAAAATCGAAGGCCCTGAACGCCTCTTTGAACTTCTCAACGTCCTGCTCTTCCTGCGGTTGCGTCTGACCACAGTCTTTCCAATCGATCCTCTTGTCCAGTCTGAGGAGCTTGGCCAACACTTCTCGACCGAACTGATTGTGGAAGCGTATCTTGTCGTCGAATCGCAGGACCAAGCTTGTCTGCTGATCTGGGGGGTTCTTGGGATCCCAGACTAGAACTCTGAAAAAATCGCTGGTCTCATCGATCCCATCGCCGACATCGGCTTTCGAGAATGCTGGCCAATGCAAGTTTTCGGCCAATGCCTTGAAGGCAGCTTCAATAAGACCTCTTCGTATCAGATCGGCCGGGACCGGAAGATACTGCCAGTGCGTGTGTGGCAGACTCGCTTTGCTGACTTCCCATGTCACAGAGCCATACTCCTCACCAGCGGTCGAATTCAGCATGCTGTTCACAGCGACTCGATACTTCTGCATCTCGTCGTAGGTAGCCCGTCGCTCCTCTTCCTCCATCGCAGCGAGTGTCGGCTGATGTGAGAACGGAATGATCAATATATGGCAAGGAAACCCAAGCTTGGGGTAAGTTTGTGATGTCGACAACGGCCCTCTCGCTGTGGTCACGTAGGAGCTATCACCAATAGAGGTCACCAGGTGTGTAGCAACATTCTCATTCGCGAGGCAGAAAAAGCATTCTGATGCAGTCACTGGCCCTCGCGACTCACCCTTGCGTCGCTTGTTCCATCTTCTGCCACCCCGGTTGTCGTCGTCGTACACTAAAGCCTGCTCTCTAGGTTCTGGAGCAGCTCGTTTCTTCTCTGATAGGACGAGAGGACAAGCCGTTGAGCCAGGCGGAGGCGCGACGGGGTTGCTCGCTTTTGGGTCTATGGAGAAGGCGTAGATCCACTTCTGCTTCTTAGGGTTGCCGAACCTAGCCAGACTGATGAATCTCGTGACTGGGTAGAGGTTTTCGGTGTCGTCACTGGGGTTGTGAAAAAATGGCTCCCGTTCCCAAAATATGCTCCCGGACGTCGAAAAATGGTACTTTGGCTTGAGAACTATGTCGAGGTCGGCAATACAATGCTGTTGCGAAGGTGAAGCATCTTCATCAAGGTCGAACTTTGATCGCTTCTGGATGCCCTCAGGCCAGTCGCTAGTTACAAGAATGTCCGCTGTTGCTGCTCCACGCAGAGTTTTTGCGTCTGATTCGCCGTAGAATGGTGGATACTTGTCTTTGGACTGGCCCGCGATGATGTTAGGGTCGATTCGGCCGCCAAGTGCGACAATGCGAATGCCCTCTGAGGTCTTCATAGTCGTTCGTTTCCCGAGAAAGTGCAAGTTGTGACACAGCTCATCATCTGAAGACTGCAATTTCTCGACGGCTGCTGGTGGTAGGGCACGGCCGCCAAGAGCGAAGTATGTTGGAAGTGCAACCTCGATCTTGCCGTCGATCAGCGACTGCACATCTCGCCCCGTGACATCGCTGGAGCTCTCTGTGCTGGCAAATAGATTGCCAACAATGAGTGCGAAGGCAAAGTTGTTCTTCGCGTGCAGCGCGTTCACCTTTTGGAAGACTGCCTTGAATTGGCCGTCTACGTCGCCAATGACCATGCTGCCTCGACGTTAGCATGTACGCTGGAGATGTTGCACGTGCAACTTACATTTTGGAAGCCATGATGGTGTCGCGTCAATGATAGCAGCCTTTGGTGTTTGGGAACTGCCTCGGAAGTCCGCAACAAAACGTCCGAGCGTCCAAAAAGTGGCAGCCGCTAGTGAAGAAATTCAGTGGAGCTCGAGGAAAGAGCAGCCACCCAGACTTCAGCAGTCGCAAATCTCACACACAATATGCCAGCAATGTCGCGGGGCGCAACTGGCAAATCCTCCACAAAATCGGACGCGAGGTCGTCCTCGAAGCCGTCCTCGAAGCCGTCCTCGAAGCCGTCCTCGAAGCCGTCCTCGAAGATCTCGAGAGCCCGCGCACCGAAACATACGAAAGGCGGCACGGCCTCGACCCGCAACCACCGCTTTAAGGGCTTTTCGCAGCGCATTGCGGATATCAAAATCGAGCCCGTTCGCCGCGGCCGCAATACCATCATCGACGATGCCGAACTCGAGGCGACCTTCTCGTACTTCCGAGACTCTTTCTTGGAGTGGAAGGAGCTCTGTCTGGCCGAGAATTTTGTACATTTCTCTCGCAAGGTGTCGGCGCTATGTGACAGCCTTCCACAGGTGCTCCATCACAGCGACCGCATTATCGACCTTATGGTCGAGTTCATAGAAAAGGGCGACAAGTTCAGCATGGAGCCGCTGCTGAGCCTGATGGCACACCTTGCACACGATCTGGGCGAACAGTTCGAGAAGCACTTCGAGAGGGTAGTCAGGGCTGTGACGCATCTGGCGTCCACACATGCAGAGATTGAAGTCATTGAATGGAGTTTCACGTGTCTGGCATGGCTGTTCAAGTACCTGTCTAGACTCTTGGTACCAGATCTGAGACCGACGTTCGATCTGATTTCGCCTCTACTAGGCCGCGCACACCAGAAGGCTTTCATCGCACGCTTCGCCGCCGAGTCGCTCAGCTTCCTCGTCCGCAAGGCCGGAGCCGGACACCACCGAGACAGGACACCTCTGAACTTGATAGTCAGGCATATCGCGGAGCAGCTGAAGGAACTACAGGATAATGAGAAGGATCAAGAGTTTCAGCAGGGCATCATGTTCCTGCTGGCAGACTCGCTGAAGGGCATACAACGAGGCACACATTCAAGCGCAACAGCAATCCTCCAGGCTCTCCTGGCTGAAGCATATCACGAAGACTATGCGTCTCTGCAGTCGCCGCCACTCGAGCCCGTCCTCGTGGGAGTTGTCACTGCGGTCATCCATCATACAGACTCCGAGAACTTCAGGCCGCTCCTCGACGTCATATTAGCACAAACCGTTTCGGCAAGCCCGGAGTACGCTGCGCTATCATCTCGACTGCTCTTCATAGTTTGCGGTGTGAGAAAGGGTACCCGCATTGCGGACTGGAAGCCCGTACTTTCTGCTTTGGAACATGTTCTAAGCAGTGTGAACGACCCCGCGAACCTCGAATCTGCCGAAGCTTGGGACCTTTTATCAGCAACTACCGTGGTATTCCAGTACTGTGCCCTCGATTCTGCGATACCCTACGAAAAGCTACTGGAAGGGCTCGCTAAGGGATCATGGGACCAGTACTTTCTGCCTTTCTGCAATACGTTTGCGGAACTCGGCGCAGAAAAGTTCAAGGCCCTCTTGCTCCCATACTTCAAGCGGTCAGTATCGCAGAATCACAGGCCTAAATATACTTCTAACATATCTCAGCTTCGTTGCACAGAAAGCGCACGAACACGGGCCAGAGCTCTGCATCATTCTCCCGCAACTGTATCAAAGCGGCACCATAACAGCTGGTGTCGTACGGGCTTCAGACCGCTGGCAAACGCTTCTCGACAGCCCGTTCCGTGAACTTTTTAAAGTGCAGTCCGACGAAGAGCAGCGGATTAAGTCGACATACCACTGCAACGCACTGCTCGATGCCTTGGAGATATTGGCCGTTCCCGAAGACAAGACACGACGCATCTGGGAGGAACTTAAAGAGCTGCTTGACACATCCGCCAAGGTAGACTCGACCGATAACACTCGCAAGACTAACATATTCGGCACTGGCAAGGGCTTTCAGTACCTGGTGGACAAGTCTGTGGATGACCAGAACTTTGCCCTTAGCTTGTGGCCTACGCTATGTCAAGCAACGCCAGTGTATGCGCACTCACTATCGTTCTGGAAGGCGCTCCTTGCTTTGATGCAGAAAAAAAAACAGATCATACTGACAACTGGTCCTCATATGGAACCTCTGAAGCGCGAACTCATGCGATGTTTGGGCTCGCCATCTCATGAGCTGAGATTAACTGCAATCTACATCTTGGACATCATCGCAGGAAAGAGTGAGGAACTGCGCCACATCATCTCTGTTGCCATGATGATCGAGCAGACACCACTTGATCTTGAAAACCAGAGGTCAATCTCGATGCGCATTGGTCAATTGGGGAAGCTCTATCACGATGTCCGCGCTGACGAGTGGGTGGGCGAGATGATACCCACCTTCTGCTTCGGTTTGCTACATGTGAGAATGGCGTCAGCTTGGGCCGACACCTGCGCAGCGTTGAAAACTATGTGCGACACCAGAGAAGGCGAAGCGTTCATCTCGCAAATTGCTCTTGCCTGGCTAGGGGAACCAGAGTCTTCGGAGAGCTCTGCGAGCGGCCTCACGAAAGATACTAAGACCAAGCGGTACGCGAACGAGTTTGAATGCACAAACGTGTTTCAACTACAGGATCTCGTTGCCAACAACCAGGAGCTATCGTATGATATCGACGACAAGCTCGAGTCAATGTTCGATGAGAAGCATCCGCAAATTCCCTTCATCAACGCCTTCAGTAGGACACAAGCGCTGCGTTTGCTAAACGCAATACCGCAAGTGGCCGAGAAGCGTTCGCGTATGCTCGTGCCTGTACTGCTGGATTGGGCCCTGGACCTGCCAGTTCCTGAAAGCGGGAACGAGGATACCAACGACGATGTGCCCGAGCCCACACAACAGCGATGGAACCGCAAAGACCAGAAAGCAATGCTGACTGTCTTCTCGAAGTTCAACAACCCAAAGGTGTTGTTCCGGTCTAGCGAGGTTCGGGATGCTCTGTTGTCTCTGCTCAGCAACGGTGATGTCGAGATCCAGAAAGCCGCACTTCAAGCGCTCCTCACGTGGAAGGATCGCGCAGTAACACCGTATCAAGAAGATTTGCTTGGTTTACTCGACGACCAGCGTTTCCGGGACGAGCTACCGATCTTCCTCAGCGAAGGCAAGATCCTAGACAACGATCTTGCTGACGTTCTGCCCATCATCCTCCGATTGCTGTACGGCAAGGTGATTGCTGGCAAGCGAGGTCTGGAATCAAAGAGGAAGAGCGTATTCATCGGGCTGAAGAACAGGTTTGGAGACGATGCGATTCATCAATTCCTGAGCATCGCCTTCGGTCCGCTGAGCGGCGCATCAATCCTCAAAAGTGGTGCGCTCGATGAGGATCTGCTGCGCAAGGATCTAATCGACACGCGCAAGCAGGTCGGTATGCTGAATATGCTCGATGACCTGCTCAGCACCTTCAAGTCGACTTTCACACCGTTTACTGCCGATGTTGTAGATCCACTCATGTACTGCCTTGTCAAGGCGTCTCGAGACTTGCACACTGCTGCATCGACCGAGGAGGCAGAAAACGATGACAGCCACAAGTTCCAAGTTTCATTGCTCAGGACCGTTCGTCAACGTGCTCTACAATCTTTGGCTAGGCTATTTGAGAGCTGCCCCGAATTCCACTGGAACCCTTACACGTCGCCGATTGTCAAGGAGCTGGTCGAGCCAAGACTGGGCCAATTGCCTATTGAGACTGCTCAATCCATCTCTGGTCTACTTCGACTATTCGCGTCGTGGTCAAAGACCACGTCAACGGCACCCTTCCTTGTTGAATATAATAAGGCTATTCTGATCAAGACCCTCGACATCCTGGATGTACCGTCCGCCAAAGACGACGTAAAGCAGTTTGTTCTGGACGAGATTGTGCGCAACATTATCTCACTTGTCGCTAACGATGCGGATTCATCATCGGTGGATGCGAAGATTCAGAGGAACCGTGTCTACACGGATATTATCCAGCCATACTCGAACGCCATTTTGGCTAGCGTTGGCGGCCTTCTCCGTAAGAGCCCAAGCAAAGAAGTCCTCGAATCAGGAGTCTTGGCTGTTGCAGAACTTGCACCTCACGTCATTGGTTCGACCGAGTCCCGTAGCATGATCGAGATTGCGACATTCCTTATTCGCCAACCATCGAAACGAGTCAACCCAAGAACGAAGCTTGGTCTGCTCAAGATCCTTCACGAGTTCATCCAACGTTGCGATATTGAGAGCTTGGACGAGCTGTTCGATGGCATCTACAATGCTGTCTCCCCGATGTTCGCTTTCTTTCAGGACAGGGCTGCACGCACTGTACTTTGCGATGTCGTTCAGGATCTATCAGAGAATAGAGAAGAGCTGGCAGGCATTGCAAAGCTCTGTCAGGACCTCAATTCCTTCGCAACAGGCAGGTTGGACGAGCCTGACTTCGAGCGTCGCTCACAAGCCTTCAATCAGATCAACGACCAGGGCTACAAGTCATTGTCCTTGATGCAATGGAAGCCTATTGTTCACAACATGCTCTACTTCATTAAAGACAACGATGAATTGAGTATCCGTGTGAACGCATCCGCTACACTTCGCCGATTCATCGAGGTATCGCAGGGCGATGACTTTAAGGAATTCATCTCAACTGCGATCATCCCTGGGATACAGCACGGTATGCGCGAGCAGTCCGAGCTCGTGAGAATCGAGTTCTTGGTGGTCACTGAACAGTTGGTCAAGGTTCATCGCGATTGGTCACCGGTAGCTGACCTGTTCGTCCTTGTCTCGGACGATGAGGAGGCCTCATTCTTCACCAACATCTTGCACATTCAGGGTCACCGTAGATTGCGAGCCCTTCGCCGTCTGGCTGCCAACGCTTCGCACTTGCAGCCAGGCAACACATATCATGTCCTGTTGCCGCTGCTTGAGCACTTTGTCTTCAATAAAGCGGACGACGACAGCGCCGATAACCTTGCTGGAGAGACAATCCGTACCCTTGCTGCTCTGGTTGAGTGGCTTGAGTGGCCGCAGTTTAGGTCTCTTCTCAAGCGCTACATTGGCTACTTGACCAGCAAAGAAGATATGCAGAAAGCCATCGTACGATTGATCGGTGGTTTAATGGATGGCCTCAACCAGGCTGGTAGAAAGAAGGGGTACGTCACAGCCTCACAGCCGGCAGCGAATGATGATGACGCAACTGAAGAAGCCGCAGAGGCGGGTGCAGATGCGATGGATGTCGACACATCTGTTTCCACGCTGTCGAAGACGCTTCCGCAACAAGAGAAGTTGACAAAGGACCTTGTCAATAATGTCCTGCCAGACTTGACAGCTTTTCTGCACAAGAAGGACGAGGCTACTACTAGTCTGCGTGTGCCTGTCGCAGTGGCGCTGACAAAGGTGCTCCTTGTCCTCCCGTCTACTGAGATCGAGGGACGACTTCCTGGTGTCCTCCTCGATATCTGCCATATCCTCAAGAGTCGCACCCAGGAAAGTCGTGACCAGGCTCGCAAGACCCTTGCCGAAATCGCAGTACTTACTGGACCAAGCTACGTCGGCTTCATCCTCAAGGCTCTACGGACTGCTCTCCAGCGTGGCTACCAGCTACACGTGTTCTCATACACTCTTCACTACATTTTGGTTCAACTCGCGAGCCAATTGAAACCTGGTGATCTTGACTACTGCGTCGCCGACATCGTCGACATCGTTATGGATGACACTTTTGGTGTGACTGGTCAAGAGAAAGATGCCGAGGAATACATCAGCAAGATGAAGGAAGTCAAGAGCAGCAAGAGCTTTGATACGATGGACATCATATCTCGATCCAGCACACCTGCCCATCTCATCAAGCTGGTGAATCCCATCAAGTCACTGCTTCTGGAGCGAATCAATGCAAAGATGGTATCGAAGATTGACGAACTGCTCCGTCGCATTGGCTTGGGCATCTTGCAGAACCCAACAGTTAACAACCGAGATATTCTGGTCTTCTGCTACGAGCTAATTCAGGAGGTGTACAGAGCGAGCGCGACAACAGCCAAGGGGGACAAGACAGACCCCAAGCTAAAACGTTTCCTGGTCAACAGGAGAGGGGCCGCCAAATCCGGTGCGCGCCTATCAACATCTTCTTACATCTACAAGATGACACGCTTCAGCATGGACATCCTCAGAACTGTGCTGCGCAAGCATGACGATCTCCAGACACCGCAGAACCTGGCGGGTTTCCTACCCATCATCGGAGACGCCATGGTCCAAGGACAGGAAGAAGTTCAAGTCTCAGCCGTTCGTCTGCTCACTGCCATCGTCAAAGTGGACATGAAAGAGATGGATGAAAATTGCCCGGTTTACATCGATGAGGCCGTACGAGCTATCAAGGGTGCACACTCCTCCAACACTGAACTTGCTCAAGCGTCGCTCAAGCTAGTCGCGGCTGTGCTTCGTGAGAGACCTAATGTGGTCATTCGCGAGCGAGATGTCGGCCACTTGATCAAGCGTCTGCTGCCTGATCTTGATGAGCTTGACCGCCAAGGTGTCAGCTTCGCATTCTTGAAAGCTGTCATGAGTCGTCACATTGACGTGCCCGAAGTCTATGAGGCGATGGATAAAGTTGCAGAGATGATGGTCACCAACCAGACAAAATCCGCCAGAGATCTCGCTCGCAGCCACTACTTCCAATTCCTGACATCGTACACGCAAAGCGAGAAGCGTTTCAAGAAGTCCATGGAGTTCCTGCTCAAGAACTTGCGTTACGAGCATGTCGAGGGTCGTCAGTCTGTTATGGAAGCTCTGGATCTCATCATCACAAAGGCCCTACCCAGGTTCCTGGAGAAAGCTCAGTATGAGTACCACGGCATGATCTTCTTACCTTTAATCAATACTCTCGCGAATGATGACTCGAGCAAGTGCCGAGAACTTGCCAGTCTACTTGTCAAGCGACTCTTCCAGCATGCGAGCGAGAAGCGGCTGCAGAACTTCACAGCTGATCTAAAAGGTTGGCTTGAGCAAGACGATAACACCGGCTTGAAGCGTCTCGGCATTCAAGTCTGGGGTTTCTACTTCGAGGCTCTAGAAATCGAAGACGAAGAGCCGAAGGAGCTGATGCACGTGCTCAACGGACTTGACTCGACGGTCGACGAATCTCTGGCACGGTGTAATGATGATGACTGGGAGCTACTCTACTACTCCCTCACGCTCGTCTCGAAAATTTGCAAGAAGTATCAAGATACCATGCTCTCCGCTGACAAGGTGAGCCTATGGACTGCAGTCCAAGCCAGCGTATCTTATCCACATGCGTGGGTCAAGCTCAAGGCTGCTGAGCTGATGGGCACGTATTTCGCCCATCTTGCCATTACTAACAAAGATGTTGGCCTGGGCGAACTGCCTCTCAAGGGGTCTGGTGGTTTGCAGCTAGCAGAGCAGAACATGATACAGCTCACCAACGCGTCGCTAAGGAACTTGCTCAATCCTGAGGTATCAGAGCAGCTGTGCACTCAGAGTGTCAAGAACATTGCCTTCTTGGCGAGATGTCTGGCAGTCAACGACGCAAAGTGGCAATGGCACAACGCAGATGAGGAAGAAGAGACAGAAGAAGCGCCCCAAGCAAATGGTGCAGATGATGATGCATCCTCGGATGAAAACGCCGAAACCACGAAAAAGACACCACCAGCAGCCATCCACCGCCTAATGATTCGCCTATCTGGCATCGTCCGCCGCGAGACCAGTTCCATGAATGCAAAGACCGCTATCATGAATCTCCTCGAAACAATGGCCGCCAAGTTCCCGCTTGAGCCGCTCACAACCTCACTCCCACACCTCCTCACCACACTAAACACGCTCGTCGACCCTGCAACAACGATTCCCCGCGCCCACACCAACGCGTCGTCGACCTCGCTGAACGAGCCCAATGAGCTGTATAAATCGCTCATCGACAAGGCACGCGAGATTATGAATACGCTGCAGAAACGTATGGGCACGCAGGAGTATCTCAAGATTATGGGCGATGTACAGAGAGCTGTTCGAGAAAGGAGGGAGGAACGGCGCAGGAAGAGGAAGGTCGAGGCAGTTGCGGATCCGGAGAAGTGGGGGAGAGAGAAGAAAAGGAGGAATGATGTTAAGAGGGTTAAGAGGAAAGAGAGGGGGGCTGAGCATCGCGGGCAGAGGAGGGGGTGGTAGTGTAAGTGTGAGGGACTGCGTTCTGTCGCATTTGAAGGTGTTGGTGCATTGGTGGCGTTTAGAGGAAAGCACAGTTGTTGTCTGTTGCAATAGCAATGAGAAGATACCCGGCCAATGCCCATGTGCCCTTCCCGTTACTTGATAAGAGTGAGAGTGTGAACGACGCCCCATGCGAAATACCCCTATGCCCTAACATCTACAGTGCTCATCCGCACCTTGCGTCACCAAATCCACTGCCCGATCCATGCTATTGCCCTCCCCTCTCTCGTCAACTTCCAACCCCTCTCCCTTCCGTCTACAAGCAGCCATGCCGATCAAAGCACTTATAATGGGCGCTATTAGTGGCATAAACGCGTAATGCCCCACCGCAAAAGCCAGCCCTGCTTGTTACAAGATCCTGTCTTTGGGCAGTCCCTCGAGAAAATGATTTTCAGAGCTACAGATGTCACAGTCGGGATATTAAGGCTGGCTACGGGGAAAACGCCGGTGTTGAACAAGTGCGTGAACCATTCGGGTATCATCGCTAGCTCTTTTGCGGCTTCGACTTCCTGCTGCGTATACTTATCGGTCTCGGTTCCACCCCTCGTGACAGTGGGCTTTTGGGAAGCAGAGCACGTGAGGAAGCGAGATAGTACCGAGTCCAATGGCGCGGGGCTGATGTAGTACGAGTTTGTGAGCCATTCCATGAACGCGTGTACTAAGGAGGCAGTGCTGCTAAGGAGGGGTGGGTGAGGTAGTGCGACTACGGCGGTGGTTATTGCCATTGTAGAGAGATTGGGTGGACGGCACGGTCTTTAGAGACCTAGTATGAGTGGTCCAGATGGTCTCTGAAGATAATCTCACTGTCGAAGAGCTGGAAGATATATGATGCTTGTTGAGTGAAATATGCCCAAGGAGAAGCACGATATTGACATGAAGGCTATAAGTCGTGAGGGGTTGTGGGATTCGCAAATACGCCGATACCAGCGATATCCCCGTTTGGTTCGAAATCTCTGCGTTGCATGCCTACGACATTGGTCAAGTTTACGGGACTCCCTGTTGGCGTCCGTTCGATCCCACAGTCAGCCGAGACATTCTTATCTCTACATTCGAACTCGACCTCGAATCGAGTGAAGTTTTGACCCATGTTTTCGAACAGTCCAAGACAACCGATCTAAGCAATGTCGAATAGAGGAAATGGCCAGAAAAGATTTGCGAGCACCCTGAAGTACAGCGGTTATACCATCCACTTTACGTATCCTTATACTCTTGGAGATCCTGCAGTTCATCGACGATAACGGGGGCCGTTTACTCCTGTACGCTGCGTCGACCACACCACCTCAATGAGCCCGCCTCACACTGAGCTAATGTTAGGCCTGAACGCAGAAGTCAACCTGAGATGCAGCCATTGTGTTCCAGCTCGGTTGAACAGAAGCACACTTTTAGGCCTAGTCTGAAAGGGCACTTTGCTCCACCATGCGCATGGAGCCATATGTGCATGTTCTACGCAGCAAGTTTGACCGACCAAAGGTAGGTTTAAGCTTTGCGTAGACAGCGGGCCGATACAAAAGGCAAGATGTTCGCCCCCACACACCTCCCAGCCTTGCCAAAGAGCACGGCCACCACCTCCTGCAGGTCTCTCTCAAATTGCGACACCAAATCCGGAATCTTTTCAGAGAAACTGCGGCTCTGTGAAAAGCCAGATATGGTCCCTTCGCATTTCACATGAACTCGCGCTGGGCCAAGTCGGTCTCAGCCTTGTCGCTTTCTGCAGTCAGCCGCCACAGATGCCCTGACCTAAGCGCCACCTAGCAGACAGACATTGCGAATTGTTGCTGGCAGTGTCGCAAAAAACCTTGCTGTTCACACAGCCTTAGAGATGGGCTCCAACTCTTCCTCGTCGTCGTCAACGCGGCCTCTGCGCATCAGCTCGAACTCCTCAGCACGCTCGATTTTCTTCGCAGCGCCATCGTCTACACCATTTTTGAACGTGCAATGAAAGACATAGCCTGTAATGGCTGCTGCGCTCGCCAGTCCAAAGTACAGCCACTGCAAGTACGGATCTCTCGCCAGCGGAGCGATAAGTATGCCCAGCGCACTACCTCCGGCGCTTGTCAGGAGGAACAGACTCATGATGAAGCTCTTCATGTTCTCTGGTGCTTTCGCATACGCCAATTCCAGTCCGGTGATGCTCGCCAAGATCTCGCTCAGCGCAATGAGAACATAAGCTGGCGTCTGCCATGCGACATGTATTTCGTTGGGTTCAAATTTGCCGTCACCAATACTACCAGTATCGCAATTTGATGGATACGAGTAACATGGGGGAGCGTTGTAGATGAACGACTGCAGACCTCCAGCGTAAAGCATAGCCGCAGAAGCGACGAAGAACCCAAGCGTGATGCGCGTCATCGGTGTAAAGGCGAGATGCAGCCTTGTGCGGATGAAGGGATAAATGAAGCGGTCCATGACAGGTACCAGCAAGATGATGGTGATAGGATCGATGTTCGGTAGAATGTCGTTTGGTAGGCCATGCAGTTGCATTTGACCGGCTGCAGACGATTTGTTAGCTTCCAACAGCCACAAGATGCTGTCAATACATGCCTTGCGAGACAAAGTTGTTCATCATCTGCGAGTATGTGACCCAGTAGATGGGAAAGAAGACAAAGACTTTGCATGCCATCAATGCGGTCTTTAGTTCATCAATGAAATTGTCATCCCACGAGATCGTGTGCGACTGCTTTCGCTGTGCAGATGGTCGCGCCTTCTCAATTTCGAATCCGTTACGAGCAGCGATCCAAAGCGCTCGGAGACAGCTACCGATGACACCTCCTTGGGGTGGTTTGATGATATATCGGTCTTTACCTCGGACTAGAACTGTATATCCAACACAGAACATAATCAAGGGCAGCAAGTAGGCGCTCCAGAACCCAACATGCAGCTCCAGTAGGGTAGTGGCAACGGCTGAGACGGATCCTACGTTGATGCACATGTAGTAGATCATGTAGATACGCTGTACTGTAATCTCCGGGTCGACGATCACTCGCTTTCCTTCTTTTCTCGTCTCAACGAATGCGCTTGTGCTGCGTACTTGCTCTGCAATTAATGGGCTGACGTTGCTCTTAATCCCGCCTGTTCCAAGACCAATGATCACCATTGCTACCAAGAGGCCCGGGAATGCTGCACCGCGCTCAATGCTCCACGGGAGACTTGTGACAAACAGAACGGCGATGCCGGCCATGTAGACGATGCTGAAGTATTTGATCGTGAGATACCGACCAAGGTACTGGTCGGCCACCACAGCGCCTAGAATGGGCGTAACATAACACCAGAATTGGAAGAAGTTGGACAAAGCTGTCGCTCGCGATTGACTCAGTCCCAGAGCTCCTGGCAAGCCATTGGCGTCGTGGTAAGAGTTGGCCATGTAGTTTTGGAAAGGACCGGCCAGTCCATAGTACGCAAAACGCTCGCAGAGCTCCACAATGGCAACAAGGAAGGCACCATACGGCAACTTGTCAGCGACACGTGGTAGGAACAGAAAGTCCTCTGGCGTCGGCTTGGATCCCAGGTACACCGCGCTTTGGATATCGTGGTCCCGGGGGTCTTCGTATTCTAGCTCTTCCCCATACGCTATCAACTCTACACCAGGTTCATCAGCCTGTGTGACTGTTGCATATGCGCCTCGCCGTTCGCCGTTCTGCGCGCGCCATGATGAAGCCATTCCAAGTCAGCCCAGATGCCGGCTCAGAAGATGACCACGCGTACACCTTCTGCTCAAGCTCTTCGTCCAAAGCGCGATTTCAAGCAAGTACCATGATTACTGGTGATTGATATGACTCCAGAAAGTTACAGAGATGGAAGAAACCGATCGAATTGATTGTGAAGGTAGGAAGACACGATGCAGATCGACGGAGGTGAGACCCGACGACGTGTCGAAACTACCTACCGTGTCCGTGCGCGCAATGCGCCGAACCCCCCTAATGCGCATCACCAAACTTGAGGCTATAGAGCCACATAAAATAGCTATTATCGTGAGAAAATTTGGTGGATTATTCTATAGACCTATTTGACGATATTCTCTCATACAAATTAATTATATAGAGTTGCTGTTCTGCCGCTGTGGGTGGTGTGGGTGCGAGGTGCCGCAGGAGGCTCTGCAGCAACAACACCACGTACTGTGGCCACAGTACAACGCTTCTTTGGTATTTTTGTTGCAGGAGCTGCTAAAGCTTTGCGCTTGTCTCTTTAGGGCAATTGTACAGCCTTTTCAGCGTCGCGAGCTTGTTTATCACGCTCTCTTTAAGTCTTGCGTTTGGCTGCTTCCTCGGCCTTCTCAGCTCTAACTTGCTCACGCTCCTCCTTCTCCCTTGCCCGCTGTTCACGCCTCTCCTAAGCAATCTTCTCATTGTACAGCTTGTTAGCGTGCCTGAGCTTTAACATCTCTGCTTTTTTAAGTTCTTCTGCCTTCTAGTTCTGTTGTTTAGTCCTCTTATTAGAGCGTGATTTCTCTACTCTACTAGGATAGCTAGGAGTATCTTGTTCTAATTACAGTACCTAATAAAGTCTATTATTACATAGGAGCTATAGCTGTTAAGGATTAGTACATCGGGAAAAGTTTTTCGAAATCCGGCCCAGACTGGCCGTTGCTGACAGTTGTGGCATGGTCGTGCAACGGCCGTTCAACAGCCCCAACGGCCCTAATTTGCGCCTAACAGCCCTAATTTCGCGCTAATATTGCTAACAGCTAAAACGCTAAGTGCCTATATTTAATAAACTTAAAACAACGTTGCAACGTTGTTGCATAGCTACCCTTAGTTCTGCTAGCACTAGCATTAAATATTTAAAAATTGCAAAATTTCACGTACAGATAGAGTGAAATTGTAGCTTTAAAATAAGCAAGAAATTATTATTATAGGCCTACTGCAACGCAAGTTATAGAGCGTTGAAGGTTTGTTTGTTGAAGGTTTGTGTTTTAAAGTTGCGACAGCACACCTTAGCAGCTGCAGCTGCGCCAGCACACATTACATCAGCTGCAGCTGCAACAGCACACGACGTAGCAGCTGCAACAGCACACAACAAAGCACCTGCTAACAAGCACACACTGCAGAACAGGCAGGCCTAGGCGTAAAATTCTTAGTTTACTACCTACTATTCTTGAATAATATTCTTGTATTTTCTAATATTTAGGCTACTAGAGCCCTAGCAAAGAATCTTAACTTAGTGTCTTAGTAAGGAATATTAAGCTTAAAACCTTCTATGCTTAATAACTATTCTATTAATAGGCCTATAATATGATTTAATAGCTTATTTTAAAGAGGAGACTTAGTAGTAACATAGATTATCACCAAGCCAGCCATATCACCAAACTAGCCATTTTCTCTTAGCACAACTAACACAAGTTACTATAACTACAACTACTTACTATTAAATAGTAACCTAGTATACTATGTGCTTATATTAGATTTAGAAGATATTTCTGCACCCTCCTAGCACGTTTGTGCGTTATGTCTAGTTTTGCTGCAGTTCCTACAGCGCTAAATAGTTGACTAAGCTCCTAGTTAACCACCTCTACCCCAAGTCTTCTTAGACGGCTGAGCTGCTACACACGCCTCAGCAGCTACCCGCGATGCTGCTGGGCCATACTCAAGTGTGCCACTATGCTGAATCTGCTTTCTCTTACGCGATTTTCTCTTAGTTATTACTGCTAATTGCTCTTTAAGCTCTTGCACGCGGGCCTTAATAAGGACGTTTTTGTGCAGCATCTCTTCAGCCCCTTTTACAAGCTTTAAGAACCCCTCTTGTGCTACACTTAGTAATTATTAGAAGGAGTTGCTTACAAGCTTAGATTAAGACCTAAACTTGTGCGTATTGCTTAGCATCTTAGATTGCTATAGCGTTTTAGGTAGAGGTACTACTAGTAGGGTATGCAGCCACACTTTAAGGCAATCTAACACTACCTATATATTAGTAGGAATAAGCCCTAATACCTTAAAGGCCTTTTAGTAGTTAACCTTTGTAAATATATTAAGGAACACGTCCCTAAAGGCTAGTAGGAAGCCTTCCTTATTAATATAGAAGATATATTAGTGTGCTAAGTCTTAAATATATTAGGAGTACTTGTGCTTTAATAGTAAGAAATAGACTATGTTAAGTAGCTAGAGGATGTGTAATAAGTAAGGTAGTTTTTAGAGAGTAAGGATTTAGTTCTCTAGGTAATAGTCCTTAAACTCCTAGTTAAGATAGCTCTTATAGCTGTCTAAGATAAGCAACCTATACACTCCTACCTAACACGTCTTTATATGTGTATTAAAGTGCTTTAACTACTTAAGGCTAAGCATATTATTTGTCTAACTGTTCTTAGAGACTAAGAGCTTCTAATTGTAGGGTATATCTATCTCCTTATACTAGGCAGAGATGTGGACGCGTCCTTTGTAGATGATGAAAGGCAGGGTTGCATACCCAGCGGCGCAGATACTCTGGATAACGGTAACCCACTCGCGATCACCTGGCTGAACAAGCTCTGGCCGAGCATGTCTCTCTAAGCCTGTTACAACCTTTAAAGACAAAGTAACACCTATCTAGAACCTAGTTTTATTAAAGTTATGTATATTATTGTTACAAACACTATACTTAACTTAAGTATCCTCTACTAGCTTAAACTACGCGCTAATTATCTTAGGATCTTCCTGTAGTATCCTCTGTCTATCCTTAGCTTAATTAAAGGCTATTTTAAGCTTGTCTAAACGCGTCACAAGCCTGCTAGCTGTAACAGAGTAGGCGCCCTGCCCTCGAAATCAATACTACGTGACTTCTCTGCCTATACCAAAAGGTAAGCACAAGAATACTTAAGCAAGTATTTGTTGCGTAGTATAATATATATAGACAATAATAGTGTTAGCCAGCTAGCTTTGCCTCTAGCTGCTATGAGCGCTATGCCACGTGTCGTGTTCGTGCATAGTCGTTACACTAGCCTATAGTTTGCTAACAGGCTCTTCACCACGCACACTAAGTATCTTATTAGCCATATCTGCCACCTTACATAGCTAGGGCGCAAATCCTTGCAAATTAAGGTTAAGTATATACTAGACAATTATCTGCTCCTCTAGTATAGTAAGTTTCTAGCAATTAGCGCATACGTCTAGTTAAAACGTAATATTATAAAGGTAATTAGAGACCTGCTAATAAGGTACATTCAACGCTCTAGCAGCGCTGCAGATACTGCGAAATTAGCTAGCATAGAAGGCCTAGATAGCAAGGATAACTCTACCTTCTCTAGTAGTATTCTGAAGTTATTGTTGTTAAGGCATGTTGTGTTAGGGTAAAAGGTGGTCATGCTAAGAGAAAGTGGCCAGTTTGGTGATATGGCCGGCTCGGTGATAATCTACGTTATGTTATATTAGGGTAAAAGGTGGTTGTGCTAAGAGAAAGTGGCTAGTTTAGTGATATGGCTGGCTTGGTGATAATCTACGTTACAGAGTACTGTAGATTAGTTTAATGTACTGTGTAGTGTGGTATATTGTTGTTGTGTGCTGTAATGTTGCAAAGTAGGTGCAGTGTTGGTGTGGTCTTGGTAAAAGTGATCAGCTCGCTTGGGTGATCAGCTCGCTTGTGAGGTACGTTAACTCCTATTATAAAGCCCTTCTTATCTATATTGTATGTGTGCTCAGCGTTAACCTTATACTCAGCGATCTTACGCTGCAGTAAGTTGAAGTACAGCTTATACTTGCTGTAGGAATCAGCGTTGTGGCGATCAGCGTCCATACCTATTGAGTATTGAGAGATAAGATGGATAGAGTACTTGTTAATGAAGCGGGTGACCCAGCTCTCGCTCACTGGGTCCTGGGCGACTGCTGACGCGAAATTGGCAATCATCTCTCTTGTTGTGGGGTGAGTTTCTGTTGTGCGATTGCCTGCTCTTCCCGCAAACGCGTCTCACCCCTCCACGTGCGCGTCAACGTTGACCGCACAACACCATGCTTTTCTGCTATTTTAGACCACGGGGTCTTATCTCTAGGTGCAAAAGTATTACACTCTGCAAGCGCTTCTTCTAATCCCATTGCGTTGTGTTGTTGTAGAGCTGAGATAATAGAGGTGTTTTGGTGGTTCGGCGCATAGCGCGAATCCGCGCATTGCGCGCACGGACACGGTACCGTGTTTCACCGCCCCGTGCACGCCCCGGGCCTGTGCACGAAAATCATCCTGCTCAACACCACTCAAATGAAGCTGTAGAGCCACACACAAAAGCAATTATCACGAGATTTTTTGGTGGAGTGTTCCAGACACCTATTAGAGTACATCTACTTATACAAAATTAGCTGGCAATTTGACAGCGCGGCTGCGGCGGGTGGTTGTTACAGCAGCGGGTGGGGGAGCTGCTCTGGCATCGACCACAACAGCTTAGGGCTTCTTTCAGCGTGTGGGCTCTTTGATGCTAAGCCTCTTACTCTTTTTAGATAATTGTTTGTCTTGTTGGAATTGCTTGTTGACCTCACCATTGATTTTGAGTTGCTCCTTCTGCTCAGCCTTGCGCGCAGCTTCGACCTTCCCTGCCTTAGCTGCTCTGGCTCGCCCTTGACGCCTCCCCTCTGCAAGCTGCTCTTTTGCAAGCCTTTCTTGCTCTTTCTGCAACACTGCTGCGCTTTTTTGCGCTGCCAATTGCGCTGCGTTGAGGTCTAGTTGTTGTTGTTGTTTATCCCTAGCAGTTTGCACCTTCAAGGGACTATAGAATAAAGCACCACCAGCGTAGTCCTCTAGTGGCGCCAGCAGCAGTGCTTTGCCTTGTTGACGTCGCTTTTTCTTATTATCAAAAGCACCTCAGAGTTGCTTATTTTCGAGCTCTAGCAGATGTACCTTGACGCTCATGGTGTGGATAGTGTGTGTCAGCTGTTGTGCTTGAGAATCGCGTGCAGAGTCTATTTCTATCGCTACTTCTTGCAGCAATCGCTCAATCTTACGCCAATCGCTTGCGCTACCGGTAAGTACTAAGGTGTTGCTGTTGCTGCTGTTAGGTCGCTTGATTACGTTGTTTTCAAAGCGACCTACGATGACACTAGGGTTAAATAGGTTGGTTGGTTGGTTGGTATTCATTTTACGTCTAGTTAATAGGGACAAAGTCCACCATCTCGCCTCCCGAAGGGCATATACGACGTGCTAAGCTATGGAATTACAGTGCGAACACACTACCTTAGAAAGCATTTCTTGCCTGCGCGGGTATTGCTACCATTTCAAAACTACAGCTCCTCGTCCAGTTGGGGAGGCTGAGCGATGTATGTACATTAGGGTGATTTCCTTGCATTTTGAGGCATCTATGTGCCAAGAGAGAGAGAGGGAGTGTGTGTGTGTGTGTGTGTGTGTGTGTGTGCGTGTAGGGAGAGAGGAGGAGAGGGGTAGGGGGAAGGGTAAGAGAGGTAGACGGGTGGAGGGTTAAATAGGTGCAGTCCTGTAGCAGAGAAGGACTTCATAATGTTCTTAGAGTGTACATGAGGTTCCTTCGCTCATCAGTGGTCGAGTGTTGATCGCCAGAGCCCTGAGAACACAAGTCTGCCTAGCTGGCCAACATCCCTGGCTGCTTGTCCAATGTCGGAAATACCCATGTTATAATACCAAGCCTCAAAGCTGCCATCTGCAGGGTACTTGCCATTTACTTCAGGGTCGTCTTGGACTACTGTGCGCTGCAGTACTTCTTTTGAAGATCTGCCCTTAGGATAGCTGGTCCACGTACTGATATCGACCCAATTTCGCAGGATGCTGGTCGCCTCGTGGCTGCTCAATGTCGCACGTCCCCTGGACTTTCACCTGTAAAGATTTTCAGCGCTATCGATAATACGCCCGGGAGAGGCTCAGCTTTGTATATCACAGAGTCGATGATCTTTCCTGCAACTATCGAATGGCTGCATTGCAATCTATGGTGACGAGTAAGCTAGGCCCTTCGCAATCAACCTCGCATCTGGGATTCAACCATTCCAGGTGTATTAATGTGCCTATAACTTTCACACTATCAGGGGAACTCGTCCAACGAACTGGGTTTCACCTTGCGGAATCAGTGCCGCTGGGTCTGCCGCAGGCTGAAGCTCTAGCACCCGTATCGATCGTAAAGCAACGATTAGAATATATTAATGTGGTGTAGCCATCTTCTGTTACTCTAAGTGGACTGACTGTCCGAGGTAGACAACAGGAAGTCGGTCGTATGGGTAGCTGAGTATGCAGTGCGCTTTCAGTCTCGATGCTGCTCAATTTTGTCCCCAAACATACTTCGCCTCTCGCTCCAGATCAATGATCTAGAGTTTGAGCGCATACCAATGTAGACTACCGCATTCATCTTTCCACTGCAAAAAACTTTTTAAGCGCTTCCTCCACCTCTATCACACTCCTTTTCGTCATCAGGCTACTTCTGATCCACTTGGGCAGCTTGTTCTGAATGCGCTCACCGCCGTATCTTTTGTCCAGCATCATAATAGCCGCATAGTCGCATTTGTGTCGAATCGCGCGGCCGACGCACTGATTCACAGCGCGCATGCAAGCGTTCTCGTAGTGGTCCGTTGCTGCAGCCTTGCCATTCCCACCCCTTGCGTTTTCCTTCGATGTGATGTACTGTATCTTTGCCTTCCACTCCGCCGAGTGTGGGTTGGGGAAGGGTAAGCCGACCACGATGACGCCGCGACCCAAGGTATCGCTGAAGTTAATCCCCTCTGACAGCGATCCGCCAATGACAGCGAACAACAGTGCGCCTCGGCCGTTGCCTGATGCGACAGCCATGCTATACGCTGTCAGCACAGAGTCCACGGTCGCCTCCTTTGATATAGTAGATTTGCTTGCGAAATGCTGTTCACTCCGCTGCTCTAAGAAGATGGGTTTGATTTGCGTGAATTGATCCCAGAAAGTGGCCTTCAGGGGCCGAGCGGGGAGACGTTTCCACGATGTAATGCAGGTATCCAGATATGCATAACTCGGGAAGAAAACAACTACACCATCAGGAATATTACTAGACATGCTAACGATGGCATGTCCGAGATTGACAATCTTCGAGCAATGTCAGTGTGGTGTTGAAGGCTATTGTAGTGAAAAACTCACGGTGCTCTCCTTGTTGCGACCCTTAAAGGTGAAGTCGAAGTCGACGCCGTTCGAGGCTGTTGTGACTGGCGCTGCGAGTAAATTGGAAGGTGGTATGACGTGACCGCAAGATAGTGTCTGTATCTTCCCAGGGTCGAGGTACGGCAGCAGATGGTGTTCATAGTCGCTCATCTTGAGAGTGTTAGTACATTATTGTATGTGTGGGAATAGTACTTACTGGAGACATCGTGCCTCCTGCGAGGATCACTGCTCTTGCATCTTCGACGATGTCTTTGAAATGGTATGTGGGGTCGAGAAGCATGTAACGCAGCGTCAGGTAGTTCTCGTCTTCCTTCGAGTAAAAGAAGCGGCCTTCGGCGGAGGGATTCATCAATGACAAAAGGAACGCCTGAACGTGCATAAGTACCGGCACAGTATTCCGTGGAGCGTGAGTTGCTTCGTCTTTGCGCTTTGAGATCACATTTTTCTCGTCTGCAAATGCAGTATAGCCATCAACCTTCCGTGCTAACTTGCTTTCTTGGAGGTACGCGTTGAGTTTGAAGATGTTGATCTGGTCAACGCCTTTTCCAGACATGATAGAGACCATATCAACTAGGCCATCGCTCGAGTTCGAATCGGACGCGATCGACTGTAGGTACACGATGATAGAATCTAGGATGCGAATGATCTGGGCAACGTAGACGCGGTTCTTCCCCTTGAGTCGATTCCTAAACTTCTGTAGGTATGCTGTAAGCTGACCCCGGGCCTGCCGCACTTGAGGCAGGGTCACCGAAACCGAGTATATGCCAGCTATGGCGTCCATCAGGTTGTGTGCCTCGTCTATGATGACCACGTGGTTCTTAAGGGAAAGGCCGAGTGCCTCACGCGCGGAACTTTGCAGGAGTAGCGGGTATGGCAGCGTGACGATCTGAAAATCAGCAATGGATCGTATCAACGTGTACGATTGATCATACCTCGCAGAACTTGATAGCCGGTCTCGAAGCGTAGTATGGGCAGACTCCCAGCCTTTTACCGAGGACGCCTAAATCCTCAATATCGCGAATCTTCGCGAGCGCATGGTCTCGAAAGTCGTTTAATAGCGCTTCGTTCTCTTTCGTAGGCATAGAGGGACATCTGCTTTCTCTGGTTGTACTTTGCTGCAACTCCAGACAGCGTTCGTTGATGGCTATTGCGTTACCGAGACGGCTGACCTTGGGGTTGATGCAAAGATTCTTCCGCGACCCCAAAGTCAGATGTTTCACATCTTCCGTGAGCCCATCGACGGTATCGCTACTATCGTTTTCGTCCATGTTTATGGAAGGAGGCATCTTGACTCTCGATAATTCGCTTGAAAATTGTGTCAGTTGCGAATGCGTTCGCGAACAGAAGAAGATTTTCGTCTCATCGAGCATCTGCCCGTCTTCAGTCTTCGCCTCACCAGTGACGTAGCCAAGCTTGTCCATTAACGCCTGAGTCTCTGCGGAGAGGCCCGAGCTGTCGAACCTGCTGGTCCTTGCAATACTCGCGCTTTCGCGATCAGATTCATAGTCGTCGAGCGCAAATTGTGCCTCTTCGTCCTCATCATCAGCGTTGTCTAGACCAACTTTTTGCCTTTTGTAGACCTGATTGACTCCAACAGCGCGCTCTCTGGCACGTTTCTCCTTGGCTTTAATCTTTGCCAGGCGTTCGTTGAGCTCCTGTCGGCGCTGAAATGCATCCTGCTTGCGTTGCTTTCGAGCGTGCTCTAGCATCCAGGGCGGATCATTTTCATTTGCTGCAACAACCTGGAAACCGTCCTCGAAGGTTCGGCGTTTGTTATCACGCAGCCAAGTCAATGAGCCGCATATCAGACTTAGAGACTTGCCAGTCCCAGTCGGGGATTCAAAGACACCGACTTTGCCATCCTCCAAACAGTCATAGACCGCATTCATGAACTGTTGCTGGATTTCATAGGGCTCATATGGGTGGTGGAAGTCCCGTGCTACACCGGTGTTGTTCATGGCTGTAGGAGGGCGTGGGCTTCTCCGTCAAGGGCGAAAGTCACTGTGGACGCGGCTGCCAAGACACTGGAACACGCGACACTGCCCCACCTCTTTCATCATCAGAATTGCAAGTCCGTTCTTGCACCTTTGTCGCATATCTCATTTTATCAAAACTCGCGCAAATCGATTCCGATGATACTATTTTCGTTGCTGCGAGCCGAGCCTAAAGGGCGTCGTTTGAGGTCCTCAACACGTCTGGAGTCTATAAATCCGCCTCCGTAAAGCCATTCATTGACCGAGAATCAGCTTTCGAGTGCGCAAGTTCTGCGATGTTTTTTCTTCAATCGACATTTACGGTCTTGTGTTGTTGACAATCAAAGATGCTGCGTCATCCGTCATGAATATGGCGTGCTGTGACACAAGATCAACAACTACCACTCAGCGCATAGGCCCAAGAACAGTTAATCTTATCAACACCTCAGGGATTCGATGATAGAAGTGCTTGCTGACATCTAAAGTAATCATTCGCGCGTGCACTTGTAACAAAAATGACTGCCTCCGAAGTACACCAGGCTGCTATGAGCAGACATTGTATGAGTCGAGATGGCTTCACACGAGACTGAGCCCCTACTATCAACTTCTTTCTCACAGACAGACAGTAGAAAGACCTACGTTGACAGCGATGATGGACCACTACAGCAATCTTTGCGGTCCATCGAGGACGACGTTCTACCCGAGACCTCGACACTTGGGAGAACGATCTCCTGGTCCAGCGCCTACATCCTCGTAATATCACGCGTCATCGGTAGTGGGATATTTGTGACACCTGGCATAATCGTGAAGGCTGTTGGCAGCGTCGGTCTCAGTCTCTCGTTATGGGTACTCGGCGCAGTCATTGCAGCTTGTGGGCTTGCAGTCGCTCTCGAGTACGGGTGCATGCTACCTCGATCCGGAGGAGAGAAAGTGTATTTGGAATTCACCTATCGGAAGCCTCGATACCTGGCCAGTACACTCATGGCTGTGTAAGCGGTCTTGTTGGGTTTCACAGCCAGCAATTGCATCGTGTTCGCACAGTATACCTTGTATGCGTTCGACATAGAAGCCACGGATTTTCTCCGGAAGAGCCTTGCCGTGGGTCTGCTCACAGCAATCACGATTGTGCACGGATGCTTCAGGAAGACAGGCATCGCAATGCAGAACATTCTCGGCTGGGTCAAGATTAGTCTGGTAGTGTTTATGGTCTTCTCTGGACTGTTCGTTGTCGTCTTCAAGCCGGAAGGTCTCGATGGACGGCGCAGCCACTTTCCAACTGGAGCGGATGTCTGGAAGGACACATAGTGGAGCTGGGGTACGATATCCGCGGCGCTGTTCAAGGTATTCTACTCCTATGCAGGGCTGAACAATGTAAGTAACGTACTGAACGAAGTCCGGAACCCCATTCGAACACTGAAGTCCGTGTCGATTACAGCACTCATTACGGCGTGTGTCCTGTACTCTCTGGTCAACATTGCATATTTCATTGTCATTCCCTTGGATGAGATCAAGGAAAGCAAAGAGCTTATTGCAGCTCTGTTCTTCGAGAGGCTTTTCGGGGCTACGGTGGGCAAGGTCATTCTCCCACTTGCAGTCGCGCTGTCAGGCGTTGGGAATGTCATGTTCGTTACTTTTGCATTGGTAAGTTGACTTTTAAACTAGGATGTCTCTGGGCTGACAGCCTCCAGGCTCGACTCAATCAAGAAATTGCACGACAGGGCTTTCTACCATGGCCTGAACTACTGGCTTCTTCTAGGCCATTCAACGCTCCTCTCGGTGGTCTTATCGTCCACTACATACCATCGTTGCTGGTCATTACTCTGCCACCCTCAGGCGAGGTGTACTCCTTCATACTTGAAGTTGAAGGCTACCCTGGGCAGATCTTCGCATTGGCAACATCAATCGGTCTGCTCTGGCTCCGCCGATCGAGACCGGAGCTCCAAAGGCCTTTCAGAGCCTGGCATTCGGCTATCGTTCTGCGTATCGCCCTCTGCATTGCGTTGCTTGCTGCTCCCTTCTTTCCACCAGAACACAAGAGAAACGCCGGCATCTGGTACGCGACGTACGCTGTGGTTGGGACCAGCGTGTGAGTCGTCTTTTCCCGCTTTTCCGACCCCATAAGCTAATCCGATTGTGCAGAATTGCTTTTGGAATTGTGTACTGGTATGTATGGCTGAAGCTTATTCCTAACCTGAGAGGATACCGTGTAGAGGAAAAAGCGACTACGGTGGGCGATGGTACGAAAACCACCCAGCTGGTCCATGTTGCGATCTAGAAACCCAGCGTAACGTGCTATTGAGCAGAATCCCATAATCGCACCCTACCGGAGATTTGGTTACGCAACTGTGTGCTGGCCACTATGTGATGTTCATACGTCGACTCAAACGTGCAAACAAGTCGCCATGAAACGGAATTCGTCAGCTTGAAGACGTGTCAGACTTGTCCAACAAATGGGACAGGGTAATTGGAGCGGGTTGCGTACGAATGCCCCCATCCCTTGGTAGTGCGTGCTCTAGTGTTCCATGAGCACGAGGGTTTGGTATAAGGTTGCTGTTGTGTCTTTGGCAACAGACCGAATATAATGTATGTCAGTTATTTCAGCTTGGCGTGCTCTGCAGTGTATTGGTTAGCCACAATTGCCACAATTTTCGTTCTGGACAATTGCTCCTCAATCCAGGCGTCCTCCATAATCAGTACATCTGTTATGGTCTGTGTAAGCTCAACCACCTCCCTCACCAACAACACCAACCAAGAGACCAAGTGGCTAGGATGTATCGCTCTCATTAGCAAGTGCAGATGTGGCTGCGGTGACGGAAAGCATCGTTTTTGCGCTGAGAGACGCTACTTCCTCTGCTTGACTGAGCCACGGAAAGATGCGCCTTTGACTATTGCAGCGTTGTTTCAGCTTCTACTATGGCAAGGCAGACTCTTAGCTCCTCCTGATACTACCCGTAATACCATAGGTACGCGCGTCCATCAGTGGAGATATGTAAGTACGGTTGTCAACAATCAAATAAGTGGGGCCCAGCGACCTCGGATTGACCTGTATGATTACCTACCTGCATGCATAGGTTTAATTCCCACCTTGTTGGGTAAGCGCATAAATGCGAGGTCGAAGTTGACTTCAATGTTGGCACATCTTCGCGCGCAGTCAGATAGTACAGAGAACCAGAGCAGTGCACAATGATCCTCGCAGGGAGAATTGAAGACACTTCTAAATGCAAGGAGCCTACGGGCTTCGCTCTGCTCCCGGGGTTCGCCTGCGATAGCTTCCTTTCCCGGCACACCACACATGGCTACAGGTACATTCGATATCGGTCCATTCAATCGTCACTATAATACATATCCACCCCCTTTCTCTTGTCAGTCGCCATGTGCCCCGCTTATCTTGGCCCTTACCCATCCTGGCCCTTACCCATCCTGGCCCTTACCCATCCATGCTGCCAACACAGTCGTGATTTATATCTCCTGTTCGGACATCAAACAACAACCAATGCAGCACAACGCCATGCGCGTCCCAGCGCTCTCGATGCACGAAGACCACGCCATTCAAATATTACGACACATGCTGTTACGGCATACGTCTTCCCCGTCCAATGCAAAAGAAAGTCCATTTCAAAAGCAACGCGAAAACAGAGGTATACTGCGATTCCCCTATCCCTTCTATGCATTCATCGTTCCTGATAACCCGAGAAACCGTCCAAGCGGGCGGTGGTAGTGCACTTGCGGTGCGTGAAGCGCTCCAATGCTGCGCTTGCAGCTGCCTGTCCTCTCTCGTTTCTGTTCTTGAGGACTGGTGACGAAAACATCCGTCTCATTGTTCAACGTCTGTGTTCGCGCTTCAAGATGAGCTCTTCTTAAGCTTCATGAGTTCCGGTGGCTTCGACGGATCCAGCGGATCCACAAATTTCGTCATCACAAGAGACAGCTCCTTGAAGGCGACAGGTTTGGTGACGTAGGAGTTGAAGCCGGCCTCGACGCATTTTGCGTAGACGTCGCCGAGAACGTTGGCCGAGAGCGCGATGATGGGGTGGCGCCGGTAGCCATGCTTCTTCTCCCAGCGTCTGATCTCTTTGCAGGCTTGGTAGCCGTCCTTGTTTGGCATGTGGAGATCGCACTATGTGTGTTAGTCTGGATTGACTGCACAACCGGCGGCGGACTTACCAATATAATAGAGTAGTACCCTGGTGGTTTCGCGAAGACCGTGTCTGTGCATTGAACACCGTCGAGAACAGTATCAGTTGTCACGTCGATTTTGGCCAGGAACTTGAGAATAACCTAAACTCTTGTTAGTGTTGCGTTCAAAATCGAACATGTGTGATCACCTACAGTCTGGTTGATCTGGTTGTCTTCAACAAGCAACACCTTGTGACCCTTGCCGCCAAGTCGCCTCTTGAGCTCTTCGAACACGAGCTTCTGGCTAACGACCACTTGCTGCGCTGTATCTTGATTGCGGTCCGTACTAGACTCGCGTTGCTTATCTGGATCAAAGATAACAGCGAACTTGGACGGCTTCAAGGGACGATAGATGAATTGGAGTCGTCGGTCCGCCGCCAGCTGTTCATAGTCGTAGACCGATGCATTCTTCATCAGCTCCTTCTTTTGTGACGGGTCGGAGACCACCACAACAGATGTGGTGCCGTAATGGACAGAACTGAAGATCTGATCCACGATGGCATGAACCTCTGCTGTGTCGTGAAGAACCAGTACAACGTGAGTGAAGATGACCGGATTATCTCCACCAAGCATTCTCTGAGCACTGATCAGGCTTTCTTCGCTGGTGATTTGGTGTGGGATACCTTGCGGAAGAGTGTTTTTAATATGTCGGATCGTAGCCTCCCTGCTGTGCACCAAAGGACAAACGACCAGAATGGAGTACATCGGTGGTAGGGCTAATGGTGAAATGACAGGTCCTGCTTTGGCTGTTGCAGGACGCGCAGTAGCATCTGAAGCCAGAGAGTCTGGCGATGTATGGTCCTCGCTATCTGCACGTCTAATAGGCATGTGCAGATTGATCTCTGGATTCGGACTTCCGAGACGACTTTCTGCGAAAAAGGACGACGCCGATGAACGCTCAGACCGCAGGCTCGATTTGCCAGTGAGTGCTGCACTAGTGAGGGAATGATCTGAGCTACCAGACGAAAGCGATAGCGACGGCGACTCTTGCGATCTCGTTGATGCTGGTGAGCTGACAGGTGGAGACTTGGCACTCTGATCTGAAGAGATGCTGGAGATACGCCTGAGCTGCGCATTCTGTGCCGAGCCACTGATTTGCGGGAACATCGGTTTCTGCAATGGTGACGGTTGTACAGGTAGTGGTGGTACGATGGTCGCCATTTCTGTGGCCGGAGTGAGAGGCGTTGCCACCAGTGGTTTGGGAAAGTCGGTCGGTGTTGGGAGGCCAAACTTGATGGTGAAGAAAAAGGTAGAACCTTTGCCTGATACACTGCGAGCATCCATCTTCCCTCCATGCAGCTCAACAAATTGCATAGAGATGGCCAAACCAAGACCTGTACCACCGTGCTGCCTCGTACTGCTGGCGTCGATCTGGCTGAACCTCTTGAACAGATACTTCGCTTCGCTCTCGGTGAAACCTCGTCCAGTATCGACCACCTCAAAACGTACCATAGTCTCGTGCTCGTCCAATGGTCCAGAGCGCTCAGGAGGTTGTAGCTTGCAGCGTACAAAGATCTCACCCCTTGACGTGAACTTGATCGCGTTGCCCACAACATTAAGCAGTACTTGTCGAATCCTGAATTTGTCGCCCTTGACCATCGATGGCACGCCCTCTTCCATCAGGTAGTTGAGCTCAAGGCCTTTCTGGATGGCCAAGCCCATGTTAAGATCATTCACCTCCTCCAACAAGGATGGTAGATGCAGCCATTCCATGGACAGCTTGATCATACCAGCTTCGACCTTGGAGAGGTCGAGAATGTCGTTGATCAGGTTAAGCAAGCTGGCTGTACTGGCATTGATGATGTTGACATGCTCCAACTGCTCCGCGTTGAGTGGACTATCCTGAAGGAAGTTGACCATGCCGGAGATACCGTTCAGTGGGGTACGAATCTCGTGAGACATATTGCTCAAGAATCTGGTCTTGGCGTCCATGGTCTCCTTCAGTGTCTGCTCGAGCAATTTGTGGTCGTTGATGTCAGTGGCGGTGCCGTACCAGCTTTCTTCAGCGACGTCCTCAGCAAGCTCCTTCTCGAGAAGGATTCTGACAAGGTGCCATCGGTACTCGCCGTCTTTGTTGCGGAGGCGGACTTCTGTAGAGTACGAAGCGCGACCGTCAGCGTCCTTGGCGACCTTCAGAATACCTGTGCTTGCCAACTTTGACAGCTTCGCTTGTGGCATGTCCATCTTGTCGGCCATAGATCCTGGGCTTGTGACCGTCCTGTCAGTCTCCGACGAGTCATCAGACGACGAGGAGTTCTGCGAGTTGTGGCGGCTATGTTCTGGCGGTACGGAGATCGGTACGTTTGTCGAGCCGTCTTCTCCGATATCCGGTAGCTTGCACTTGATGATGTCGTCTGGGTGTACATACTCCAGAAAGCCGTTGACAAGTGCATCCTTCTCTCCTTGACCAGAGAAGGTAGTCCACTGGGAGTTGCAGAATGTGAGGCCTCTGCGGTTCGAGACCACGAAGACGATCTGAGGACTAGAGTTCGCGAGAGCTCTGTACTTGGCCTCAGAGGCGGCGGTCTCCTGTTGTCGAGCAGAGTTCAGCTCCGCAAGATGCTGCTCGTGGAAGTCCATGTTGGTACCGATCCAATGGACGATCTGTTGACGTTTGTTCTTCAGAGGCGCGACTCGCGCATAGAACCACCTGTAGCAGTTATCGAATCGCTTCAGGCGAACCTTCTTTTGAAGCTGTTGTCCTGTGCGGAGCGATTTATTCCACTGCTCGAGGTATGATTCGCGATCATCGGGATGGATTGACTCCCATGGGTCTTGTAGTACTTGGCGAGTGTCTTGACCGCCATAGATGAGAAACTTCGAGTTCACCCAAGTGATGGCACCGGTGGTGGGCGCTGCTGTGAATATCTGCACAGGCAAAGAGTCAATGATCGTACGCAGAAGGCTTTCGGAAGGCGGCGGCATGTCCAAAGTCTCGGTGATCGAGTTCCTCCTTCCATGCCCAGGAGGAGCAGGCGCGCGGCCGCCGGGAGTAGTTGCTGCTGGCAGGGACTGGAAGGAGGATCCGAAGTCAGCACCATAAGAGTGCAGAAGCGAGTGTCCGCGGTGGTGTTGCAATGTCGTTCCCTGGCTTGAGTTCGAGCTGTTGCTGTCATCCTGGTTGGGCCCCGAGCCATTCTTCGGGGTGAGCGCATCATCCTCGTAATACTCCACGACCGGATTCACGCTCGCCCTCTTCTCGGTCCTCTTCTCAGTGACCTTCGACTGGCTCGTGGTCCTCGTAGTTCTCTTCTTCGCATCGAAATAGCTCTCCACAGCCTCACTCCCTGCAAGATGACCTGGTGTGCTGCTGATAGACTGCTTGCTCGAAAAGCCCAGAGACGCAGCGTCCCAGCCTGGCGTGCCGGTGATAGAACCTCCAGGACTGTTTTTGGACCGGCCAGAGTAGTCGGAGGGGCTAGTAACGCTTCCTGGAGCAGAGTGCGAAATAGCTCCCAGGTCGAGATGCAGCAGATCGTCGAAACTTTCGGGGTCTGAGGTGTTGATGCTCCCAGGACCATATCCAGTTGCCCTCCGCTGCCTTGCCGAGTTGACCTGGACCATTGCATTGGTGAATTGCCAAGCGTTTGAGAAGGACGTCGCGAGATGTGGTGCGAAATGCTTGAGCGAGTTTGTCAGATTACGAGGGTAAGGGACGATAGGCGATAAGATCGAGAGTATGGCGATTGGAGCCCTGCGAACATGGCCCTCTTTATGATGGCAAGAGCTTTGCATCGATTGCTCGGACTGTCGACGGGACAGTCTTGGTGTTTGAGATGGTGTGCTTGTGTCAGCAGGATTCATAACTTGAGACAGAGTGGGGTGGATAAGTGGAATGTGTGTGACGGTGCTGGCCCTGTCTACACCAATGGCCTCGACGACACCATATTGAGCGTAGTCTTGCGGCGACTTGGATGGATTAAAGGTGTCCTCGTCAACATTGCTGGTAGCAAAGAAGGGATTCGTTTCTGCGTCATTCTGTATCGCTGGCGATGGTGCGGGTGACTGCGCCCATGGGGATGCCGGATATTGTTCGTATTCTTCGTAACGAGGTTGTAGCCCAAAGCTACCCACACCGAGACTTCCTGGCCTGGCAGCGAGCCGCCCCATCTTGTGTGCTTCTGGTCCTGCGGCGCCAGATTTTTCGGTAGCTGGTTTGTTCTCTTCCGACTTCTCTTTCTCGCCCAGGTTTTCACGGGGAGTCGACATGGATGTTGAGTAATCTCGAGTCAATGTGACCAATCGCCCTCGTTCCAAAACGCGGTTGACCCCGGTGTTATCGATCAGAGCGTCCGGTTCGTAGTCGAGTGCGCGCAGGACGCTGAAGACGGAGGTAGCCGTTATTGGCTCTCCTCCAACAGACGAGAAATCCGGGTCACTAAACGATGGATCACGATTGGAGGTGCTGTGGAAACCAGGGATTGGCGACGATGACCCATCGAAAGACGCCTGCGAGACCTGTCGAAGAGGGTGCTCCCTTGCGGGTGTCTGCGGTGCATGGCTGGAAGCCCTCAGGGGTCCTCGGGGTCGCCCAGGCATGACTGGGATGGGCGAGTCCGTAGGTGCCTCAGCTTTCTGTCGCTCGTAGCCGGCGAAGGAGTGGTGCGAAAACAGCTTTGGTCTCCGGTCGGGTATTGTCATGGGTGGTCTCTCCTCTGGCTGTGGCGTGGGTTGCTGTACTCTGATGTTCTTGGAGCTTGATGCTTCCTGCCATGTCGCAGCGTGTGGGCTGTCATCGCCAAAGGTGGCCGTGTAGGTCGTCTTCTGGCCCCATGGCACGTTCTCAATGTCAGATGCGTCTGCAGGAGCAGCTAGTGTGGCTCTCTCTGCGCCGTAGTACTCCCTCATGATGGTGGTCACGGCGGTCCACCATGCTGCAAGTCCAGGTTCCGTGCCAAGCTGGAGAACCAGCTCGTAGAGATTGGGGCTGGGGTAGCGAGGATCTTCAATGTCAGCAAAGGAGTGTCCCCTCTCGCCTGGTGCGAACGGTGTCGTGGACGCAGCAGGGGTACTGGACTCAGAGGCGATACAGTCCTTTGGCGGCGCCCACTCTCTTGAGTAGATGGCTGACACGGTGGGCGACAGGCTGGTAAAGGGCGTGTGGAACGACGACGCCCATCGCGGCGTGGTGGGTACTGTGGGGAATGGGTAGGATGGGGTCCGCAGCGCTTGGTGGCCAGCCGGTGTGGGTGGCATACTTCCGCGGATGGTCCTCGCCGACTCGGTTGACTCGGTCGACGCGGTTGACGTCGTTGCTCCTGTTGGCAAGGGGCTCGGTGTGACGGCAAAGGCGCCCTCGAGGGTCGGCGACATGGCCGAGATGGGCTCCTCCTTGATGGGGGAGACTCTGCGGGCGCCCAGGCCAGCACTGCCCGTGCTGCCCGAGACGTTCCTCATGCGCTGGCGCTGCTGCTGCTGCAAAATCTTCAGCTGCAGGTTGCGCAGGCGCTCGAGCTCCAGCTCGTCGGGCGACGCCTTTCCCGGCGGCACGACGTCTGCGCTCTGCGGCGCGCCAGCGGCATCGCTGCCCGCGGCGTGCTCGTCCTCGCTCATGTCGGTGTCGGTGTCGGTGGCAGACGCATCGTCGTCCTCGGGGCGCGGGCCTGGCGATCGCGGGTCCTCCTTGGGCGGCGACCGGGGCACGGCACTGCGAGGCAGGCGCTGCAGCGGCGGGCGTGGTGCGTTCGGTGGGGCGTGGTGGCTGCTGGTCGAAGAGGCGGTGACATCAGTCGACAAGGGCGGTGGCTGTTGTTCTCTGGTCATATTCTCAGTCGCATCCCCCTGGCTCCCCTCCGCTGGCGTGTGAGAGAAAGTGTCGTTTCAGAGGGCCCGGCCCGGGCGGTGGAAGCATTCGAGGGGATGTGCGATGTGCTGCACACAGTGCACAGTGCACGCGTGGGTGCGGTCAGGGCAAATCTGTGGGATGACGTCGACGAGAAGAAGACCAGGCGATCCAGGTGCCACAGCCAAATGCGCGCCACTCTGTCCGAGAACCACCGCGGCGCAGCGCTGGAGTCAGAAATCACAGAGCAGGCGCCGAGTCTGAGGCTGCGAGAGGCAATGCCGCTTGCGCCCGGCGTTGGACAGACGGGGAGGTGCTGGCAGCAGGAATTGGCAGTGGTGGGCTGTTTCCCTGTGGATCCCCGTCTCGTTCAGGGAACCGGACTGCTCAAGCGGCACGCAATGGCTGCACACACTGCAAGCGCATTTACGTGCAGGCGTCCAGAAGCTTTGATTCTCGCAGCTAGCAGCGCGGACAGGTGCAGGAACAGACCGCGATTCGTCCCAGCGCGAGAGCGTCAGGACAGCGCCAGACTCTGCGCGGCTCCTGGACGGACAATATGCACCGTGGTCCCTTCAGCGCACCGATACGTCACCGTCCGGCGACCGCCAAGGCTCGATCCCGCTCCAATGGGAGTCGCCAGTGTCAGACTCTCGCAGCCCATGCTCCGAGACCAGACTGCTGCAGCGCGGCCTTGCACTCCGCGGATGACAATGCTGAAACACTCCCATCGTGATCGTTTGCTGCTGCCGCCTGCCTGCCTGTACAGTGCACACCACTCACGAACTAGGCAGCGCCATATCGGCATGATTGAACGTCAGGCCCCTTAGCCCGACATCTAGTCGCAAGAAGCCCATGCCTCGCCAAACAAGTAAGGCTCTGGAACAGGCAAGTCAATCTGCCATGTGCCCCGGCTATTCGTCGACCGAGAGAGCCTCACCCTTCAATAGGTAAAGGGTGTACTTCACGATACCCCCTGATTGTGCGCTAGCAATTGCAGCTGAAATGTGTGCCGACACTGAAGTAACCGCAGTGACAATCACACAGGACCTCGACTTTAACGTGACAGCTCTGACAGCTGTGTCCTTGCCAAAGTCTATTGATTCATTTACCGCAGCACCTGCAGCCGCACTACCAGCCTCGCGGCGGCACAACAACACCGAACGTACCCCATGGTATCTACACCTCGAAATAATCACAAATCTAGACTCGCTCCCGCACCAGTCCAGCCCTATCCTGCACGCCTGCGATTTTTCGGCTTTCGAACACCAACAACCGACGACATGTCCAATTTCCAGCTCGTTTCAAGATCCGTGATGCACCTTATCATCCCACCCTCAAACAAGAACACCCCCCAACACATCGCCAGCCAAGCCCACGGAAGCGTAGATCCGTCCTGCATCCGCAGCCGCAACCGCGGTTGCACCAAGTCAGGTGGGTCCACAGCCTGAAGCACGCCGCGCCAACCCCAAAGCGCTCCGTCTGGCCGCCCGTTCCAGCCATGAAGGCCGGGAATCGAACGGTTTCCGACTGACGAACCACGAGGTAAACGAGCAGAACACCGCTTGTGCCGACTGTTCAGCTCCACGCCGGTGATGCTGGTCCAGCTGATTCTGCAAGGCACCGAGTTGCGGATGGGTAGGCATGCATTCACTTGCAATGCGAATTCTGCATGTGGGCGCGTGATGGACGCGACTCCAAGTGGGGCACGCGAAGCATGCACATTTTGAAAGCGCAGTTCTGACAGAGAGCATCTACCCATCCATGAGCGTTGCACCAAAGTGCGGACAACGTTGCGCCGTCGATACGAACGGTGTTCGATACAGGCTAGACACGCGTTGGAAAGGCGGTGACGACCAGCCCTCTCCCCGTGTCGAGCCAGTTCGGAGGGAGCATTGACGCAGAACGGCAAGACGATGCAGCACATACGGGAAAGGATGAGATCTCGATTGCCAGGATGGCAGCCGTTGCGTGCAGGGATATAGATGCTCTGTATCTGCTCTGGAGCTGGGTACTGGTGCGAGTGCGTGGGGGCAGGCAGCGGTGAAGGAGCAATGACTTGAACCTCGACCAAAACGACTACGACTACGACTAACGATATTTACAAGAATCACGGTATTACTCTCACTCTCACAATAGCCCATTATCCCACCCAACTACACACCAAGATACGTTCCACTCGTGATCCGCTTGACGCTGGGCACAGCCTTCCACATCACACTCGGCGCAGCAGAAGACACCGCATCCTCATCCGCAAACGGATCTGCCTCCACCTCGCCCTTCTCCTCTGTCTCGCTTACACTAACACCAAGCCCGCTGCCGAGCGTCAGAGACTCGGCACCGTTGATCTCCCATCTTGCTTCAGTGTTGCCGGGCTTCGCTTCGCCCTCTGTGACGAAGCGCGCGCGGATGCTTTGTGCAGGCTGGTCGCGACCGAGCGTCACGTCGCCGAGTCGCCAGTAGATAAGGCCCTTGTCGCGGCTGAAGGTGCCTGCGGGTTTGGACTGGCATGATGTAGCTCTGGACCCGGGCTCGAGGCGGATGACTAGGACGAGGTTGCGGACTGTGACGCTTGATGCACCTCGCAGATCAAACTGTGGATTGAGGCTATAGTTGAGGATAGCAGAAACCTGTGATGGTTCTGCTTTCCATAGCGGGGTCAGTATGATGGGCGCCAGTGATGCAATGCTGTTATTCTCGATGTGCAGCTGGTAGTGGAATGCAACCGATGTCTTCATGATCTTGGCCAGGTCAACGCTGTAGTTGCCTGGGTTCTCCGGGATCTGCTCGATGAACGCCGGGTTAGGCGCCACCTTCTCCAGAACGGGAAAATTCTCCAATCGAATGTGCTCAGTGCCAAATGGGCCAGCGGAGATGTCGACGGGATTGAAAGCGAGCGCCACCTGCCCAATCACCATGGCCTTGGTCACGCTGCCTTGTTCGAACCATGCACTGACGGTCTCCACGAGTGAGGCGTTCAATCCGGGCTCGTGCAGGTCCGGGTGCTTGACGGTTGTGCTAGCGGAGCTGCTCAACGATCGGCCCGAACGAATGGACTGGGTGTCTGATGCTGGTGCCGCATGTTCGTCACTCAGCAATGCTCTGTGGGGAAGCTTGTAGACCGGAGAAGCGGGCTGTGGAGGAGGGATCAGCGGAGGAAACACCGTAGGCGTGCTGGGAGACGGGAATGTAGCACTCGGCGGAGCCGAGCCAGTAGCAGGAAGCGCCGGTGAGGGTGACTCTCCTATGCTCTGCAGTTCTGGCACCGCGGGATTAGGCACGAATATCGTGTTACGAACATCGCGGCGTCCTCGGAGCGTGCTGTTCCGCTTCGGTGGGGCCGCTTGCTACGATGATATTAGACCGAAATATCTCCATAACATGGATGTTGCTTACCGCTCGCAGGGTATTGACCACACTGGCCATCGCTGCGTCATTGTCCTCTCCCTCTTCTTGAATTGGCGCGTTTCTAATGTCTAGCTTGAACTGGGGTGTGGAGTAGCTCTCGCTTTGAGTGCTGCGTCGTGTTAGTACACAGCTGCCACTGAGTGAGGGGTGACCTACAATCCCGCTTCGCGCTCCGCCTCTGTGATGGCGTCTAGTGCCGAAGGGGGCACGGAGAAACCCTCAGCATCCTTCTCAGGTTCAGCCTTGGGCTCTGCGACTGACGGAGGGGCCAGCGTTTCGTTCAGTTCGGGAATCGAGTTCTGTGTAGTTCCATTGGTTGGAGCGTTGACAGGAGCGAGAGCGGGAATTGTTCCAATGTCATCGGCAGCAGTTCCGTTCGTTTCGTTCACGTCTCTCGATGGTGGAGGGCGTTCTGGCGTAGGCGCTCTTTCAGATTCACGTCTCGAGGACAGGCGTCTCAGGGGCGAGCGTGGTCGATCTGCCGAAGAAGACGGAGGAGGCAGATCCTTGTCCTTGTTCTTGCTCTTTCCAAAGCCGAATGCTGAGCTGAGGTTTGACGATGACTTTCCCTCAGGCGAAGAGGCACGACCGTATGGGTGAGCGCTCTGTCTCCTACGACCGAGCACGGTTCCAAATCGCTTCAGTGGGTTCGAGCTGTGCTTTTCTTCCTCTGTCGGTAGTCAGTACTGGCACTCCAGGCTTCAGACATGTCCATACTGGAACCACTTTTCTGGCTTCGAGCATCGTCGGCCGGGCCAGCTGCGGACGGTACTGGGGGCGGCGCAAGGGATCTGCCTGGCGAGGCTGGCGGTGGGTTGCTCATTTTGCGGCTCGGCTGAGGAATGTCTCCATTGCGCAGCCTCAGCGGCCATGTCTGTATTTCGTCTGCTGTCTCGATGTTCAAGAGCACATTGAGCGTCTCCTCGGCGGTGACCCTGCTGCGCTCGACCTGGTCCACCTCGTGTGTCTGGAACTGCGTGAGGGCGTCTCGCAGGTGGTTGAGGCGGCTCTCGTCGACGGCCTGCAGCTTCTCGTAGACGAACGGCGCCTGCGAGTCCCACTGGAGCTCGGCATTCTGCTCCTCCTGCGCGGCCTCGCCAACCTCAGACGGCCTCGCCTTCGCGCCCTTGCTCTTGAGCTTCTCTGACTTCTTCCGCGCAGCCTCCAGCTCCTTGGCCATTGCGGTCAGGTTGCCGGACATGTTGCTCATGGCCAGCACTTCGCGGTCATTTGCGCAGAAGTCGCGCAGCGGTCGCTCGACGTCTGACTCGATCTTCCGTGCGAGGTGCTCGTGGGATCCGGCAACCGCGCCGGTCGCGCTCACGATCTTCTGCCATGGCACCGAGAAGATGCTGGGTGTCGTCAGTCTGTGCGCCCGTGGCGGTTTGGACTTCGCGCATACCCCAGTTCCGACGCCTCATCCGGCGGGTGCCTGTTCGCCAGCTTCCGCAGACCCTGGACGTACTGTTCTTCGACGCGACGCCGCTCCTGCGCATTCGTGAGCACCGTGGCATGACATGACGCGGGTCGTCCGGTATCTACCCACCTGCAGCCAGTCTGCGATCTGCGTGTTCAATTGGCTCACGTGCTTCATGCGCCCATTGAGGACGTCGACGGCCTGCGCGGGCGAGAGGCTTTGCTACACATTGCGTGAGTCGGGAGGGACACTGCCGGGCGGGTGTGGCGGCAGCTCACCAGCACTGCTGGGTATTCTTTGCGCTGCAGCTCCATCATGACGACTGCGGGGACGGGTGCGCAGTCTTACTCGGTCACCTAGGCTCCTCAATAAATGCGCCTAAAAATACAGCTCCAGCAAGCTCGTGGAGAGTGTGTCGTGGGAGCTCCCTCGCCGGTACGTAATGGGGTTGGGGCGCGGCGTAACGCGATGCGGCTAGGACTGCGCATTGACATCGGCATGTCACCTTCGAAAACAACGTGTCGGCGTCGCACCCTGCGAGGATCCAAACCATGACGTGGGGACAGACCCAGGCGGTCGTCAGCGTGCTGACGTCGATTGGGCTGCCCGCCAGAGATACGCTGGACCACTACTCGTACCTGTCGGTCCACACTGTTGAAACTAAGCTATGTTGGTGCATGTTCGGCAAGCTCGACCTTGAATTGATGCCACTGACCGCTCCTTTCTTTCGGTGACTGAAAACAACACATTCTTCTCTCGCACTCACGTTCAACAGCTAGAATGGCTTCTGCAGACTGGCGAGCACGCTTTGGCTTCGCAGACCGCATGCGCGCTGTCACCAAAATGCAAGTACTACCACATCCATGTACAGACCCCTGAAATCTGCCACAGGGAGCACCTCGTAAGATCACTGCTCCCCATACAACTCATGGCCGTTGTTGTCCAAGAGACGGCCCTCAGTAGCCCCGTTTCAGGCTATCTCGGCGTGCTCGGGCGCGCCAGGAACGAGCGTTTTCTGGCAACTCTGGGTATCGCAGCTTTGTCGAGGTCTGGACTGTGTTGTGTTCGCAAACCGCCATATAAACGCTATCTTCATATCTCGGAATGCTTTCCCACTCACTTCTCTGCAATGCTGGCTCGCATCAAGCTAATCGTTCGCAGAATAGACGCCTGTCATGCCTCGAGTCCTTTGCTCCCAGCAAGTGATGCGCACAGGGAAGCCATCGCAGCCGAGACAAGGATCTATGGCGAAGCCGGCTCTATCGTACGAGACATTCCATATTCTGGTGGCTGGCTTAGCTTACACTCTTTTAGGACGATTATGAAAGTTCAATCGACGAGAAAGTTGCAAGCTATCCTCCGCGGTTCCTTCAGTTCCCGACACCAGAGGTAATACGTGCCTCGTGTAGAGATGTTGCATGAGACTGACCCACAACAACAGGACACGAAATACGTACCCACTCCCGGCGCAATCACAGTGGGCATGTATCAAAATGCTCTGTACTACAAAGAGGGTCTGTTCTCTGCCATCTACAAGGCGCCTGCCTTGAACAGCAGCGGCGGCTACTTCCCAGATGGCGCACCAGCTAGAGCCAATCTTGTTGCTCTCAAGATCACCTCACCGTCGATGATGGAACCTCCGCATGACTCACGACGCGAAGCGGAGATCTTAAAAAAGGCGGCGTGCCCCAATGTCATCGCCCTGATAGACACCTTCAGAGAGGACGGTGGCAAGTTCGTTCTGGTCTTCCCGTTTATGCCATTCGACCTGGGTGTCGTTCTCAGAGAAGGCAAGTTCGCAAAGACGCAGGCAAAGATCTGGTTGAAGGACTTGTTCTTGGCACTCGCATTCATCCACGAGCACGGCATCATACACCGCGACATTAAGCCTTCAAACATTCTACTTAAATCCATCGATGGACCAGCGTACCTGGCAGACTTTGGTATTGCTTGGGCACCAGATACTGCAGGCTCTGAAGCACCCGACGCAAAGATCACAGATGTCGGCACAACATGCTACAGGCCGCCCGAGCTATTGTTCGGCAACAAAGCCTACGACTGTACCCTCGACCTATGGGCGGCTGGCTGCACCGTAGCCGAGATTCTGGATCCGGATCACCCAACACTGTTCGATTCTGGGGAGTTGGGCAGCGACCTGTCGTTGCTGCAAAGCATCTTCAAGAAGCTGGGAACGCCGACATTGACTCGATGGCCTGTGAGTATAACGATTTAAGAAAACAATATGGACTGATGTGATACAGGAGGCGGCAAAATTTCCAGACTGGGGAAAGATGCAGTTCTATGAATACCCCGAAGAGCATTGGGGTAAGCTGCTACCACGCGTATCTGAAGAAGGGCAGGACCTTGTCTCAGAACTCGTCCGGTACGAGAGTGGAGCGCGCATGACAGCGTTGAAGGTACGCAGATACTCAAACCATACACAAGACTGAAGCTCACCATCCTAGGTCCTTGATCACGCATACTTTCGCGAGTAAGTCCTGGGGACATACGAGCCCTTTAAATACGATGAGTAATGTGGAGGCGACGCATCCGTATATAGACATAGATTCACACTGGCAACATATCGCATATTTAGCAATTAAGCACAGACACAATAAACTCGCATCTATCCTGCTGCCGCCATGCACTGCGTCAGACCTTCCAGATTCTATAGATCTCACACGGTGCGTGCTCTTCAATGGGAACTGTATGTCTTGACGAGTCAAGGAGACGTCGCTTACAAGACTGATCCGATTGACCAGCCTGGAGGAAGTCAGGGTATTCGGCCGATGTCACAGTGAAGATGAATACAGCTCAGCTGCAGGCGTTCCACGTAGCTATCAGTGTATGAAAATGGTAGGATGCGTACCTGGGTTCCACACCGAATGAATGGTACGATTTACACGATCAATTAGCAAGCTTCGAGTTCTTCTTACGCTGTCTCTGTTGCTCCGCTGTTGGCGATATGCTCCAGTCGGCAACAGTCGATCAGCAGCCTTGAGCAACTCCCGGTGGACCCTACAGAAAGCAGTCCATCCAATATTCTTCGATGGTCATCGGTGGCGTGCCGCTACATCGCCATTTGCCCGACACACTCGCGCATCAAGCATCAAGCATCATTAGTCTCTGACTCGCATGTCGTTTCTGAAGGTCTGTGAGGCGTCCATGAGATGTTGTTGTATATGGCAGCGCCTGTGTCATGCTACTACGCGGTCGCAATCAGAGTCAGGAATCGACAAGAACATGTTCTAATACTAGGATAACTGCTCGGCCTGGAGCTGGTCAGAGCATCCACAATTTGGACGTAAGATGTTGTTCCTTGTGGCAGCGGGTGATGTACAAGGAACACGGCGCTAGCTAACGCAGGGTTTCACCTTCGAGCCTTCCCGCCGGCGTAGGGCTGCCGCTGCTGCATTTGGGCGCTGGCTGGACTTCGGCTCCGTCATGACAGCAGCGCGACAACAAACATATCCCTGCTGACAGCCGCCACAACATCCCCTTGCGGGCACAACAAAGCCACAACCGTCTGCATGTTTCTGCCATCCAGATAGCAGCTGTCTGGCGCCCACAGCCCTCCTCCCTCGCCTCGTTCCGGACTGTCACCCCTCCGAGCAGGCCCCCCTCTCAACATGGCATTCTTATTCAGGACCAAGCAGAAGACCAATGCCGAGCTCACGCGGTCGACAAGGGATCTCACTGTCCGCCTTAGCCAGGAGGATAAGCCCAACCCAAAGGTACGCCTGTGCCCCGCAATCAGACGGCCTCAAGGCTAACAATTGACAGTTGGAAGAGGAGCTGGCTCGAGACCTGCAGCAGATGAAGCTGAGGCTTCAGGGCACGCCTGGTACTACTCACGCTTCCTACTCTCTCGACACACACTCGATAAATGTGAAATTCCGGGCCTCAGCAGCGCATGCTAACGGATTGTAGACACCGAAGTCAACCCCGACCATGTATTCCAGCTCCTGTCCGCGATCCTGGCCGACGACCTGCTATATACGTTAGCAACCAACATACACAAGCTGCCGTTCGAATCGCGCAAAGACGCACAAGTCATCTTCTCATCCGCCTTCCGCTACAAGCCTGCTGGTCAGACCGACCCCCAAGTTCTACACCACATCGTACAGTTCCGTCCAGACATTATAATAGCGCTATGCCGAGGGTACGACAGGCGAGAGAGTGCTATGCCGTGTGGAGGAGTGTTGCGCGAGGCCTTGAAGTACGACGCCATCGCTGCGTTGTTGCTGTACGATGAAGGCGATGAAGGGAAACCGTTGGACCTCGCCAATGTGAACCCTGACATAGCTGCAAGTGGGAACGGCATATTCTGGAGATTCTTTGATTGGATAGACAAGGGCGCGTTCGAGTTGAGCGCGGACGCGTTCAACACGTTCAGGGTACAGTTGTCCCTGCATATCCTGACGACACAGCTAATGCGAGCAGGAAATCCTCACAAAGCACAAGCCACTCGTAGCGACATTCTTGCAGACGAACTTTGAGGTGTTCTTCTCCAAGTACAACACGATGCTGATTTCGTCGGAGAGCTACGTGACCAAGCGGCAATCTATCAAGTTGCTGGGCGAGATCCTGCTTGACCGGGCGAACTACAGTGTCATGACGCAGTACGTAGACTCTGGCGAGCATCTCAAGATCGTCATGAAGCTGTTGCGGGACGACAGGCGGATGATCAACTACGAGGGGTTTCACGTGTTCAAGGTATGTCGATGTTGACAGATATGTTGGCGGCTGAGCTGACGGGGCAGGTGTTTGTTGCGAACCCCAACAAGTCGATGGCAGTGCAGAGGATCCTCATCAGCAACCGTGAGAAGCTGCTGCGCTTCCTGCCCAACTTCCTCGACGACCGCACAGAAGACGAGCAGTTTATAGACGAGAAGAGCTTTTTGATACGGCAGATCGAGCAGCTGCCCAGCCAGCCTGTGCCACAGCCAGCAGCAGCATGAGGATGATTCTGGACATTTCATTTGTAAGGACGGTGTGCATGGAGCGGCGTTAGCTGGGGTTGGATGGCGACCAGCGCATTTCCAGGGACTCGTTTGGCGTCTGCATGGCGCATCTATCAATACGTAATCAAGCATGGTGCAGAAGCTGGACACGGTGAATGTGAAGTAGAGTGAGCTTGCGTGTCATATTACGTGGGCTCAGTTGCGTACCAGCCACAGAGCCACAGGGGCACGAGGGCCACAGGGCCACAGAGCCACCATGCTCCACGCTTCCCCGCTCTGCATACGAGCACGCGACCCGTGGGCCGGCGATTGGGCGATTGGGCGATGGGGCGACGGTCAATTGGGCTGGCGATTGGCGATTGGCGACTGGGCGCGTCTCAGCGTCAGCGTGTCGGCCAGAAATGTCGTAGGTGTCAACCAAAGTATGCAAAGGATTTGCCGCGCTGCTCAGGATTCTACCGTCGCCGTACCTGCAGCGGCTCGTTGACGTCGACATCACCGCCGCATGCTCCCGCGAGCCCCTGTGCTAGCTCCGCGCTCTCGGCGGGCCCAGTGCATCTGATCGCCAAGTTGGCTAGACGAATCAGGCGCGAGGCCGGGGGTCGACATGTCTCCAGGCTCGAGCGTGGCACGCTGGCTCGACGACACCGCCTCGAGACAGCCGCCCGACACACTGCTGCACCCGGGCGATGAGTTTCCGCTGCGCACCCTCTCCAACCCGCCGTCGACTTCCAGCCTCTCGGACCTCAGCAGTGACGACGAAAGCGCCACGGCCGACGTAGCGACGCGCATCCATCCGCCGACGCCGCCGGGTGCGACGCTGGGCATGGAGCAGAGCACGAGACGGCGCTCCTCTTCCATCACGGGGGCCGCCGCCGCCTCCGCCGCGACGAGCAGCAAGGAACGCCGGCACCGGAGTAAGCGGCGGCGCGACGACCACATCGCCGAGGAGGGCGAGGACAGCGTGGGCGCGTCGGACAGCGGCTCCCGCAGCGACAGCACCGACTTTGAGCTCGACGACATGAGCGGCGACGGGCTGGACGACGACGAGGAGACGGGCCTGACCCGCAAGGTGCGCCGCAAGAATGCGAAGCGGAAGCGCCGCAACACGCTGCTCGACAACCGCATCGTGCCCGACTCGGGCCTCAGCTTCACCAAGGAGGAAAAGGCCCTCGCGGACCAGAGCCTGTACCGCGACCTGCTCGTCAACGCCATGCTGATCTGCCTGTGGTACCTCTTCTCCATCTCCATCTCCGTCTACAACAAGTGGATGTTCAAGGTCGACGCGAGCGAGGGGGCCACGCAGAACATCTTCCCCTTTCCGCTCTTCACCACCTGCCTGCACATGCTGGTGCAGTTCTCGCTCGCCTCGCTCGTGCTGTTCCTCGTCCCCTCGCTGCGACCGCGACACGACGCGCTCAACCCGCACGCCGCCGGCGCGCGTGTCGAGCCCGTCGACCCCAAGAAGCCGCTCATGACCAAGTGGTTCTACTTTTCCAGGATAGGACCCTGTGGCGCCGCGACGGGCCTGGACATTGGCCTGGGCAACACGAGCCTGAAGTTTATTTCCTTGACCTTTTTCAGTGCGTACTCTGTTCTTTACTCTATCTTCATATACGTCCAAGCTAACGGCAGCAGCAATGTGCAAGTCGTCTGCACTCGGCTTCGTCCTCATCTTCGCCTTCCTCTTCCGCCTCGAGCAGCCGTCCTGGCGCCTTGTTCTCATCATCGCAATCATGACCGTCGGCGTCGTCATGATGGTGGCCGGCGAGAGCGCCTTCCACGCCCTCGGCTTCACCCTCGTCATGGCCTCGGCCTGCTCCTCGGGCTTCCGCTGGTCGCTCACCCAGATTCTGCTCCTGCGAAACCCCGCGACGGCAAACCCCTTCTCCTCCATCTTCTTCCTCGCCCCCATCATGTTCATCAGCATCTTCGTCCTCGCCGTGCCCGTCGAGGGTTTTGGCGCCCTGCAGGAGGGCCTCGCGCGGCTGTGGGACCAGAAAGGCGCCGCGCTCGGCACGGGCATCTTGCTCTTCCCCGGCTGTCTCGCGTTCCTGATGACATCCTCGGAGTTCGCTCTGCTGAAGCGCACGTCGGTCGTCACGCTCAGCATCTGCGGCATCTTCAAGGAAGTCGTGACCATCACGACGGCCAACCTAGTCTTCGACGACCCACTGACCCCCATCAACCTCACCGGTCTCGTGGTGACCATCGGCAGCATCGCGCTGTACAACTACATGAAGATCAAGAAGATGCGCGAGGAGCACCTGCTCAAGGTGCATCTCGACGCGCAGGACGAGTACGCGCCCATCAACACGGCGGATCCCGACCGTGGTGCCAGACCGAGCGCGAGCACGAGCGCCTCGCGAGGCATCGGAGCGAGTCTGCAGCTCGCGCCTGGCGTCAGCGGGCCCGCGGGCGATTCGGCCGCGCGGGCGAGTCCCGTCAAGAGACCGGGGGACTTGGACTGAACCGCCCCACACGGCAGCACCTCGACTTTTGCTTGCAGCGACTTCTACTTACAGCAACTTCTGCTTACAGCGACTTCTGCTTGTAGCGACTTCTGCTTATAGCGACTTCTGCTTATAGCGACTTCTGCTTGCAGCGACTTCTGCTTGCAGCGACTTCTGCTTACAGCGACTTCTGCTCGGCCTTTTGTGTTGCGGTGCTGTGCTTGGGATTCGCATTTGACTGCATATACGGGCGTTCTGGCTTTCTTTGAAGCGTGCGTGCAGGTGCGCATGGAAATAGCCTCTCGTAGGGCTGAAGACTAAATACACATTTTCTTGCGTCTGAAACCGTGTGCTCTGACCGCGTTGAATCCTGTCATATCTCGAAGTCCTGCTGAATCCTGTCATATCTCGAAGTCCTGCTGAGCCTGTCATATCTCGAAATCCTGCTGAAGCCTGACATGTACTGGCGTCGTCGAGCTCGAGCAAGACGTGCTCGATTCCACATGCCTCATGTGGCAATGATGTAATCGACCTTCTGACGCCCAGTGTCCGAGCCAGGCAGCGCGAGGAGCGGCCTCGTGTTTCACATGACCGCCCAACACACGGAGCCTACCCTGGTGTCCCTACTTCGTACCCCGGAGCCTAGCCCAGGCCCGCACGCCGAAACACGACGTCTGCTCGCCACCACCTCTGCCCGTGAGACCTCTGCCCGTGAGACCTCACCTCGTGAGACCTCACCTCGTGAGACCTCCGCCCGCTCGACTCCTTGCTCCACGCCGCTCCTCCACCATCCATGCGGCTCATCGCAGCCCTCGCGGCCCTGCCCGCTCTCGCCCTTGCGCAGACGGTCGACATCACCGTGACCAAGGCGGTCGCATGCACGCGCAAGACGCAGAGCGGCGACACCGTGTCGATGCAGTACACGGGCACGCTCACCGACGGCACGCAGTTCGACTCCAACGTCGGCAGCGGGCGGCCGTTCGAGTTTACGCTCGGCGCCGACCAGGTTATTGCCGGCTGGGACCAGGGCCTCCTGGGCATGTGCATCGGCGAGGCGCGCAGGTTGACGATTCCGCCCACCCTGGCGTACGGCAGCCAGCGCGTTGGCCCGATTCCGGCCGGCAGCACGCTCGTCTTTGAGACGGAGCTGCTGGGCATCAAGGGCGTCGACGCCGAGCCCGTCGTGCCGGTCCTGTCCAGTGTGTCCAGTGTGCCCACGCCCACGCCCGCGCATCTCGATGAGGCGCCCCAGACCAACGCCTCCGACGTGCCCGCCGCGCCCGACGCGCTCGACGAGCCAGTCCCCACGCCGCCCCCCTCATCATCGCAGTCTGCAGCCTTCGCCGTCCCGACCGCAGCACCCTCCAGCATCGCTGCGACCGGCAAGCACCCGCTCGACGGCGAGGACGGCACAGGCGAATGCAACCTGCTTGGCGACTTCGCGCTGCTGGTCCAGGGCGCGCTGGGCCTGCTGGCCGTCTCCTCGCTGGCCGTCAAGCGCCTGCGCGAGCACCCGCGGCGGCCCATGAAGATCTGGTTCTTCGACGTGTCGAAGCAGGTGTTTGGCTCCGTACTGCTGCATCTGGCCAACATTCTCATGTCCATGCTATCCTCGGGCCAGTTCGACCTCGCCGCGCAAACGCAGAGCGCCGGCGCCGCCGCCGTGGCCGCCGAGAAGGGCTCAGAGCCTAACCCATGCTCCTTCTACCTCCTCAACCTCGCCATCGACGTACGTTCCTCCTTCCCTCTGCTCCCCCCCCCCTCACACACACACACCTACACACACACCTACACACACACACACACACACATACGCACACACACGCACACACACACACACACGCACACATACACACACTAACCGCCCCAGACAACAATCGGCATCCCGATCCTCGTCCTCCTCCTAAAAATCCTGCACCGCGCCTTCCTCCTCACCCCCCTCGCATCCCCCCCAGAGTCAATCCGGAGCGGCAACTACGGCCACCCGCCGCGCGCAACATGGTGGCTGAAGCAGTCCATCATCTACTTCCTCGGCCTGATGGGCATGAAGCTGTGTGTGCTCGCGCTCTTCGCGCTGCTGCCGTGGATCGCCTGGGTCGGCGACTGGGCCCTGCGCTGGACAGAGGGCAACACGGCCCTGCAGATTGCCTTTGTCATGTTCGTGTTTCCGCTCGTCATGAACGCCCTGCAGTACTGGATCGTCGATGGCTTCATCAAGGATCCCGCGGGCCAGGAGAGCGGCTACCAAGGCCTTGGCGACGATGAGGACGAGGGTGAGGGGGGCGAGGACGAGTGGCTTGAGAGACAGCGCGGGAGCGCGGGGGACCATGATGCGGCTGAGCAAGTGCGGAGGGGAAAGGAACCGCATCTCGCCGTCTCACCGAGGGCGCAGTATGACCCTGCCGTTGATGGCGAGAGTAGCAGGGACTTGAGCAAGACGCGTGTCGATTGAGCGTTGAGCCTCGACCATTTTGATCACACTTATTTAGTTCCAGATTGTGCATCACGTTTCCTAGTCAGATATCAGAAGAACAGTTGTGAGGCTTGCTTGCAGCCATCTCTGGATGCTCTGTCCTTTCTCGCCCCAGTCGAGAGACACCGACTGACAACTGTTCCTAAAAAGGCTCTTTTATAGAAGCAGTGCCCAAAGTGCTCAAGAGACGTAGTACTCCCGCCCCAGCGCCTCAGCAACATACAGCACATCGTGGTCCTGTATCAGCCTGTCCTTGGTCTCGTTGTCGGCCTTGTCCATGCACTCGTCGTAAGTCTTGCACTGTCGCCACTTAGCCAGATTCACACTGGTAACTTTGAGAAACAGCATACCATGTGCGCATCGTGCTCGGCGTAAGTGAGGAACGCGGCAACCTTCCTCTTGAAATCGAGACCTGTCTCATTGAGGTTCGCATCGAATCTGCGTGCAAAGCTGGCAGCGTACCTGAGCTGTTAGCACATTTGATTGTTCGTGCGTGGGTGTGACATACCCCCGAAGCTTCGCTGTGCTGTTCATGTGCTTCATAACGTCTACGACGAGTCGGGCACTCACGACATGGTCTGCGTGATCTTCCCTCTCATCCTCCTCATCTGGGATGCCGGTCTTGTAGTCCAGCACGCGGACGTCTGTGGCGCCGCTCTCGATCAGAATGGCCGCGAGGAAATCCTGGAGGCACTTGAGCGTGTACGTCGCCCTCCCGTCCGTAGTGGTGACCGCCTTGATATCGCCAGTGTACAGCTTCCTCAGCGACTCGCCCTTGTTGCGCGCATATCCGGAGCCAACAGGTCCACCACCCGGCAGCCGCAAATAAATAATCTGCACGTTGTATACATCTTGAGGTCTGCTGACCGTCACATTGTTACGACCGATCTGGACTGTGTTGGCCGACCATGTCTGATTGTCTATAGCGAGGCCGTTCGTCCATGAGTATGCAGCTTCGAGGCCGTGTTCAAGAGTGCGAGACATATTGCCCACGATGCCGCGGTCGCCGGACGTGAATATAACGGTGGTGACGCATTTGTAGACGTAGAGATCGTGGAAGAGGTCAGGGTTCTGGTAGAGGAGGGTGTCGGCTGGATGTGCGGCGAAGTAGATTGTGCCGCTGTCAGGATTAGTGACGTGAGCTCGAACATGACCTGGGTGCTTCTTACCCTGTGCAAGTGGAAATGTTGGAGTAGGCGGCGGATGTTGGAAACCTTCTGGCTACCGCGAAGAGCAGCGGTAGGTATGTGAAGAAAACGTGTAGTGAGTACATGGCGACAACGCAGCATCTGACTACAGATGACTGTAGGGAACGAGAGGATGAGGGAGGTGTGTTGAAAAACAGTGGAACGAAGTTTCTCTCTGAGTGAGACTCCAGGTAGGAAGGTGCTCCCACGTGGGAGCCAGAAAAGGCGCGACCCCGTTCACAGCGGTCCAACAAACCCATATCTATTCCAGAGGCATACAAGCTGCTGAGCCTACTTGCGATACCTGCTGACAATCTTCTGCCTCTTCGCAAACGCATCTCCAGCCGCGCTGCCACTTCCTCTTGGCCCATCATCGACCGGCCTCTTCCTGCTCTTCTCCAGACTGCCCTTCCCCCCCCCCTCCTTCTTCTGTGTGAGCCTTTCAATCCTGTCGATGCCTGCGCCCAGCCCCCTCCACTCCTCACCGCCGAAGCCGCCCTGGCTCTTGCCCCTGTCCTCCTTCCTCTTCTCCTTCTTGCTCTTCGGCGCCAAACGAGTGAAATTGGCTTCTTCGTACTCGCGCCTCTCGTTTTCCTCCCGTCGCTCCTTCTCGGATTTCGTGTGTCGTCCGCCGTGTGTGATGGTGCTTCCAATTGAGGGCTCAGCGATGGGTGCGGAAGACAGTTCGGTCGCGATGAATTCGTCAAGGGTGGCGGACTTGTTGGGACGGCGGTCGCGGCGCTCTGCGCGGCCTTCGGTAGTGGGCATGGCCATGGGTGTGATCTTGGGCGGGCGGTAGATGCCGTCCTTTGCCGACTCGCGGTCGCGTGTGGAGGGCTGTTCTTGCTCTGCGCGAACGACAGCGGCCTTGTTGGGCGCATACGCCATCTCGTCCTCCGAGTCGGCGGTCTGGTCCGAGGCGGCGGACTCGGCGTCGCTCTCGTCGGACCCAGAACCTGTGTCGTTCCTTGTCTTCTTCGGCTTTGACTTCGCAGTCGCTTGGGCTGTGCGGCGGGCGGCATCGTCTGCGCTGCGGATGATCTTGTCAATGTTGTATTTCAGGCGGTTCTCGAGTGGGCGGACACCCTTCTCGAGGTAAATTCGGAGCTCGACGAGCTTCTGGACGACCTCATCTTGTGGGTGTAGCTGGTCACTTTCTCCGGAGCATCGTGCTCGTAATTTGAGAAGTATAAGGAAGACGAGGTTTTGAAGGTAGGAGAGCAGGAGCTCGTTCTTGACGTCAAGCAGAGAGATGCCCTCTTTCGGCGGGAGAACGTCGTCCTGCGGGAGTGCTTCGGTGGCAGATCGTATAGATGTTGTGAGAGTCGCAAGAAGCGACTCTAGCGAGTTATCGACTGCCATTGTGAATTTGGACTCCGTCGAGTTACTGTCGTTGCATTCGATGTCAAGAATTTTTGAGGCTTCACTATCGATAAGCAGCGCGCTAAAGTCGCTGCGAGTCATGAGCGCCTCGGTCTTACCCGTCGACCATCTCGAGCCCTCCCCATGCACCGACCTCGACCATGACATCAGTAGAGGACGACTCGACAGCACCAAGCTTCCGCTTCAAACGCCGCAAGACTACACACACCAAACGAGCACGCATAGACGACGATGCTGCGAGCACTCCAAGCGCTCAAGCCCTCGATGCTACGACACCACACAATGCGCCGGAAGTTGTACATGACGAGGAAGAGTCGGTGCTGAACCTGAGAGAGATCATAAGGAGTCGCAAGAGGCCCAGGGACCGCCTCAAAGAAGTCCCGCGCAAACCAGAACCACAGACAGAGCTCGTGCAGATAGAGGCACCGCCATCGGACCAGTATGCGGGCCGATTCGCTGCGCAGACGGGACAGGTGGTGGACGCCAGCGACAAGCAGATGTGAGTGGACATCTCTTTCACATGCATACCTGTGCAGCGACGCTCTTATAGTCATGACACTGGAGTTAGTGAACACGGCTAATATATCAGGTCGGTATATGTAGAAGCCCGTTTAGCTGAACAGAACCACCGCAAATACGGCGGGCCCATACCACTACATCTTCAATCAATCGTCGCTGCAACAGTGCCCGACCTCAAACACGCCTTCGCCGCAAACCCCGTCCAGACAGCAGCACCCAGCAGCACCATCGACACCGACACTGACCTGAGCAACCGCGTTGCAGCCGGGCAAGGCAAGCTTGAGGAAGTATCGCTTGCCGCAGACTCCACACGCACACACAAAGACTGGGCCCGTCTTGAGGGAACTGCGCCAGCACCGAAAGTACGAATGGGAAGAGATGGCAAACCGTGGCGCGGCCGCAAGCGCAGAAATAGCAATGACATCCGGCGCGACGCCGCCGTCGAAGCCGTACTCAAGGAAGCGAAAATCGACTACTTTGACGACACGACGACTACCAACCCGCGCTTTACTGGCACAGACGATGACATGGTCGCAAGATTTCAGGCAGAATATTACGAGTCTATTGAGGAGAGGCAGAGTCGTAAGCCTGTGATGCCGCCGAGTGCCAAGGACCAGCCGAAGGGTCCGAAGCTGGGTGGGAGTAGGAGTGCGAGGGCGGCCATGCGGGAGAGGGGGGAAGCCGCTGTGAAGAGCAAGAGGTAGAGTTTGCTATGTGGATATTCGCGCTGCTTTGTTGTTTCAGTGTTATTGATGCATGTTGTCTCTATCTCGGCACTTCGAGGGTACTAATGAATGTGAACAGTGAGTATGAATTGAGGGTCAACGATGGAAGGGTATTGGAGCGCTGGCAATGGAAAGGCATGCAGGTCAAGGATACGGCATGGTACAATAAATGATTAGCAGGCTATATATTACCAGGTTGCTCCGGCCTCCAGCCTCTAGAACGTCGCCCTGCCACCGGTCTACGACCACATTTCTCTCGGTTCTCCAGGATCACGGATGCGATCCGTCTGAACACAGATACCGGGCTTAATGCACGAGGTATTTGCGAAGATAGGGGAGCCAACTGCATCGAAAACAAAAAGCACCAGCCGGAGTTGGTGGTAGATGGGTCGGAACAATCGGAGGTGCTATCGGTAGTGGATGAGGATGAATAGCCAGTGGAGCGGCGTCGGTCAAGTAAAGCGAATGAGGACGACTTGTGAGCCTGGTTGACTTCACGAATCTGAACCTGTTAGTTCAAGGGTGTTTGCTTGTTTTGATTGATGTTTTTTTGTTGTTTTGACATTGGCGCGTTCGATGTTCCTCTGACCAGCCTACAACTGGCGTGATTTGCTTGAGGTCCTCTTGAACGTTAGCTTCTGATATCAGTCAGTCGTTAGTCAAATGCGAAAAGAAGATAGAGACCTACAGAACTGGCTGAGGCTGTAGGCAGTATCTTAGACAAAGCACCTTAAGAGCCTATACATCTGCACCGAGCTGCTTTTTGTGCTTACGCCTAGGAAAGAGGGCGTCGGCGGAGTGGTTCCCGCATTCAGCTTGAGATTTGTATCGTACTTGATCTGAGATGCCTGAGGTAGTAGGCAGTGAGGCTGAAGGAAGGTTAGAATAAGCACGAGGTCAGTCCTCAAGTTAGTACAAGCATCCGAAACCCCTCAGCATTGAATAGTGCAGACACAATAATCGGTATCATGAATGCTTAGTTCTTGATGCTGAGGTATGGCAAGAATTCCGACAAACGCCAGGCAGGCAATTAGCTCAACGGGATACCCAATTCGTGTAAGCCGAGAAGGTAACTCAAGATTATGCGATCGACATCTTGTACGCTTCTGCCATAATCCGGCACCAGGATCTTCGTATTGTGCGCGTCTGGTGAGATGCCAAGCAGCGCGTATACTTTGTCTCGCGGGCCACTTGCCTTGCTTGCACTGAATTCGCGTAGCAACGTCTGCAGATCCTGGCTCTCCAGCCACCAGGAGTGCTTTCTTGAAGGGTCAGGCATGCTATTTGACACTGCTTGCTGATATGACGACGGTCGCAGATCCAACACACATGGCACCAAGGCAAAGGTGCGTGCTGAGACTCACTTTGTGCCACATGCGACCCTCGCAAACCGTGCCTTTGCGACTCCATGATTTATCCAGATCCTGTCAAACCATTCTTGTTCGAAGAAAGCCTCAAAATCACTGCATTCGCTCCTTATTTGAAGTCCTGCATTTGACCAAAAGAGAAGCCAACGCGCATCCGATCTGCCAGTTGTTGCAAGACTGTTTGAGTATCTCTTTCTCTAATCGCTGCATGAAGCGGAGGGCACCATTCGTCGCTGAAGTCGCAGTTCCAAGCTAGAAGATCACCGGTCTCGCGCGGCTGTAGATAGATGCCATGTGCTAGACTTGGTGGCCGCTTTCCTTGTGGTCTTCCTGGGTGATTCAAAGAGCATCGATCCACAAGAATCTGTGCTACTCGTCGAGACGCAGATGTTACAAGACTTTGAACAAATTCTTCGTTATACGCATCGCTTGGCCATTGACCTTGATACTGTGCGGCTTGTCCAGAGCCCACCAGGTTTATGACAAAGCCTCGTGCTCCATCTCGTCATCGTTGAAATAGTTCACACTCTATGGGCCCATCGTCTCCTCTGCAAAGGCGGATGAGACGGAAACATCGACTCTCTAGATCCGACTCTTCGTAGACAAATCCGTCTCTGCCATGCCGCCGCAGCACGTTTGTGGCTCTGCACAGCCTGTGTGAGATCCGATCACCACAATTGGTGGCAAGGCCTGGATCCTTGCGTCAGATGTAGCGCGATCAGTGTAAGATAATTATCCGGTGAGAAGTCAGCTGTGCTCGGTCACGATCTGGTGGCCTCAGGGACATGCCTGCCAAAACATAGTGGACCGGATGAAGAGTGGACCGCATCAGTCGACGGCTAAAGTATTTGAATCAGAGCGACTGCTAAGGCAGCGAGGCTGTGGCGCAGAGAGTGGTGGCTGTGTGTGAATGTAAGCTGGTCCTGCGGGCTGCACTCCTGACTAACTATGCACGAGGCAGCTTCAGCGCCTCGCTCTTTCCCTTACGAGGCTGAGAACTCGGCTGTCGCGACATTGCAGCAGCATCGAGGCAGATTGTGCTTAAGATGATGACAGCTCAATATGTAGCCCTCAAAATGATCAGTAGTTATGCAAAGTGCGTTGAAGTTGTGTTGTGATCCTGGTTTGTTGATTCTCCTATCTGTCAAGATTCTTGAACGTACGTAAATCTTCGGTATTCAAGTATTACTCCCATTGCCGAGATGGCGGCAATTGCGACTCATGTACAGACTCTCTGTTTCCTAGTGTGAATTCAGTTCTGTGATTCGTCGTTCTTGGAAACCGGCGATTGCACAAGCCTTCTGGCTCGCTTGCCAGTCTTCGCCTCATCTTCCACTGGGATTCGTTCTAACCGCCCTTGCGGGGTGTAGCTGCGGCCCTCTTCTGGAAGTGACGCTCCATGATCTTCCTCACCTGGATGACGCTTTGCTCCTTGCCAGCCGGTGCCTTGATGCTGTCCAATGTGTAAGGAGGCTTGATGAGAACAGCCTGGTTAACGACAATATCCTGTTGGTGCCACTCTGCTGGAAGCCTGCAGCCTAGTCAGTCCAGTCCTCTTATCTTAGCAATTATTGAGACGTACGTTCTGCTCACTGCGTCAAAGATATCCTGCGCTTCTCTGCTGACTCCCTTGCCCTTCTGTTCATCTTTCTTCTTCATCTCACGGATCGTCTGCTCCTCTCTTGCCATCAGCGCTGCCATGTCGACCTTCGCGATGTTGGGCACTGCGCTATCGAACCCTGCATTTGTCTGTTGCCCTCGTTCACCGAGGCCAATGATCTCGAAGGACAGTATGTGTGCGAAGGGAATGATGTGGTAGTCGCCGGGCTGCGAGGAGAGCGAGGCGGAAGGGTTGGGCGGCGCAGGCGCGGTGTTGATCGCAATTGCGTTTGTAGTGTTGCATGCTGTGAAGAGGGTGCCTTCGAGGACATTGTTATTGGGCGCGCATGTGATCTTGATACTGCGCAGTGTCAGACTTGCTGTTGGGCGCCGTTCAAGGCCTTGAGGTCGTATATGTTAAGCAAGGGGAGCATACCGTGACCCTACGGCTTTGTATAAGTTCGAATCCGCATCACCAACATCCTTTGTGGCTACCCCACCGGTCTTCAGGTTGGGAGTAGCGACCTTGCCCACCACACTTTGGCGCTTGTTGTCGGCCATGATCGTGCCAGAAGCTCGCGCGGTCCTCCCTGGTCTCCCGCAGCTGCTGTGCGTCTGGATGTTGTCGAAGCCCCAACGTGTGTTCCGGACAGTCGACCTCGGGAGTAGCTTAGTGAATTCACGGGCAAACGAGGCTTGGAGAAAGCGAGCAGTGCGCAAAAAGGAAACGCAAAGGAGCGACAAGAAGAAGACAGTAACAATGTGCACGCGAGCAAGCACAGATGTGAGGTGCGAGCGTGGGGACCTGCAGCGCGTGCAGGTGTTTGTGTTCCTAAGTTAAGTTGCGCCAAGCCCTGTTGTACTAGAGATCTGCGCTGGCCGAATGACATGGTCTGCTCCCACTACCGGGACATCAGTTGTGAGTTGGTCATTTCATTTGTCTTGCAGAGAGTTTCGTGTCAGTACGCAAATCGATTTCATTCTGGATCCGAGCGATCATTTACATCGTATCCATCATTTTTCATGCCCAAATTTCAAGCAGCGCCGTGCTTCCTTCTATCAGTCCTGGTATAGTCATCAAATTAAGCGTTGTAGGTGGAGGCAGAAATGTTGCCACCCCTTCCTGTCCAGTTGACGTGGATGTCCTGGCCCTCCTTGTATTGCTCGTTGGCGTATTCGGGCTTGATGCGGAATGTGTGGGCACCGAAATAATCACGCTGAGCCTGCAACAGGTTGGCGGGTAGGTCCTTGGCGCGGTAACCGTCGTAGAAGCTGAGCGCGGTGCTGAAAGCAGGTGTTGGGATACCCCAAAGAGCACCCTTGGAGACGACGTCTCTCCAGCCGGACTGCGCCTTGTGAATAGCCTTGTTGAAGAAGTCATCGAAGAGCAGGTTCTCGAGGTCAGGGTTGGCGCGGTAAGCCTTGGTGATGTCCTTCAAGAAGACGGAGCGGATGATGCATCCACCGCGCCACATGAGGGCAATCTCGGGCTTGTTGAGCTTCCAGTTGTACTCCTTGGCGGCGTTCTGGATCAGCATGAAACCCTGAGCATAAGAGATGATCTTGGAGGCGTAAAGGGCCTGCTCGAGGTTGTCGATGAAAGCCTGCTTGTCGCCCGTAAAGCTGGGACTAGGTCCGTCGAGAAGACCAGCGGCACGGCCACGCTCAGCCTTGAGCGAGGACAGGCAGCGAGCGAAGACGGCCTCACCGATGAGAGTGACGGGCATGCCGAGGTCGAGAGCGTTGATGGCGGTCCACTTGCCGGTACCCTTCTGACCAGCAGAGTCCATAATCTTCTCGACGATGGCAACGCCATCGTCGTCGTTCTTGTACATGATGTCGCGGGTGATCTCGATCAGGAAAGAGTCGAGGACACCGCTGTTCCACTTGGCGAAGACATCGCCAATCTCCTTGTTGCTGAGTCCAAGACCGCGCTTCATGATATCGTAGGCCTCGCAGATCAACTGCATGTCACCGTACTCGATACCGTTGTGGACCATCTTGACGTAGTGGCCAGCACCCTCGTCACCGACCCACTGGCAGCAGGCCTCGCCGTCAGACTTGGCGGAGATGGACTGGAGGACGTCCTGTTACGCTGTCAGGTATGTTCTCTGGCAGATTCACATCAATCCTACCTTGATGTAAGGCCAGGCCTCCTCGTTGCCACCGGGCATGATGGAGGGACCATAGCGGGCACCCTCCTCACCACCAGAAACACCGGTACCGACAAAGCGGATACCCTTCTGTGCGAGGTACTTGGTGCGGCGGTTTGTGTCGGGGTAGTGGGAGTTGCCACCGTCGATGATGATGTCGCCCTCCTCGATGCCACCCTCGTTCAGGAGGAGCTCAATGAAGTCGTCAACGGGCTTTCCGGCCATGACGAGCATCATCATACGGCGGGGCTTCTTGAGCTTGGCGCAAAACTCCTTGATGGAGTGAGCACCAACGATGGACTTACCCTTGGCCTCTGTTCGACATCAGTTCTGAGCTCAATGATTCAAGTGCGCGGCAGTCTTACCATCGTTCAAGAAACGGTCAACCTTAGAGACACTGCAAACTTGTCAATTCCAGCTCGTACGCTTCGTCAGGGAATTTCATACGTTCGGTTGAAGGCAACAACGGTGAAACCGTGGTCAGCACTGCTCGTTGTTAGCAATGCCCGCAGATGGCTGAGATGTGTAGTGCTTACGCGTTGAGAATCAGGTTCTGACCCATGACCTACACATCAATTGTGAGCTTCTAGTCCTCTGTGCATAGCTCACAGCTGGGAGAGCACCTACGGCCAAACCGATCAAACCAAAGTCACCGACGGGCTCAGACATATTTGCGATCTGGGTGTTGTAAAGGTGATGTGTTGAGTGAGGGGTGTCTGAAGACTGATAGCGGGGTAGAGCTGCAACGACCTGGCGCGCAACAATTCAGAGCAATTGGAGGTTGATGGAGGACAAGTAGTGAGAGGTAGTGGGGGTTGTTTGGAATAAGTAGATTCTGCGTCTCCGAGCCGGAAGCAAGTGGAACTTCGTGTGGTAGCGGCACTGGCGGCGTGGGGCAGACGTGATGTCAACTGGGCGATGTGCTGCAAGATTCTTTCTAATCTCAGCAACGGAGAATGGCTTCGGCCGCGGCCAACATTTCAACGCAAACACTGTGTCGGGGTCTAATTTTACCGTCTACCGTTTGTAGAGCTATTCCTCCGGCTGTCACCCGCGGAAAAAGCTTCAAGAATACCTTGATACGAGGTGCTGTTGCTGCGACAGCCCCTCCATCTCAGCCCTAGCCACAGGCCCACAGCCAACGGAAAGAGGGGCACCAGCGAGTAGGGATTGTTGAGCAGCCACTAAGTCCGCCGAAAGCTGGCCGTTTGTAGGGACGGTGGGACGTTCGCAGCACGACAGTCAGACGTCACTACTGCGCTCATGTTCAATCCGGCCAACAAAGGTATGCGCTGTCGTTTGCTCGGCTGGTGCTGCTGCTGAGGAAGGTGCGGCCGCCGGCACATGTCACGTGTATCACACGCACCTGCCAAGCCATGTCCAGTGTTTGAGCGTGCATCTGCGCTCAACAAATCGCCGAATCAGTGCAGTTCAACGCAGACCAGTGGCAATTACTCATTGTTATTGCACCCGGTCCGCCATCCCACTCCGCTTCGCTCAAAAGCCGTCCGGACCTGGACCGGGCGCTGCACCGTGGTCGGGCTTGGGTCGCCGTGTCTTGCGTAGTCAGCACTGCACCTCAGCCTCATTTGAAGTCTGCGCAACAAGTGCGGCATTAACCATCACGACGGGATCCACCAACCGCACATTCACCAGCCTTCATCCACCCCACGGCCCGAGCGCCTGGCTCTCCACCCAATACCGCTGAGCGAACATCTGGCGCCCACCTCCAAGCTTTGCCTTGCGCGTGACAGACTTTCTAAATCGTCGCCGCATCCAGGCTGCACGCTTTCCCGGCCGACAATCGATATACATACCCTCTACTGAGTCGCGCAAACCTCTGTAATATCCCAATCAGGCCACCGGCTGCAGCGGCGCACCCTTCACATCCAAGATGGCAAACAACCCTAGTCTGCAACCGCACCACTCGCTCCCAGCGCGGCCGCCGCCCACGACGTACTCTGCGCCGCCTTCGCGACCGAGCAATGCTGGCGCAAGGCCACAGGCAAACTCGACCATGTTTGCTAGTTTCACGCCGCGCTCAGTGGTAGCGCATGCTCCGCCGCAGGTGTCTGCTGCCCCGGCTATGTACCCGCAAGCCACTGTGAGCGCTCCCTACCAAGCTTCCGCGTACCCGACCAGCAATACTTACAACAGCTACTCATATCCAGCCTACGCTGCAGGTGCCCCAACCGCGTCATACCCGTCTGCCGCCGCCACGATGAACCGTGGTACGGGTGGCACATACGATCCTGAAGAAGAGGCACGCATAGCTGAATGGAACAGCGCATACAACAGGGACGACGCAAATGCTAAGAAGAGCGGAAACGCAAACGTCGGCATCGCACAGTCTTCCACAGACGCAGATGTTGGCACCACCGCAGACGGCAAGACGAAGACAGTTGTTCGCGAAGGTGGAGGCAAGCAGTGGGAGGACGAGACTCTGCTGGAGTGGAATCCCCTCCATCCACGATTGTTTATTGGTAATTTGGCTGGCGAAGTTACGGATGATTCGCTTATGAAGGCGTTCTCGAAATATCCATCTTTGACGAAAGCTCGTGTAGTGCGCGACAAGCGCTCAACAAAAAGCAAGAGTTACGGTTTCGTAAGCTTCGCCGACACCGACGACTACTTCCGCGCCGCGAAGGAGATGAACGGCAAGTACATTGGTAGCCACCCTGTACTGATCAAGCGGGCAACGTCAGAAGTTAAGGCTGTGACCAAGAAGGAAGACAAGCACGGTAAATTTGGGCAGAACAATAAGAACAACAAGAACAAGAACGGCGCTGGCAACAAGGCAAACACGGTCACAGCCGCGCCTGCGATGACAGCTGCACTACCGTTCATCCCGCGGGGAGTGCAGAAGAAGGGCAAGCAGAGCGGTCCAAGGGTGCTTGGCTGAGGAAAGGACGCATAAATTGGCTCATGTCAATACAACGTTCCTCAGCCATCATCGTGGAGATTGCAGCTGGAACACGCTGCAAGCCTGGCTTGGCATCGAGAAGAGAGGAAGGACTATACAACATGAGGGGAAAGAGTTGAACCTGCGTTTTCGGGAAAGGTGACTTGAGAGCTTCGTTGTGTAGGTTGGGGGATACGAAGCTGATATGATGAGGCTCGAAATACCCTGACGCAATTACTACTTAGACTACACACATTCTGCCTTCCAGCTCGGTCCCAAGTGTCTCTTAAGCTTGTGCTTACAATCATTCGTCGCAGAACCGATGCGTGCATCCGTGACAAGGTCAAGGTACTTTTGTAGCCTGCACAGGACCTCAGCCCTTGCCAAAGGTTCGCGACTACCGAATTGGAGAACTCACCTATCCAGTCTGCAGGGCTAGATGGGATCGAAGCAGTCACACAAATAATAGAGAAGAGCCGAAGACTTCCAATGCGGATGCTCCAAGCACTCGACTAGACATTGTACTAGCAGCTATCATACTCTCTTTCGAACTTGCTTTTCCAGTCCAGTGTCCAGACCACAAAGGCCATTCTAGACAGTACACTATGCATCTCACCTCGCCTTACCACCCGCTCTCTCCCTAATCCTCTCATCCTTCTCCCACCTCTCCGTAAACACCCTCTCGAAGATCCCCAACCACACTCTTTCCCTCTCACTCATCGCTCTACCAGGATTTTTCCAGCTTGCGCTCAAGATCTCCTTGACCCTGCGTCTCAGTACCTTCAGCGCAACAGCGGCCCTCCACTCCCTGACCGCAAACCGGACAACGTTGCCTGGGAAGCTGGCCACGCCCGCATGCAGCTTGAAGTCCATGTCTGCGCCAACCATGAGCACCATTGGCAGTGGGTGTGCGATGGAGGTCGAGTGCGCGTTGTAAAACTTGCTACTTGACTGCATTATGTGGTAGTAGGAGAGGAACTTGGCGGTGTTGGTTCCCTTGTTGACGCTCGTGGGTGCCAGATTGACAGTCTGGTTGTTGCTGATGTTGCGCCAGCCTTTACCTTCGCGGGTGAGCAGCTTAGGGTAGAACGCTGTTGCGATCACAGAGTTGACGAGATGTTCGTTGTTTGAGTAGGTGTCGTACTGTGGTGGGACATTAACGAAGACCCGGTGCCGTGTCGTCGATCGGTAGCGGCTGAGTACCCGGCGGTCTTCCGGCGACATCAGGACGAATCCTGACTCAACGAGGTTACTTAGCAGTTGAGCTTTTAGGTCTTCGATGTTGCCTAGGTTTTGTGGGGAGAGGAAGTTCTTGTGGCAGAACTGCATCTCTGAGCGGCCGGCAGCGGTGCATACGCTGCGCCATGCTTTATAAGCGTTGTAGGTTGTGAGTAGGTCAGAGTCGCCGGTCTTGAATGACAAGCGTGCAATGTCGGCTCGTTGCTTCGCGCCGAAAGGTGTTAGGAAAGGCGACTTGGAGGAGAGGATGGCAGCAATCGTGATGGCAACGTCTACACAGCTAAAAATACTGGCGAGCAGTACCAGCTTCCCGAGATGTGCGTCTAGGGGCAGTCTAGAGATTTGACGGCCCAGACTGGTAAGCTCCTCACCGGGGGTCAACGCATCAACCTCGATGAGCGCATCGATCGCACGTCGAATGTTCTTGGGGGATGGCGGATCTAGAGCTTCTGACAATGTAGCCTCGATGTCGCCAAGCTTACAAATTTTCGTCCGCATGACGAGGTCTTGCAACGATAAGCGTAACATCTCAGGAGTTTGCTGGTCCATCATGAGGTTGTCGTGACGATACTTTGTAAATAGGTGAAAGCACAATCCTTCCTGTACACGACCAGCACGACCGCGTCGCTGCTTTGCGTTTGCGCGTGCGATAAAAGATTGTGCAAGACGAGACAATTGACGGCGCTCGTCAAAGCGCATCTCCTTGTGCTTGCCAGTGTCAATGACGCACGTGATATCCGGGATAGTCACACCAGTCTCCGCAATGTTGGTTGCGATCACAATCTTTCGACAGCCCAGCGGAGGAAAGAGGAAGGCGGCCTGCTGGTCGTCGCTTGAAATGGTGGAGTGTAACGGGTAGATCAGCCAATTTGAGCTGAAGGAAGGGTGACCGGCAAGCATGTCGTTGAGCTGTCGAATTTCAGCGATACCTGGCAGGAACACCAACACCGCACTGCTAAATCGGCTAAGTTGCGGGTCGTACGCCACAGCTTCGATCAATCGAACGATCAGATCGTAGTCGATAGCATACTCGTCGTAAGTAGATAGCACGTTTCGAGTTGCTGGGCTGTATCCCGGGAGCTTGCTTGGGATGCCAGACTTCTCGGACGTGATCTCCTCATCGTCATCGTCACCACTGCTGTTGCCGTTCTTCCGGGCGTCTTCAGTAGAACCGGCATAGTGTGTCAACTCAATGGCGTCTTCCAGGAATTGGGTCTGCACAGGGAACGTTCGTCCAGGCACATTCAGAATCGGAGCGTCATTGAGGTATCGAGAGAAGCGAGCCGCATCCACAGTAGCACTCATCAGGATGACCCTGAGCTCGGGACGACGATCCATGAGTGTCCGGAGGATAATTAGCAAGAAATCGGTATCAATGCTATGCGATGTCAATACCAAACCAGACTGGGATGAGGGACAACATACCTCCGTTCGTGGACCTCGTCAATAACCAGATGTGTGACCTCTCTCAAGCCTTTGGGTCCCTCCAACATCCTCAACACTACTCCGACAGTTGCATAAATGAGCCTGGTCTGTGCAGATGTCTTGGACTCCAGACGAATAGCATATCCAACAAGAGAGCGCGTTGATCCAAGGTCTTTTGGACCCTCACCGAGCTCTTCGCTGACGCGCTGAGCAAGTGAGATGGCCGAGATTCGTCTAGGCTCCGTACAATAAACCTTGCAGGCCTTGCCCTGGCTAAGCTGGTGTTCCAAGATGAAAGATGGTATCTGCGTGCTCTTTCCACAGCCCGTCTCACCACAGACGATAGTGACCTGGTTCTTGTCGATGGTCGATAAAATGGATTCCCTAAAGCCATACACTGGCAAGTTCATCCTGCCAACTAGCATATGCTGATATGATTGTGTTGCAGCCTTCTGCGCCCAAAGATCTCGGAGGCCTTGGGTTTCAGGAACAGGAGTGCTCAACCCAGAGTTGGAAAGACTGTAACTTGTACCAACCTGAGTTCGACTTTTCCACCGATTAGTCAGGACAACACCATCAGACTCTTCGTTCTCTATCTGATCTTGAACAATCGAACGGTAGTATCTGACGGCTTCACGGTCCTCCGCATCGATGCGATCTTTGCGGTGTTCAAGGAATTCACGATAGACATCTCTCCAGTTCGGTGAAAGCCGGATGTAAACTTTCTCTTCTTTGGCCAACGCAGCGGAGGTCGAAAACAAGGCCACAGTGGATATGAAGCCTTCGCTTTGGTCAGCATCAATGGCAGCAATGGTCGTGGCCTCGAATACTGCTTGGATGCCACGCAGTGCAACGTTGACACCAGATATGTCGGTCTCATACTCGATTTCGAGGTCTTTCGACCATGTGATAGTTACCGCATGCCGACACCGATAGAGGGTTGGCGAGATCAGCTTGTACATGACTCGAGCTCCAGGGTCTCTTGAGCGTACAGCTTCTTCGAGGACACGACGCGGTGTGACTCCGCCTTGCTTTCCGAAGTCTCTCAAGGTGATGTTGCCTGCCTCAGCATTCTCAGTCGTAGTGTTGTCAGCTGTCGGCTCATCGGGGATTGCAGAGAACATATCGCCCAACATATCAGCTTCTGCCATGATGTCGTCGGCGTCCCCGCCATTCACCCTCATCGAGGAGGATCGTTCGTTGAATGACGGCTTGTCCGCAATCTCGTCTTGGCTTGGTCCCTTCGAGGCCCTTGGCTGTACCGCTTCCGCCTGTCTTTTCGCGGCCTGATTTAGGGCGATTTCATTGCGCTTTGACGGCCACCTTGCCTCGGCCTCGCGATCGTCAAACAAGGCATCGGATTCGAGCTGCTGTAATTGCGACAGGAGCTTTCGGACCTTTAGCGATTGTACTGTCTTTGTTGCTGCTGCCTTCTTGCCCTTCGAACCCTTCTTTCGTGGATTGACCTCGACGAGCTCGGGGTCAATCTCGTACAATCTGCCTTTGACCTTCAGATACGTTGGCACAAGTTCGTCTAGGTCAATATCACTGTCAATGTCGCTGACTTGAACATCGCTGTGATCCGATTCGGCTGGAGTGGGCAGCCCTGATGCTAGCGCTTGCTTCGAGTTGTGCTCTGATGAACCGGCTGAGCCGTTCTGGGGTATTAAGAGCTCCGGTATGGGTGACACTACTGCTTGTCAGCTGAGCAGCACATCAGTTGTACGCCTGAGAGCTGCTCTGGCGAGCTAACATACCTGGACGGGACACATCTGGAGTGGATATCATCGGCTGCCTTGGCTTCGAATCTTCGTAGGAGAAGTTGTGCCCTTCGCATTGATCCAGTGCAAGCCACTCCAGCGCTTCCTGTAAGCCCCAGACAGCGGATGATGCGTCGATGCCGCCGGCGTCTGCACAGATCCACCTCAAGACAGGCTCAATCTGCTCGCGGGTGAATTCAAGATCACGCAGAGTCAAGCTGAGGGTCCATAGCTTCGACATGGCATCTTCCTCTGACATCACTTTGAGCAAAGACTGCTGCTGTCCTTGCCTGCGGTTTGAGTCGTTCGATTCAGTTTGCGCCAAGGAAATAATGGTGTCCAGGATCTCATTTGGGAGCCACTCGTGAACATTCATGTGATGAGATTGCGCACGAAGAACTCTGCGATCCGTATCGAACTTGGTGACCTGTCGACGAGACTCTCGTCGCACCTTGGCGGCATGCTTCTCAACGAGCAATTGCAATTCGTCGCGCTCAAGCTGAGCCTCAAGCTCTTCTGGAGTCTGGGTGACCTCCTGCTTCGCAAGTTCCTCCTTCTTGGCAGCTGAAGCATCCACTTGAGGGACGGTTGTCCCAATTTTGGGAAGCGCAGGCACGCTTTCTTTGTCGGTGGCGTCAACGACAGATTTCTCAACCTTTGGTTTGCTGGCGACCGAAGTGGTAGCGAAACCACGTGAAGGATTTCCCGCTGGCTTCTTCTTCTTAGCCATTGTCGGTGGTAGTGTGAGGGTTCAGAATTTGTTTGACAGGTGAAACTTCCAAAAAGGGTAGGTAAGTCGGGACCTCAGGCGGGCTTCCGTATGGAATAAATCGGAGCTTGATCCTTCGCGAGATCAAGATTGGACGGGGCGCAAAAGCTGATGGGACGCATGTAGGGCGGCGCAGAGGGCTCCTGGGTGCGGCGACGAGGTGCAGAGGGCTGTCGAAGTGGAGTACCAGAAGGACGCTCCACTCACGATGTCATTAGTTAGTCGAGCTCGGGCCGAGTTCGATTCCGGCGTGCATCTGAACTTTTGCGAGCGCAACAAACACCCCGCCAATAACCCCGCATTGCACTGCTGCTGCTTATGTGGCAGAGACGACATGACTGTGAATGGGGAGGTTAAACAGCAGGCCATCGACCGCGATGTCCTGCGGCGAGGTCTCGTGACGAGCTCTACGAAACTGCGAGTCGAGAGCCTGGGGCGGCTTGAGCACCAGGTGGCAGACGAGTGTAGGTGGCATGAGGACAAATTGAAAGATGCAGCGCTGATAGCAATCCACTTATAGCTCTCATTCCTGCCGACTTGCAAGCCCTCTTGGCGACTCTATTCGAGACATATCCCCTTTACGAAGACCGAGAATCACGGCGCGCCGTCACAGCAGTCCTTGAATCGCTTATAAACGGCCCACACGGCGACCTCGTGCTGCCTCCGATCGTTAAATTCCTGACACATGAGTCCCAGAAGAAGGGCATCGCCCATGTCAACGCATTCGTGCTCGTAGAATGGTGCTCAGTGCTGCTACTGCAGTTTGCGAAGCAGCCAGAGCGGTGGTCAAAATTCGGGCTGGATCTGGCGTTGGCCGATGCGCGTGTTCTGGAGACATGTGTAGGCGCTGGCATTGATCGTCGAGCTGTACGTATCTCGCACTCTGCACTGGTAGTTACACGACGCGCTCTGCGTGCCATTCTGGGATCGAAAGAGATTGGACAGGATGCACTCGGCAAGCTGGTGGCAAATCTTACGGCGAAGGGGGCTGTTTCTGCAGCTGGAAATGCTGTGTTCTTGGGAGTCATCGCTGGAGTATCCTCTCGTCTGTCAGATGTCAAGCCACGGTTTGAGCAACACAAACAGGACTACTACGCTTTCTACGTGCGCGAAATTGTCGGCTCGAGAAGTCAGCTGCCTGACCACGTATCGAACGCACTACACGACTTCTTCGACACCTTCACCACACTTGGGGAATTGCGCAAAGAGATCATACCAACAATCGAGAAGGCACTTCTACGTGCGCCGGAGGTTGTGCTGAACGACATCGTTTCGCACATGATTTTGGCTCTCCCTCAGTCGATCGACCTATCAGATGTCTTGTTCGGCAACTTATTGAAGCCACTGCTCTCAAACGTCAAATCCAGCAACCCTACAATCCGCGCTGGAGCTCTTCGAACTTTCACAGCGCTAGCCGTCAGATCGCAGAACGAGGATGTCATTGGCAAGGTAGCAGACGAGGTCTTGAACCCTTTGAAGCAGGGCAAGGTTTCAGGTGTCGACCAGAAAGTTATACACGCACAAATGCTGTCGGGCTTCAAAGAGTCTTCAGCACTGTCTCAGAAGATTCCTGCTGGCATTGCACCTGTCGCCTTGAAGGAGCCTAGCGAGCCAGCCGTAGTCGCTGAAGTGTCCACTATGACCAAGCATCTCACATTCGGACTTGCTCACGGAGTGGCTCTTGACATGACGGTCACAGACGCTTTTATTAAGGGTATGGCAGACAAGCGCGTTCCCGTGCGCCGTCTTTGGGCGATTCGCGCTGCAGACATCTGGTGGAACCTCACAGATGCGCAGCATACGCACGCAGATATCTTGTCATTCTGCCAAAGTACGCTGCCAAAGCTTGTGGAGATTTGGCAAGAAGTCAATGCAAACCCAATGCCTGCAACACAAAGCGGCTTGGTGACTGTCGGTCACTACGTCACTGCACTTCTTCTCAAGATACGCGACACCAAGAACGACAAGCTTGCTGCCGTGTACAAGAAGTCTAATGTGCTCTCACAATCGCTTGTAAGCCAGCCGAAGCCATCGTTCCTACTCAACACCAAAGTCTTTACGAAGCTATCCACCGAAGACGACGTTGTGATCGCCCTGCGCGCGTTGAAAGCTGTCGCTCCTTTTGTTGTGGAAAGTTCTGCATCTAACGAAGTTCAAGATGCATGGGCGCAGGCTTTCATCTTCCTCATTACTGGGCAGAGCGTATCTTCGAGAGCCAAATCTGCCGCCAGACTAGCACTTACCCAGACCTACCTTGAAGTGTCAACAGAGAAGATCAGCGAGATCATCATTCAAGGAATATGGTCGTGGTACCGATCAAGCGTGCAGGAAGAGAAAGACAGCGCTGCATTCGCATCCAAGAACGGGGCCACTGAGCTTGGCGCAGTCCTGGGATGTATCTGTCTCTCACCTGACGTCTTGAAGAAGCTGGGAGGCAATGTCACTCAAGGTCAGCTACGCAAGCAAGCCATTAGCTTGCTTGTGCTGGCAAGAGGCGAGCTCATCCCAAAGACATCTTGGATTGATACCTCCCTTCGTATGGGCGTTGATCCTGGTCAGCTTGTTCAAGAAAACCTGCAAGAGTGCATGACCTTGATCAACGAAGCTACTGAGGTACGTGGGTCTCTCTCTGACTACCGAATTGTCTGCTAATCAAGGTGACAGAACAAGAGCAACGATCCATTCCCCAGCATAAGCTTGGCAGCATACAGTGCTTACACTGATCTAGCCTTTGTTGCACCTGAGACAGCTTTACCAGTCATAGTGAAGCGGTTCAGCGAGGATCTTGATCCCAAGCAATTGGAATCAATTGGTCCACAAGAGGCAGCCATCTTCAGAACACCAGAAGGAACCGCATACGTCGATGTACTATCCAAGAAGGCGCCAGTGACGATTGACAAGAACACGAAAGATTATGATACCCTCAAGTGGGAGGAGGAACTACGTGCGCAGCTTATCCAAAAGCAAGGCGTCAAACCCAAGAAGCTCACTTCCGAAGAGCAAGCGAAGGTGAATGCTCAGCTGGCCAAGGAGTCGGTCATCAGGAATGAGGTGGCTTCAACAGAGCTGAAGATGAAGCGCGGAGTCGGCATCATTCGGAGCCTTGCTACTGGACCACCCACAGAGGCCGAGCAGTGGATGGGTCCTGCGGTCGATCTTCTCATTCACTCTATTCGTGCCGGTTCAGGTCTCTTGCTTGGTGACCAGCCAGCTACTACTTTCATTGCATGCTCACAGCGCGTTTCAAACCGCCTCGGTCCCATCAGGCCTTTCATCGGTGTCGCGACTTTGCGTACAATCGGGTCAATCCAGCTCTCTGACGAATACGAAGGAGAACCCCTCGGTGGTAGGTCAACCGAATACTATAGTTTCTGTTCGTTCTACTGTTCGTGCTAACTTCCATAGATCTCGTCACAAGAGTTCTGTACCGACTCCGCTTCCTCAGCGAGCAGCGCCCTCTCGACCCTGTGTCCATGGCTTACTGTTTGCCACTCATCTTCCTTATCCTCGAGAAGGGCGGCATTGGCAAGGATCTAGCCGAAGAAGCTGATGAGCAGCTGGTTTTGGCTTTCGAGTTCTTATCCTTCCATGCCAACTCTTGTATGCCAAGCATCTTCCTCGCCCTGACTATGCTGACTGTACTGACATTGTATAGGCACAGACACACGTCTACCACGCAAGGATATTATCGAAACTCTTTTATGGTCGATGCAAAGCTACCAGCAACATTACAAGATCATCAAGGATTGCCTGACAGATTTCGCAAGAGGTCTGGCTCCTAACATCACCAACGAGGAGCTCGGCGCACTTCTTCGTGGTACCATTGTGCCAGAGGCTGCGGTGCGTACAGCAGCGCTACAGGCCATCGATGCAGAGCTCGACATGAACGATTTGAATTTCAGCGAAGAGATCTTCATCGCGTCTCATGATGATGACGAGGAGAATGTCGAGCTTGCCAAGACAATCTGGAGTGAGAATGAGCTCGAACTCAGCGCCGATGCTGGTGTGAAGCTGCTGCCCTACCTTGAGTCTCAGGACAAGCAGCTTCGTCGAGCAGTAGCCCGCTCCATTGGCGAAGTCGTTGCGAACTTCCCTGATGTATTCGACCATCTCCTCCAGAGATTGCAGGAATCGTACATCGACAAGGGCAAGGAACGACTACCAGAGCGCGACGAGTACGGCATGCCGCGAAAGAATGATACTCGCGATCTGTGGGAGGCAAGAGATGGTATCGCCCTTGCCTACAAGGAAATGACATCCGGTTTCAAGCCCGAGGGTCTATCGGACTTCCTCACCTTTATGGTCTACAATGGGCCCCTAGGCGACCGTAGCGCTGCTGTACGCGACCAAATGATCGAGGCCGCAACATCGATTATCACCAGTAAGGCCAAGTCAAAAGTCGAGCAGCTGATGGAGCTGTTCGAGAATGCGCTGGAGAGTCCAGACCGAAAGTCGGCTGAGTACGACCAGGTCAATGAAGCTGTCATCATCCTTTACGGTGCACTGGGTCGCCATCTGGAGGCTGGAGACCAGCGCGTACCCAAGGTCGTGCAGCGACTACTTGCTACCCTCAGTGTACCTTCTGAGAGTGTTCAGTATGCCGTTGCGCAGTGCCTGCCACCATTGGTCCGTACTTCAGAGCAAGAGGTCTCAAAGTACGTCGATCAAGTAATGGAGCAACTCCTTCAGTCCAAGAAGTATCCCGCGCGCCGTGGTGCTGCCTACGGTCTTGCAGGTATTGTTCGCGGCAAAGGATTGGCCGTATTGCGGGAATACCGCATCATGTCCACCCTTAATGGGGCAGTCGAAAACAAGAAGGATCCCAATGCCCGTCAAGGTGCTTTCTTGGCTTACGAGCTCATGTCTCTCATTCTTGCACGTTTGTTCGAACCCTACGTCATCCAGCTGGTTCCACAGTTGCTTGTTGGATTCGGCGATACCACTGCAGACGTTCGGGATGCATGTCTAGACGCAACAAAGACATGTTTCTCCACACTCAGCTCATACGGTGTCAAGCAGATCCTACCGATCCTCTTGGACGGTCTTGATGAGCAGCAATGGCGTAGTAAGAAGGGTGCTTGCGACTCCTTGGGTGCTATGGCCTACCTCGACCCCAATCAGCTCGCTTTGAGTCTGCCGGACATTATCCCACCTTTGACTACCGTGCTGACTGACTCTCACAAGGAAGTCAGGTCCTCAGCCAACCGCAGTCTGAAACGCTTCGGAGAGGTCATCAGTAACCCAGAGATCAAGCTCGTCGTTGACATCCTCCTCAAGGCGCTCAGTGACCCAACCAAGTACACCGACGATGCGCTCGATTCGCTCATCAAGATTCAGTTCGCTCATTTCCTCGACGCTCCATCACTGGCTCTCGTCGTCCGCATCCTCGAGCGTGGTCTCGGCGACCGTTCTGCCACCAAGCGCAAGTCTGCCCAGATCATCGGCAGTCTGGCTTATCTCACAGACCGCAAGGACCTCATTGCCCATCTGCCAATTCTGGTCGCTGGTCTGCGTGTAGCAATCGTCGACCCTGTGCCCACTACGCGGGCTACAGCTTCGAAGGCTCTCGGTTCACTCATGGAGAAGCTCGGAGAAGACGCTCTACCAGATCTTATACCAACTCTCATGGCTACTCTCAAGTCGGACACAGGAGCTGGCGACCGTCTCGGTTCGGCACAAGCTCTGTCCGAGGTTTTGGCTGGTCTTGGTACTGGACGTCTGGAAGAGACTCTGCCCAGCATCTTGCAAAACGTTTCAAGCAGCAAGCCGTCTGTACGAGAAGGCTTTATGACACTCTTTATCTATCTGCCAGCTTGCTTCGGAAACAGCTTTGCCAACTACCTCAGCAGGATCATCCCTCCTATCCTCGGTGGATTGGCAGACGATGTCGAGTCGATTCGCGAGACTGCTTTGCGTGCTGGTCGCCTTTTGGTCAAGAACTTCGCTACAAAGGCCATCGATCTGCTTCTGCCAGAGTTGGAGAGGGGCCTCGCAGACGACAGTCATCGCATCCGTCTCAGTTCCGTCGAGCTTGTCGGAGATCTGTTGTTCAACCTCACCGGTATCAGCGGCAAGGAGGGCGAGGATGTCGAGGAAGGCGCCAAGGAAGCCGGTCAGTCCTTGCTCGAGGTGCTTGGAGAAGAGAGGCGCAACAAGGTGCTATCAGCACTGTACATTTGTCGCTGCGATACCTCCGGACTCGTCCGCACTGCTTCCGTCAACGTCTGGAAGGCCCTGGTTGCTACACCACGTACCCTTCGCGAGCTCATCCCCACCCTCACTCAGTTCATCATTCGACGTCTCGCCAGCTCCAACCAGGAGCAGAAGCTCATTGCTGGCAACGCTTTGGGAGAGCTCATGCGCAAATCTGGCGACGGTGTGCTGGCATCTTTGCTGCCAACTCTCGAGGAAGGTCTGCACACCACCGATACGGACGCAAAGCAGGGTATCTGCATAGCGCTTCGCGAGCTGATTACTGCTGCTGTGCCAGAGCAGCTGGACGACTATGAGAAGACCTTGGTACAGGTCGTAAGAACGGCACTAGTGGATTCGGACGAAGACGTACGAGACGCTGCTGCCGAAGCATTCGATGCAATGCAGCAGATCTTCGGTAAAAAGGCTGTCGACCATGTTCTGCCTTACTTGCTCAACCTGCTCCGCAGCGAGGACGACGCACAAAATGCGTTGTCTGCTCTTCTCACACTTCTTACAGACCAGGCAAGATCCAACATCATCTTGCCCAACCTCTTGCCTACCCTCCTTACCTCGCCGATGTCTGCCTTCAACGCCCGCGCTATTGCCTCGCTGGCTGAGGTTGCAAGCTCCGCCATGACCAGGAGGTTGCCTACCATCCTCAACACAATGATGGACAATGTCATTGCCAGCAAGGACGAGGCTCTAAAGGCAGACTTGGAAACATCCTTTGACACGGTCCTGCTGTCTGTCGATGAGTACGATGGTCTCAACACTGCTATGAGCGTTATGCTCACCTTGTCGAAACACAACGACGAACGCAGACGTGCTCGTGCGGACATGCATTTGGCCAAATTCTTCGCCGAGACTGATGTTGATTTCTCCAGATACTACCCCGACCTCATCCGGGCACTGCTCGTCTCTTTCGATGACAGTGATCAGGAGGTTGTCAAGGCTGCGTGGACGGCCCTCAGCACGCTGACGTCAAAGCGCCTAAAGAAGGAGGAGATGGAGTCTCTTGTCATCTCTACCCGTCAAACCTTGTCGCAGGTTGGTGTTGCTGGTGCAAACCTTGCTGGTTTCTCTTTGCCAAAGGGTATCAGTGCCATTCTGCCTATCTTTTTGCAGGGTCTCATGAACGGTTCGGTCGATCAGCGCACACAAGCTGCCTTGGCCATCTCAGACATCATCGACCGTACCGATGCCAAGGCCCTTCAGCCATTCGTCACTCAGATCACTGGTCCTCTTATTCGTGTGGTCACCGAGCGCTCGACAGAAGTCAAGGCAGCTATCCTGCTCACACTCAACAACTTACTCGAGAAGATACCAACGTTCCTCAAGCCATTCTTACCTCAGCTGCAGCGCACATTCGCGAAGTCTCTCGCAGATACATCTTCCGATGTGTTGCGAGCGCGTGCTGCCAAGGCCCTGGGCACACTGATCAAGCTTACCCCCAGGGTAGACCCTCTCATTGCAGAACTTGTTACCGGATCCAAGACCAGCGACGAGGCTGTCAAGTTGGCTATGTTGAAGGCATTATTTGAGGTGGTCAGCAAGGCAGGCAAGAACATGAGCGATGCCAGCAGGAACGCCATTCTGGGTCTCATCGATACCGAACTAGATGACTCGGATGGTAAGCGCCAATTTCGTTGCATTGAAGTAGATATCGCAACTAACAGTGTCCAGATTCCATGGCAATCACCAACGCCCGTCTATTGGGCGCACTCATTAGCTGCTTAGGAGAGGACGCCGCTGTCAGCTTGCTCAAGACACGCGTGCTTACGACACACTTCAGCAAAGCGTCTGTTCTCGCTCTTAACGCCATCTTGCTTGACGCACCAGAATCACTCACAGGAGATTTCGTGGAAGAGACCATGCACGTCATCTGCCAGGGTATCGCACATAGCCGACCTGTGATCTCAGACAATTGCGTCCTCGCAGCCGGCAAATATCTCATCAGCGACAAGATGCACAAGACCTTCGAGCACACCAAGCCCATCTTCGAGGCTCTCGCTCCCGTCATCGAGCCCGGTCATCCCGTCGACACACGTCGCTTGGCCCTCGTCGTTCTGCGTACCGTGGCGCGCGAGCACAACGACCTTGTTCGTCCACACATTCCGCTCCTTGTACCAGTGGTTTTCGCCTCGGTCCGCGACCCCGTCATACCGGTCAAGCTGTCCGCTGAGGCTGCATTCCTCACCATCTTCTCCGTCGTCGAAGAGGAGGGTGCAGTGTTCGATAAGTACATGGCGGACAAGGGCAAGAGCCTGCCGGCCCAGCAGCAGAGGAGCATGAGCGAGTACTTCAAGAGGATTGCGCTGAGATTGGCAAACCAGGCAAGGGAGAAGAAGGAGGCTGAGGGTGGTTCTGGTGGTCTGGGATTGAGCAGTGATGAGGTGGAAGATGAGAGGGAGATATGGAGTGTGGGCAAGGTGGAGTTGGGTGATGTGTTCGCAGACGACTCGTAGATTCGAGTTGTGGATGAAGAAGTACAAAAGCTGGGGTTTCTGCAGGTTCAAATTCGCGTACTTGAGCATATTTGAAATGAATGCATAGCGTTTACGAAAGTCAGAGCACGCCTGCTTTGGTAGTTGCAAAAAAGCGGAGGCACAAAGCACCTGTAACCTCCCACTCTACGAAGCAACGAAGCCGATTGATAGCTTGAGGCGATTGCGCCCTCCACTTTTGGTCGTCTTCTCCATCTGCTCCGGAGACGTTCGCTGACGGTGATCTGCCAGGGCCGGAAAGAGCCGCACCTTTCCATCGTGTCTCCTGCGATACCCGTTTTTCATGTGCTCTGAGACCATTGACTCGAGCCGGGGCCCATCGTGGATTGTTGCATCAAACGCTCGAGGACGGCCTCACACACCGCGGTACCGGTACCCCAGAGCTTGGCGTGAACTCCGCAACACCTCCGTTTGACGCAACCTCACCCTACGCGTACGCATCGTTTCCATCAGCGCACGCCCACACAATCATCGATGCGCCTATTCTTCAACGTCTACCTGATCAGCTGACCTCCGCGAATCATCTAGAACCATCACGCTCCTGCGCAGCGCTCTCAATAGCTCTGGGGACGTTCGCGCTCACCTGCCGCGGCCGCCAGCTCTCCGCAAGCATCGTCACGCGCTTTCGGCCCGCCGACACGTCCTCGGTCGCGATAACCGCCCCGACCTCACCAGCCATTGCGCGCTGCCAAATTTCTAGACAATCGCCAACATGGCGACAATACAGCCCAATGATACGGACATGGCCAACACTGGCACTCTGCCCTTCTCAAGCATCCCCGACCTCGATCCACCTCTCACACTTAAGAAGTCCACCACCGAGCGGAAACCACGTATCGATGTCGAACCCCTCTACTCGGCCGTCAAGGGGGCAATCAGCGATACAGACTGGACCACATACAAGACCAGCCTCACACAATTCTTACTCGGGAACCTGAACCAGGAGGAACTGAGCTTCAAGCTGCGCAAGATACTCAACACCACTGCGCTTGAACATGCACACAACACATTGGTCGCGGCCATTTATGCGAATATATGGCGCGATGCGCCTGAGGCGGGCATCGCAAGTTGGGTCTCGAGTACAGACAAGCCCTCGAGCAGCACCGTCAAAGGGCAAGGTGATGAGAGCGAGAAGAGACTCAAGTATGAGGTTATGCAATTATCAAGACGAGAGAGGAAGAGACTCAAGACGATACCCGCAGTGGAGGCTGCTGCTGTTGGTGGGCATGATGCGCCAGGAGCAGGGACAGGCGCAATGGGTTCTGTCAACGAGCTCATCGAGATGAAGAGAGGGAAGCAGCCTGAGATTGGCCCTGTTGGGCCTGCGGGTGGATACAAGACCAGTATGTCTGCCCTCAAATCCCATGATTCGCGAAGCTTCAGCAGCCTTCTACCACTGTTGTGCGGCATTACAGTGCTAACACACGACAGACTGGGACCTCGAGATTCGCAAACGATACACCGCACCCCTCTTCAGCGAAACCCACGAGTTCCCCACCGCCTCCTCGATCTCCGCCCGCCTGCTTCCCTCGTGCTACGAATTCGGCCTGCCGCAAGGCCACACACCCGACTGCCCCGACTTTATGAATCTTGCGACCGAGACATACATCAAAGAAGCTCTGGCTTCGTTCCTAGGCAAAGTTGCAATCAACGGAAACGGATACGTGCGTACAGGCGCATTCAAGAAGAGAGTAGAAAGAGAAGAAAGACTGGCGGACCGAGGCGAGGCGATCCGCGATGCAAAGGGCGAGCTGCCCGTGGAGCAAGAAGAACGGCGGAAACGGAAGCTGTTGTGCATGGAGGATCTGCGACTGGCACTCCAGCTCGGTGACGGGTACCTTGGCCAGACACCCATCATTGCGGGTAACATTACAAACAGCACATTTCTGGATGTGCCGGGAATAGAAGAAGTATATCCCAGTTCACAGAAGAAGAAGCCAGAGAGAACGAACGGCATAATAAACGGTATCGGGCAGGACAAGAGTGGGCTTGCGAAGTGGTTGGATGAGGGCATCATCGTGGACTTTAAGATTGACGGGGAGGGCGACAAGATGCAGGTCGATGGTGATGATGAGATGGCAAACTGGAATGGTGGGAGTGTGGGTGATGTTGGAGAGTTGGATAATGCGTTGGATGATGTGCTGAATTTGGGAGACCTGTAAGCACTGTGATCTGTTGGTTTCAGATCTATTGGCCCTTGGACTTCTTTTTTGCATGGACGGTGTTTAGCATTTTGAGTGGCGTTTGTTGGGACGATACCCTTGGGACGAGGCCATGGCGTTCTCTTGTGTATTGAACATAAATGCCATAACAGCTCAGGTAGAACCTAGGCAGTGGCGGTGGGATGCATCCTCAATCCATCGATCAGAGAATATACCATCTAGCATGCACGCTTACCGACTTAAGGTTGAAGCGCGGGGAAGTGGCACAAGACACTCCAAATTGGGCATCGCAAACATGACAATGAAAGTACATTCTTGCACTAGTTCTCTCTGTGGCCTTTCAGAAGTGCAAACTGACCAGGTAACGATACAGACCATGGCGCTCAAATGGTACTTATAGCTTGACAAATCTAGAAACCTACAAGGTATGCTCAGCAATGAAGGTGACCTTGCACTTTCCAGTATATTCCTCCCTGTGTCGTTCTTGCGAAAGTACAGCGCTCGTCTAAGTCTCCGCAGTACCAATGAAAGAAGACGCAATCTGGTCCTAACTATTAGTAGATGCACATGACTCATGAGATTATGGCATCAACCCTTACCATCATGCTGATTCATTTTATGTCGCTGCTGAGATTGATCATATTGTCTTTATCACAGCGCCAGCTGTGATCTATAGTCTGCTTTGGTGCTGGAAGGCAACACCTCTGATTGGCTTCTAAGCCGCGCTAGTAGCATTTAGTGGGTCAAAAGAAACCTAATGCTATTAGTCAAAAGCTGTCCACATTACGCGATGCAGACATCTGCATGCGCAAGGCTTCGTCGCAGTATTACAACACCACACCCACGTCCTGCATTGTGGCCTAGCAAGGGGATCGGACTCTTTTGCTACTTTATAAGTAACGTACCTCACGGACGAGTCAATCAACGGACGAGTCGATCACTTTTGCCAAGCCCTCACCAAAATCTGACCCATTATGGCTCACAACACCACACTTTAGCCCTGCAAAGTGCAGTACAGCCTAGATTACTATTCAGAGACCTCTTCTACATTAATCTTGCACGTTCGCGCGTTGTGTCTAGTCTGATTGCACCTTCTACAGCGCCTTTAGCTTGGCTCACCCTCTTAAGCGCGCACCTGCTTCTTTGGCTTCTTCCCATCACTACGCGCCCCAAACTCCTTTAGAGCTGCTAGTTACTGCCTATCTCCCACTATTAGGGTCCCCTCCTTCTAAACCTGCTTTCTTTTGTGTAATTTTCGTTGCGTTACAGCCTTATTAGCTGCTTAAAGCTAACTAATTTCCTATTAGGCTAAAACTAGCTTGTGCGCAATAATTGCTACCCCCTTTAACACCTTCTTAAACGCCTTAACTATAGATGTAGGAGAGCTGTCTATATGCATCTAAATCCTTGTCTTCACCAGCGTTAATTGCGACCTAAGTTCTAGGGTGTTGCTAGGGGTCTGCGACTGCCAGGGCTTGTTGTTAATAGGCAATAGTAGTGATAGAGTCTGCAGCTTTACATTAAGGCTGCTTATAACCTGTTCTAGCTTAAATAGGACTAATCTAGCGCCTTAGAACCCTCCTTAGATGTTGCTAGGAGTAAATACTACATTGTAGGCTGCTTTAAAGCATGGCAGGAACTCTATCTTTGTAATATAGTTAATCTAGTTGCGCATAAGCATTTTAACTTAGCGCCTATACAACTTCTTTAAAGGGGTAAAACAACCTACATTAAGTGGCTGTAGAAGGTGCAATAAGTAAGCAGGCATACATAAGGTTATAATCTTGTTATCCTTACAGTATTGCTAGAATTAGAGCGACTCGTGGCTCTCATAGCTGTCAATTACCAGCAAACAGTGTGTACCTACATCGGGAAAAGTTTTTCGAAATCCGGCCCAGACTGGCCGTTGCTGACAGTCGTGGCATGGTCGTGCAACGGCCGTTCAACGGCCCCAACGGCCCTAATTTGCGCCCAACAGCCCCAATTTCGCGCCAACATTGCCAACGGCCAAAACGCTGAGTGCCTATATTCAACAAACTTGAAACAACGTTGCAACGTCGTTGCATAGCTACCCTTAGTTCTGCTAGCACTAGTATTAAATATTCAAAAATTGCGAAATTTCACGTACAGATAGAGCGAAATTGTAGCTTCAAAATGAGCGAAAAATTATTGTTGTAGGCCTAACGTAGATTATCACCGAGCCGGCCATATCACCAAACTGGCCACTTTCTCTTAGCACAACCACCTTTTACCCCAACACAACATGCCTTAACAACAACAACTTCAGAATACTACTAGAGAAGGCAGAGTTATCCTTGCTATCTAGGCCTTCTATGCTGGCCAATTTCGCAGTATCTGCAGCGCTGCTAGAGCGTTGAACGTACCTTATTAGCAGGTCTCTGATCACCTTTGCAATATCACGTTTTAACTAGACGTACGCGCTAATTGCTAGAAACTTACTATACTAGAGGAGCAGACAATTATCTAGTATATACTTAACCTTAATTCGCGAGGATTTGCGCCCTAGCTATGTGAGGTGGCAGATATGGCTGATAAGATACTTAGTGTGCGTGGTGAAGAGCCTGTTAGTAAACTATGGGCTAGCAGGCTTGTGACGCGTTCAGACAAGCTTAAAATGGCCTTTAATTAAGCCAAGGATAGACAGAGGATACTACAGGAAGATCCTGAGATAATCAGCGCGTGGTTTAAGCTAGTAGAGGATACTTAAGTCAAGTATAGCGTTTGCAACAACAACGTGCACAACTTTAATAAAACTAGGTTCTAGATAGGCGTCGCTTTGTCTTCAAAGGTTGTAACAGGCTTAGAGAGACGTGCTTGGCCAGAGCTTGTTCAGCCAGGTGATCGCGAGTGGGTTACCGTTATCCAGAGCATCTGCGCCGCTGGGTATGCAACCCCGCCTTTCATCATCTACAAAGGACGCGTCCACATCTCTGCCTGGTATGAGGAGACAGATATACCCCACAATTGGAAGCTCTTAGTCTCTGAGAACAGTTGGACAAACAACGCGCTTGGCCTTAAGTGGTTGAAGCACTTTAACACGCATATAAAGACGCGTCAGGTGGGAGTGTACAGGCTGCTTATCTTGGACAGCTATAAGAGCCATCTCAACTAGGAGTTCAAGGACTATTGCCTAGAGAACTAAATCCTTACTCTCTGCATGCCACCTCACTTGTCGCACATCCTCTAGCCACTTAACGTGGTCTGTTTCTTGCTGTTAAAGCGCAAGTACTCCTAACGTGTTTAAGACTTAGCACGCCAACACATCTTCTACATTAACAAGGAAGGCTTCCTACTAGCCTTTAGGGACGTGTTCCTTAATGTGTTTACAAAGGTTAACTGCTAAAAGGCCTTTAAGGTATTAGGGCTTATTCCTACTAACGCGCAGGTGGTGTTAGATCGCCTTGAAGTGCGGCTGCATACCCTACTAGCAGTACCTCTACCCAAAACGCTGTGGCAATCCAAGACGCTAAGCAATACACACAAGTTTGGGTCTTAATCTAAGCTTGTAAGCGACTCCTTCTAACAATTGCTAAGTGCAGCGCAAGAGGGGTTCTTAAAGCTTGTAAAAGGGGCTGAAGAGATGCTGCACAAAAACGTCCTTATTAAGGCCCGCGTGCAAGAGCTTGAAGAGCAATTAGCAGTAATAACTAAGAGAAAATCGCGTAAGAGAAAGCAGATTCAGCATGGTGGCACACTTGAGTATGGCCCAGCAGCATCGCGGGTAGCTGCTGAGGCGTGTGTAGCAGCTCAGCCATCTAAGAAGACTTAGGGTGGAGGTGGTCAACTAGGAGCTCAGTCAACTGTTCGGCGCTGTGGGAACTGCAGCAAAACTGGACACAACGCACGAATGTGCCAGGAGGGTGCAGAAACATCTTCTAAATCTGATGCAAGCACGCAGTATGCTGGGTCACTGTTTAATAGTGAGTAGTTGTAGTTGCAGTAACTTGTGTTAGTCGTGCCAAGAGAAAATGGCCGGTTCGGTGATATGGCCGGCTCGGTGATAATCTACGTTACTACAACACGAGTTATAGAGCGTTGAAGGTTTGTTTGTTGAAGGTTTGTGTTTTGAAGTTGCGACAGCACACCGCAGCAGCTGCAGCTGCGCCAGCACACAATGTATCAGCTGCAGCTGCAACAGCACACCACAAAGCACCTGCCAACAAGCACACACTGCAGCACAGGCAGGCCTGGGCGTAGAATTCTTGGTTTACCTACTATTCTTGAATAATATTCTTGTATTTTCTAACGTTCAGGCTGCTAGAGCCCTAGCGAAGAATCTTAACTTAGTGTCTTGGCAAGGAACATCAAGCTTAAAACCTTCTACGCTTAATAACTATTCTATTACTAGGCCTATAATGTTGTTTAATAGCTTATTTTAAAGAGGAGACTTAGTAGTATATTAATATAATAAAAGTATAGTTTATTAAGCAGAGCTACTATTGTAGCAGGATTAGGAGTTATTGTGGCCATTGCAGCCATTGGGACCGTTGGAGCCGTTGGCTCAAAATTGGCTCAAAATTGGCTGGACATTGAATGCACATTGAATGACTGTTGTAGGCCTACCAGTCCTACTGTTGCCCACAGTACAATGCCACGATTTCCCGATTTCGACAATGGAAAAACTTTTCCCGATGTACAGTGCGCTCCTTTAAATGAGCGTTAAAGTGCTTCAACCACTTAAAACCAAGCTTATTAGTAGTCTAGCTATTATTAGAAACTCTAATAACCTAATCTTAGGGCAGGTCTTCCTCCTTGTACTAGCTAGAGAGGTGGTGGCGCGCCTTGAAGATAATAAAGGGCAGAATGGCCTATCCTTTAGCATTAATACCCTGTATAACTATTACCCACTCCTAGTTGCCTGGCTGGACTGACTTTGGCCTTCCTTGTCTCTCTAAAGCTGTAACAACTGCTCCTAAGGAGATCTAGCCCATCATGAAGCCTGTCTCATCAAAGTTGTACGTGTCTTTATCCTAAATGCCATACTTAGCTTTGACGTTGGCTACCAGGCTAAACCAGCCCTGCAGGGCCTCAGGATCCTCACAGAGGGCTCTCTTGTAGTCGTACTTGCAATTAAACTTGACTTTAAGCTCTAGGTGTTGCTTAATAAACGTACTAGGCCAGTTTGCGCTAATAGGGCCCAGATTGCGCTCAGCGCGCAGAGAATTGGCCATAGCAGCCACATCTGCGAGCTGAGGGGCAAATCCTCGCTCATCTAGCTTAAGTATGTGCTTAACAATCACCTGCTCCTTATTGTTGTCTAACCCTCGTAAGTTGGGCATAGTATTGCCTCTTAAAGGTTGTCCTGCGCGTTAATTGCTTAGTGTGGCTTAAGGAACGTTGTAGATAGCTGCAGCGCGTCGCTAGGAGAGATTCGCGTCTTGTTTGAGAGCTTGAAGCGCAAGCTGTATCTGAGCTTCCTTTAACGTGTTAATATTAGGTTATTGTTAAGACATTAGTATAGAAGAAGTACTTTGGTGGGGGCTTGGCAAAAGTGATCGACTTGTCCGTTGATCGACTCGTCCGTGAGGTACGTTAATTAAAAATAGTAATCTGTGTTGCAGAAGTTACTACCGAAATATAGCAGTAATTCCCTCGCACCTTCCTAACAATAAAAGCAGGAGCCTGTCAACACGTCTGCTGCTGCCGCTGCCTGTTAGGTACTCCTCCACACTACAATTAGCAGCTGGCCCTGTAACTACTTTGGGTCCCGTTTACGTCCTAACAAATCTGGGGAGCCATTGTTGATGCTCAGGGTTCCAGTGTGTAACTACAGCAGTTGGGTGCTACTGAACATTGGTGACAGCTTCGGTCGATCGACGCCTTGGGATCCGCTCAATACCTAGGTACTGGTATCCTGTTGAGCCTCACGGACAACTCCAGTTGTTTGAAACCCATAGGTGAATTATGGTCTTCTGCTTCCAGCCATTACGAGTTCTGCTCCTCCAGGTCCCCACTTGCGGTCCCCACTTGCGGTCACCTCCACATCCTGCCAATTCCCAGCATCCACCCCTTTCCAGCTGCTCTTAATCACGTGTATGAGACGGCGTCGGCTGTAAGTCCAGGTACTAGGACCAAGAAAGTCTCGATGAAGACACACCTCAAGGCCCAAACATCAAACCGGGATTTTTTTCGTAATCGAGCAACTGTGGCGCGTAGTATTTTCTGGTCAGAGAGGTAGCTCTTCCTTCGTTCATGCTGGTAGATAGACGGCTTATGTCGAGAGAATATTCGAAATCCGTGAAGATAACTGTCCCTTCGTAGATCAGTATATTTTGGGGTTTATGTCTTTGTGGCGGACAGAATTTGCATGCATGAAAGTTAGACCACTGGCAAGACACTTGAAGGATCGTTTAGGAACGCAGTGCAAATCGTCGACCCGTGAGACGTCGTGATCGATTTTTAACGATCCCATACGATCATAATAAAGGCGCAAGTGTCTTCCCAGATCGCCATCTTCGGCAACAGGATGCAAAACCAGGCCAACCTCGTCTGAAGTAATGTACGTCGCGAAAACTCGAATGCAATGGTGATAGGTATAGAGCCGACGAACTAGAGCCACCTCGTTGCAGACAATGTTCCTTTTCTCTCCTTTGCCCAAGAAAACGAAATCTGGATCGTCTTGCACGCGAAGATCTTATCCGTGTTACAATCCTTCACTTTCTCTATAAGCCCACTATGCGCACTTCAGCTTTTTGAGGTGACTATATGGCAGCTGCTCTTCATCTTCGGATACACAGTCCTACCCTTTGTCCAGGGTATACATTCGAGCCTTCTTCTTGTACTTGAGCGAGGCCGAGGCTGCCGCGTTGAAGCAGTTTCCTCGCTCTCGCAAGGTTTGGGGAAGAGATGTGAGAATCGCTGGAGAAGAGTGCAAGTGACCATTCGAGAGCAACGTGCGAGCGAGTGTTCTGAGCAGGGGATGAGGTCAAAACAGGAAATCGAGCGGAAGACAGGTCGCGCGCGGGGTGTCGGCCGTCGTTGCACACATGGCCATTTATGATTGACGGTCTTTCGAGGCTTAGCAGAATCAGGCTGAGCTTGGCGAGCAGAATGCGCCATATGCGGGACGTCGAAATAAATCGTGATCTTAGGAAGCTAAAGCAGGCTGCCCGGATCGCACGAAAGTCGAAATTTTTGACGAAGAGGCCACTGCACTGAATCCGCTCAAGTACGACGACCAACTGATCGCTCAACACGACCACCTGCTAACGACGAAGCAAGACCAAGCCAAATGTACCAACCTCCTTGCATGCAATCGAATTGTCAACGGGTCGACGTAGCAGTGAGTCCACGATCTCATCTGAGTGGTAATTCAGGTTATGGGCGCATGTGTATAGAAGCTCTACCTGTGCATTCTGTTGTCCATGGTGTGCGTGTATGCTTTGCTGGATTGATCATTTCATTCTTGACTCACGAGTCTTCCGAGTGAATGGGCTTCTACAGATTTCAAGACGATGTATGAGGGCGAGGTTTCATGCATGACCGTAGCGAAGAGGGACAATGAGAAGCTTTGAGAGTGTACGATCGCCCTAGTAGCTTCTGAATCACTTCATGGTACGCTAGCGAACGAGTACCGACGAATGTGCACACTCTATGGGCCTGGATAGCATATAACAGAACCTTGCTTACGAGGCTCCAGTGGGACAAGCTGAAATGAACCGGCAAAGCGTCCGGCATCTAAATATCTCGATGTCGAAAGAACATCCTCCCACATCGTACATATCTAGTAGATAAAGCCTTTTCAGACTGTTCCCTCGTTGATAGGGATGGATTCATTTCGCCTTTATATATCGGGGAGCTAGGGCAAGGTCGATGTTGCTGCGTGCTGCGTCTGCTGATCTGCGTGCGACACAGCGCACGCGATGAACACCTGCTTTTTTCAGACGCAGACCGAGGTGATATGCGTTCATCATTTGGCAAGGCAGATGACACACGGCGGGGGCATCAGCTGAGTACTTGTCCCGGTATGCCGGAATACCCGTGGACATATTACCCGTCCCGAACGTCCTCACCGATCAGCATGCACAGGGAGACGACCTGCCAAATCAATGCAGATCAGCCGGTTGCAGCCTAGCTTCCGTGTGTTTGACTTTCGCTTGATCCAGCCTAACCTGGGTGTCAGCCCTACGGGCAGGTCAAAAGCAAGTTAACTGCCGCGTCGTGACTCACGCGGGTGAGCGAGACTCCGCCTGGCAACTTATCTATTTTAATCAGTCCGCATAATCTGCAATACTTTTCAGATACCTGTTGTGGAAGTGGCCCTGGTCCTCCCATAGCTCATCAGGAGCTGGGCCAAGGTTTGCTTGGTGGCCCCATGTCGGCACATAGGTCCACCCTATCGTCTCCCCTCGTAAGACCAATAAATATAGATGTATCGATGACCATTGGTTGACAACCTGTCGGCGGAGCTACGCGCTCGTCTGCACAGATGACATGTCTGTTGCAGGTTGTCTACAGCTGTTGACAAGCAGCCCTCGGTTCTAACGAGCCAGAATGCCAGCTACAGCAGTGCGTCGCGCTGTATATCATTGGCTGACAGTACATGAACATCGACAATGCTCCGCATGTTTGAACAAGCTGTACTGAAACAGTACTCATGCGTTGCGACTACCATGTGTTCAGAATGTGAAGTTCCGGACAAAGCTTACTAGATGAATGTATCGTTATGTCAATACGGAAGGAAATGATATATGGTCGTTTTGGAAAATAATGTGTGATAGTAAAATGGAACTCCGCCAACGTTAGCTCTAGGAGACAAAAACAGCCATGGTAAGTCCAATACATGCATACAACCAGTGAACCAAGCCTGTGACAAACAACGGATACATCCTTAGACTCTTTCCTGCGTCCATCGCAGGTTGGCGTTTCAAGGACTTTACATCAGAAGCGAATATATTCCATGTGGTTACTTGCAACTATCTCAACATCCAGAACGGGAAGCTTTTGTTCGATAGTAAATATCCTACCGTAATCGACTCTGGGTTCTGTAGAAAAATGTAACCCCTAACTAGGGTGAACCTTGAGTGGGGCGCTTTCGAAGTGCTCCCATAGCTGCGGTGTAGGTGGACTTTCAGAAGCGTAGATGACTCTTCATTTAGACACTGATTCCGAGATCAAGTCACCATCTTCTCGAGAAGGCTGAATGCGACTGGCAAGAATGAGCAGCGTTGCGATAGACGGGTTGTTATGCAAGGTTTGAAGGACTTACAGGCATTCGCTGTGGGATTCTCTGTTACAGACAACAACCAAGTATACCTGGTAACAATATCGGAGAGCATCCTCCGAAGGATTGTCTTGTGTCGCTGTCTGCATCAGAACCGACGGGGATGTATCCATGGTCAAGGACCACTAGGTACTTAATACCTAAAAGTAAGTGAGCAATGGACATCCGAGAAGATGTCATTGCATACTCTTCTCTTCCAATTACATAAAACCGGAGAGTTCCTGGTACTTTCATAGTGTCGTACCCTGCCGGGTTAGTCAAGTCTTTGAACGGCTCTCGTGGTGAGGAACGTGGATCGAAGTCTGCATGTACGGATGACATAAGTTAAGCCAAGGGACACCTTGTAGATATCCCAAGCCCATCTGCCGCCGAACTGCTTGAGAGTTCTTCGCACGAGCATGTACCACTTTGTGGTTTCAATCGGTAGCAGAATGAGCTGGAGAAAGAAAAGGGGCGCGATAGGAGGGAATCTTGCAACACTCACCTCCCAGAGTCAATATCAGGCCTGGCAAGGCGAAATCCTCAGTGTCGGCGCAGAGCTCACGAATGCAATTTCGAACCAATGCGCTTCGACGATGTGCCTGCCCATTCTTTGTAGAAACCAAACATGTAATAGAGGTGAAGGTCAGAAGACTACTTACAGGGAGTGTAGTCAAGATTGGGATTCACTGAAGTAGACAATGGCTCAACATTAATGGCGCAGAACTCTTCGGTGTTATGGCCAGTTAGAATCACCTTTGCAGATACCTCCGATTTTGGACCCGCTTGCACGCATGGTTATATTGTGCGTGAAGCAGTCACTGTATTCGTATTATGAGGCTTGTCACATCTCTTGGATCGCAGGAAATCGACCGGTCGATCCGAAACGGAGGATGTCATCTCGGAGTGAAAGCTGCTGCAGGTTGATGCGTCTCCGATATCTGACCCAGTCCTCCACGGTGACCTGTGGATCGTTGAAGTACCAGAGTCTGGATTGATGCTACGCAAGACGAAAGTGCTGTTACTGGGTGACGTGAAATCCAAGTCGTCTGCAGGTACATCCATAAGTAGATCCTCAAGTAAGTCCTTGGCCTGTTGTGTTTCCAGTGACTGAAGTTGCAAAGTCTGAGAAAGGGCAATATGCTCTTGATCAAACAGGAAACCTCCATGGTTTGAATCTACACGCAGAAAGGTCTGTGGGCTTGATGATGACGACGGGACGATCTCGGCCGCATGAGTTGCTGGCTCCGTTGTTGTCATGTCAAAAGGCCATTGTTGTATGACGAGGACTTCCCATTCTGATAAGTCGACGTCCTCGTCGTCACCAGCGTCCAATTGTTTTTGCAGTATGCTGACATACTGCATTCTGTCTAAACAATTCTGCTTGAAGCCGTCGAGTAGCCAGTCCCGGATACGATGCATTACCGGAACCCGGTCCGTGCGACGAGGGACGGCACCTTCGGTGTGAGCCTTTGAGATGATATCAGAAGCGAAAGACTGTGACCGTTCGTACATAACAGGCTCGGATCCACGTCGCCCCCTAAGAGGTTGAGCATCATCATCTGCGACCATGCGATCCGCTTTGAGATGCTGTAGTCTTACTTCGCATTCTGTCAGCTGGGTGAGCACGTGGTCAAACGAGCGTACTGCCTCGGTGTTCTTTATATCTCCAAGATCAGCATCATCGATACTGAGCGTCGAACTTTCGAAGAGTCTGGCAATGGCTATACGCAAAACCCTAAACCATTTTCGGAGTCGTGCATATTCCGTCGTTTCCACCTGATATTGGACTGCCGCTGATGGAGGAAAAGGACCTGCTGCGCTGACGTCTTCGCGATCGGAAGAGTGTCTTGTAGTCTCGATATTGTCCACGAGCTCGTCAGCGAGGATTTGTTGCACATCATATTGATAGAGACTGTTCTCCAGATCCATATGGGTCCACTCCTGTGCTCCCAGAGTCCGATTAAGTTCAGAGTATTCGACCTCGAGTGAGCCCAGCTCTGTCCGTTCCTCATCAACTCTCGCATATGCTGCGTCAATCTCAGTCGGAAAGGTAGATCCTAGACCATTGTAGTGATGTCGCAGCAAGTTCATGAACAACACTTCTGCGTTGGCGGTTCGATCGCGTTGTTGCTGTACGCGCTTGCCACTTTGCACCAGCTGTCCTCGGCGCACAAGCACCTGCTCTCTGCTTTCGGCTACCTCCTCTTGTTGGCTTGCAAGATCGCCAAGCCTCGTCTCAAGCCTGTGGATGAGCTGCCTGACCGGGGCATTCTGTGCTGATGTAGTGTCCGTGTGCTGACCGTCAGTGGGATGCCGGTGCGCAAACATTCTCCAAATATTTCTTCGGGATGCGTATGGGTCGTATTGGATGATGATCATGTATATGTCGCCGAGGGCGCCCGGCTGAGCGACGGTTCCATGCCCACATCAGAGTGACGAGGGAATCTCAGAGCGTCATGCTTCAGGCTGGAGAGGTGGATGTCGGGTTCAGTGTAGATGCAGACGGATCAATACGTGGTTCAGTCCTACAGGTAAAGGAAGTGGAGTATAGTTGAGCTGAACACCTGCTGGCGGCTAAGACAGGGGGGCCAGTGACGCGAAGGTGAACGGCGTACGATGAGACCCGCAGCGCAGCCACTGCGTCTTAGATATGCACATGCGCGGCGATGCAAGGCAGGCAAACAAGATGGCTTGCAAGGCCAGCCCTGGGACAATATCGCTTAGTACATCCGCGCTGCTTTGACCCAGCCGTGCGGGTGGTGCGACGGCACGGAACGATACGCTCCTTCGTGACTTGGCGCACTCCGCATTACCAACATCTCCTCGCACAGCGTCACGCGTCGTCGCTCGCCCCGCAACACTAATCAAGTTGCATTTGCGCTAGCGCCTCCACTACCCGGTGGGGAAGCTCCCAAAAAGCACATGCTAATCGCTTCTTGACCCTCCATCTTTGCCATCGTCTGCAGAGCCGCATAGGACGAGGGATAAATTAACCGATGGCCTCGAAAGATATGTATGCTACAGATCTCACTGTCATTAAGCGACTAGGATGTCGAACATCCCCGGAACTTGGATATTAAGCGCTCAGCACAATCGTTACTATCGTCACACGGTAGATGCAAATGGTAGGTCCTCATGTACTCGAAGCTCAATTACCGTATGGCTGACGAAACAGGTAATCCCACTTCCGAGTGGGCACCCGAGGCGCAAAGTGCGGCGCAACAGGCTCAGCCAACACTACAACTTGTGACTCCATCTCACACCAGTTATGGAGCCGTATCAGAGTACGTGCTACGGTAGGCTATATTGAACGGCCCTGCTGAAATTGAACGAGTTCGCAACTTCGAAGAGCCGATTCGGTACAGACGGAGCCTGAGATGGCGCCAGCCGGTTGGTAGCTACTCAGACACATATGCTCGGATCCTAACCTGGTCTAGCGCCAGATAATGTGAGAGCTCAAATACAATTTCCAGGCACACCCCTACTGGGATGGTACGAACGGCTGGATAATAGTAAGTTGGGAGGGAGATTAAGGTGTTAGCGAGATTATTGATATTTCCCAGGCTACCGTGTGAGAGAGAGAAGAGAGGCCCATGAATTCTTCAAGACCGGCCGCGTATTTGCTATGCTGTGGGCCGAGTCTGCAAGTGCGACTATGATACGCGGCGGTACTGAAAACACTGCTGTCACCATAGGAAGGTTCCAAGAGGAAGTCTACTCCCAAATTCGGCGTTTTGTTGTCGTGAAAGTCAACAGGCAACGCCATTTCATTTATGCTTGGTAAGTTCCCTCGTTCCCAGATTGAGACAATCCGTCTCACATGATGCAGTGCCATCTCAACATACGGCAAGCGGGGTACTCTGAAACGTGGCTGCAATGCCAGTGAGCACACGGCCGTGTACCTTGAGGGCTCTAATCCTTATACGCTTCAGGGGGAGTGGGAGAGGGGCATGACCAAGGATCCTATCATGATCACCCCTACCAACCCCCAGGAATTCATGGAACCCACTTCTAGGCTTCGATGCGGCAGGATCTACTCTATCGAATGGAACGTCAAAGTAAAGGATATCGGCATGGTCGCTACTCACGACAGGACCAAGTTGCTGCAATATTTCAGTGAAGAGCAGGAGAATGGCTTTGATGTTGATGATCCTGAGTCCAGTCCGTATCAAGGTTACTCTCACACCACGATGCCAAATTGTTACCAACAACAGAACAGTTATCACAGACACGGACAATAGGTTGACGGCACACGATGCACATACGTTGGTGAACCTCTCACTTCCGAATACCCAGTTCAAATTGTCACAGGACCACAGATCCTACCTGTCCATGACAGCATACGTTTTCACTTGTTTCATCAACTAATCAATACGTTAAATAATTTACGAATCTTATGACCTGTTCCATGCGATCACTATTTTGGCCAGACAAGACTTGCGAGCTTGACCACGCCATGTGGCATTTGGCCGTGGACCGCGAGGTACGATGAATCGTTGCCATAGTAAAGCTATGGTGTGCACCGTGTGAGCTCAGCCAATGAATGAGCCAGCAGTTGGGACTGGTAAGTTACGCCTCAAGTGGCCGTGTAAAGACTGCGCAAAAGCTGAGTCTGCAATTGGCAGGCGATACTTCGGCCGCTGCCTTGGTTTTACTCGCTCATCCGAGTTCACGCTTTACTAGGAATACACGAATGCACAACAGCGCCTCGGGATCCAGGCGATAGGTAATAATGCGATTTGAGCGGAACCTTTCCCGAGTCTGCTTTGTGACGTCAAATTGCGAACAGGTTACCCAAGAAGGCGGAGCCACACAAGACGCAAACAATATATGGGCTGAACGATCTACCTGAAACGCTTGGAAAGGAAGTCAGAGGCACACGCTTGTCCACACACGAGTCGACATACTGTACCGTGTGACTGCCTTGGGCGGATGTATTCCAACCACAACTTGCGCATTATGCGCCTGTCCAATAACAATGACGGCAAGACCATCATTGGTGTCTCGTCGCATTATTGCAGTCGCGAAAGTTAAGCAGGGCGGACGCTGCGACATGCAAGTGACGGGAGTATGTAAAGTCCGATTGGGCATGGTTTCAAGCCCGTATACGCGTTGGCGACGGGATGCAGTCCATTCCACAATTATCCCAGCCGCAGCTTAAAGCCTGCACTGAGCTTAGAAAGCCGTGGGCCAACGATTATGTATGTACTTATGCCTAATGGTCATCTGCAGATGTACTTTGACTAGGATGTGCGTTGTGCACGATGCCATATCGGCAGCGCATCCGGCGAATCGCGTTGACTGAACAAACATAGATTTTGGTGACATCTACGTACTCACCGTATGGACCACTGAGAACTGTGAGTTAGCCTGCAGTTCTTACTGTACGCTTCATGTTCCTCACCAAGTGACCATAGTGCCCGGAAAAGAAGGCGAATAAGGCAAACACACCTGCCCGGACATGGTCTGTTTCAACACAGTGCATGTACCTCATGCCGTCTTCTCACGCTGGTTGGTGTATCTAGGCGCACAAAAGTTGCCTGCGGGCTGGGCTTAAAGGCATCAGGAGCATGGACGGACGGTTGACCCTTGGAGGTTGGTATTCTGCGAAGACCCCAGCTTCCACGTCCCACAACGGCCCGGGCCTGAAAGCGACCCACGTACCCTTAGCCTAGCTTTCTACATCTGTCACGCGGCTACTACCGTGCACGGACACCGGGTGGGCCGGGTCACCAGGTGGGCCACCCCACCAACTTTACCACCTCACCAACAGTGAGGCTACAACACCACGTAGAGTAGATATTATTATATAAGAAGTTGATAAAATATACTATCTGCTACTGCAAGACTTTTGTTATATTCAGTTTTTTTGTGGGCTTTGTGACGCGGCCACCACAAGTCCTGAAGCCCAGGGGTGCTGAGCTGGGCTCATGAGACTCCTGTGAACTGCCCTTTGCTGCACTACCACCACGCTTTGTTGATTTTGATCGTGGCTTTGCTGAGGCCTTAGGATTAGTCTGTTTAGGCAATTGGGATACTTTTTCTGCGTTCTTGAGTGTTTTGACGCGCTCTCTTTCAGCTGCGCGTTTGGCGATCCCCTGAGCCTTCTCCGCCCTCTTTTGAGCTGCCTTCTCACGCCTCAACGCTGCCTTTTCTTGCCTCTTAACCTTATCCTTCTCTTTCAGGATCTTGTTGTTGTGCTGTACTTGCTTCTGATCAGCCTTTGCAGCGTCATCTGCGATTGCCTGCTTCTCTATATCCTTTATACGGGTCTTGGCACGTGCAACAGATGAAGGATCCCAGAATATGGCCCCCCCTTGTACATTAGGGTCCCGCGGTGACAGTGGCAATACTTTCTTCTTCTTTTAACGCTTCTTCTTACTCTCTAGTGCTGTTTTGAGGCCCTGAAGTTCCTGATCTTTGAGCTCAAGAGCCATGTGCATCTGGTGCATCTGCTGCCTTGCCTCACTCTGCGCCCCTGGGTCCCCATACGTCACTGCACAGTCAAAAGATGACCTAAAACGTCGCTAATTAGGTAAGGTAGATGCCGCCCAAGGCTCTGATTGCTGGGGAGGCGTTGCGGGTGGTGGTAGAGTTACCTTCTTGAAGTAATCAAGTATGACGTCTGGCCCGTCTGGGTGAAGTAGGTATATACCCGTGACTTTAAAGGCTCGGAGTATCAACGATTTGGTAAAGGTGTTGACCTTATAGATAATATCTTTCACAGTTATCAGCTGCATAACGCGTGCTTTCTATGGGGGTGGTCCAGGCAGTAGTAAGGTTATTAGGGTGACAGTGAATGAGCCTAGAAACCTACTAATCTAAGGGCTCCCAACTGCACAAGGGGGTCGCAAAATTAATTATTATCTGCCGCGTAGGTGGGCAGTAAGTCTCTGTGAAGCTTTTAATGTATTTTACAAGCTCAGCCTCATCGTGTGGGTGGAGGAGACGTTAATCTTTGTGGGCATCTTTATTAGTCCTTCTCCAACGTTGGTGGTGGTTGGTCAAAGTAGTGCGGGAAATACAGTATTTCTTGGCTAACTGTCTATACGAAAAAGATTCTCCTGGTTTCAAAGAGTCTATATATAAAAGAGCAGCCTGCAACGACATCGTGGTGACGTTGTGGAGGGGGGGTCAAATGTGGTGACAAAGTTGGTGGGGTGGCCCACCTGGTGACCCGGCCCACCCGGTGTCCGTGCACGGTAGCTCTGCAGACTTGTCATTAGCTACAACTGAGCAGTAGCACAACCCAATATCGCCAGAATATACGATACACTCCTTCCGAGATATCGAAGCTCGTCACTGTCATCGATATAATTTCGGTACGGAACGAGCAGAGATACGTATGCAGTCTCTCATCTGGATTTCGATCGCCAAGACATCAGTATGAAGGGGCACTTCATACGTTGAGCGGAGCACTTTGTATCTATGTTGAGCGGAGCACTTTGTATCTATGTTGAGCGGAGCTTCATTGCGGTCCGACCTACACACTACTCTGTCGAACATTCTTGCTCTAGGTAAAAAATGATGAGTTGGACTATCTACATCAAGGTCGCTCCGCTGGTCAAACAGATTGCGCTTCCAAATGGTACTGCCCATCGAGGGGCTACTCCTGGGACAAAGCATAAGCCTTAGCTGTTGTCCGCAACGTTAAGTCTCCAATGGGAGCTTGTTGCATACCGGTCGCTGGCGATATCGCTTTTCCTACATACGCCGGTCATCACAGCGCAAGACGCTGCCGGACTCCTCGAGGATCGTAGTCAATGCCTTGAACACTCCGCTCTGATACCAGGATCTCCTATTTTTGGGCAATGTTGTTGAGTCTTGGACTCCCAAGAGTGCATCATTTTCAAATTCGAATTGTTCTCCCGTGGAAGCCCCACTCGCTACCTTGCGCGCACGGGCACGGTAGCGGCGATGCTATCTATCGTCACTGCAATGGTCGTTACCAAAGACCCAGGTTCGTCGCGGTGACTTTGATATTACTCGAAGGCCTTCAATAGAGCTTCCAGTGACTTTATCGTATTACATGGCCTTAAGAACTCTTGTAACATCGGGATGAGTCTGTTTTCTGCGTGATTTGCGCGCACTCTACCGTCTTGGAAGCGTTGAAAGGGCGCTTTGTACGCCGCTCGTTTAGCTTGAAGGTTTTCCCGTGCGGTTACTAATTTCCCATGTTCGGACAGAACTCTATCCAAATTCTGCTTCGATTCAGGATCTGTAGACTCGGAGGCTGTCTGCGACACTATAATAGGTTCGTTGTCGGACAAAGCGGATTCATTGTCAAGTGAGACAACAGCCCCAGACAGAGACATGCTCAAGGCTAACTGGAGTTTGTCGCGCGATAGAATCCCAGGTCGGACCTATGCTACAGCTTGGGTCAGTTACCATACTGTACATATCGACATCAAAATGTCTTGCTTGAAGCTTACTGGACAACGGCGCGAACTCTTTATATCTCAATGAATCGGGTGATAAAGGCTAAGAACTAAGGGCCAGTGAAAACAGTCTACCACTCTTTTACTATCGTCTCGGGTCAGACATTTGGTGATACAGAATCGAAGTTTGGGAGGCTCGAATTTGGCGTGGCTAGCACTGGAGGGTCGGGAACGGTAACGTTGACAAGCCATTCGTGCGTGCATGGTAGGTATGTTGCTGTCGCTACCAGCGGACAGAACTAAGTTTCATTAGTCATATTCGCACATACTCTGGAAATGGAACCACCAATCAAAGCCCTGATAAGGCAAGGCATCATTTGGTCATCTGCCTTGAAATGGTAGATCCTGCAACCTGTTACCTCGCGGACGAAGAACAGCGAACGCGGAAACGCGCGATTTGTGTACAAGCTGCCAGCAGTACAACATATTTGCAGCCAGAGTGCCGCGTCAGCTTTGCAGACAACTCGTATTGCTCAGAGTCACGCAGTGATCGATGTCGGTATGGTGACATCTGAATTTAGGTCGAGCTTGTTACAGTATTGGATCGATGAAGGGGAAGCGGCGGGTAATTGATAAGAGGTGGACGAGTTCTCTGCAAACCAATCCTGTGTGGGAACCTATTTCCTGCCTTTCCCTCTCGCGTTGAATGTCTTCAACGGATCAACCTTGCCATTCCTGCTGCGCACGACCTTTCTTCCTCGGCCCTTGACATATTTCCTGCTCCCTGGCTTAGGCATGTTCAGCCCCACAAAGCCAACGTCTTCCGGTTTCCTTCCTCCAGGTAACAAGTAGTCTGGAATGTGCTTGAGATGTGGTTGGATGCGTGCGGGATGGTTGAGGGTCTGGTCGTGACGGAGATGCGCGAGCGCTTCTGGGTTCTCTTCGAACTGTGGGAAACGTTAGCACGGTCATGGAATGCTCGATAGGGCGTACATACGTAGCGGGAGAGCTTCTGTGACTTCGACAGCTCCATCCTGATCTCCTTGATCCGTGCCTCACGGATCGCAATCCTTGTAACCGACCGCAGGGCATCACCAAAACGGTACCTGAATGGCTCCAGACGTTTCATATCGAACTTGTAGTCCTCCACCTTCTGTCCGTCCTTCTGGTGCTTCTCGACCTTCTCCAAAACCTCTTCGTCGTTCTCGCAGGCGGAGAACGTTGTTGGCTTGTGCTTGCGGTACTTGTCTTTAGGGATGATGAACGAGATGGCTGTGCCGCTCTTGCCAGCGCGCGCTGTTCGGCCGATTCGGTGGAAGTAGGACTTGTACGAGATGGGAAAATCGAAGTTGAGAACGCAGGCGACGTTGAGGAAGTCGATACCACGAGAGACCCCAGAATCGGTGTCTGCGGCCTTCTTCTCTATCTTGGACTTCTTCTTTGGGCGCTCTTCATCCTTCTTCCTCGAACCAAATATTTCGGTCTCGTCTGATGCGATGAGGATGTTGTAGATATTCTTGTTGAACTCTTCGACGATGTGCAAGCGTGAGGCCAACGGCAGCTCCGAGTTCAAGACGCAGGATTTAATACCGAACTGCTCGAGAAACAGCTTAACACGGTATGAGCGGTCGGTGTCGCCGACGAAGGCGATCGTCTTGCCCTTGATCAGCCTGAGCTTGAACATAGCGTAGATCAGCAAGAACTTTTCCTCCTCTGCGCACTTGATGACATATTGCTTGACCTTCTGCGCATCCTTGTCTGCATCGTCCAATTTCAGCACGACTGGATCGGTACACAGTAGGCTCCCAAGCGACTCGACTTCGGTGTTGAGGGTCGCTGACATCAGGAAGATCTGAACGCCCTTGGGTATGTTTTGTGCAATCTGGTCGAGGTCCTCCTTGAAGCCGTAACCCATGACCAGATCTCCTTCATCGACCACCAGGTGCGCCAACTCTGCCACCGACAGCGCGCCGTTGTTGATGTTCGCATTCGCTCGAGCAGGGGTCGCAACGACGACTTCCGGGTTGTCTGCAAGCTTTGCCTTGGTGACGACCTCTGATTCCTTTCCTGCAATATTCTGTATACGGATCTCTTGCCCGCAGTGTGTCGACAGTGCTTTAGCAACCTTGGTAATCTGAAGCGCCAATTCCTTGGTAGGTACCAGGATCAGTGAAGTCTTTCCTTTCCGCCTCAAGGTATTGTGGAGGACTGGAAGCAGATACGCTGCTGTCTTTCCTGTGCCTGTGCCACTGCGAGCCAGAATATCACGACCTTGCAGCGCAAGAGGGATGGCTTTCGATTGTACAGCAGTCGGCGAGCTCCACTTCTGGTCTCTGATACCCCTTAACAGTCGCGGCTCGAGTTCGAATTCGGCGAAAGACGCAGCGGGCGCGGTGATAGGCTTCGACGTCGCAGTAGGTTCATCAATCTCTGATGCGTCGCTGGCTCTGCGCTTTGCTGGTTGGGATGAGGTCTCCTCCGGAACATCATGTTCATTGAGCTTGCGCTTATTGGCCATTTTCAAAACTGTGCTGTCGAAAGTGCTGTATGATTGTGAAGAACCTGCTCCACAGCGCTGCAGAGTTCATCGCAACTTTCTCAACTTTTCGGGGCGCTAATGCTGCCTCGGGGAAGGCGCGCCCCGCTCGCGGAACAATCGCAGCCGACCTCCGGTCTTACATGTCTCGCCACCATCGCCCAGTCTTGTACGATCAATATTGACCCACGAGCACATGCACCTGTGCATTGTTCTCAGTCGCCGCGTTACGCATGTACAACATACGATGATTAAAGCTCAGACTGGAGGCCATGTTGCGCCATACACCCACTCAAGGCTTCAGAGAACATAGCACCGCAGCCTTCTAGACATCATTGTCAGCACAAATGATGCTGCAATTAAACTCGAACATAGACAGGTTCTCGATGTAGACAATCAGGAGTAGGTCTTTGTCACGAAGATTGCAAAACCTTTACGCTTGCAGACTGGAAGGCTGCATTCGAAGATCATCGATTTTGGCTGAGACCTCCAACAGTATCGGCTGTCGGTACATGACTCTTGCATGGTATGAGACTAGCACAGTAGTAGGTCCATGTTGAGGAACATTCAGCTCGGTCGCTCGTTTGTTGTGCACTTCTGCTGATAATCGGGGTGACATCAGCTGCGGTTGAGAATCTCTTTAGTCAATACCTGCACAGCTGCTCCGTTGGCAATGCTTGTGTGCTGCATCGTGCGAAAAAGCTTCGAGCCAGTGCTTGTAGGCAGGCCTTGCGATAGCTATTGCAGCCGTTCTGCCGTAGTGCGCACGGCTTCAGCATGAAAATATCCGCGCCCCTGACCTATTCCGCCGCCGGATAACGCCGAGCCTGTTTTGTATACTATGGTAGTAATATGTCATAGCACGTAACGCCGTGCAAATAAAAATTTAATACTAGTATTAAGCCTTCCTGCGTCTGTAGAGTTGATGCGCAACACGTTATATTGCGTGATTGTTCTATCGCGTGATGCCTAAGGTGGATGTCACTAATATCTATAGTATTGTAGTAAACAACAAAATGCTTACCACAACAAAGCAGTAATAGGTAGTGTATGATGGACCGTGGCTAGCAGCCGCTATACCTTATATGATTCGCTAAGCGTCGCCATCTGTTAAGAATCTAAGTAATCTAACACATTACGCCGTCGGCGTAATGTGGCAACCTTGGAATCTGATGGATGGCGAGCCTGCTCGCAACCCTTTCGTTAAGCACGCTCCCTCAAGCACGCCCCGATTAAGCCATGTCGGCACCATTCATTCGGTGTAGCGGCGATTATTTCAAGACCAGTGCACATGGTTCCGAGCCGCAAGATTGACCGATTAGGACACGATCCGCTTCCATTGAGCAGATCTCAATGATCTTCCATTCACAGCAAACAAGTTCGGCTGATCATATCCGAGTCAAGTCGAGACAAATGACATAGCAACCTTGCACTGTGGGCCATTGTTTCGTATCCTCTGGAAGTTGCCGTGACGAAAGACGGAAAGTCCACGAACTGACAGAGATGAGGAGCTGCACTAGATGAAGGCTTTTGTATAAAGGCGACTTGCTCACCTTGCAAGAAGATCATCTGCACCCTCAGCTTTTCCCACTATAGTCACTCATTTGACAACACACTCTTTTACTACATAATATTTAATACCTCTTCTTATACCCACAATGAGGAATTCTTTCATCATATCGAGCTCTCTGCTCGCCATCGCCGTCTCTGGCGCACCACTCGTCCTTCCTAGGACCATAATTACCGATCCTGCCCCCACCAAGACATCCAATCCTCTCGGGACCGCACACGCAGCCCGCGACCTCGAGCTTCCTGTCGTCAACGGCCTCGTCGAGGATATCAAGATCCCTAACATCGCCACACTCCCTACTCTCCCCAAGCTCCCTGTTGGCAACGTCAACCTCCCTGTCAGGCGCAACGTCAATGTCAACGTCCCTATCGCTGTTACTGTCGATGACCTCGTCGACATTCGCGATGTGGATGTTCCCCAGCCCACCATCGCTTTTGTTGCCCCTGCTCTCCCTGCTCTGCTCAAGGCCGCTCGCGACATCAAGCAGTCTCTTCCCGTTGTCGGTGGTGCTGATGTCCCTCTTGACGTCGGTAGCATTCGAGTTGGAACTGTGGACAAGTACGCCGACAACCTGGTTAGCGGCGTAAAGGTTGAGAGCCTTCCTGCTCGCGACATCAAGCAGTCTCTTCCTGTAGTTGGTGGCGCTGACGTTCCCCTTGACGTTGGCAACATCCAGGTTGGAACCGTCGACAAGTACGCTGACGAGCTTGTCGACGGTACCAAGGTTGAGAGCCTCCCTGTTCGTGACATCACGCAGTCTCTTCCTGTCGTCGGTGGCGCTGATGTGCCTCTCGATGCCGGAAAGATTCAGGTTGGCACCGTTGACCAGTACGTTGACCAGCTAGCCAAGGGAACCAAGATTGAGTCGCTGCCCAAGGTTGCCCGCGACATTAGCCAGAGCCTCCCTGTTGTTGGTGG